CAGACAACCGTTGCGTGTTCCACTACGGAGGCGGAATTCTACTCGGCCGAGAACTGCGGGCGCGAAGTCGTATGGATGCGTCAGCTGCTCCAGGAGCTCGGTTTCCTTCCTATGGACAACGCTCCCTCCACACTCTTCCGCATGGACAGCACCACCGCGATTCGGATGCTCAAGAACACCGACGAGGTCAGCAACCGAACCAAACATGTTAATATTGCATACTACTGGATTCGCGAGGCGGCTCGTAAGGGCCACTTCGCATTCGAGCATGTCGCAGGCGCCGAGAACGTCGCGGACATCCTCACCAAAGGACTCTCAACCGATGTTCACCGCCGTCACACCACTTCCCTCGGCCTCGCTCCATCTCCATCCGTCTCTTCTCGCTGAGGGGGAGTGTTGATTCCTTACATTATCTTATCTCATATGATGCAGCTCGAGGACGGACGTCCGATACTGGCCATACCTATTTTAGTTTAGTTGGTACTGTACAGTTCCTCGGCTCTCTCCGAGACGCCCCGGCACAGCGCTCGCTCGACCGCTCGCCCATACCTCAGTCGCTATTGTCCCCGACTGAGGTATGTTTCTATTCATATATTGTTCCTCTATTTCTGTACTTACGTATCTTGTACCTAGCTCGCACTCACACTGTGTGTCGTTAGGTACAGCAATTCAGTCGCTATTGTCCCCGACTGAGCTCGCACTCACACTGTGTGTCGTTAAGAGCATGCCGGGAGCCACCCCGAGCGAGATTGTGGCGGCACGACGCGTCTTCGATGCGCTGGCGAGAGTGCGGGCGGATTTCATCATTCGCGCGACGGTGACGGTATCCCTCGCGAACAGTATTCACCCTTTCGTCCCGCTCTGGACTAGGGTTGTGCCATTCGACGATCCCCACACCAACACGGCCACACGGTCGTCTCCTCGTGTCCCTCTGGAAATATCGGACACAATCATACGATGTTTCAGCCCCTACTATGACAGAACGACACTTGCACACTGCGCTCTCGTCTCCCACGGTTGGTTTCCTGCAAGTATAGATGTTCTCCGCCGCCCGTGGAACTTGACAATCAAGGCAGCCTATTTATTGTTCAACAGTGTCGCTCGGACTCCTACGTCACCGTCGACTTCATTTCTTCGAATCCCGGAACTCTCGGTGGAGGCAGATAGCAACGAAGAGAACCACTCGTCATCATGGAACACACTGCTCGCCTGCATGGCGGACCGTGTCCCCACCCTCCAGAACTTCAGCATGTCGGGTCTCGCCTTTGACTCTAGGATTCAAGCACAGCACGCAATTGCGTGTCTCTCAACCTTCACTCATCTAACGAAGTTGGAGCTATCGGGCAGCAAATTTCCATCGTTCACGCTCTTCCGTCGTACATTGGCTGTGTTCCCCAGTTTAAGCGATCTCACCACGGAATCCATTTCCTTCCCCATATACTCCGTCGACACTACAAGAACAGTGCGTCCATTCCCACGACCAGTTCTGCAAACCCTCAGCATTCGTGGAGCGAAGAGTGACTGTGGTGACATCCTGTTACATTACCTTGCAAGCACTCCTTCGTGCACCTCCCTCAGGAGCCTCAGTTTCGCACATTATGAGCCACCGACTTCGAGTCTGTTCACAGTGCTGCGCACGGCCGCCCTTTCAAAAATTTTGCCTTTCGTCGGCGGCTTCTACTTTAGACACTGTTCTCACACCGGTACGTCTATCTGCACCCTCACACGCCCGGATTCATGCTGACGGTACCGATATCCGAGATACAGACCTATCTTTCCTGTCGAGCCTGCGAAGCGCGATACACGTCAGACTCAACTTTCCAGCAGCCACAACAGAGACTCTCCTTGCGATCGCGGACGGACTAGTGCGAGCGAACAGCACCCATCTGCGCACCATCTGGTTGTGGTTGCCGCTTGCTGCCCTAACGTGCGCATCGGCCGCGAACATCGCCACCCTCGCAGGGCTCACTTCCAACGCCGCATTCGCGCGCACGAAGGAGGCGTGTTTCGATTTCCGCCTGAACGACCCTGAGTCGGAGGAAAAAGCCGCCTTGGAACCCAAGGCCGCGCCCGCATTGGTAGCGCGCGTAGAGGAGATCTTGACCAGCGCGTGGCCTCCCGGTAGTAGGCAAGTGGACGTGCGGGTTTGTATCCGTAACGGTCAAGGGAAAGTGATACGGGAGGGAATCGCACGAGCAGAATGTGCCAAGACGACTGAGGAGGCTACTCGCGGAGACGTGGGGACGTCCGAGTCTCTGTAGAGATGTCGAGCCTATCGGCCAGGTTCGTCCCTAGGGTGTCTAGCACATATCATACGGGCTGATCAGCTGACGCACAGGGGCATTACCAACGATGGGAGGCTCACTACGTCACGTCAGGACCATCGTAGCACGGTGGACGTCCGTGCCGCACGAAAGCAAGACGAGTTGGTGTTCTGGGAGCGAGCGTGGCTTCGCGCGCGATGGCCGACGCGGCAGCGGCAGCGGTATGGAACCTCGCACGAGTGAACGGAGGCAGATGGATATTTGTCGAAGAGAACCTGTCAATCCACCAGAGCATGGAATGCCTTATTGATATATGCGCAGCTTTTCTAGACCCAATGCTGCCTCCTAACAGCGCCAGAGTTCATACGTTCACCTGCATCAAGGGTGCCGGTGAACAGTCAGTTTCACAGAAGCAGTGGCCGACCGGGCTGTGCAGGATCACCGCTTCCAGCATATCCTGGGGCGGTGGGCGGTGGTGGGATGATAGCTTCGGGGCGGGAGGCGAGTCCGGGTGAGTATGAGGCGCGGGAAGTCTGATGAAAGCACGATCACCGTGGTACAGGACGTATGAGGGTGTCGCGGAGCAGAAAGGGGGAGGACTGCGCGAACGCGGAGGGCTGTGGAGGAGGTGCACGCAGACGCTTCGTTGTGGATGCAGGATGCGCGCGATGAGGGGGAAAGCGGAAAGAGCGTTGGCGATGTGGAGGCTGAAAGCTTTGACAACTCATAAACATACCTTGTCGTGTCGCGATGCCTTTCCGGGCAGGATTTGGGGAGGGGCGGCGTAGGTACGCGGGAGCCGGCGACGGGAGTCGCAACCGTCTCCGAAGCGTCCGCAGCAGGTGAGTGTTTTGGCACATGTCGAAATGGGACGCACCATACACGATTCAAACATGGGCGGCCGGAGTTTTCGGGAGTCCGGCCGAGAGTGCTCAGTCCGAGTGATTCAAACTCCGCCCTGTGCCTCGGCCATCGGCATCCGTCCAAACACGTGGCGACGCGTGTTCGAACTTCGCTGGTGGGTAACCTTGTCCTGCACATCCACCTGATATTGGGACCCGATCCAGCACCACGGATTGCAAACGTCTCTGGGGTGCGCATGGTTTACCCACCTTGTGACCACGTTGTTCAAGAAGTTCCATCCCTGACCGCTTCGAAGCGAGCTCTGAGTAAGCTTCTCTCATGTACTACGAACGCGCCTCTGACTCAAACAGCATGGGCTCGTCTCTCTAAAAGGACCTCAGCTATGCATCATTGCTACTCCTCGCTTGCCGTGCCCGGGAAGCCAACTTTGCTACTTTTCTACAGCTTTCCATCAGATTCTGCTCATTGGTCCCGTCCAGTGACGTACTTGAAGCCTCTCGAACACGGCCGTGTCGTCCCATACTGCCTCGGATATGGTGGCTCATCCAATACGGAGTTCCGCCGGCAGCTTCTCGCTGAAGACATCGCTGATCTCCTAGACGCCTCAGGAGATCAGGCACGATTGATATGTTATCCTTCCATCCAGATACTGACTAAATACTAGGGGACTCGTCGCTCGCGCTGCGCTAACACGACCACTGGGTACGCGCCTTCGTGTGCTTCGCCATCCACTTCTCCCTCCATCGACGGTGCCGTTTGACCTCGAGGCGAAGATCACGGACCACTTTTAGAAAGCGTGTCCTCGGGCATTGGAAGTTCTTCGGCAATCCTGCTGGTTTCCAAGACGATGAGACTCATTCCAGCTTCTATCTCGTTCGCACTTGCTCACTCAGTGCTTCTTCCCACACAGCTCGACAGTTTTGTGCACCTTTTTATCCTCTGGAGTCGGAGGCGCGGGCCGATTACCTCGCTCTCACAGACGCCCTGTAGAAATGGTTGATAGGAGACTTTCGATCGGGTTTTGCGGCGAGGTGAGCGTGGATCCTTTCTGCGCTAAGATCTCGACCTAGAGCTCACTTGCGTCATTTCCTTAGAGCGCGAGGCCCTGGTCCACAACGGCCGTGAGTCACCGAAGCGCTCCTACACACCCCATCGATCTTGACTACCAAGGTGCGTGTCTCGCTCCAGTTCGCTCAGTCCCGGGCGGGCAGCTGATCACTCAGCTGCTCTGCAGCGCTTGAGGAATCCGAACGGAATATCACCAAGCCAGCGCTGTTCTTCTTCGCGTCCAGCAGAAGTCAGTGTACGCCTCGTATGCTGAGATCTTGAAGTTGATGTTGGTCACTGGGTGCCGCTTCTGAGAGCGGCGGCACAGGTGGGTGAGGAACCTTCTGCGAGCGAATCCTACACCTCTGTAGCGTGCGAGAAAGATGGTCACCTATAGGCGAGGACATTATTTGGATATTTCATGATCATGGGGATACCCATGTGATCGGCAGACGTCATCGAGGATAAGCGCCGCCGGACTAGGCTACGTCAGCGCCGACTTGCACACTCTTGGGATTGAACTGCCAACACGTACGTGTTGCTTGTGAGGTGAGCTACAATTGGTAACACTCGGACGTGCTCATTTCAAACGGTTGCTTCAAATTTACGCCTAATAAATTGCTTTCATCGGGTTCTCGACAGCCCGGCCTCCGGTCTCTATCGGACCCAGCTTTCGGACGCAGCAAACGCTGACTGAATTTCCGTTCAGTGCAGGCTATATCCAAGCATTCAGCGCCTTTGTCCGCGGCTGCTGTGCTCTTAAAAGCACACCGATCGTCGACCATCCTGTGATCAGTTCCTACAGTCAGCAGCGGCATCCACATCATGCAAATAATCAACACACACCTGACGAGCCTTCTCGGTGAGTGCAACGCAAACGAAATAACTGAGATTGCTTCCTAAGGTGGCTTGTGCGTCCCCAAGGTACTCGCGTGCCAATCGTATCTGCCGCGATGGCAGGTGCGGCTTCCACAGCCCTGGCGGTATGTGCATATACGCATGCACAAACTCTTTGACTCATCTCTGTCTGCCAGGTCGAAGTGACGCGCGGCGGCGGTTTCGGTTTCGTCGGTGCAGGTACTACCACCTACCCCGCGCATTCATCCAGCCTCACTGACCCAGCACATCCGCCTCCAGCGTTCGACGCCCCTGAGAAACTCGCGGCGGACCTGAAGGCGGCGCGGGCGTCCTTCCCCGACCTTGCGCCCACCGCGCCCACGCCGATCGGCGTTGGGTTCATCGGCTGGCTGCTCGACACGGACGAGGTGCGCGGCCGCGCGCTCCTGGCCGCGGCGCTCGCGAGCAACGTCGCCGCCATCTGGCTCGCGTTCGGGGTCGACGTCCGCAAGTGGGTCGTCGCCGCGCGTTCGGGCGCGGTGTCTACAGGCGCGCCGCGGCCGCTCGTGTTCGTGCAGGTGACGTCGGTGGAGGAGGCTCGGGTCGCGGCGGAGGAGTGGGGCGTGGACGTCATCGTTGCGCAAGGTGCGCCCCTCGCTCGCGTTCCGCACTTCCATTCGATATCTGACCGAGAGGTCGTGGATGCAGGGAACGAGTCGGGCGGGCACGGCGGTGCGGCCGCGCCTCCCACTTTCACGCTCGTCTCCGAGGTCCTCGCGAAGCTCGGCCCGTCCGGTCCTCCCGTCCTCGCCGCAGGCGGGCTCGCCACGGGCGCGCAAATTGCGTCGTGCCTCACCCTGGGCGCCGCGGGCGTCGTGCTCGGCACGCGCTACGTGCTCACGCCCGAGTCTGTGTACCCCGCAGATGGCAAGGCGCGACTGCTGCGCGCGACGGGAACGGACACCGTGCGCACACTCACGCTCGACTACGCGCGCGGGACGTACGGGTGGCCGGCGGGCATTGACGGGCGCGGGCTCCGGACCGCGATCGTCGACGACATCGAGAGTGGGGTGGAGCACGCGGAGGTGCAGGCAAAGTTCAAGGCGGGGGACGAGGGGTATACAGTGACGTGGAGCGGGACGGGGGTCGGGTTGATGGACGAGATCAAGCCGGCGAAGGTGAGCGACAGGTTTTGCTTTATTTGGCAGGGTTGGAGGCTGACGCACGTTCTAAGCAACTCACGGAGGAGCTGCATGGGGACGTCGTGAAGGCGTTGCAGCGCACACAGTCATTTTTCGCGGTATGAGTTCGGACGGGAGCGAACCACTCGACATGTATGATATGCAGGTAAACGATAGATTGGGGCACGAGTGGTGCCACATACCAGACATTCTCCGATAAGCCCGATCCACTGCGTCCTTTGGGCCCGGCCATACTCGGCAAACTCTGGCATCCAGGCTTTCTGCTCGTGCAGATGACTCCCCTTCCTCCAGCACGTGGTACTGACTGCCCACCCCTCCCGCACCTAGCGGAGAGCTTACGCCGCCGGGAATGGTTGCATGCTCGTGCGCTCGGCGGCGAAAGGACACGGCCACATTCGGATTCTTCCCCACAGCGGCTTTTGCTCTCAGAGCTGTAAGAGGCTCTCCGTAAACGCGCATTGACCCGGGCCGAGTGGGCATCAGCATATGCATCTCATCGATCATCGTCGCCATCCTCGTCCTTTGCACTCTCTACGACATGGCCATCGACCCCACCCGACAGTCTCCCCGCGTCCCTCCGGAGATCTCGGACGAGATCATAAAACACCTCGATCCAACGGCGGACAGAAAAACACTCCTCCAGTGCACCCTCGTCTCCCACACCTGGAAAACAGCCAGTAAATACGCCCTCAGTGCCCAACCCGGCCCCCTTACCCTCAAGAACGCGTACACCTTTGTCACACGGTTTTTTCCCACTCTTGATCCAACTATAACGCATCGGCGTCTCATAATATCAGTCCGTGGGTCCATGCCACAAAAGGACCACTCACCATCGTTCGATGGATTGCTTGTGTGTATGTCTGCTCGGATTCCAACTGTATACTCTCTCTCAGTATCAGACATCGTTTGGAACTTACCGAAGCAAAGCATCGCTTCGCTCTCAGTATTCGTAGCGCTCAACACCCTGATTCTGCTCGGCTGCAGTTTTCCGTCCTTTTCGCTCCTCCGACGCACCCTCGCCACCATCCCTAACTTGCGCCATCTCATCATACACGGGGTTGAGTTCCCCATTTCTCCTGTGGATACCATGATTATATCGTATCCCTGCACAAGACCAGTTCTTCATAGTTTACATATGGCATATTTTCTACCGGAGCACGAAAGTCACGAGAGCATCTTGCTACACTACCTAGCAAACACGCCGTCACATAAATCCCTCGAGAAGTTACGGTTCAGCTCCTTTACGAAGCCAACCCCAGGTCTCTTTGCTAATCTCCGCACCGTCGCTCTTCGCAAACTGATGATGGTCGTTAATGATCTCAACCTCCAAGCTGCGTCTATTCTCGGTATGCCTGCCGGTTGCCTCGCCCGTCACGATGCGTACTGAAAGCACCGACTTGCGCCGCCCAGACCTTCTCTCCGTAGTAAACCTACCATGTGTTGAAAGTCTCAAAATTGTTGTCAGCGAGCGCTCAACAGAAAAACTGCTCACCGTCGCGCGCCGACTCGTGCACGGGAGTAGTCCTCGTCTGCAAGACATCCAACTCCATTTTCCCACGGAGGCCCTCACCAGCGCGTCATCCGCAGCCCTTGGGGAACTCGGCGAGCTCACATCGTGCCCCCCGTTTTCAACCATGAAGACGGCAACCTTCTTCCTACGCATGCAGCACGGCTGGGAGGACGGGAAGGATGACTTGGCGCAGCGCACCACGGTAAATGCGACGTGCGCGCGGGTGGTGGAGATGCTGACAGGCGGTTTGCCTGACTTCGTGCGGAAGACCCAAGTGGAGGTGGAGGTGTATGGGAACAATGTCCGCGTTCGAATGCCAGCCGTCGCTCCGATCCCGCCCGTTCCTGCGCCATCTCCGTGAATCCCAACCGAAGGTGCCCACCGTTCGCTGAGCTCCTCTCTGGCCTTCTTCCCCGTCCTGGGACGCGCACCTCCCCCAACACACCATTACAACGCCTCGCTCTTCTCAGCCGCCGACCACGCCCCCGCCCCCCACCTCAACGCAGAACAATGTCGCCTCGAAGTTCATGAACGTCCCCGCCCCGTCAGCACCCGCACACCCCACTACACCCCCATATTGCCCCCCGACGCGGATCCTCCTACAGACCTGCCGTCTTCGACCCACACCTAGAACGCACCCTTGGGGACCTCTCGTGCGCGCGGGCACAGGGACGGATGATCCCCCGCGCGTTGTCGAGCGGCGATACGCACGCGCTGCCGCTGCACTTCAATCCGGCGCAGACGCATGAGCCCACCAGACCAGGCTAGCGCCCGCGCGACCGTCTCCGCGTCCAGCGCCCCTCGTCCATCCCGCCTCGCGTACCTCTTGCGATCCGCCTGCGGGCGCCCCAGAATAACTACGCAGGCATGGCGTATGGACCCGTCAAGACGCGACGCATTCATACGCACCGCGGCGCCCTCCAGGCACTCTCGCGGCCTACGTGGCCGCGCGTGCTCGATCACCACCGTCCGCACTCTTTCCTTCTCGCGATTGTATTGTCGACTCTCTGTATCCACCCCCTTCGTACCCTTTTTCGTTGCTCTCTTTTTTGTTCCCCATCCGCCCGCATACACTCTCTCGAACCTCTTCCGCCGTATCGCCCATGCCACTGTTTCAGAATTGGTCCCGTCTCGGCACGTTCTCGTTTCTTGGCTTCCGTGTGGTCTCGTCTCGTAGATACGTCCTCGCCCTGCGCGCTCCGTATGTACATAGGGTCCTACTCGACTTGTGTTTATCTAGTTCACTTCCCTGCCGTCTTCGCGTGGGGATTGTACTCTCCACACTTCGTCTCTACTTCCCCGCGCCTCGAGGCGAGCCTCGACTTCGTCGACGCTCGCGATCTCGTCTGTGCCCTCGCCCTCGTATCTCAAGCATCTCGCGCCGGTGCGCACGACCCTGTCTTCACCGCGTCTATTCTCTCGTCATCGTCCACCTCGCGCGCTGCGCGTTCACCCGGTCTGCCTCTCTTCGCGTTCGCCCTCCTCGCGGCGCGCCTATCTTGCTTCGACATCTTTACCTTCTCTCTCGGCTTCCAGAGCTGCACGCTCGCGCTCTCTCGCTCTCTCGCCCTCACCCATGTCTACTCTGTACAATAGAGTTGGCGTCACATCAACGGTTGGCAGGAAGAAGCTCTCGGAGACGCATGATATATATATTCCGTCGAGGAACGACGTCGTCTACAAACATCCATCGACCAGCGCCGTGGTGGTATATCTCCTCGCGTTGGTCACGGCGGGACGCTGTTCGGTGACAGTCTCTCTGTACGCTACCAAGAGGTTTGCTCACCCATCCTTGTTCTCCGCGGAAGGTCCGTCGTCGACGCGACTGCAGTTCCGTGATCACTAGGCGATCATATGAAGCGTCCAAATTGCCCAGGCATCTAACATGGCGGGGGCACACTCGACAGCGTGTCTGCCTGGCGTGTTCGGCGGTGTCTGCCCTGTCCACGACGCCGATTGTCGGTGCGGGAGAGTAGCGGCGACGGCGCGTGGCCTGAACACCATGGACACGGGGGAGACCAGTGCGCATTGGCGAGGTGCTCACGAATCTGGACAGCCTTCTGGAGATGAACCGACCCCGCGCGTGCTGGTGCGACGAACGGAACCGCATCCGTCCTTGGCGGCGTCGTATGTCCAGGCGAGGTTGGTGGCGATCTGGGACGCCATGCAGTGGTGCGTCGCCGTCCTGATCTTTGAAAGGAGTAGTAAATACAGAGCCGTATACAAATCATGATGCAATTATTGCGGAACTCACCCTTCCATGGTGTACCGCCGCGGTCATCCCGTACACGCCTAAGCAATGCGCTCGCGTTCGGCCCCGATCCGCGTTATGAAGAGCGTTGCATCGTGATCGTAAGTCGGTGCAAGTAGAAACACCGCATATGTCGTGGCGACAAGGATGGATGGTGTGCGAGCACGATTCTGAGCGCGTTTCACGTCTTCCCGAGCGCGAGAAAAGATAAACTCACAGAAAGGCCGTTGGGCTGACGCAGCGCCCATATTCTCCCGGCCCCCGCTTGTGATAGAATGGGTTCGTGTCCAGGCGGTTGAATGGGGAGGCTCGACGGCGTGTGCGGGGTTCCCGTTCGGTGTCGGTGCTGAGAACGCCCGCCGAGGGGGCGCGAGAAGACGACGGCTGGCACAGATTCCGGCGTCGGTGTCCTCCCACTCCGCCACTCGGATGCTCCGCGCCCGGCGGGGGGCTGGACCCGGGCTGAGAGCGACACGTCCGCACCGTCCCACGCGAGATCGTCCTGGGCACGAGAAGTGTCCAACGGGATGTGGGCGGGTCGCCAAGGGCCCGCCGACTCGCGCGCGCGGAGTGGGCCCAGCTTGCGTTGGGCGGGGGAAGGGAAGGAGACGGGGATAGGCGCCTGATCGTGGGGGCACGATAGGTGGGTATCTGATAAGATTTTCTGCGAGCCGTCGGTGGCGGAGCGTGTCTCTCTCTCCTGCCCGCGCCAGCCGTGTGCTGGACAGTGGGCAGCGTTCCCTACAACGCCCCCTCCTGCCTTGTCCGGGATAGATCGCGTCTGGCTTCTCCCCGCTTACTCTACCGTGACCACCGTGATACTCGGCACACCTTCTGGCACGAACGCCGTCGCCATCCTCGGTGGAAGCCACGGCGGGGCCCGCGCTGCCACTCCTCCCCTGGCCAGGGCCTCCCTCGCCGCTGGCGCGTCGTTCTCGTCGACCGCAAATCCCACATCAACTGTCTTTACGTCCTCCCCCGGTACGCCGTCCTCCCCCCACGCGCGCCAGCGACACCCGCGGCTCCCTCGTTCCTCTCCCATATACGGACCCGGTGCTGCTAGTACATGTATCCGTGACGTCGCTCGCCCCGCCCACCCTCACTCTCGACTGTGCATTCCCGGAGCGCGGCGTTTCCGAGGCCGACCGGACCCTCCACTCCGACTACCTCATCTACGGCCTCGGCTCTCACCCCCCCTCGCTCATCAACCTCTGAATCCCTGTCACGGAGGATGTGGAGAAGGCGGCGGTGCTCGACGTCGCGCGCGCCACGCGGGGTCGCCTTTCTACCGCCCTCAAGCAGTTCCAACGCCGCGTCTCTCGCGCGGCCTCCGTCCTGGTCGTTGGTGGAGGTGCCCTTGATATCCGTGAGCACTCCTCCCTTCCTCCCGCGCACTCTCCCCGCATTCCCCCCTGCCCTCCGCTGAGGTCTCCGCGTTGGTGAACTGTCACGAACACGCCGCCGTGTGGTTCGATCGCGCACAGCGTCCGTGTCCTGGACTCCTGGCTAGTAGCTTGCCCGGGGGCCGGTCGTGCCCGTTGCCTGCGCATACGCACCCGACACGCCGCCGCGACGACGTTCTGTGTGTTGCAGTGGCTATCGTGGAGGCTGGTTGGAGTCCTTGGCCACCGCTCGTTTTTGGGCGCGCGGACGTCATCATGGGTGTGGTGGTGGGCCGTTGTCGTTATATCTAGCCGGCCGGATCTCTAACCCGCATTTCCTCGTATGCTAACCGCGCCTGGTCCCCTCCAGAATTTTCCTCGAACATTGCGGATATCTATCCAGTTACCAATGTGACCTTCTACATTCTCGTCACCGCCTCCTACAGAGTTTGACGAGATGATGCACAGCGAGAGTAAGTGCGGTCATTTCTCGTGCAACGCCTTCTACTAACGAACGAACGTTATCCCTAGCCTCTCAGCTCTGAACGTTTGCGGCGACCGTCGACATCGCCTCACTCGCCAACAACAAGCACAGCAACGGCGAGCGTGTCGTCCGCACACAGAGCGGACGCGAAGTACTGGCTGATCTGGTGGTAAGTTATCTCGCCGGTATGCTCGAATCTATGTTCGTGCTCATCCTCGTGCGATTGTAGCTGCTCTGCACCGGCCAGACCCTCATGGCTCCTCCGTGACGTCTTCCCTCAATCTGTCGTTGCCGATGGCCTCGACAAGGCCCTCGCACGCGTCCGACACACGATCCAGCGACCGGAGCCCGTCCCCGAGTCCGAACTCCCGACCGCTGCCCCCGACCTCTCCGTGCTCTTCCTCGCTACGACCTCTACCTCTGCCGGACCCTCGTCGACAGAACACTCTCCCGCCCATGTTCCCTCAACCGGCACTTCCGAGCCTGCGACCGCCTCCGACGCCTCCGAGACCTGGTCACAGGCGGAGGAGGCGCAGCTCGAGATCGTCGAGGACGCGAGGACGCGAGGACGCGCGTCGCGGCGGCGCACATCTTTGCGATCGGGGACGCAGCGGACGCGTTCGGCGCGGTAAACGCGCGGCACAGTGCCTTCTTCCAGGGCGAGGTCGCAGCGCGGAACGCCATCCGGCCGATCAAGCGGGCCGAGCGCCAGCAAAGGGCCGAGGCGGAGATTGCGTCGAGGGAGGATGTTTACTTGGTCTGGCAGGACGGGGAGGGTGAAAAGGAGGAGGCTGAGGCGAACGAGGAGAGGACGGAGGAGGACTTCGCGCTGGAGAATTCCACCCCAGGCACGCCGGCGATCAAGGGTCCCTCAGTCTGGTGAGTTTCTTCTCCTCTCCTCTCGCGTCTTCTCTCGGGACACGATCCCTCCTCTTCGGGTTCCAGCCTGTCCTACCACTCTTCCCGCGTCCTTTACTTGCGTATGTTGTGCTGACTGTGCGCCGTTCCTCAGACGAAGTCAGTCTACCAGCACCAGGGCGTCATTGGCACACGCGATCAGGAACAGGCCAACCTCGACACCCACATGATGTGGCGCTACTTCGGGTATGAAGTCAAGCGCGGCGACCTCGAGGTGGACGGCCCGGACGAGGAGATCCCGGGCGCCGCGCGGCGACTGGTGTATACGACGAAGGATGTCACGGCGTGAGTTTGTAGGTGCACTTTCCGGATCGGTGGATCGGACACAAGCGTTTAGTATGTTGGTCGTTTTGTAGCTCTGAAGCTGTAGAATTGACGGTGTGCGTTTTCTCTCCCGATGATTGTGGCACTGCGTCAGGCTCTGTGGCCGATCCATCCCTTCGTGCAGCGGATGACAATCATTCAGTGTTTCTTCAAGAGATGTCGGAAGTGGTGAGTCGCCAAGGTCCGTCACTGCTACGGTGAAGCTGACTGTTCAAACGTTCACGCTCGATACAGATGAAATTTTGAACACTGGCATTGTTATGACTCAGGTTCAAGAGTCTGATGAACGCAGCTATTCTGTTGAGTAACGCGGGCTGAGTGCGTTACGAGCAGACGGCAGAGAAAGGGCAACACGAGCAAGCGGGTTGGATAGGGGGGAAAGGAGACGCAACTCACCACGCTCAATGAGGATTAAATCACCGCTCTAGCTCTTCCCCGTCCACCGTCACGAAGCCTGCTCAGGAAGAGCATCCGAGCGGGAGCACCTCTGCAGAATTTCTTGCGGTTCGAGATGTCGCGTGGTGACCCAGCTCGACGTCCTCCAGCACGCGGCGGCATCCGTTCTGGTGGTGTGCATCTTCGCGGCAGCGACAAGGATATAAAACGCAATGGACACCGCGTTCATCTGGAGAGGACACCGCGCAGAATAGTGAGGCGGGCGGACGCGCTTCGCGCGCGGAGAGGGATGAGCTGGAGGAGATCGCGGAGGCATGGGGGAAGGCCAAAGCGAAGGACGGAAGGAGATCGAGGCAAGCGTTAGTGACGCCGCACAAGTTGAGATTGAAGAACGAGGAAGTGCCTTGTTGGACTGGTCAACAAAACAAATTGGCCAGATTCGGCGCATATACTCACCATTGCTGTGTGTACATACATCGCTCCTCGAACTTCGGGTAAGAGTGCAGGGTGGTGGTATCAAAGGTAACCCTCATCCGAGACGACGAGTCGCAGTTATACAGAAGCAATTCAAGGCGAGAGGGAGGTTCATTCAGGTGACAGACGGAGTGTGTTGGATACGCAAAATACATCCACACACGCACAAGGGAAATGTTGCACAGATGCGCACGCAGTAGAGAAAGTCCTGGAGAATCCGTACCTGTTGCACCGCAAGCTTGTTGCATATCCCACTCATCATTATATGCGCGTCGCGCACTGTCTAATTTGATAGTCGTGTGACGTTCGGTACAGGGTGCTCGCACAGGCGCAAGTACTGGAAACATCGCGAGCCGGGTGCGCGAAGAAGCGTGGGGGTCTGTCGGGGTGCACTTGCGGGAGCGAGGCAACAACGCGTAGGGGAGCAGCCTCAGGAGCCAGCCAGGATGCGGAGTACGCGAAAGTGGCAGGACATCGTAAGAGAGGCGCAGACGGTCGTCGCGTCGCGACTTGCTCCAACTCCGAGCGACCTCGAGCGACGCTTTGGGCGTGTTTGGTCAGTGGCCCCCGGGCCGCCGAGAGTCGATCTCACCCGATCCGAGAGGATTGATTCCATCAGATTGACTCCCTGGCGGAGTTGCTCTGCTGGCCTCTGAACGGCGTCAAATATGCTGCGGCGCTATGTCCTCCAATGTCCATCCACAACGTGAACCTCGGATCTGAATGGCCATCCCCTCGTACCCGTACAGCATATGTTTCGTCGTGCCGACCGATTTCGGCGGAATTAAAGGAGGTAACAGGGCTCGATCCAGCCGTCCGAGGTACGTCCACTCCCTGCCAGCACCTTCACGAGCGCATCCCGCGCGATTCTCGACGAGCTCGCAGCGCCCATCTCGGACGCTCGGTTTCCAGCTGTGGAGAACGTACACTTCCAGCTATTCAAACACTCTTCGCCTCTAGCCAGAGGCGAAGAGTGTCTGGATGGAGCGCACCGCTGGACGTGTGCTGTGGAAACGGATGCCGGAAGTTTCGACGGGAGCGTTACCTGTGGGGGTAGGATAGGCAACAATGGTGGTGGCGATTCACACTGACTATCAGGAGGAAACGGTGCGGGCGGCATCACATCAGACCGGCGTGCGGGTGCGCCAGCCTACATTGCGTCGTACCTCAGCGGTACATCGGAAGGGTGAGTTTCGCAATGATTTCATCATGAGTCGTGTACGTCTCTGTACTCACTGTGGATCGGTAAGGACGGTGACGGACCACTGCATGGCGTCCCAGATCGCCACCAGCCTCGCCTGGACACCCGACGCTGCCAAGATCTATAGATCTAGAACGGATGCGGTCCGGTCGTCGTACCAGCATGTGCGGGGTCAGTTCATCCTCGGGTCCGGCGTCCTAATTCGTGAGTACATCGCCGATGCGCACTCCGTGTTTAAGCTGGGCAGGACCGCGCGCATCCATTCGCTGTTCTCCCGCTCCGACAATCGGTGTCGTGGACTGTGCAGACACCGCCAAACACGCCGGGCAGACACGCCCTCGTGGGTTTGCCTCCGCCATGCCATACGCCTGAGAAATTGGGGTGTTCATGTGGTCTCAGTGATGGCAAAGCTGCAGTTGCGTTCCACTTCCGAGCCGACGGACTATCCGCGGAGAACGAGGATGTGTGAGGTATGTCACAGACCTCTTGCTAGTGGGCAGAGGACTACGCTAACTGTCACCGAACAGCATCCCGCCAACGTGAGGACATAGCGTGGCATTAGTGTGTCAGGGGTCGATGGACGTCTGTTGTACGTATGAACGATGTCGGTCCTCGACGTGCTCAATATATACCATGCACCTCCGAGATCTTCATCCTGCCACCGACCGTTGATGTGACGCCAACTGCAGTACAGAGTAGACATGGGTGATGGCGAGAGAGCGTGAGCGTACGGCTCTGGAAGTCGAGAGAAGGGAAAGAAGTCGAAGCAAGATCGACGCGCCGCGAGAAGGACGAACGCGGAGAGAGGCGGTGAACCCCCACCGCGCGAGGACGAAGGAATAGACGCGGGGAAGACGGGGTCGTGCGCACTGTCGCGGGCGAGATGCTTAAGATACGAGGGCAAGGGCAAAGACGAGGTCCCCGTCGGCGGCGGATTCGAGGTGAAGCGCGGCGAAGTAAAGACGAGGTGAGGTGAGCACACTGCACACGCGAATTCGATGGCGGGGAAGTAAACTAGATAGACACAAGTCGAATAGGAACCTAAATACATACAGAGCGCGCAGGGCGAGGACGCATCTACGAGAAGAGACCATACTGAAGCCAAGTGACGAGTACGTACAGAGACGAGGCATGATCTGAAGCAGCGACACGGGAGACACGGCGGAAGAGGTTCGGGAGAGCGTGGACACGGACGGAGGTGGACCAAAACCAAACCAAACCAAAAAATGGGACGAAGGCAGTGGATGGAGGAACACACGATGCCATGAGTAAATATACCACAAGTGACAAGAGAACGCACGAGGACGGCTGCGGGTGCAGTCGCGAAAGGGGGATGGTGACGTCGCGCCTCGTGATCGACTCGTGGGCGCGGTGGAGACAGGGAGAGGGCACGGAGGGCGCCGCGGTGCGTCTGTACGTGTCGCGGCTTGACTACTCCATGATCTATCCTGACGCGGTAAATCTTGAGTGCCTGTGGACCTATCGGGAGAGGTGCGAGAGGCGGTATAGACGAGGCGCTCGAAGACGAGGGCCGAGCGCGGGTTGGGAGCGCGGGCGCTAGCCTGGTCGCATGCGTTTTGCTCGTGCGTTTGCACCGTTCTTCCTTCTTGCAGATCTCGCTCTCCGTCATCGGGTAACGACGGAATAACTTGGGCTCGAACGTGCCCTGGAGAACGCCGCGGCAGACGCCGACGACGAGCTGCGGGCGGCTGCCAAGCTTACGGATCCGTGCGACGCTTGCCATGAGCAGCGAGACGACAGAGTCTAGGACGTGGGCAATATTGCGGGACGCATCGTGCCGAAGCACTGGTTGGATGTATCTGGAGGACAATGGTCGCCGTCGAGCTCCCAGAGTCTGTGGGAGACTGCGGGAAAGGTCGAAGGCGACGGACGGGGTGAGAGGATTGGCGCGGCGTTGTCGAGAGAGGCGCATGGTATATATTCCCCGTCGAGGAACGGCACGGGCTGTCGTCGTCCGCGACGAGAAAACCGAGGCTCGAGCGCGTCGCAGAACAGGTGTGGGCCGTGACTCTCCGTTCCCCCGCGAGCGCACGCTCACGCGAGGTCCCCAAGGGTGCGTTCTAGGTGCGGGCCGGAGACGACAGGTCTGGGAGGATCCGGTTCGAGGGGGAAGATGCGAGAGCGTAGAGGGGTCTACGGGCGCTGACGCCGGCGGACGTGGGGTAGGGACGTTCATGAACTTCGAATAGACGTCTTTTGCATTGAGGTAGGGGGCAGGAACGTGGTCGGCGGCTGAGAAGAGCGGGGCGCTGAAACGGTGTGTTGGGGGAGGTGCGTGTCCCGGGACGCGGAAGAGCTCAGTGAATGGTCAGCCCCTTGGGTTGGGATTCACTGAGATGGCGCAGGAGCGGGCGGGATAGGAGAGACGAGTGAAATCGGAACGTGGAATTTCTTCCTCCACACCTCCACCGTCACTTGGGTCTTCTTCACGAAGTCAGGCAAAGCGCCTGTCAAAATCTCCACCACGCGCGTGCCCGTCGCGTTTACCGCGGCGGACCGCGCCAAGTCGTCCTTCCCGTGATCCCAGCCGTAGTCCATGGACAGAAAGAAGGTTACTGTATTCATATCCGAAAACGGGGCGCGCGATGTGAGCTCGCTAAGTTCCCTGAGGGCCGCGGGTGGCGCGCTGGTGAGGGCCTCCACGCGAAAGTAGAAGTGGATATCTTGCAGACGAGGACTACTCCCTTGCACGAGTCGCCGCGCGGCATCGAGCAGATTCTCTGTTTCACCCTCCCTGGACGCGATTTTGAGATATTCAGCTTGTGGTAGGTTGAATATGGAGGGCAGGTCTGCGCCGCGAAAGTCAGTGTTGTCAGTACTAGGCCTGGTGGCGGGCGAGGTAACAGGGATTCATACCGAGAAGATCGGACGAAACGCGGACGGCGAGGCGGTTGACGACCATCATCAGTTTGCGAAGAGCTTCCTTACGGATACTGGCAAAGAGACCTGGTGGTGGCTTGGTATAGGAGAAGGAATCTAATTTCTCGAGGGATGTGTGTGACGGAGTACTTGCTAGGTAGTGTAGCACGATGCTCTCGTGACTTCCATGCCCTAGTAAAAGATATGAAACATTCAAACTTCGAAGCGCTGGCCTTGTGCAGGGGTACGATACAATCATGGAATCCATCGGAGAGATGGGAAAGTGAACCCCTTGTATGGTGAGATTGAGCAAGTTAGGAATGGTGGCGAGGGTGCGTCTGAGGATCGAAAACGACGGAAAATAGCACTTGCAAAGATCCAGAGTTTCGAGTGCCACAAATGCTGAGAGCGAAGGGATGCCTTGCTTCGGGCAGTTCCAAATGATGTCTGATACGAAGAGGACGTTTACAGTTGGAATTCGGACAGCCATGGAGACAAGCAGTCCACCGAATGATGGAGAGTGGTCCGATTTTCGTGGCCTGGACGTATTGACCGATATCCGGAGAGGCCGACGCACTAAAGTTGGAGGAATAGTCGGAAAGAACTGTGTGACGAAGATGTAGGCCTTCTCGAGGGTAAGGAACCCTGGTTCGGCACAGAGGGCGTATTTGCTGGCTGCTTGCCAGGTGTGGGAAACGAGGGTGCACTGGAGAAGTGTCTTTCTACTGGTGTCTGGATCGAGGTGTCTTATAATCTCGTCTGAGATCTCCGGAGGAACGCGGGGAGACTGTCGGCTGGGGTCGATGGCCATGTCGTAGCTGAGGGTGCAAAGGACGAGGGAGGATGGCGACGATGATCGATAAGTCAATGCTGATATGTACCCGCTCGGCCCGCGTCAATGCGCGTTTACGCCCAGAGCACGAGCGGCCGTGGAGAAGGATCGGAACGTGGCCGCACGACTCGCACACAAGTTGCACGTAAACATCATCCTCTCCCAAATTAAGCGCTGGAAGGAGTCCGCGGGCCGCTGTTCCACAAGGAAATGGGTGGTTGGTTCTCCAGGCGCGTAGAAATAATGCATGCCGGGGACAGAGGACGATAATACCACACAAGAGCGCTCAAGGGAGAGTGTTGCGTGAGGAACGAGCGCTCGGCCGAACTGATGCTTACCAAGCGTGGACCCCGGATGTGGAAAGCGCGCGTTAGCACATCGAGGCCTGAGCCTCTTTCCTTTCCCCACTCCGCGTCCACGCGCACCCAAAGCGCACCCACCCTCCTCTCCCGGCGCTTTTGTCGGAGAGGGCCGCGGGGTTGCAGCCCTCTCTGATTTTTCAATCACGCCCCTGGCACAGCGCGTCGTTCGGACACAAAATGATGCTACAATCGCATCCAGTCTGCAGGACCGGTGCGCACGTCCAGACTGGGTGTCTCATCCAACGATCGGCTCAAGAAGATCACCGCGAGCGCGCATCCTCTGCACAGAACGCTGCAACCCGTAGTGCGGTGAGCATTCGGCATCGGATCAGGAAGCGGGAAAGCCAAGGGAAAGCGTCCAGTTGCGCATGCTTGCACTTCGGGGAGTTGGGTACAGTCCCCGTAACTCTCGTCCTCGGGGCATCTGTTCCGATAACGCCTTTTTCTTTCTTTTACTCTGTGACCCCACAAAAAAGGCCTGGAGAGTTATGTGTTCGAGAAAACAATAGAGCCCCTCTTTCTTTTGGGCACTTTTCTCCTCGAAAACAGCGCCATGAGGCCGTGCAGTGCGATCACTCTCAATCCGGCATCTATTCGGCATATCGGGGCGGTTGCATGTGTTTGTTGTCCTGGGTGGTGGACATAAGACATTCGTTTGAGTGTATTGTCTACACATTCGAGAATATTCTTCTGTCAATTCCAAACGAGAACGTGAAGATGATGATCACATTTGGAGGCAATCTTGGTGGGATCTTCTATGGACCTCCGGTGGACACATGCTTGTTGTTCCAGTGCCTACCATACTTTCGTTCTCTCAAACAAATGCAGGTTGAACGTGGCACTCTCAATTTCATTCCCGATAAGATCTCAGAGCAGATCTTTCTATGCATAATAACACGACCCGAGATTGGATGCCGCTTGTGTGTGCAACTTGAGCGAGAATTCGGATATGACCCCTCTCGAGATATGTGTATCACTATCCCAAGCGCCTCTTTGAATCTTGCGTAGACAGAGCTCTGCAATATGGACACCTTCATTCCGACAACGCACACACTCATATACCCGACTCACACCTGACACCGCAGATTATGCGTGTCTTTGTGTCTGCGATCCAGGAATCTGCGTGAGAGCGAAAGGTATATAGCATACCCTTCGACCTCGACCCCGCTCCCCATCCAGTTCTGGACCTCGCAGACCAGTCACAGACGACTCACCCGCACATCCAACTACATTCCTCAATGATCCTAACGAAGCCATGGCCACAAAAACCGACTGGCCTACTCTGCCTTCCCTCTCTTACGAAGATAGTCTCTACGTCTGCGTCCATCGCAGCCTTTCAGGGTCTGAGGCAGGGCGTGTCAAAATCGATGAGCTTCGGGGAATTGGGAAGACCTTCCTTGACTTTGCTTACGCCGCCGCGCTCGCGGAGCCCCTCCCAGTCGGTACTCAGCTCGAGATGCGTCACGAGGCAAGAGACATCCCCGAGGCAACCACGCCCATCAAGCTGGACATTGAGAGCTCCTACTGGCCCTTCATCAATAAGTGCGTCCAGCGGTACTGTTGGCGCGATGCTCGAGTGGTGCCGGCTGGCATCGACTGGAGCAACCCGCAGGTGAGTGCCCGGGTTTCCGTGAAGCCGTATGGCTCTGAAAACGTCGCTTTCATTTTTACAGGAAACAAGAGTCATCTTCGAGACTCTCGTCGGAGTTCTCGCCTCCGATGAGATGCGTCATGACGAAGTCTTGAAATGGATCAAGGCCCTTGTCAACGCCGCATCGACCACGCACGCTCGGTGCCCTTGAGCCATAACTTGCTGTCCTTGGATTCGATTGTCTCGCTTCCCGTAGATGATGTCGCGCTATCTTCGCGCTTTCTGAGATGCAATCCTACGATCTGTCTGTCGATGTTACGGCGAAGTGCACTCGCAGTTCACCACTGTCAGACTTACCCATCAGTAATTCGTCCTCTGTCTGATTTGTCAGAAAGTCGGACTTTTGGGCTGTCCGACATCCGACCCTGATCTGACCCATCCAACTGTCCGACCTTTCGGTGCTCAGCACCTGTTTGACTCAAGCTGGTGTATACAATTGTCTGACAGCACGATTACGGGACATTGTCAATGATATATTTTGTTGTATTCTACAGTGTACATTCTAACTACAGGCACTCTTGCGGCATCGCGCGAGGAACAGCTGTATGGGCGTCGTCGGCAAGCGCAGGTATACCGTGCCATGCGTGTCACGGTGTGGGAGCATGATGACGCACGCCACAATACACATACATCTCACCTGAGTGACGAGACAATCTCGGAGTGTGCGGAGTACGCTCGGGGGCTTGAAGAGAACAGAGACGAGAGCAGGGCTAGCAAGGTGGACACAGAGAGCGAGGTAGGCGTAGCGACCACTGGACGCCCACGCGACCTGTGGGGCACCGTCATGCGACCTAGGGGCACGGTGCACATGGGTCCGTGAACTGGTCCCGCACGGTGGCGGAGAAATAGGCGTGGTCTCGAGCTCAACAGCGGTGGAGTCTAAAAGGGCAAGGATGTTAGATGTCTGAATTGGATAGGAATAACGGAAGCCGAGGACGGTGGGTGTTAGCGTGGATCTAGACACGGAGATTGAAGACTTATCGTGGCGTTAAACAACATCGGACGAGTGGAACGGCCGTGGACCCTCCGTTTCCGCATCGGATGTGACCGTGCCGGAGGACAACAATTACGTCGGTGGATGTGCACCCTCTTGCCGTTCACCATCCCGCTGGAGCACCAGACGGGGACATCGAGGCGCATCTCGCGGCGGCCATGGAGCTGTGGCGGGGTGTGAGCGTTGACAGCGTACACGCGCAGGTGGCGATGCCCGCACTACTCAAATGGAGGAAGGAGCATGGCGCGCGGTGGCTCGCAGACGTGAATAAGAAAGAGCATGGGTGAGGGAAAATATAAGAACATGGGACACTGAGGGTGTAGATACAAAGCAACTCACAGGGTATGTGTGGCCTCCCGCTCGAGTCCGCTTTGACGACCTCGGCGCGTGTCTAGTGATCCTGTTGTGGCTGGGGAGAGCAGCGGGACCCGGATGTGGTGCACAACACAGCAACGCAGGGGCGACAAGGTGGGCGAGATGAGGGTCCTGTGCGTTGCCCGGGCGATGATGACGACATACTGAGTGGACGAGAGGGAGACGCACCCCGAAGGAGCAGGTGGGGTTGCGGGTGACCGTCCAGCCCTGGCCATGGTGTGTTTGAGGTCGCAGGAGGGGAGTGTAGCAAGGAAGGGCGGGCGACGGCGAGGAGCGCGTCGCTGCGCGTGAGGTCACCCTCAGAGACGGGGAATTTGAGATGGAGAAGACGGAGGACAGCAAAGGACTCACTCTCAGGGAAGACCGAGAGAGGAGAAAGAGGTGTATTGTGAGGAGGAGGAGGACGACGACGAGGACGACGTACGAGACGATGAGCGTGCTGGCGTCTGCTGGCGTTGAGAGGATGGCTCGGCAAATGCCGGAGCCTGGCCAGCGGGCGCTTTGAACTTCGCCCGCTGTGTTGTCCCGTGTTGTACACCGCCAGCTCATCTCCTCCTTCCACCTCCAGCCCACCGTTGTCAATCGCCGTCCACCCTTACACCCCCGCAATATATCGCCCACCCAGTCCGTCTCGGCCCCCACCATCTAGACCTGGACTTCGCCCACGGACCTGCATCGCAGACCCCATCCGTCCTCGCCCGTGCCCCTCCTCCCGCACCCGTGCCCCTCCTCCCGCGCCCGCACCCTCACCCACCCGTCGTTACGCTCGGGACTGGCTCCCATGCGAGGTCCATGTGTAAAAACTCCGTATTCCACGGTGAGTTCTCTACTTTTCCTTGTGCACCAATACGGGCACTGGCACGAGCACGAACGCAGTACCTCACAACCTCAGCAAATCGGGCGACGTGTTCGTATCGTCGTACGTGCCTGTGCTTGAATGCTGGTTCTGTACACCGAGCCCCTCCGCCGCAGTCAGTACATCGCGCGGGGATTCCGGCATGCCGCCCTCTTCCGACGTGGCCCACTCCCTGTACTCGGCTTGATAGCGTCCTCGAATGTAGCTGAGGATGTTCAAGGATAAGTCGACAAACAAGCAAAAGGTGCAGACAGGACAGCTTCGCCCGATGTGCGTTCTCAGTGTTCGCGTGTCCGCATACTCACATCTCTTGTCGCCCCCCGCAGGCCCCTCGTCATGGCATCCCAACGCTCCCAACACGTCGTCATCTCATCTCTCAGTCACTTTGCCTCAGCTCAGCCAGGGCCAGGCCGCAGTCGCTGCGCGCGATCCCCGCGCCTATCGCCCTGCGCAGCTTTCACGCGCGATCCCGTGCCCATCGCTCCGTGCAGCTCTCGCGCGATCGCTGCTGACACACTGTTCATCCTCTCTGCCAGCATCCCACACGACCGCCGTTGCCGTATCCCGCAGAAGACGGAAGTGGCGATGGGTGCTCGCCCGCGCCCGCACTGGTGCCGGATCCGGGATGGGTGGCGAGCTCGGGATAGTGGGCAGCGGGCAGGGGGTCGCGATCTCAGACGACGGCGAGACAGACGTGCAGGGCAGGACGGTCGCGTTTGCGGACCCTGGGCAGGGGCGGGAGGAGCTAACACGTCCGGGGTGCCCACACTCCGCGTGTCGCTGGCAGGGCGACATCCTCGGCAGGCTCTTGCGCCCCGTGAGCACGCCGCGCGTGAATGCCCACGACAGAACGGGACATGCTGCCCTGTAGATAGATTTATGATGTACTCATACATAGAACACAGAATAAATGCGTATGATTCTTCGATGAGCCCGAACGTGTGGATTTTGCCCCCCAGACAGAGTCTGATTGAGGTCGGATTGTCAGATCGCGAGGATACAGCAAAGTCGGACAACAAATTTTGCGGGGTCGGATGTCGGACGATCGGACAGGTCAGAAAGGGGTCAGATCGGTCTGTACAGACCTTTTCAGACGCAGTCAGACGGAGGAAGAATTACTGATGCCCAGGTCTGCGGTATGCTCGATTCCGATACCGACGCTTCGCAGCTGCCGCAGAGCTCATGCGCCGCCCGCAGAGCAACGTGCGGGTAGACCTGATTATCTTGAAGCATCAGTAAACAAGGGCGGAACCAGAGCCGTAGCTTTCACGACTCCGTCGTCATGAAAGGTGAGACTCACGCGTCTGTTGTCGCCACCAGCGATCCATGATGACTGCTGCGGCGCCACACCCAGGTGGATGTCCCAAGATAATTACGCCTGGGGTGCTTTTGTTGCGCTCTTTTGGGATCTCATCCGCGGATTGTGTTGTCCGCATCTACCACGTACGCAATTCAGTCTGGGCACCTGACGGCATAATGGACGACGTACTACTTGAATCCGTATTGTCTGCAACACATTCAGAACACCTTCCCATCTTTGTCGCGTATTGATTCTGCGTTCCACATCCCACAGGTAAGTACGCTTTACGCTTTGGAGGTCACTCGCACTCACTCGATGGTTTTGGGTATCGCATTGGAGAAGCCATAGAGCTTTTTTGAGCGACGCGTCGGAACGATGTGAAATGAGCGGGATGTGCGAATGAAGGCACTCATCGATGTCCCCCTTAACTTATGGTGCGTGTAAAAGTATACCATTCGCGGACCGTAGCATATACATAGGCCGTATCCCTACGAGTTCCTGCCCCATAGGAAAGCACTCTATCTCCCAGCTCCAGCGCGGCACAACGCAAACAAGAACGTCTACGACCGCACCGCGACCTCCAGGCACTTCCGCCATTCCCACATGCCGCTCGAAAACGCGTGAAAGCACTCACCGGCGTCGTTCCTCGAAGGCCTCGCTTGGTCGCCTCTGTTATGCTCCTCGATAACATGCATCCGACCACCCCATCGAGTCTTGGGCACGGTGTGGCGAAAAGGGGGCTTCTGTCATTTCGTGGCTTTCCGGAAGAGCACCAGAAGGCTTTCGATGGCTAGCAAATGAGTGTAGATCGTCCTCGCCCGGACTCGGTACAGTTGATGGGGCGGGTTGACGGGGCGGGCTGGCCAAGTGCGGGCGAGGATGTCGCGAGATCGCTGGGACACGTCTCGTCCAAGGGGAGATGCGACCTCTACAAGAATGAGAGAACAAGATGAACGTCCGCATGAAACAGCTGCGGTGAACGAAAGACGCACCTGAACCAATACTGGTTGCCGCATCGTCCTGCTCCGTCCCCGTCGAGCCGCTGCTTGCTATGAAACCACCGCATGCGAAAGGGCGGCACGACCATCACTAGAAGAGCATAAGAGGAAGCCAGAGTTGTGATGCACAGAACAAAACTCGAACCGGAGTCGCGGAGACGGGGAGAGGAGGAGAAATGCCGCGACCTGCCACAACGCGGCGTCGCCTGGACCACGTGATCAATAGCGCCACACAACTGAGGCACGAGCTGGCAGTTCGAGCCTCGATCGAGTCCTCTCTCTCTACCATCACCAAGTCCATTGTTCACCGTGCACTCACGCAGAACCCCCTCTGCAAACCAATACAGCCAGTTTCTCGTGGTATAGAGGGTTCGTAAGTCACCAGAGAAGCTATATTGCTGTGTTACTAATACTCAATCCGCCATCCCTGAGCTGGCTTGACAACGTCGTTCTGCCGCATGCGCCAGATTTCGGCTTATGCATGGACAGTGAAGCCTTGTCGCACTTATCCTATTTCGCGTGATCATCACCGCAGGATCGCCCTCTTTGGCGTTCCCTGTCACCGTATTCCCCTGGTGAACTCTGTGTGAGAGGTCGATTAGAAGAGCACCGGCATCGTTACAAGCAACCTTTGGCTTTCCCTCGACGACCTCATCCACCGTACCTTCGGCATTCCTTCCTCCCAGCTGCACCGAAACGTCAGTGGATCTAGTTCCAGGTCGCCCGCGTGTGTTCCCACTTACGAAACCCTTTATCCCTCTTCTAGCATCTCGGCGATGCTATGCAGTGTTCTGGGTTGTTGAATGCACCAACGCCGGGCGCTCAGACTCGTCCTCGCCGACCAGGTGCGTCATAAGCGCGTTTCGCAGACGAACGCGAGTCGCGTGTGATCAATGACGCTTCTTGACATGCGCCCAAGCGATCCCTCAAGCTCGTTTCGAACGTGCCTTGCCCCCTTCATTGGTGAGCGTGTTGAGAATACGGTCTGAGAGGATGGATGCTAACTTGGGTCCAGATACACTATCCGTTCTCCGTGGTCTACTGGTTGATCATCGCCTCCACATGCTCCCTCGCCCCGCCTTCCCAATCATCCCAGCAGAGACTCAACACCACCGAATGCCGCCCCGGCTTTTCCGCCGCCGGGTCCCCCGCGCGCGACGGCATCCCGCTCTCCGCCCCCTCCGGCAGCACCCACAGCCACCGCGCGACGCCCTCGTCCTTGAACCCCATCCTCCGCGCGAGCGCGCCCGAGCGCGCGTTCTCCGGGTGCGCCGTCCACAGCACGCGGCGGAACCCGAGCCCGGGCCGCACCGGCGCGCCGGGGAGCTCGAGCGCGTACCGCAGCGCGAGGCCGACCATGCCGCGCGCGACGTGCGTGCGCTGGAAGTCCGGCAGGACGAGCACGTGCGCGAGCTCCGTGTGCAGGTTCGCGGGGGACGTGCCCCAGAGCGCGATCGTGCCCGCGAGCGCCCCAGGCCAGTCCGGGTGCGCGGGGTCGGGGCGCGTCTTGTCGTGGGCGGCGAGCGCGAGCGCGCCGGGCGCGCGCTGGCAGTGCGCGAAGAAGGAGAGGGCCTCGGCGCGCGTGGCGGCCGCGAAGGGGAACCAGCGGAAGAGGGCGGCGGTGCGGCCGGCGAGGGCGGCCCAGTAGGCGGCGCCGTGCACGGCGGGGACGAAGGGGACGAGCGCGAGCCGGTCGCTCTCGAGCGTCGCGGGGTGGAGGGGGTAGGCGAAGTTGATGTCGTAGGGCTCGGGGCTGAAGATCTCGTCCTCGGTGAAGTACTTGAACGCGGGCTCCGGAGGGCCCGCTGGAGGGCAGTTGTTGACGTAGGCCATGGTCGGTGGGTGGTCGGCGGCGTGTGGGCAATGGGCACTTGGGTGGCTAGAAGTTTAGGGGAGCACTTGGCGGATCTGGCTGGATATATAAACATGCTAGCTCGCGCCTTCCAGAGACCTGGCGGCAAGGCGGTCTGGTGACTGTCGTCGAGTCAGAAGCCCAGTGCTTGACGATGACAATGCTACAATTGCATATAGACATCACATGGCGAGCCGGATGGACGCTCGCGATAGTGCTCATGCATGGAGACATCATTGGTGCAGTATCGGATATGTCAGTAATTATGAATAGCCGTGAGCAACGTTTGCGAGAATGTTTGGTAAACCAAAGCAATCCGGTGGCCGCGATTTGTCAGGAAATCGGGCTCAGTTCGAAGTACGTATAGGATTTCCGGCGATGCAGATTGCGCAGCGCAGAAACATCGTTGGAACCGTCCAGCCGCCCAAGGGACGTCATAGGTTCCTAGAAAACGTATGCACAATTGACTGCCCATATGCCTGTGAGCAAAGAAATGGCAGCCCACCTCCAATGCTAGAACTGCGGACCCCCAAGGTCAGACACGCGCGCGCACACGGGCGCACACTTGCCATGCACGGCGTCTCATCCGGCACTTGATTCGTGCTCAGCGCTCGATCAACTCCTACCAATTCAAACAACCTCGGCGTGTCCAGCGCATCCCCCGGGTGCTGGTTTGTGGTCGTCGCGGCCCGGTCACAGCCCATACGTGCGGCGACCCAAGCCCCAGTCCCAAACATGGACAAATGAGCCCGCTCAGCCCCATGGCCCGCCGCCCAAGTTCGTCCAGGCCTCGTGGCCATCGACGGCACCGGGCACAGGCACTTACGCGATGGGGCACAGGGCTCGCGCCCCTTCCACACCTCCAAGTTCCATGGCCATCCTCCTCCGTCCACACCGCACAGTAGCCTTCCAAACTCGTCCGCCACGTGCCGCCTCGTGCCCCGCCCGACCCTGCGGCCTTCCCAGAGCGCGCAGTAAGGTATAGACTTTGCGCGCGCCGTCCGTCCCCTTCCGGAAGGTCGCGCGCGCACGCCGCGCGCACGAGGCGGACCGAAGCGGCCTACGTCGTCGCGTGCCGTGCGCGTGGCGGGCGGTGGCGGGACCGCTTGCGGAAGGTGCGAGCGACGCCGCCGCTTGGTAAGTACTAAGGACGTCCGGTCGTGCCATTCGTGTGGTGCGTATCGCCGTCGTCTGTGCGGCGCGCTCGAGTTGCCCGTTGAAGAGTGAAGTGCAAGGACACCTTGGGCCGCATGCCGTCGTGTCTAGCGTGGTCGCGGCGCCGTGCGGTGGTCACTCTCGGTGAGTTCCCGAGCACGGGTCGCCTCAAGGCCTTAGATCTCAGATCTCAGCACTGATGGCCGTCGATACCTCGCCGACTGCGCTCTCCGAAAGCGCCCCCCAGTGGGGCTGTGGACGCATGTGGGCACACCCGTGTCCCGCAGGTCCCAGTTGAGGCCATCAAGCATACAACGTCGTACACATAACATGCATACAGGGGGCCCTCGGATCATCGATCATGTCGTTGCCGGCGGCGGGCACACCCGGGCGCGCGCGACACACGAATCCTATGCCTTGCGCGCACGGGAAGCGGAAGAAGGCGGGCGGCTGCGATTTCACCAGTGACGCGCCGGTGTGTGCCTCGAGGAACTGTATCATTTGCCCACCGCGCCTTAGATTCGAACTTCCTGTCGGACGTTGACGTGAAATTGTGTCCGGGAACACGTCCTCGACGGGCGCATCGGACCGCAGGTGCGGGCGCGCCTCTCGGGCCCGTATGTGGTGGTGGTCGAGCTCGAGGCGGGATACCTGGGAGCGGTGGGAGGCCTGTAAGTAGGAGTACTCGACAGCCGACTGCCTTCGACTCGTCTTGATTGCGTTCAAACGTTCATCGATGGGTGGTGATGTCACGGAGTTGTCTGTGTTAATGAAACATGGGTGCACCGCCCTAGGGTTCGACTACATATTCCAGGCCGTCTGTAACATATGTTACTAACAAACCGACCCTCAGACGCCATTTGTAACACGTGTAAGTAACATGTAACTAATTCGAAATGTAATGAAGGTCTAGTGCTGCGGAGAATAGCCCTACCAGTCCCCATCCTTAGTCAAATCGCTGTCGGAATCCTCATCATCGGACGTAGACAGCCAGATTCGTGCAGCACCCACAGTAGAGACGCATCATAGCACGCAGACGACACCAGGCGACCCCTCTGAGGGTATTCCAAGGAGATGGGGAGACCACAATTGCGACAAACACTCTTCAGGATAGCGGGAGCTTGCACAGGGCCCTTTGAAGAAACGTGTGATTTTCAGTGAAAGCACAAATATCTGAGCCACTGATGTGCAGTCAACTCCGGGCTCAGGAATCAACAAGGATGAGGGCGAGTGAGCGAGTGAGCGTAAGCGTGAGTCGCGGGAAGTCGTATAGAAGCAGATACGACGCGCCGCGGGGAGAGCGAGCGCGAAGGGAGGATGGATTGGAGGATCGCGCGAGCGCAAGGAGGACACCGCGGGGATAGACGCGGGAGATGGACGAGGTCACGCATACGGGCGCTGGCGAAGGCGAGGGGGAATACGGGGGCGTGGGCGAAAGCGTGGACGTGAACGTGCGCGTGCGCGAAGTCGAAGTCGAAGGCGAGACTAGATGAGCACACTGCACGCGTAGATGGAGTGGGGATGTGAGCGCAGATAGACCGAGGCAGCATGAGCCGAAATGGGGGGCTCGCGAAGTGGATACGAGGATACGAAATAGAGCAAAAATAAAGCAGGAGAGAAGAAGAAACATACGATATGAGGAGTGGGTTACCATCACGAGACAAGAACGTGTCGTCAGGCTATGGAGGATGGGGATCGAGTGCGGGCAGGTGATGACTACGAGCGGGCGTGGGCCGCGCCGCGGTGCGTCCGCGAGTGTCGCGTCGGGACTGTGGTGCTGGGGCGTTAATCATGGGGTCCTCGCGGATCGCGACGGGTGTGCGCAGCGGAATGGTCGAGATGTGTGAGGACGAGCGAGGACAAGGTGGGCGGCGGCGCGCAGGCGCTAGCGTAGTCGCGGTGCACCGTACAGCGGTGGCACGTGCGTATCACCACGTACAGAGCTTACCTGCAGCTGACTCGCCAAGGATAAGGATCGTGCCCCAGACGCTCCGGAGTCCGCCAGCATTCACGTACAACTCGGGGTGTGAAAGGGCAAAGCGGCGACAGGTGGACAAGCGCGGAAACATAAGGTAGTTCCCAACGAGTGGGTATGAGCATCCATCAGCTATGGACAACTACCCGATCCCGTTTCGCCTCGTTTTCCATGCAAATCAGGCTGTGAACCAACTTGTTCAGTTGACCGGCATATGAGGACGGCTCCGGGGTGCAATCGTGATCTTGGAGTGCTTGCGGACTGACCGCGAGAGGTTCGAGAGACGGAATGGGCGAAGTGCGCGAGGACAAGGCCGAGCGCGGTCGAAGGTGTTGTGCTCGTACGTCTTCACCGTACGGCGATAGCGTGTGCGTGTCGGCGTCCGCAGCGTCATCGTGAGCCCCTGGGCTTCGAACCCCGCGACAGCCGCCTCGACGCGCGCGTGGCGAGCCCTCGCGAGCGCTGCGCCCTTCGCATCGAGCCCGTCTTTGGTGCCGGGGGTGTCGACGAGCCCCGTGGTGAGCACAGCGACGGTGAAGGCCTCGGGCGCGAGGAGGACGGAGAACTTGATGGCGGCAATGACCTGCTGCCTGCACGCACTCGGAGAGGTGGTAGGACGGCATGGCGGCGATCTGCATGTCGTGGATCGAGTTGTACTTGCCACCCTCGGTGTTGATCACCATGATCTTCCTCGCGCCAGTGGGGGACGCGCGTAGGAGGGGGAGGAAGGCGTGGATGGAGTGGATCGTGCCGAGGCCATGATTTGGAACTGCATGGGGGGCGGTCAGTGCGAGACTGGAGGGGAGGGGCACGGAGGCGTACGGCGTGGGCGAGGCTGGCATCGAACTCGGCCATGTCGGGGATGTTGAGGAAGTCGGTGAAGATGACAGGAGGAGAGCGGCGCATGGCGTTGTGGATGAGGCAGTCAAGGCCTCCGCCGGTCTTCTCGGCGACTTCTTTCCTGGCACGCTGGACAAGGACGTGTCAGCGAAGTCGCCAATATTGCCTTCAAAAATGTGGACGTTACTGAAGCCGTGCTGCTTCATCGTGTCCTGGAGGTGCACCGAGGTTGCGGACGGCGAACACGGAGTTTGCGGGTATGGATGCCTGGAGACACGATATGTTAATGCTAGGGAATTTATATACGACAGGACTATCAACGTACAAGTTGCACAACAAATTTGAGGCCGATGCCGCGAGAGGCACCAGTAACCGCGTATATGAAGATCATTGAGACTGCAAGAGGATGAGGTGGATGTTACCCGTGGCACGCCACCGGAGGGTCAATCTGGGTCATCGACATGATGTTCTGGTGACCGGAAGCCCTGGGCAGTGGGAAGCCTCGTGTTGACTCGGAAGTCTCACATGATATCCGCGTCCCGACAGCCCTTTCAAGAACAGGCGCTTATCCACTTGTTACATATGTTACACCACCCCTTCGAGCCCCATGTAACTAACGCGTTACTTACAGTGTAAGTAACGTACATAATAAGTTTTGTAAGTAACAACAGGGTATGTAGTCGATCCCTACACCGCCCGCTGCACTGTGTCAGAGTGCGGAAGATGCTTGGAAGGCGGTGATCCGCATACCTGACCCCGTCCCGCATCATGCACGCATCACGTCTCAGTCCAGCAGCTCGAAGCTTGCGAAATCTCAGGCCCCGGTGTCTATGTATATGGCCAACCTTGTACACCACCCTAGTAAGTAGTTGCCCATCGACAGCTGGAACGTGCGGCCGCAGATTGATCCGCTCCCACCCATGAGCCACTGATATCTCTGTCTCCGCGAACGTAAGCTCAAAACCTTGTTTCCAGATCTCCTCCTCCGCGCGCCGCGGCGCGCCTTCCACCCACCGCCGCCCTCGGTAGCACTGCGGCGACCCAGCGGCGACCGCTATGGCCGGCAGCGAAACCGCAGGAAGGATGACAACGCGTTCGGACGCACTCCGGAGCCAGCAGCAGTGGATTGAAGAGAAGACGGTACCGCATTAACTCTGCGCTTACCACGCACCCGGGCGTACACGCACTAGAACCGTGATCCCGCCGCCGTCGCCCACAAAGCGGAATTGCCCCCCACCCACCCACTCGCCGAACGCCGACGCCGCCGTTGACTCGACACAAAGAGATGGATAACAGGGTTCCCGCGCCCCGAGCTTTTGCGCCGCGGCGGCCAGTCAGACTGACTGCTGAGTGCTGTTGAGCGCCGGGAGTTGGAGCTGGTCTGCAGGGTCCAACCTAGCGATCATCATCCGAACCGCGAACGCCGTTACCCAGCGGCCGGTACGCAGGGGGACGCCCGCTGCCTCAAGGCTCGCACCCTCCGCCCACAGATGGGGCTTCTCAGGCCTTCTCGCGTCCCCGCCCGCCGTCTGGCGAGCCACAAGGCCGACCAGGTGCGGCCGTTGTGGGCGAGACGACCGCACTGTGCTGTGGCCCGAGTACTGTGGCGGCGGGCCACGGAGGATGTCGATTAAGGCAAGACCAAAGGGCGGCGCGGGGCGCTGCGCAGGGTGGGGGGCGTGAGAACCCGAGCTTGCTGTATCCGGCACGACAAGAAATGGCGGATATTCGGTGCCCGAACAGGAGCTGGGACACGGTACTGCCATGGTACCTGTCACGGTCACGTTCTTTGTCTGGTTCGCGCCGGACCGGACAAAGAACAGGAATCCTGTTCGGGGCATGTTGGGGGCATGGTCTGCGCCTGCGTAAGCAGCCTGGTCTGCAGCAGACCAGGGTGTGGGCAGGATTCATGGCCTTAGCCTGGTCAGCCACAGAGTTGGCTTCATGTTCGGCCCCGAAACTTCCCGTATAGTCAGCACACAGAATGTATGACTGGTGATGAAGATATATTTATTGGTACACTACCACATGGCGGCAAGAGTCTGAACACGAAACCAGCTCTGTGGCTGACCAGGCTAAGGCCATGAATCCTGCCCACACCCTGGTCTGCTGCAGACCAGGCTGCTTACGCAGGCGCAGACCATGCCCCCAACATGCCCCGAACAGGATTCCTGTTCTTTGTCCGGTCCGGCGCGAACCAGACAAAGAACGTGACAGTGACAGGTACCATGGCAGTACCGTGTCCCAGCTCCTGTTCGGGCACCGAATATCCGCCATTTCTCGTCGTGCGGGACCGCCGCAGAGCTGGAAAAGTGGGCTGGGTGCGCCGGAGATGGAGACGGGCGTGCGCTGCAGCCGTGCGGGGATATTGAGATACGACGGCAGCTGCCAGTCGAGGGGCTTGGAGTCAGAGGAGAAAAAGCGACGCGGAATCAAAAACGGGAGCGCACAGCCGCCGTGATCCCGCGCAGGGACCACTCCCGCGGGCGCCTGTGAGGAGAACAAAAGGCGGAGGAAAACTTCGCCTTGTCCTCCGACCACTGCCCGTCCACTTTCTTCAGCCTCCCCCCGCCGCCGATACCCCCTTTTAATGTCCTTCGCGCCTTCGCTGCTTTCCGCTGCCATTCTCCTCTCCTCAATACAGCAGTAAAATCGAAAAAAAACACCACCGCCGAGCCCGCGCACCATGCCCTCCCCGACGCACCCGCCCCGCCGCCCCGCCTCCGCCGCGCCGCTGCCCGAGCGGAACGACGTGCTGATGACGCGCGAGCTCCTCCTCGGCGCGCTCCACGACCTCTCCCTCCGCCTCCAGGGCCTCTTCCCGAGCACCGTCCGCCTCGTCGTCCACGGCGGCGCCGTCATGGTCCTCCACCCGCAGCTCGCCTCCCGCGACGCGACGCGCGACGTCGACTACCTCCACCGCGCCTTCGAGGCCGAGTGGCGTGCGCGCGGCGTCATGGACGCCGGCGCGCGCCTGCTCACCGCGATCAAGGGCACCGCCCGCGCGTACAAGCTCGGCCGGGACTGGATGAACGCCGCTGCGGACGTCGCGCTGCCGATGTCGTTCGAGTGAGTGTTCTCTTTGTCCTTCCCCGGCTGGCCTCTCTGCGCTGTGTGGCTCTGCGTGCGGTTTCGCGCCTCAGGATGTGTCAGGACGGGGTGCAGTGTCAAGACTGCCGCGGTTGGATGAGTCACAAAGTACACGGTTCGTGTCTTTCGTTGTCAGAGTCGCTGCTGACCCAGTTTTTCTGCGTTCTGCATCGCCTCCGTGACACGTCCTGAGACACGATAACCGGCTGCAGCGCCCGTAGCGAAGAGGCCGTCCGCCTCACGACCGACGCCCGACACGCCCGCTGACTCCATTCCTCCCTCCCTCTCTCCCTCCGCAGCGCGCACGGAAAAAAGTACGACCCGATCTTCGCCGACGCGGCGTCGGCGCAGAACACGGCGGTGAACACGCTCTTCACCTCGCCCGGGCTCGTGCTCGTCGGCGTCTCCTGGGCGTGGTCCGTCGCGCTCAAGCTGGTGCGGTACGAGAAGCACGACCCGCACGACATCGCGAGCATCCTCCGCCTCGGCCACCGCCAGCGCAACGTCCGCTGGACGCGCACCCTGCTCGAGAACTGGCTCCTCGGCCTCTGCGCCCCGATGGGCTACGCCGCGTACGACCCGTGGCAGATGGAGAACGCGCGCCAGCGGATGCGCCACGCCATCCAGCTCGCGTACGCCGAGGACGGGCGCGCGGCGCCGACGCAGCAGCGCCCGATGTACGTGCACTGAGCGCATGGACGGGGGTGGCGGCCCGGTGTGGTTGGCCCCCCCTCTGGTCAATGCGACCACGAAGTAGCCTAGTATTATCCCGCGGGCGCACGGCGTGCGTCCGCACAGATTATCCCCCCGCGAGGATTACCTTATTCGGACTCGGACGTGCTCTTCTCTCTCTCGGTCTGCCTGCTGTGTATCGTTACCCGTTTCTCCTCCTCTGCCCGCTCTCCCGCTCTGTTCTTCGTGTCCATACTTCGTTAGACGTCCGTCCCCTTTTCCGTCTTCCCTCCCGTCTTCTTCGTCCTTCTCCTGCTCGGGCGTGCCCTTGCTCCCTCCTCTTGCTTCCCCGTTGCCCGTTCCCGCTTGCTCCGCGCGCCTCCTCCCTTCTCCTGCCCCGTACCATAGTATTGCCTCTCATGACACCCTACGAGCTCACGCTATACCCTAATCATTACGGTACCCACGTCCGTGACGACCGCTTTTACGAATTGACGACCTCTTACATCCACCTTTTCCCCCTGCGCGTGAGAACGCGCGAGTTTCAAGCTTCAAGCTTCAAAGCTTCAAAGCCAATCCACACCTCGCGCGCCACCGCCGCTCCCGTGCGACCCACTCGACCGCCACAAGACACGCACGCACCGTGTGCCGTGCACGCTCCCTGCGGTGGCGTCGCTCGCCACCGCCCCGCCGCCGCCGCTGCCATCCAGGCGCGACCCGCTCACAACTCGACAGGGCCGCGCGCGCCCTCCAAAAAATTTTGCGGCCGCAGTGTGCGCGCGCGATCAACCCTCCGCCCACGACGGTTCCGGCTCGGGCTGCCCGACGGGCCGGTACCGCGGGTCTCACCTCTATCCTGAGGTCTGATTCACGCTGGGAGTCCGAGTGCTGTGGCCAGGGACGCATCCGGTCCCTGCGCGCGCGCGAAGCCGGGCGCGGGGACCCTGCGGGCTCGGCGGGCGGCGACGCGTGGAGGGTTGCGTTACGCGTACGGCAGATGTTATCTGTGTGCGGTGTGGGAGCGCACGTACGTACGTATGTCAGACGGCGGACGGTGCGTGGATGGATGACAGAGGATAGGCCGTGCGCGACGGAGACAGTTGTGGGTCAGATCTCAGACAGGGCCCGGCGCGAGGGTACGCGGACAGGACGGAGCCGGAGGGGAGACGGGCGGGCGGGCGGGCGGACGGATGGATGGATGGACGGAGACTGTCCGTGGGGAAGAAGGCAGGCAACTCGATAGACAGATGTGCGCGTGCGGAACCGGAAAGGGAACTAAAGTACTGAGGAGCGTAGAGGAGAGCCGACTGTCCGTGCGGGACCGCGCGCCGGCGTGGTGTACATACTACAAAGAGGGAGTGTGGATGCGAGGGTGGGGGATGTCGTACTAGTGCAGTGTGTGTATCTGTATGTACCGTCTATACGTACAATGGAGGATGGAGGTGGGACGGAGGGGGTGAGGGCACGACAAGGCTGACGAGGCGTGCGCCTTATCTACGCGACGAGGTGCAGGCAGGAGGCGAGCGCAAAAAACCCTGATGGAAGACCAGCGCACGGAAGCCTCGCAGAGAGAGCTAACCAGGGAAAGTTCCCACCGTCTCCCTGCGCCCGCGATGCCTCCCTCCCCCGAGAAAGCCCTCGGCGTCGCAGAGGACGACGGCGGGGTGCCGGACCGGCCTCCAAACGCCCGCGAGACGGAGACGTCACCGAAACAGATTTGGAACCGGATGACGCCCGGCGCCCCGCGGCGACGCGAGTCCGGGAGATGTGGCAGAGAAAAAGGACCGAGGACCGAGGCGGGGTGCGGGAGGGGCGGGCTAGGAGCGGACGACGCCCTGCCACTTGCGCAGGCACGAGTACGTGTTCCAGTCTGTGGAGGAGGATGTGAGCGTGGCGTTTCGGAGAGACTGGGCGGGAAGACGAGGGCGGAACGGAGGGTGAGGGTGGCAACGTCCGGTGTCAGATCCGACCGCGCCGGAGTTGTCCGCGCGCAGCCCGAGTGCGCCGGATAGATCGCGTCGCGCGCGCGCGCGGCCATCCACCGCAAAGCCGAGCGCGGACGACGGGCTCGCACGTGCTCGAGATGCGGTATGGAGGGCAGTGGAGGTGATCCGCACTGGGCCCTGGCGCGGGACAGGGAATAGCACGCGCGACCGCCTCCCAACGCATCGCAGTAGCGCAATGCGGACGAGCGATCCGCACAACGACGCCCACACGAAACGACGACAACAAGAAAGAACAACGCACCGAAGGTGCTCCACGACTTGCAGTTGCAGTTCTTCTGCTTCTGGACCCGGTAGTCGTTCGGACAGTGCGTGAACGGCGGGTGCCGGTAGCCGATGTCGTTGAAGAAGTGGATCTGGTCCTTGCGCGCGAAGAGCGCGGCGCCTATGCTGTGGACGGGCGCGTCGCCCCACCGCTGCGGAGATGTTGGCGTGAACACGTGTGTACGGGCAAGAGGGAGTGCGCGTGAGACGGAGGCGCACCTCGTAGTAGAACCCGCCCTTGGACTCGAGGTGGTCGAAGAACTTGCTGTACGGCTCGCTCCGCCAGAAATCCAGGTTCGCGATCTCGAAGTTGCTCCAGACTGCGCGCACGCGCGATCATTGCAGGTCCGCAGGTCAGAACACCCAGAGCAGAGAGAGAGAGAGAGAGAGAGAGAGAGAGAGAGAGAGAGATGGGACGCACAGTGGCACATGTTGTACGTCTCCCCGCCGTTCTCCGACAGGAAGCTCATCGAGTTGTTCGGCGCGAGATACTCCGGGTACTTTTGCGTGAACTCTGGTGTCGTGCACGGTAGTCGGGAGTGGAACGTCGGACGTGAGATGAGCCACGGTGCATGCGGAGAGCCGCGGCGAGCAATGTGACTGACCCTTGACGGCATCCCACAGCGTCGCCACCGTTTGTGGCCACTCGTACAGCGAGATCGTGAAGCCTGTCGGGCGCGAGCGGTCCGTGAGCGACGGCACACGGAACGCGAGCGGCCCGAGTGGAGCCCGGCTTACCGTAAACCTTGTCGTTCTCCTCCATGTACTTGAACGGGTCGTAGTCGGTGTCGCACAGGAAGTCGACGTTCGGCCTGCGCAGTCCCCTGACGTCAGCCCCGCGGACGCAATGAGAGTGGGAGAAGAACGTACTCGACGCGCCAGTACCACTTGAAGCGCTGGAGGAGCGGGTGCCTGTAGAAGAACTGAAAAAGGACGTCCCAGAGGGCTCGCGTTAGCAACAGGGGCGCGGGAGCAGGGCGATGGGAGCGGAGCGGACACACTCACACCAGAATTGAAACGGCACATGTTGCGGTACCTGCGCGCGCGGAGAAGGTTTTTTGGTTAGCATCGACGATAATGCGCGGGCGGGCCGCAATTAGACACGCACGAAACGCTGCCTATTATAAATAGCGAGCGACGGAAGAGAACGTCAGCGGGGGTGGGTGAGCAGGAGGGAGGAAAGGCGCGGACCTCCGTAGATGACGTTGTCGGCCACCATCTTGTTCCGGCCCGCGGATGCTTTCTCCTCGTCGATCCAGTCGGGCTGGTACCAGTCGCTCTGGGGGATGAGCCCGAACCGCACGGCCCCGGACACGACGGCAGTGATGTTCCTAACGGAGACGGGCGTGAGCTCATTGCCGGCGAATGGGGAAAAAACGGAGAAGAGAGAAGGGAGGGAAAGGGGAAAAAACACGCACTGCTTGAACGCGTCGTCGAATTCGACTTCGTTGAGGAAGACCCACGGGTAGTGGTACTGGTGGTTGAAGCGCTCCTCCAGCTGGCGCACGCTCGAGAGCGCGCCCTCGAGCTCGCTGTTGCGCGCGAGCATGACCAGCACCGCGTTCGCCCGCTCGCTCCCGTTCACCATCGTCCCGACCTCGAAGTCGCGCCAGTCGTCGATCGTCTCGACCACCGGCACGGACACCGGTAGCGCGTCGGTTTCGGAGCCCGCGCCGGCGGTGGAGGACTCCGCGACGGACTTGACGCGGACGTACTCCGGGTGCTGAACGGCGGTGTAGATGCAGAGCTGTGGCGGACGAGGGGTGAGTGACGCGCGGCTATGGAGAATGCAAGCGATTGTGCTCACGAGGATGGTGATGGCGAACGAGAGGGCGAAGACGCGATAACGCAGCGGTCGTGGCAGGCAGTCGGGAGAAACGAGCGTCGGCACCCAGCGGGGCTTGAGCGACATCATGAAGGTGCAAGCAGGGCGGTAGGGTCAAGCCGGAGTCGGTACAAGGTAAAGGCGAAGGTGAAGGCGAAGGTGAAGGCGAAGGAAAGATGGCGAGTGGAAGGAAAGGAGAGAGGTGCGGTCAGTGGGTAGGACATCCACAAGGGCTGGGTGTACTTACTATAGTGCCTTTCTAGCGGTGGGCCGGTCGTCGGTGCCGCAGCAAGTCCGCAGCGGGCAGAACGAGGAGCGCCAACACGGTGAGCTGGCTGCGCGCGCGGGGGTTCGACTTCCCAGACGGGTGGCTGTGGGGGAATATTATCTGCAGCACATCCCACAGGCCGGGTCCGTCGCGGATTCAACCGACGGGCGTGCGCTATGCTGCGCACATCCTAAAATAGCTCGTGCTAGACTCGGACGATACTCTGACAGAAAGTCACCACGCAAACTAAGGTCGCATGATAGATGAGATTGCTGCGAAGCGTTGCTGGGAGCCCCTTGCAGGTGGTTGGACCCCGTGGTTGAGCCGTACGACGGGAAGACGCAGGGTGGTGTGCGATGACGCGGGCCGCTGGCATGGATGTTCATACTCCTGAGAATGGGGGTGGGTGGGCCGTGAACACGTCAGTACGCCGGAGATCGTTGCGAAGACTCTGACCGTGCGTTCTCAAGCACTCAAGGTTGCAAAAGATGGCTATCGCTGGGATCGCGGTGTCAGACTCTGCACTTGCAACGACATCGAGGTCAAGGTTTACGCTGCGGAGTCGGAGGTGGCACAATGCAACCAGGCGCTTCTTAGATAATCCGGCTACTTCCGCGCCGGCAGCGACGATCTCGATCGGTTTGGCTGGGTCCATCACTCTCCTCCGGGTCCGACATTGCGCAAGTGCCTGTCGCTGCCCAGGTTCGACAATGTCAGCCCATAAATTTATAGAAGGGCTGCAGATGATCCGGTACGTGTGAAATACCTGACACCTACGTCGTATGCACTCACACTTCTCAGCACAGAGGCCCTGCGTTCGTCCGTCAGGACGAGCTGATCTGTCTCTCTGAATGTATCTCACAGCATATCTCTCACTGCTGCGTACTCGTATTATCTTTCCACGTCCTCGCCCGCGGTATTCGACAAGGTCATCGCCACGTGCGCCCTTTGTGGACGTGAGCACGCGCTTCAGGCGCGCCATTGACGAGCTCATAGGCATGACTGACTTGTGACCGACTTTTATTCTCGTTCGTCAAGCCATTAAGGGACATGGTAGGTATGACTTCAGAAGTGTTCAGCGGTGGTTTAATGCAGTACTGTAGGGGATTCCGCCGTTGCAGACTTACTCAGTGCTGTCCCAGCGACTGTATATGGAGTCGCGCGCTTATCTCGGGCATACCGGACATACTATGTGCAGGCCGTCATTGAGTACGCTCGTGGACGGCCCAGTGTTAGCCTTGTGGCAATTGGCATAACAAGGGCGGCAAATAAGGAACGTAGATAATCATTTAACTGCTCAAGTCTGGGAGGGGGATAAATTGTTCAAGTCTTTTCAGCAAGCAAGTAAACGAGCGCGTGCGATCACAGTTGGCACTGCTGACTAATCAAGAGCCATGCCATAAGCCTCGTCGTCGTGTGCTACTTGAACCTACTTCGTGCGCGTTTCGTGACGAGGGAACCAGGCGTGTGAGCGTGACAACATGCGCGTCATGCGATATCGCGATAGTCACAATCTGCATAACCCGCCTCTGCCCTTTGTCTTCCTTTGACTGCTCCGCACTATGTCGCCCATCGACTCCAGCTGGTCCTGTCCCCCAGTCCCTCTGAATATCTCCGATAATATCATACGACACCTCTGCCCCCGCAAGGATAGACAGACGCTTTGCGCTTGTACCACCGTTTCCCACGCTTGGCTACCTGCAAGCAGACACGTCCTATGGTGGGGCCAGACCAGAGACACGCCGCTCACATGGACGGCAAGTCCCAACGAGAGCATCCTCGCCATCTCAACATCCACCTCTATCACTGGATTCTACCTGGTATGCTGTGCGCTGCCGTCTTTCTCATCCCTTCGTCGCACCATTACCACCATTCCAACCTTGCGTACCTTCTACGTCCGAGGGCTTCAATTTTCCGTGCCTTCTACGGGCACTGAGAATCCACTGTATCCTGAAGGATCAACGACACTGCAGCGCTTCGAAATCCACATCGATTCCGAGTCCGACGAGTTGAGCGGTGCAAGACACTTGCTGAAGTGGCTGGCCAACACACCGACACGGTCCTCCATCACCATTCATGTCCTCATGAAGCAGCTCACGAGGCTCATTCAAAGCCCTGCGCTGAAGCCTTCGACTGCCATTGATGACCTCCTAAGCGTAAATAGAGATTTTGCGTCCCCCTGGGTCTCTCAGCGTCAGTACACGGCTCATGCATTTGTGATGCTTCCCGCTTACCTTCACGACTCATTTCACAGAATTCCCATTGTTTCGTCCAGGCCTCGAGCACTTGCACGATCTCACACTCTGTATAACAAACGGCAGTACGAAGGACCTCCTGGCGCTCGTACGCACACTCGGGGACGGGTACATCCCGGGGCTGCGCAAGCTCACACTCGCCCTTCCTCAAGTCGCGTTCTCTCGCGCCGTCGAGTCCGTCACGACGCTCTCGGTGCTAGCAAGGTTGATTGGGCGCAGTCAATTTGCCGGCTTGGAGACGATGACGTTCACCCTGATCGTCACGGACTCCGAGCAGAGCGGCGACGGAGCCACCCCGACCGCGATCGCGGCGGCACAAGCCGTCTTCGACGCGCTGGCGAGAGTGCGGGCAGACTTCATCATTAGCGCGACTGTGATAGTATCCCTCGCGAACTGTATCCACCCTTTCGTCCCGCTCTGGATCAGGGCCGTGCCATTCGAAAACCCCCACACCACCACCCCCACACGGTCGTCTTCCCGTCTCCCTCCGGAGATCTGGAACATGATCATCCGATGCCTCAATCCGTACCTCGACAGAACGACACTGGAGCAGTGCGCCCTCGTCTCCTACGGCTGGCTGGCTGCAAGTAGGCGTGCTCTCCAACGCCCGTGGAACTTCACGATCAAGGAAGCCTATTTGCTGTTCAACCGTGCCGTTCCTGGCGCTACCTTACCGTCCACATCATTTCTGCGACTCCCGGAACTCTCGGTGAAGGCAGATAGCATCGGAGAGAACTACTCGCCATCCTGGAACACACTGCTCGCCTGCATGACGGACCGCGTCCCTACCCTCCGGACCTTCCGCATAGAAGGTCTCACCTTTGATTCTAGGATTCAAGCACAGCACGCAGCTGCATGTCTCTCAGCCTTCACCCATCTCACGAAGTTGGAGCTATCGGACAGCCGATTTCCATCGTTCACGCTCCTCCGACGTACACTGGCTGCACTTCCAAGTTTAAACATTCTCGTCACGGAATTCGTTTCCTTCCCCATATACGCTGTCGACACCACGAGAATAGTGCGTTCATGCACGCGACCGGTTCTGCAAACCATCAGAATCAGTGGAGCGAGTGATTGTAGTGACATCCTGTTGCGCTACCTCGCAAACTCTCCTTCGTGCACTTCAACCCTCCGGACCCTCCATTTCCGATGTCCTGAGCCACCGACTTCGAGTCCGTTCACAGTGCTGCGCGCTGCCGCCCTTTCAAAACTTCTGCCATTCGTCTACAGATTCTACTTTGCACATCCTTCTCACACCGGTACGTCCATCTGCACCCTCGCACTCCCCGATTCACGCTGACGGCCCCGGGATGCAGACCTATCTGCCCTATCAAGCTTCCGACACGCGGAATACGTCGAGCTCAAGATTCCCGCAGCCACGACCGAGACTCTCCTCGCGATCGCGACCGGCATAGCGCAGGCGGACAGCGTCCATCTGCACACCATCCGTCTGTGGTTGCCCGTCGCCGTCCTGACGAACGCATCGGCGGCGGCGATCGCCAAACTCGCGGTGCTCACTTCCGGCGCTGCGTTTGCGCGCGCAGAGCGCGCGTATTTCTATCTCGACATGATGGGGAACCCTGAGTCGGGGGAAAACGCCGTGGTGAGAAGCAAGGCCGTGGCCGCATTGGGGACTCGCGTGGCGGAGATCGTGGCCCGCGCATGGCCTCCCAGCAGTCGAAGGGTTGACGTGGAGATTTACCTCGAGAGAGGTGAAGGGAACTATTTATGGAAGGGAGTTTCACGAGCGGATCTGCAGGAATCTGCCGAGACGACGGAGGCTGCTCGCGGCGACGTGGGCACATCCGAGTCTCCGTAGAGATGTCGGGCACGACGGCCAGGTTCGTCCCCAGGTGTTTGGCACATACCACACGGGCTGATCAGCTAACGTACAGGGGCATTGCCAGCGACGGGAGGCTCACCACACGTCGGGATCTTCGCAGCACGGTGGACGTCGGTGACGAATTGGTGTTCTTCGCGCGCGATGGCAGGCGCGGCGGCGGCGGGGGTATGGCACCTCGCGCGAGTAAACGGAGGCAGATGGATATTGGGGGAAGAGAACTTGCCGGTGACAGAAACCCAAACGCCTTATCTATACACGGGTAGCTTTTCCAGACTCGATGACGCCTCATACCAATTCCAGAGTTTAAACGTTCATCTGCGGCGAACAGTCAGCTTTACCGCAGCAGTGACAACCGCGCCCACTCGCCACTTCCGACATCTCATGAAGAAACAGTGAGCGATGATGAGTAGATACAGAGTCTGGAATCCGCAGGGGAGAAAGCAACACTCAGACGGACTAGAAGCTTCCGCACGGCCCACGCGGTACTGACAACCGTGGCCAGACCCCTAGTTGCATCGACCCTCACGGTAGCTTCTCGTTCGCACCGCCCACACAGGACCGCAGCACACAGCTGATAACCACAGCATTGCCTACCACTGCATAACAAAAGGACTACGCACAGTAGCAGCACGCCGATCCACGGTCCCCCGAGTATTTTTGGCTCCACCACCGGTCTCTGTCCGTGCCGAGCCCCTTCTCGCACACTCTCCACCCCCTCCCGACGTCCGCTCCCGCGCTCGCGACCCGCCGCTCACGCATCCGCGGTGGGGACGATGTGCCGGAGGTGCGCGGGGACGAGCTCGGGAGGGAGCTTCATGATCTGGTCCAGCGGCGCGCGCTTCGCGAGCGCGAGAAGGTTGAGCCTCAGCTGCTTCAGCACCGCGTCCTCCACCGCCGCCGCCGGGGCTTGCGCCTTTATCCCGTCCGCAGTCGCAGCCTCGCCCGGGGTGCTAGAAGCACCTCCTGCAGGGGCGGAGCCATTCGTCGTTGTCGTTGACGTTGACGTGGTCGTCGACGTCGAGGCAGCCGCAGCAGGTGCGGGGGCAGCGTCGTCGGCGTCGCTGGCCTCCTCGACCTCCTCCGCCCCAGTCTTCATCACCACATCGCCATCCGCGTCCGCGCCGACCTGCTGCCCGTCCGAGGCAGGAGCCGTCGACGCCGCCGCGTCTCCGCTCGGCGGTTCCGTCTGCGCAGGTCCGTCCGCAGCCGGGCGGACGTGCCCCTCGCGCACGAGCCGCTCGATCTCCTGCGTCGCGACCTCGAGCGCGTACGCGAGCATGCCCGCCTCGTCCGCGCCCGCACCCGCCGCGCCGCGCGCGCCCGCCGGGGCCTCCGCGCCGCCGGCGCTGGCTTCCGCCTCGCGGTGCTCCGCGATCGCCCACTGGAGGTACGCGGCCGCGTTCTGGCCCGGGTCGCGGGCGAAGGCGTCGTCCATCTCCTTCCTGCGCTTCTCGCGGTACGCGCGCCCGGCCCAGACGTCCTCGGCGCAGAAGAGCTCGTCCGGGGCGCGGATGAGCGAGGGGAGGTCGATCTTGCCGGCGAGCACCGCGCGGAAGTGCGCGAGCGCGCGGGCGGTGGCAGGGTGGGTGTGCAGGGAGAGGTCGATTTGGCGAGCCACGTCGAAAGGAGGGGCGGCGGGAACGGAGGTGAGTAAAGAGGGCTCCGCTTTGATGTGGGTGGTTGTGGGGTCGGGGGATGTTGGCGGGGCGGATGTCGACGGTGGGGGTGTAGACCGGGGAGAGAGCGGTGGGGTGAGTGGGAGGTTGTTGAGCATCTTGGCAGCGTCGTGGAGGATGCGATGTCGACCGGCCGTGAGGGGGTTGACGACGTTCTCTTCGACCCACCGCGCAACCGGCATCCCGAGGTCATCGTATGTTGGTGGCTCTCCGTTGCGATTCTACAGAGCTTATTGGCCGAAGCAATGAAGAAGAGAAGAGAAGTACTCACTATAGGTTCTGATGGCGTAAGGAACTCTGCCAAGCTCCTCACGTATGCGTACCCATCCACACCGCCATACACGACATCACAAATGTATGCTTCGGCCTCCTTGCCCTTGCCCTTCCAGTACGCGGCTTCGTCCCCATCTTCCATTTCCACATCGTCGAGTGCATCCGCGTCTGAGCTTGTTGTGCTGATGGATGGCTGCAAGCTGTCCCGTAGCGCACCGAAGAACTTGTTCTGGGAGCCCAGAGCAGCGCCGATGTCATTGATTTTGCGTTCTTCCGCAAGGAGACTTGGAAGGACGCTGAAAGAGCCGAAGTCTGTCGCGACGGGTTCTCTTGGTTCCTTCCATGCGGGCGTCGACTCCTCCTCCGGTACTTCCTTAACGCGACGCGGGGCATTGCGGTTGATGACCCAGTGTCGTCGCTTGACGGGTTTGACGCTCTTGGATCTTAACTGCGACGATGAAGAGGTCGAGGGTATAACAACTGGAGGGGGTTCGGAAGACGGGATGATGTGGACGGGAGTAGGGAATGGCGGTTGAGAAGAGTTTGAGGGGTCGTTAGAGGGGTAGAGTGCTGGGAGGTATGGGCGGGACATGGGATCAGGGACGACAGCGGACAAGATGGAAAACGGGTCTTCCACTAAGAAAGTCGTGAATACGAGAGCGCGAGGTGGATGCAGCACGACGTACTTTCTGGATAGTCTAAACTGCCATCTGCCGCTATTGGTGGACCGCCCTTCTCCATGCGCATGCGCTCCTTCTTGGTCCGGTAACGTTTGCCTAGGGCACATGGATTGGATATAGCTCGTAAAAGACGAACTCAGGGCACGCACCTTTCAGCTTTAGCGCAAGCATCAGCTCCGCCCAGTCCGACCCCGGTGGGAACGAGCCTAACCCATCCTTCGCGCCTGGTAATCCTCCGTCGGGCTCCAGTGTCTCCGTTAGAGTCGGGACCTTCTTCCCTTTGCCCTTCTTCCCGTTGACCTGGGCAGCCGTGACCGAGGGCGACTCTGCGCGGCTTTCGTCTACGTTCATAGGCGTCTTAGGTATCATCGCGCCGTCTGCCACGTCGTCGACATCCACGGGTGTAGCATCGTCGTCCCTCTCGACGTCTATGTTCCAGTCGGTCTCGTATTCTATGACCGTGGAGGCGGCTTTGGAGATATGGTCTAGAGCGTACTTCTCTATGCGCTCGGCTTCGGTGTAGAAGATGGAGCCCGGGGCGTTGAATGTCTTCGCGTTCGTAGTGACAAGTCTTAGGTCCGACTGGGGTGAAAAGATCAGCACAATGCGATGGACAATCAGAAACACATGAACGGGATGGAAACAAGACGAATATACCAGCACATGACGTGCACGAAAGGGATTTCGGAATGCATATGCGGGAATGGACGGGGTATATGCGCGGGCACGGGCAAGTGGATAAACACAAGATGGATCAGATAAAACGCACCGCAAATTCCTCCAAAGACCTGTATTTACCCCTTTCCACCTTGGTGGTCATCGTCCCAAGATCCATGGGCCGTGCGATAATATCGGTGTAATGTGGGACGGCGACCAGATCCACCGGCTTGAGAAAAAAGGCATAGTCATCTTTTCTGTGTGATGGTAGAAGGTGGGGTCAGCGACGAAACGAGTGCGTCAGAATACCAAAAGTGCGTACCTCTTGATCTGTGTTATGAGCCTGGTGAGGACCTCCTTGAGTGGCTTGAGCTTGACCGGACGGGGCTGCCTCTTGGGAGGCTCTTCGTAGGTGAGCTTTATCTTTTTCTTGGTCTTCTGGGCCTTGAGGGCACTGAGGGGAGGGAGGACGAAGGTGAGACCAGATGAGGGCTTTGTCGCATGGCTCGAGCTCTCTGCGTGGCTGTCGAGAGGGGAGTAGGAGGTCGAGCTCATTCTCCCGCTTTGCCGTCGTAGAGGTTTGCTCCTCGGCCGAGCGGTCTCTTTCCGGCCGTGATTGGCTCCGGATCCCGGCCGGGCGGCCCCTGTGCTCTCCGGACTCCGGAGCGGACCGGGACTGGGCCGGGCTGCGTGGGCGGATGACGACGTCATAGTTCCGCTGCCGCCTCCAGCCGCGCGCGGTTCGTGGGCTGTTGCGGGCTCAAGGAAGATACCTCCCCGTCCCCGCCTGCTCGTCCTTCTGCCCTCCGCCAAGGCTGTCCCCTCTCAGGTGAGCATTATCGTTTTTTACACCGAGGCTAGATAGAGCACTGCTTCTTGCGCAGTGGGCTATGCGCCAAATATCTTGCCCGGGGCGGATGCTTGCTAGCGCTGCACGCGAGATGAATTGTCTTGGCTTTACATACTGCAGAAGCTTCCCTGCACTGGTCTGCTGCGCGTTCGATTCCCGAGCAGAGAAGCAGCCTGTTTTCCTCTCACCGTGCCTCAGCTATATAGCTCCCCGTCTCTCTGAACCTACGCTCACTCCCTCCCTCCACAGCACCGTCATGCCTGTCTCTTCCCAACCCCACGCGATTAGCACCCCCGCGCTCATGGTCTTCGACCCCACGCACGAGAAGGCCCATGCACACGACCAGTACGTGCAGCTGCAGTTCGCTGAAGGCGGCCACGCAGACCACCGCCGGTGCCGCTGCAACAAATCCCCTGCACGCCGCATCTGGACTGGCCTCTCCCTGGCGCTCGTCTCCTTCCTCCTCTTCCTCGTCTTCGTCGCTCTCTACGACCATTTCTTCAACGGGGGCGCTCTCCTTGCGTCCTGCGGATTCACGGAAGGCGGAAACAGCGCCACTTGGGCAGCGATCGGTGGTTTCGTCAAGCGACAGTCCACCTCCGACAGCAGCAACGGCAACTCATTCGTTGACAACAAGCGTACGTCAGCTTTCCCCGATCGTGGCTAACGCGTCTCTCACCGATCATGCAGTGTACCTCATCGTCATCTTCGTCGGTCTGTTCTTGGTCGTCCTCGGCGGCATCTGTCTGAGCGCATGGTGCTGCAAGAGTGCGTGCCGTTTGCGCATGTCGTTTCTACACCCACTGACCCTCACCGCGTTCTGGCAGGCTCCTTCCAAAACCCGCTGTGCTGCCCGTGCTACCTCTGCGCGTGCTGCGGTGGTCTCGGTACGTCATTATTCGCTTTCGTTCCTTGGCGTGGGCTCACGTGTCCCACTCATTGCAGCGTGTTTGGAGTGTATCGGGTGCGGCCTGTGCGCAGAAGGCTTCGATCAGATGTGAAGACGTGCCACCACATTGGGCTGCGTTGTCCACAAACGCCACCCACCTTTCTCCGCCCTCTTTACGGACTTCATGCACCTTGATACCTTTGTAACACTACGTTACGACTACGTATACCGTCGCTGACACCGGACTCTCGAGTTCCTACGAACACTCGCCGTGTCGTCCGTATACCATGAATCCTTGTAGCCAGTTAATGCGAAAGATACAACTTCCTCCATCCATAGAGCGATGCGGTTTTGTGGACTCGATGGAGATGGCATTGGCAAGGCTATGTGAAGTCCTAAGCATGTATAACTTCTTACGTGTCCCACATTCACTCCCCATGGGCGAGCGCGACGTCCGAAGCAAACGAGGTGGTCGCTTCATGAGCGGCTTTTGCCGCCTCGAACGCCTCTTTCGCCTGCAACGACAGCCCGCAACGCCGGCGTCAACCTCCGATCTGACCCTCACAGTGAGACTCCGCACCTTCGCCATGAACTTGGCGTCGTCCAAGACTTTGAACCCCACTGCCGCGAGGCCGAGCGCGACCTTCAGCGTCTGCTCGTGGGCCTGTTTCGAGCGAGCGGACTGGGCAAACTGCGGCGTGTGGTTGGCTCCGTTGGGCTCAGTCCGGATCGCGTACGCGGGGTGGATGGCGGGCAGCTCTGCGAAACGACGTCAGCGGAGCACGAGCACACGGGAGCGAAGGAGCCTACCGAACGTCACGTTTCCCTGGACAGGAATGAGCATTCTTAGAAATGAGCCTTGGAAAGGGTGAGGCCACTCACGAAGTCGGTCGATGCGTTTATCCCCTCGGCGGTGGACATGCCCATTCCGTATTGGTGGCCCACGACGCGAGAGAAAACGCCCCCTGCAGAGCGTCCGGGTGGTGAGCAGAATGCGTACGCCAAGCCATGCAGCGCAAACCTAGCACGGAGTTGTTGCGCAGCTCGTAGTAGCCGTGGTCCATGCTGATCTTCACCTTGCACGCGGTCGCCAGCGCGGCCGCTCTGCGTGCCAAATCAGCGTCCGCCGCAGATGATCCATAAACCAAGCCGTGCACTCACTGGAAGCAGGCGAGTATCCTCTCACGGAGCACCTCCAGCTCAGCCCACGTCGGCGCGCGCACGATGTACTTGAGCAGCGCGTAATCCGGAATCACTGGCTCACCGACAGCGTCAGCGACACCATGTCCACGCCCGACTGCCACCCAGCCCGCACGCACCGTTCGGCGCCCAGTTCCGCCCCGAGACGACCCCGTGCACGCGGTGGTCGGGCTTGATCTGCTGGCGGAGCGCCGAGATCGCGGAGTACGCGACGAACGCGGCGTCGAGCGCGTTCTGGCCCTCCCAAGGTGCGGCCCCAGCGTGCGCGCTGTGCGCGTCAGATGAGCGACGCGCCTGGCAATGGGAGACGCGAGACGCGCGCGACGCACCCGTGCCCGAAGAACTCGATCTCCATGTGCTGGGCCGCGACGGACTTCCACATCATCGCGCTGTTCTCCGGGCCCGCGGCCGGGTGACACCTGCGCACACGGCGTCGTCGTCAGCTCGCGATCCTCTCTCCTCCTAGCCGAGACTGAGACGAGAGACGGAAGCGCTCACATGACGCACGCGTCCATCTCCCTGTACGCGCCGCGCTCGAGCAGCTGGATCTTCCCCCCGCCGCCCTCCTCCGCGGGGGTGCCGAGGAGGACGATCGTGCCGGGGACGCCGTGCGCCGCGAGCGCGGCCTTGAGGGCGAGCGCGACGCCGACGCCCGCCATCGCGATGAGGTTGTGGCCGCACGCGTGTCCGATCCCGGGGAGCGCGTCCATCTCCGCGTTCACGCCGATGACGCGCGTGCTGCGCGCCGCGCCCTTCTCGTTGGGCGATTTGGACGTGGGGGCGTGAGTGTACGCGGCGCGGAAGGCGGTGGCGAGCCCGAGGTAGTGCGGGGTGACGTCGAAGCCGTGCGAGGTCATCAAGGCTGTCAGGCGGTCATGCGCGTATCTGGGGATCGAGGGGCGTGTGAGGAAACGAAGTTCTGGTTCTGTGTGACAGAACGCCCGCGACGCACTTCTCTTTATATTCAGGTTCAGGGTGGTCTGCAAGGCTCATCGTCAGCTCCAGTGACGTGGGTAGGCCACGAGATGGGACCTGCCCCAGATGTCGAGGCTGAGCTGGCGCAGCTGAGGCGATAGCGCCTTGAGGTGCTTCTCCATGGTTGCAAGCACCTCTGGAGGTATGTCTTCCTCCTCAGAGTATGCGGGCGGCTTTTCCGGCGTCCATAATGTGTTGGTGGTTGTGATATCCGGGGAGCCGTACCAGTGGTTGATATAGTGCAAGTAACTCGGGGGCTGTGAAACAAAAGGCGCGTCAAGATTCAAGAAGTGTCGTTCGAAGCAACAATAAAAGTCATGCAGTCACTGACCGGATTCTGGGACTCGGGTAAGGAGGCTGTTTCGCCCCTTTCGTTCACTTGTGGAGAGGTTATGGTTTTCTTGGTCTCCTCGACGAGTGCAACGCTGGTCTTGTTCCTGGATTTCGGAGAACGGAACCTAAGACCGCAAAAGCAACCACCACATCCCGCTTCAAGCTCCATGGTGGCGAGGTATCACTAGGGACTGGGCCGACCAAGATCGCAGAGACGAGACGGAAGGAGGGGCTGCGTTCGTGGCGAAAGCACGAGCGTGGGGAAGATCCGCGCTGGAACATCTTGGGCGCGAGAGATGTGACCAATCGTCCGTGGTCATCGCAGGAACATAGCGTTGCGTCCCCGTGCCACTCACAGGCCCTTCGCAACTATGCTATACGAGACAAAGTACATAAGTAAGTCTCGCATTGAGTGAGTATAAATAGTGCGTGCTCATCAGTTTAACAGCGATATCTTTGCGCAGCCTTGGGGCTGCCCCCACCATTGGAAACACGATGATGATGGCACTGCCGATCAAGTACAAGTTACTCAGCTTTGGCCGTTGGAGAATTCATTGCAAGACGTTCGCACTTTACAATCGGCATGTGAACCAGGGTCAACACAGACAGTCGAGAGAGCGATCTACCTGGCACTGTCATATTCCCCAGAATGTCCATGGATGACTTGTTGAACAACGTGTCAGTGGCAACTTGAAACACAGGATGACCCTAACCCTGGGCCGGGTTTCCGTCGGGATCCCGGGCCACGCCTGCAACCGGTGAACCCACCTTTCTTCTCAACGCTCACTTCACGCAACAAGCCTCGGGAACGACCTGCTCGAAATGAACGCACCGAAAAAGATCTTGATGCTGCATGGGTGGGGTGCACTCATCTCACTCAGATCATTATAGACGCTCCCGTCCTCACTAAACATCAGATACGCGCAGAACGCAAACATATTCAGCAAGCGGGTGCGAGATTCCCGTTCCAAATTTCTTATATGGCACTGATATGGGTGTTGGTCTGTTTATAGATGGGCGCCCTGCGCAAATCGTGCGGCAAGGACATCGACTTTGGTACGCCGATCGCAAATGAGGCATATGAGCCGTGCACACCAGAGCTCACACCTCTCCGTTGTTAGTTTTCATGAACGGCCCGCATACACTCACACCGGCCGACCTCGCTGCGACGTTTGGTGCGTCTGCCGACGAGTCATCTCTCGACGCGCTCGGTACCGCAGGGGCGTCGACCGAGTCAGATCCGTCCCTCGCTCCGAGAGGGTGGTGGATGACAGACCGTTCTAAGACTCAGACCATTGGTCTTGAGGAGTCTATTTTGGCGATCCGAGACGTTCTCTTCAAGGATCGCTATGACGGTATCTTCGGCTTCAGGTCAGTTTGCCCCAGTCGACGTCAGCCTTCCATTTATCGCCCAATTATAGTCAAGGTGCCGGAATGGCCGCTCTCATGGCCGCACTGGTGCGCATACAACACGACTCACAATCACATACTCAAGTCGATCGTTCTTTCAGCTAGAGAGGCCGGAGGTTTACCCTCCAATCTTCGTCGACGGCAAAGCCCCGCAGCCCTTGCACGTATTTCACGCCCACTCCCCAACATCATGACGCTAACGTCGACATTAACCGCAGCGTTTTCTGCGTAGCAGCAGCAGGCTTTCGTCCAAGCAGCCCGCTGTGCGACACAATCCTCCTGCCTAACTTCTCTACGCCCACCTTACACATCGTCGGCCACACGGACGTCATCGTCATCCCAGAGCGCGCGCAAAAGCTTATTGATATCAACTTGAACTCACGCATTGAGTACCACGATGGAGGCTAGTAGCTGTTTCTTCTTACCCATAGCTCACGGAGCTGATCGATTGTATCCCCAGGACATTTTATCCCATCGAAGGCCAACTGGCGTAACTTCCTTAAGGCATATCTCAAGGATCCACTAGGCAACGTGCCTCCTCCGTCACCTCATGGTCCGGGGGGCTCTCAGCCCACATCCGGGACGGCTACCCCGTCGACTCCGGTAGCATGATGCTTTCTTGCTCAGTATGCAGACGAGCATTCCTTCGATTAGCTAGGGATCTGCCCAGATTACAATAGATAATGGTACATCTAGATAGACCAAGCATCGTTGTACCACCACTTAACGCGAACAATGACCGATTGACCGGTCGAGCGACTCGGGTCGCGAATCATCGCGGCCAAAACGCAACCGCATTTCTCTGTAGGTACTGGAACCGCAAGGAAGCACGGCAAGAGCCGTAAGCCAGCTCGAAGCTGGTCCGACCTGCGCTGCACCTGTGAGGCCGGTCACTTCTGGGTGAAGCGTCAGAGTTCGGGCTGGGGCACAAATGCTCAATCGACCGGGCCCCGCCATGACGCACAGCCGGGGATCGCCCGGACGAGCTTTCGCAGAATATGTGCGAACAAAGGATAGTTTCGTCATCTCAAAGCAACAGTTGGTGTCAGATGGAGAGAGATCAAAGGTTCATATACACATACTCGGGTGCAGACTATAATCGCTATCCCTCGGCCTCCTCGCGTTCGCGGATCTCGCGTTCGAGTTTGGCGCGCTCGGCTTGCCGCATCCTCATGAGGGTGAGCGATTCGTAGTCCAACCCGGCTGCAGTAGGGACGTTGGTCGCTGGGGGCACTGAATTGGGGTCCGGCTACGGAGTATGATCGTAAGCATGAGCATAGCTGGGTAAGGTGAGACACGTACGAAGGTAGATGGGAACGAGGAGAACTTGTCTTTCGACGTACCAGGTGGCGACTTCGCCGAGTTAGAAGGAGGAGATGCGGATGCTGGTGACGCAGAAGCCTTGGAGTCCATACGTACCGTGTTCAAGTCGTCGCGAAGTTGACCCATCTTCTTCAACCAACCGATGAGGTCCGGTTCCTTCCCTTCAGCCCAATCGATCTCAATACCCTCCATCCCCTTCTTCCTGCACACGGCCGCAAAGGCACCACCAATCTGCTTAAACGGCACTAGAGCAATGACGCGCTTGGGCTTCTTCGGGGGAGCAGGCTTGAGGGATAGAACGATGGAAGACTCATCTATGTCGCCAAAGGATGAAAGGAGGGGGACCAGACTTGAAGCCTCTGTGAGCGCAGGGTATGCCGCGAGAGTATACTTGACGCGGACGGTGGTGTCCAACACACCTGCAGGAACAGGTTGCAAGGTTGGAAGGAGACTCGAGAACCTGAAGAAATGGTACTCACCGAGTGAAGGTGGCTCAAGCCCGTCCGCGGCCCTCTCCTCCGCCTCCCTCTCCGCCTCCCGCTGCTGCAGCGCCTTCTCCCGCTCCTCACGCAGCCGCCGCCCCTCATCCATAATTCGCTCGTTCTCTCGCCACCGCTCGCGCTTCTCTGCCTCCTTCTCGACGCGTGCCTTCTTGAGCACCCGCTCCCGCTCCTCGAGTTCTTCGACGAGTCCCTTCCGTTTGGCGTCGTACGTGGCGAAGCGGGCCTGCCGTGCCTGCTTTTGACGCATCTTCGCGTCCAGCGCCATGCGCCGGAGCGGATCCAGGAGGAGCTCCTGTGCTTGGTGGAGTTCATGGAACTTGCGCGCTGAGCGGACAGATCGTTAGTACTCGCGCCTGGGCATCGCGAGCGGGAAATACACACCTGCGTCTGGGTTACCACGGTTCTAAGGAGTTACCGCGTCAGTACGGGTCAAACAATAGTATGGAAAAGACTACGTACTCTGTCGGGGTGGACCTTGAGAGATCTCTGGCGGTAGGCGGTCTTGATCTCTTGCTCAGTCGCCTCGAGAGTGAGGCTGAGCAGCTCGTAGGGATTCGATTCCTCCTCAGAAGACATCTCTAGTTGCGGGGCGCAAGGACAAGACCTCGGTCGGCAGGTAAGGGTAAAAGACACATTCGGTCATCGAGTACACGGGCAGCAGTGGTGACTGCTCGCGTGACAGCGCCGTGACACCATCACTCTGCATCCGCGCGTTGATGCTGTTTGTCCGTTCTTCACAGTCCTTCACTAGCACTTAACCCCAACAACCAGTCCGACTCCCTGAGGGTTGTATGTTGAGTCCACACCATCCTCATGAGCAGTCCGCCCACCAAGCGCATCAAACTCGAGGACTCTGTCACGCCTCCCCCTCAAACCGACATAGAAGTGCTTGATCCTGCTGAGAATGACGACGACGGAGAACACTGCAGCATCTGTCTGCAGCCGTACGCTGACCGCACCATGATTCCAACATGCTCGCATGAGTTCTGTTTTGAGTGCCTTATCATTTGGACTGGTGCGTCGTGGCCTTACAAATCCTTGCATTCGCTCTTCTGCATCTGACCTTTACGACAGATCAGTCTAGACGATGCCCTCTGTGCTCACAAGACGTCGGAAGCTATCTAATGCACAACATTCGCTCCAAGTACGACTACCAGAAACACTATCTCCCCCCGCTGCGCACTGGCTCGCCTAAGCAAAACGCAACCGCTATCCGCGCGGACGCCCGCAGAAGGGCGGAACGAAGACGAGAAGTGGAGTGGGGAAGGAGAAGGCGGCGAGAAATGGAGGAGGTGGATGAGCTAGAGAGGGCCATTGAGAGACGACGGTGGGTATATCGTAACAAGATGTACGCGAAGGTGAGTACAAAGGACTCTCTGCTCTCGATGCTTTGTCCCCCGCTGTAAATGGACGTCAACACGTGTCCATACCTTTTCGCTCTGCGACATGGGCACACTCTGTTCGTCCTAATTCCAACTCCCGTGTAGCACGTCGCCTCCAACCCCTACACGCGTTACCGGCCATTCCCAACCCCGGCGCAATTCACCGCGTCCGCGGACAACATTTCCCGAGCAACTGTCTTCATTCGCCGTGAGCTGATGGTGTGGGTCGATCTAGACGTGGAGGTTAGTCAGGCCGAGATGCGATTTCGGAGATGACTGTGAGCTGATCCATTCCCTCCAGTTCTTGACAACATTCACGGTATCTCTCATGAAATCCTTAGACATACGCTCAGAGCCCGCTGTCAGGCTTCTCTCCGAATTCTTGGATATGGACGCCGATCCCGGTCACGAACGCGCCAATGCGGAGCACTTCGCTCACGGTATGTTCTAGTCTCCTCAGGATCGTTATTGTCTGAGGCGGTCGACGTATGCGCGCCGCACCAACGCCATGGGGCAAGGTTATATGCCGTACAGGAGCGCTGAACTCTCAGCTTAATTGTCTTGGTCGCTCGCGAACTGCTCTGCGCTATCCGCAGAAGGCTTGGGACGGATATAGTGTTCGTACGCAGTGCGCAAATTGCCATACATATCTCGGGACCTTTGCTCGGATTCCATTCTTCCTCGGGAAGCTGATGGGGCACCCTCGTGCCAATACAATTCAAACCACTTACCACGTTCCTCCTGACACAGAACTCTATTCGTACCTTCGCTCGCCGTACCGTGACCTGGGGGCTTACGATAAGAATGTCCAGGTGAGAAATTACCGACCTATCCGTCCAAGGCCCGTTCAAGCTGACAATTTTCTCGTAGTATGATGTGCCCCCCGACCTTGTCCCTCCAACTACTGCTCGTCACGGCAGTCGATGGCAGTCCCAGTCACGTTCTCCTTCAAGATCGCGACCGGGGTCTGCGGATGGTCATTCGCCGCGTTCCCGACGCCCGCCTAAGGGTCGTGCGCGGTCTCGTGAAAACAATACGCGCCTACAACCGGGCAGATCTTCTCACAGGTCTCCTCGAAGACGAGAAGGAGACAAAGAACGACTGGCCAACCCACATCGAGACCTAGAGGATAACGGCGAAGAACTCATTGGCCCTCATCGTCGCTCTCGATCGCGTGAATCTTACCGACCGGAGCGTCGCTTTGATCGCCGCCGCGCTAGTCGTACCGCTCATAGCAGCCCGTCGAGGTCGCCTGATCGATACGAAGGGAAAGGCAAGCAGCGCGCAGATTATCGACGACAGCGTTCCTCGTCCTCGTCCTCTCCGCGCCAAGGCGATTCTAGGTCTCCCAACGGTGGCGACGATGCCGGCACGCACAGCGTCCTGCAGCCCGCCGGCCGCTCTCGTCCCATACTCCAGGACGAACCTTCCACTTCTGCTCTATCCACTCCCCCTCGCGCCACTCATCTGCCCACTCCGGAGCCAGGGACGTCCCAGGGTGGCTTAGCAGCTCCTCAGGGGGTGCAGAACGATAACGATGGCGCCGCCTCTCGTCCGCCGCTACCGCAAGGTATCGGGCCTTCCTCCCAGCCGACCACCGAGGCCCAACGGGAGCGACCCCCCGCTCGAGCCCCACGAAACGTCTGGCAGACAATGCAGGCTCATCTCTCAGGCGCCGGGAAATCCGCCCGCCCCACCAAGCACCCCCGCGAAGACGCGTCGAGCGCAAACCCCAGCGGTATCCCAGGGCCACCCTCGGAGCCAGTCTCGTCCGCGCAGTCACAAGACCCCGCCCCAGCGGCGCCTGTGCCCGTGTCCCGCGAGTTGCGAGCCCTGGGCCCTGCTCCTGCGGGGGCTCCCGCCCCGGCGGGCCCTTCGCTGCTCTCGCGGCTGTCGGCGCCCGTGCCGGCAGCGTCTGGCTCTGCATCTGCATCTGCGTCTGATTTCTCTGCGCCCGGTCCCCCCGCGCACGGCAATGAGCCCGCCCGGACGCGGGTTGCGGGCGGCGCAAGTCTGGCCGCGCGTGGCGGGCGCGAGGCCGCTGCTCCCGCGGTCCCGCGGCCGTTTGGTGGGGACGACGCGTTCCGGGACGGCGCTGGCGCGGCCTGCGCCGTCGTTCAACCTTCGCGAACTCCAACCACCGCACAGCCCCCTCGCCCCACCGTCGCTCGCGGCGGCGGCCCCGCGGAGGCGAGCACGGGTGCAGACGTCGAAGTGGACAACACGAACGCGAATGGGGCCGGCACGCGGCGCACACGCGACGCGGAGCGGGCAGCTCTGCCAATGCCGTCGACGTCAGGTCAGTCCCTCCCCCTTCCCCCGTGCTTCGTGCTTCCCGCCCGCCGCTCCGCGTGGACAGGGTGCTGATCCCCAGCCTGGAGGTTTCGCGCCCCATACAGGCCCCGCAGCGGCATCAGCAGCGTCACGCCTCCGGCTCGCGCAGAAGCTCGAGCTCGAGAAGCGCAGGCTGATGCGGGCCCCCGCCGCTCCCACCGCTGAGAACGCGCACCCCGGCGGAGGCTCGCGCTCGACGGACGAGGAGGCTACCGACGCGGCGGCGCGCGGGGACGCCGCCGACGCCCCGGCGCCCGAGGCCGCCGCGACGTCGAGCCCGGGGGCAGTCGCAGTCGCGGCGGCGGCGCGCAGGGAAGCTGAGCTCCGGGGCCAGGCACTGCTCCGCGTCCGCCTCGCGGCCGCGAAGAGAGCAGCGGCAGCAGCCGCGCTAGAAGGCGGGACCGTGTCCGAGACGGAGGGCGCGGTGGGGGGACGGGCAGGCACAGGGCGCGGGCGTGTGCCGCCGTCGGGCGAGGGTGGATTTAACAATGGGAGCGGGAACGCAGAGGGCGGGTTTGGGGCGCACGGCGCGCGTGAGAGCGCGCTGAAGAGCAGGCTGCGGGCGCGCGCGGGGAGAAAAGGGTAAGGGATTGGGCGGGTTGATCTACATACAGATGCTCCTTTGTGTGGTCAGTAGGCTACCTAAACCGGGTGGCTATTACTACTTTTCCTGGGGGTTCGGTATGCTAGTGTGCTACAAGTGGCAGGAAATTCGGGGGACCGCGTGCGTGCGTGCGTTCGTGCGTGTTGATAACAGTGACAACAGGCGAGACCGGACGCGGGACAAATAAGGGGTAAAGTACAATACCCTGAGCGTACAGTATAAAACCGGGCGGCGAAAACGAGTGCTGGTTCCATATAAGATGGACGAGAGTCGAGGCGGGATTACGGGGCGCGCGTCTATGGGGTACGGTAGGGAGTGCGATTAGAGAGTGTGTGCTGTAGCAGCTGGCAGCGGCCCGGTGCGGAGAATTAGAGTCGGTGGTACAGTGTAGAGTCCTGGACGTTGACGGAACGTGGTAGGGTTCGTGAGAAGACGTCGAAAAGGATCGTGTGCGGTACAAGTGCGCGAATATACAGAGGAACGCGGGTCCAGAGTCGGGCGGGGCCGTGGCGTCCAGTCGGAGAGAGAGAGAGATAGGGAGGGAGAGATTAACCGAAACGGGGCGAGTGTTCGTCGGAGTCGTAGTGGCGGGGTCGTGCAGGGTGCTCTTGGGGTGCACGTCCTGTCGTGGATCGTACGGGGTCGAAGCGCGTGCGGAAGACAGGAGAGGGTGGGGGGCTCGTGCGGGAGGGGGAGAGGCCCGCAGAGCGCACGGGGAGCACCGTGGAGAGCCGGGGGAGCGCGTCGCCGCCGCCGCGAAACGGCCCGCGGCTCGCGATCGGGGACGAGCCCGAGCCCTCGAACGGCGGCGTGGGCATGTGCGCGGGCGGGTGCGCGGGCGCGGGCGGCGAGCGGCGCGGGGTGTAGGGCGAGAACGCGGGGTCGTCCCACTGCGGCGGCGGCTGCAGCGTGAACGGGGGCGGGATGTTGAGCACCGGGCGGGGGGCGGAGAAGTCGACGCGGGGGAGCGTCCGGCGGCCGTCGTCGAAGCTGCGGGGGCGGCTGCTGGCGTGTGCGGCCGCGCTGGCCTCGAGCGAGCTGATCGACGCGAGGCGGGGGACGCCGCTCGCGCCGGCGCTGGGGGGGCCGACGGGACTCGAGCCCGGCCCGCGCGAGGGCGGGAGGTTGGTGAGGACGGGCGGGAGCGTGAGCGTAAGCTCGGGGCCTTGCTCCGCTACGGGGCGTCCTGAGCGAGGGTGGAACCGCTGCTCGGGCGAGTCCGTCGGCGCGGTGGAGGGGCGCGACATGTACGCCTGCGATCGCCTCGAGTTCCATGCGGGGTCGTCGAAGGTGATGCGCCGCGCGGTCCCGGGGATCCCGGGGCCTGCGAGCTGCGTCGGCGGCAGTCCAGATCTCGCGTATTCCTCGGCGAGATAGGGATCGCGATGGCCGTACGCGAAGCGGTCTGAGCCCGCGCTAGAAGGGGCGCTCGTGGCGCCGTAGGGCATGTCGCTGAGGCCGGCGTGGCTGCGGGGGAAAAAGTCGTAGCTGGAGCCCGGGCGGAACATCGTGGTGGGACTGTGGTCGCTCGCGGTGCCGGGCGGGGCGTTCGTGAAGGGCCCGAACTGGGGAGGGCGGGTGAGGGGAGCGGTGGTTGTGGTGGCTTGCCCTCGGGGCCGGCGGGCCTTCTGTCGCTGGTTCTGTGAAGGGTGACAGATCAGCCCGGGCGGCAACGCTCGAGAATATCACAGGACACTCGCCTGAAACCAGATCTGTGTGCGGCGGGAGCGGGGCGGGGATTAGTGCCATCGGGGGGAGGAGGAGGATCGCGGGACGCACCTGCACTTTGCGCGCGCTCAAGCCAATGGCGCGTCCGACCTCCTCGCGCATCTGCGTGGTGGGGAAGCGAGACTGCAGACGGCGGGGTGGCGCGTGAGACGGGGTGCGGAGAAGAAGCGCACCAAACGCCGAGGGCGGGGGACGTACCTGAGCGAGCAGCGCGTGAAGCACGGCGGCCTGGTGCGGGGTAGTCAGAGTCCGCGTCCGTTTCTTCTTGGGAGGGGGGCCGTCCGTGGCACCTCCGTCAGACGCCTTCGCCTTGCTCGGTTCGCCGCCCTCCATCTCCGTGTCCGCCATATCGCCTTGGGAGGATGAGACGGAAGGGCTCGAGCGCTCACTTTGCTTCCTCTTGCGACGCGTTGTCTCCGGGTCTGAGGAGGCAGTGGCGGCGGCGGCGGCGTCGATGCGGATGGAGGAGGAAGAGGGGCGTTGGGATGCGGTGTGCTCGGAGGGGGGCGGGAGGTCTGAAGGGAGTGTGCGTCGGGGAGGCGGCGAGCCGGTGGGCGGGCGCTGGGGTGGGGTCCGGTGGTGTGTGTCGGGGGGATGAGTGGGAGCAGAAGAGGACGGGTCTGCAGCGTTACGTGACATGTTCATAGAAACCGGACTGAGACAGAGAGCGAGGGAGCGATTACAATCGAAGAGGAGGGGAGCCAGCGTTGCGTTAATTAGTGGGTGACGTCGGAAATTAGGGAGGGGAACCGGGTTGAGTAGGCGCGTCGAAGGGGGTTCAGGCCTCCGGCGGGGCAATGATACAAACAGACCAAGAGGTTCAGCACATTGATCCTGGGGGAGGGAAGGAGAGAGAGTACACCGGACCCGGAGACGGACGCAGACGGAGGAAGGGGAAGGAGCACAAGGAGGACGAGCGCGTGGAAATAACCTGGCGACGAGCCGTGCATGATGACGAGTTGGCGCTGCGACGAAATAGACCCGAAACCGTCGTTGCGGCGAGGTTGCTGCTGCAATATTCCGCCCCGATCCGTCGATAAGTTTCGGGAAACCGTTCAAGCCGTTGCCTCTTCCGGCCAGCCCAGCCCGATCCAGCGGAAGACGCCCGTGGTAAGCCCCCGCCGCGCCCCGAGTGTCGAAAGGCGTCCCGCTGCGCACGCGCCCGGCCACCCCCCGCGCGCCCTCCCAGTCGACCTGTTACCAGGCAGCGGCCGCACATCCGACCGCCCCCAGACGCCCCACGCTGGAAACCCGTACTACGCCCGCATGACGCCGCGACATCGCCCCACGCGCGAACGCGTCCCCGCGTGGCCGCTCGCAGACCCCGGCGACGCGAACCGTGGACTGCGGTGGAGCGGTGACAACTGCCCTGGCAAATGTGCCTTTCCGGGTGGGTGCAGACTGCAGGGCGATCGGTCGTGCGCGTTCGAACGCGCGAGATGCGATCGGCGCGCGGGGGACGCGCGCTCGAATCCCCAACTGCGTAGCCGACGTCGCCAGGCCCCGAAAAAGTCGAATTCATCCGTGGCCGTTGCCGATCGACATCAGCGCGGCCTCCAGGCAACGACGGAGGCCGGCCGCCAGCCCGCCTCGTGCTCCCAGGCTTCTCCCTCGCTTCCCCGTGTGCGCCCCGCGCCCGCGCCAACCGCGCCCGCCGCGCTCTCCCCCCGCAATTTACGGGCGGTATTCCCGAGTCGCAACCCCCGGCAATTGAAGTCAATGAACGCAATGACCCGCCGCCGGACACGCGACGGCGCGCTCGATCGTCCTCGACCTCGACTCTCCCAACCGACGCTGAATCTTTCCGCCCTCCGCGTGGCGGTTACGAGAGCGTAGAATGCCGGTACAGCTGTGGTCGAGCGCCGAGCACGCGGGTGCGCACAAGCTGCTACATGGGGCGGGTCCCCCTTCGTCATGCCTGCTCTACTGCACGCGGCGCACCCCAGCCAGGGCCGTCGTGTGGCTTTCGCCCAGCGGTCCTCCCAAGGTGCCGAGTTTCAGTGCCCCTGATGGCAGTGGGCTCGCCACGCTGGACGCGTGCGCTCCAAAGCGCAGATCCGTGAGACAGAGCTAGTATAGTGCGCCACAAAGGAAGTTCCGCGCGAACTCATTCGACTCGAGAAGAAGGAGCGGACATGTCCCAGCGATCTGATTCCTGGCCTAACGCGTGCCGAGAACATGGCGTGGGGATAGGCGCACCGGAGGGGCTGTGGGAGCTACAACCACACGAATGTGTCCGTCCGATGCTCGCGCGAGCGGGAAAGTTTATTCGCAGTCCTCGGGCACGGCGGTGTCTGGGCAGTAGATTTCGAAGCACCTGTGAGAAGGGAGCGAGGTGAGAACGCATGGCCTTCCAACACAAGAAGTCCATCGCGCCAGCAAACCGTGTACCACGTTCAAGATGGACAGAGTGTTCCACAGCACCGCGCCTGGCGCACGTGCAAAACCGCGATTGGGCAGCAGGGACCGACAATCGATTGGGTTGTGCCAGAGGATGTCTGCGTGACGTACGCGGCACTGCGGATGGATTGGACGCGTCGGCGAAAAGTCTCGCGGATCGATGAAAGACTGTCGAGGTCAGCGTCGTTGACTCATCCGATAATGAGCAAGAGCATGAAGGAGATTAAAAGTCATTTAGCGAGCGGAATGGCTCACGGAACGAAGGGAACGGAGGAATGTTGCTTTCGAACGGCGGATGCGGCCAATTGAGTTGTCGCCCGGGATCGCCGCAGACCTCGACACACCAGCGACGTGCGATCAGGCGGGTCTGCGGATGCTACGGAACGCCGCAAGTGTCGTGCTGGTCGTCGAGCGGGAGGATTGCGGCCAGATTACTTACGTCAAGCCACCCTCCGTGGGAGGCCAAACTCACCCCGCTAAGAGGGCGCTTAAAGAAGCCGCCACACGGGCCGTGCCAGCATTCTTCGGGCGCACAGGCGCCTAGCCTGTTCTTGAGTACTTACGGTCAATGGCTCGCTGCGTAGACATTACACTAGCTTTTGTGGGACAAGACATAGCTCACTGCACAATCTTACTACGCCATCCCAATCCGCATCTCCGTCGTCACACTCCCGATGTGCGGCACGACAACGCACCGTGGCACCATCACGAGTGGGTGGTCCGCCGCGAGTCTGTGACCTTCAGCTTGCCCTCAACAATATCCAGCCCCACGCCATACAGTCACTACACATCGTGCCAGCTTCTGTTTCACACACTACCTGGTGTGCCTAGCAGTGGTATAGGATGTACTTATTGAGGACTGTCATGGCGCATCCACTGCACCACCAGCTCGTGTGCCAAAGCAATAAATAGGCATATAAGTGTTACCTGAGCTCCATCACCCCTCCAGATCACTGGGTATGAGGAGCATATTTTTTGTGAAGTCCTCGTGGGGGCAGGCATGGGCATTACATGTGAGGCACTCGTAAGGTCGTAACACATCGGGGTGGAGGAGAAGAATGTTCAAGATTTTTTGCAACTAAAAAGGTTCGCCAACAACCAGTTTCGAACTCCAGCACCTCCACCCAGACCGACAGCACTACCATTAATCCACCAGGCCATGCTTCATCCTACTTATAGACAATATATATAAGTACTATCTCCACACATTTTGCCGCCGCCACTCCTACTCGGCTCCCCATCCGCTTCGTGTGTTCTATAGTACGTTCTCCTCGCTCCCCTTAGCGGGGTGAGTTTTTATTTCCCCTCCGTGGCAACGTGTCAGCGGGCGTAACAGACAAGAGCAGGGGAGACGCACAAGACGGTGAATGAGAGGTAAGAAGTCGGTGATAGATTGCAGCAGGAAAGGTACCCGCGCTCTGTACCCGCGCAGACCAGCCCCCGTAGCAACAGGGGTGCCTGTGTCACGCGTGACCACGGCAACCCCGACTGCACCCGCCAGCCAGCCACGTGATGGACGCGCTTGTCACAGACGCGTCGCCCGTGTGACGCCCGTCGCTTGCTTTCTTCCGCCACCGCTCGCTCTCGCTTAACCACTCTGCCACGGCTGCAGTCAGCCTCGATGCTCTCGGTCGCCCAGTCGCTCTTCGTGCTGCCCACACAGCCCGCCGTGAAGTGGCTCGCGACGCAGGAGCGCAATCTGAACACGGACCTCTCCTACCCGGACGCCGCCACCGAGACGCCAGAGGAATACGTAGCACGCACTTATCTCCAATTTCTATGGTTACCACAGGTAAGCCACGCTCTTTCTGTTGCCAGTTTCCGTAATTCCTCGGACAGCCTCATATATTCCACACCTTCCACGCGGGGGTGGATTGTCTGGGCTGTTCGCGTGGACGTTGCTCGTGGCCAGCCTCTCCGGAGGGCGCGGGAATGAGGCAGCTCGAACACGAGGTGGGGTCCATGGACAGCTTCTTGCTCTCCGTGTGCCCCATTGATAGCTTTGCCGCTGCAATGAGGCCTCCTTTCCGCATATAATCAGCTTGGAAGCACAATGAGTTCGCCTCGGCCGCCGGACGGCTGGCAGAGAACGCGCCTTTCCGTACGGCACGGCTCTATGACTCAAAGTGAACCTTTTACTTCTGCGAGAATTTCGATAGCGGTGATCGCGAGACTAGACGGACCCACCCGCTTCAGCTCCGATGTCCAGACCGCAGGCGACCTGCCATGACGCACGCCCTCGCGTGCGTCTCCGTCCGCGGGCGCGCGTATCTCGTCTGCGTGCTTTGTGGTGCTCGAGATTCGTTCTGCTTTGCTGCCTTACGTGACCCGAGGGGACACATCACGACCCGGCGGCAGGGTCACAAGTTCTGCGCGCCCGACATCGCGGCCTGACAGAACATTCTTTGCCTTCCGCGGACACGCTAGGCCAGGACGCTGGCCGAGGGCGCACACGCCCGTTTCCCTCGCTCTCATGCGAGATCCGCTCTGGCTCCTCCGCTCTCGGCATGCCGCCTTTTTGCCCTTCCTTCCGTTCTCCGTCTCGCCATTTGCCCAAACGTGCGGCCCCGGGATCGGTCCCCCGTGCGCTGCGAGCTTGACAGGCGACGATGTCTCTGATAGGGTTCCGGACGGGTGCGGCCTCATGGCCCTGCGTTTCCGATTCAGCTTCGGCGTTCTGGGTGGTCCGCGGAGCACCCAGCCCCGGGGCCGCGTACATTGCCTTCTCGACGTCCGGGCTGCCGCCAATTGTCTTTCGCCGCCGGAGAGCGCGCTCGCATGCCTTCACATGCTCGCCCCCCGGCTCGTGTGGCTCGGGCGTCGAACCTTCCACTTTGTGCCCGCCCTCGCGCAGCCGCATCGTGCCCGCTGCGTGCCCGGCCAATCGTTCTCGCCCCGAGCGCCTTCGCGAACGCGGAGCGCACCTCGTTCGGCGGCGGCGTCACCCACCGCGGGCTCGTCGTGGTGTCAGAGCTGAGGGGTGGCCGCAGGGGCCCAAACGGTATTCCCGGATCAGCCCACGCGCTGCTCAAACGCGCTCGAGGCACTCGGGCGGATCGATGGCCCGTGCATTCGAGCGTCGTCCTCTGTTTCCCTCTCCAGGGTGTCCGTCCCATCTCCATCTCGATAGCGTCGAGTCCGAGTCCGAGCCCGAGCCCGCCCGACATATGCGCATGCAGTGACAGGGTCTGGCTTGCCGTAAGCCTCGCAGCGATGGTGCTCGGTCGAGTTGTCTCTCGCTTCTGCATTGGTCTCCAGCCTGAGCTGGAACACATCAGGCGATGCGACGCGCACAGATGCTGACCACGCCGTTTTGCGTTTGCAGTCGATCATGCCGCTGCAGTTCCTCGTGCCCGCGCTCCTGCGCGCGATGCCGGCGGCATCAGCGCCCGCCACGACGCCAATGACGACGGCGGCCGCCGCGGCCGCCGCAGAAGACGGCCCTCTGCACTCGCTGCTCCGGCCGCTGCTGCTCACGCCGCGCGCGACGTCGCAGAAGTACCAGACGCGGATCCCGCAGATCCTCGAGCAGGAGAAGGACGCGGAGGACCCCGAGGAGGAGTACATCGCGTACGCGTACCAGAAGGACAAGGTCGCCGAGGACGAGGACGAGGACGACGGCGCCCCCGCGCACGACGCCGACGCGCACGAGCGGCTCAAGCAAGCCTGGCTCGACAAGTTTGAGAGACGCGAGTGAGTCTCGGTGTTTCCATCGCTTTCTGTTCTCGTCCTCGTGCATGTTCCCGTGCCCTATTGCTGCCTTCAACGAGAGCATGTGCGGTCTATCATTCGAGCATGAGTTGATCCCCCGGTGCCTCGACTCTCGTAGGCCTCCCGGCTCCCGATCATGGTTTCTGGCCTTAACTGACACGGCCACGTGCCTCCCTCTTTCCCCCGGCCCCCGCCCGCCTAGGGTTCAAATCCAAATCCTTCTCCACCTTCTACTCGTATCCGCCTCGGCCCGGCCAGGCGCCCCATCCTCGTCCGCGGAGCCAGCGGAGCCTCTCCTCCTCCCTCTGCCCCCCTCGCTCTCGCCCTCGAAGCCCAGGCGCGCGCGCAAAGACTCGGGCGCCGGCGCCTCGAGGCAAGATGAAGACGGGAACACGAGCAAGAGCAAGAAGAAGAAGGAGCGAAAGCGCGCCCGCGCGTACGAGCCGCCGCCGCCGTCGCTCGCGGACCGGCTCGAGGACTACGTCGACAGGCTCGCGATATGGCAGATGATGCGGAGCATGGACGACGCGCTCCCCGAGCTCGGGTCCGCGTCTCAGACCGGCCAGAGCAAAGCCAAGGGCGAGGGCAACGGCAAAGACAAGCACGGACGCGACTGGATGCAGGCGTTCTACGAGGACGTCGTTGAGCCTCGGTGCGTTCCCCCCTCCCTCTCTCGTCTTGCGCGAGCGCGTTTTCGTTCCCGCTGCCTGCGCCTGCGCTGACTTGGGACTGTGATGGTGGGCGACACTAGCTTCAAAGACACGCTCCCGGAGCTCTGCGCGCTGTTCCGCACGAAGCTATTCCCCGACGCCCCAGGCTCGTCCTCTGACTCGGCCGCGTCCCCGCCGCCGTCCCCGCCGGCGGCCGCGAAGCGCCTGAAGCCCACGTTGTCCCGCTCCAAGTCCAAATCAGCGGTGGCCGCCGCCGCAGACGACGCCGACACCGACGGCAGCAAAGACAAAGACAAAGACGCAAGTCGGGACGGCAGCGAGAACGCCGGCCTCTCGCGCTCGCGCTCGCTCTCGATGTCGCTCGAGCAGGAGCAGCGCGAGCGGTCGCGGTCGCTGAGTGTCGGCCCGGGCGCGCTCAAGCGCGGCGCGGGGGCGGTGTTCGAGGTGACCATGGCGACCAAGTTCGGGAAGGCGCGCGCGAAGCAGAAGCGGCAGCTCGCGCCCTCGACCTCGTCCGCGTCCTTGACGGCGACTGCACCCGCGTCCTCGACCCAGGCCCAGGGCAAGGGCAGGGGCAGGCGTCCGGCGAAAGCGGGCAGCGTGCTCGTCGAGGCGACGCCGACGAAGCCGCGGCAGGGCCTCGCGCGCAACCCGTCGCAGTCACAGTCGCAGGCGCAGGCGCAGCGCACGCACAGTGCGTCGCTGCAGACGCGGCTGCCCGCGCTGTTCGCGGCGGCAGGCGCGAGCGCGAGCGCGTCAAGGCCGGGATCTTCGCAGTCGCTCCCGCGGCCGTCGCAGGGGCGACAGAAGACGTCATCGCACGCGCGCCTCGCGCGCGCTGACAGCCTTGTCATCGACACCGACGAAGATTCGGCCGGGGACGATGGCGACCGCTTCGGTGTGGACGACGACGACGGCGACGACGGCGCGATGGCGCACGCGACGCCAACGCGGTCCCGCGCGCAGGGACGAGAGTCGGCGTCGCAGCCGATGGGCCGGCTGTCGGCCGCGCACGCGCTCGGGGAGTTCGATAGCGACGAGGAGGAATGGAAGTTGGCGGGCTCGCCAACCGTCCTGACGTTTGGCGCCGAGGGGAACGTGTCCGACGACGAGGGCGCGCCGCCGGAGAGCAGCAGCCCTGGCGACCTGGGCGGGTTCGGGGAGGCGGAGATGAGCACGCCGGTGAAGGGACGCCCCACGGTGCTCGTAGGCGAGACACCCACCAAGCCCCGCTAAACGTTACGCTGTACTTCCTTTGCGTGTGTAGAATAGCCTGTTCTTGCTGTGTTCGCCTTTGCCAGTTGTGTGCGCGGCGGGCCGGGAAAGGTCAGATGCCTCGTGGGGGGCTACGTCACTGCACCCGCTCTGCGCCCACCCGGGCTGCAACGGGCCACAGCGGCAGCTTCTCTTCCGACCTCACGACCACCACCAGCCCAACTTCTGCCACGCCACGCACTAGCCCAGACCCGCGTCGACCATGGTGAGCGAGCCGCGCGCCGCTTAACCCCGCCTTCTGGCGACTGATTGCGCGATCTGCAGGCAACCTCTACACCCGCGTCCGCGCAGGACATCCCGCAGGCGACGCTCGACTTCGCGCACCGCATGTTCGACGCCGCGCGCGAGAACGACGCCGAGCTCCTCCTCCAGGCCGTCGACGCCGGCCTGCCCCCGAACCTGACGAACGACAAGGGTGCGTACGAGACCGTCTACCGTCTGCTCCTGGGCGCACGCACGCATTGGCCCGTGTTTAGTCCGTCTTCCCTGGCGATCCTACGCCCGATGTGCTAAGTGCGCGGCCCTGGAGCTGAGCCCGGCCCGACGCACTCGCAGCTCGTCTTCGTCGCGAGCCTGGTCAGTGGTGAAACCCGCGACGCCTGCGCGCGCAGCGAGGTCGTCCAGGGTCGCCCGTCTTTCAAGCTCGTCCGAGCTTCTCATGCCCGGCCGAGTCCGCCCGAGCTGCTGCTGCTGCTGCTGCTGCTACATTCCCGAACGCCAGATCCCGAACGGTTTGAACAGCAAAAGTCTGATCACGATCGCTCACCGCCGATCCGCCCGCAGGAAACACGCTGCTCATGCTCGCCGCCTACAACGGGCACGCCCCGCTCGTCTCGGGCCTCTTGGCGCGCGGCGCCGACGGCGGCCGCGCCAACGACCAGGGCCAGTCCCCGCTCGCCGGCGCCGTCTTCAAGGGCCACGCCGACGTCGTCCGCGTGCTCGTCGCCGGCGGCGTCGACCCCCGCGCCGGCACGCCCACCGCGATCCAGACCGCGCGCCTGTTCAAGAGGGACGACCTGCTCGCGCTCATGGGCGCGACCGAGGAGGACATGAAGGAGCCTGTGCCCGCCGTGCCCGGGCCGCCGCCGCACTGAACGTTGAGGGAGGGGGCGGAAGGGGGCCTTCGGATTACATAGTGTTAGCAGTTGCGATTACAGCGAGATGTACGAAGCTACGATGTACGATGTACGGATGGACACAAATGCGGGCATGATGGTAGTATGTTCCAGAGACAGAGAGACCAGAAAGCACCCCGTCCTCACGTCAACGGCCGACGCCTAGCTCCCTCCCGAGTTCCTTCAAACACTCCTTGACGAGGCTGCGCGCGTCGAACTCCGCCGCGGGCCCCTCCGTCCCTTCCTGTGCTCTTCTGCTGGGATCACCGCTTGATGCGCGACCCGCGGCCCACGCCGTCGGAGGCTTGCGCGGGATCGCCACGATCTCGCACAGGACGGGGTAGAAGTGGAAGAGGTGTGCCTTGGTCGACCGCCGCACCGCGTCGGCGACCAACGCCGACGGCGCGAGCGACTGGTCGATCCCTGCGAGCCAAACGCCGTTAGTTAGACCGCGCTCATCCATCAACGGCGGTCTAGGTTTGGGTACACTCACCGGGTTGTTCCACCGCATGCTCTGACGGCGAGTCTGAGAGCGCCGCCCACATCGAACCGGGCCACAGACGGAGATCAAGCAGTTTTCGAAGGACATATAGGAGCTCTTCTTCGCGCGCTCTGAACGAGGATCTTGGTTTCAGTCGGGCGCGCCGAGATGACGGTAGAGACGCTTACCTTGGGAAGGGTAGATTGCCCCGCAGCGACTCGTCGGCGACGTAGCTGACGAGAGTCATGCGACAACGCTCCAGGAGGGAGGGTATGCTCAGGGCCGCAATCCTCCGTCTCGCAGGTATCTGGTCTGCAAAAGAGGGATCAATGGGTTAGCATACAGTCGCGCAGCTAAGAATGTCCGAATACTCTACCTTTCGAGGTGTCCGAGCAGATGAGGAACAACAGGTCGAAGCACCAGTACGAGAACCGCTCCCGAGGAAGGAAGTGGCCGGTGCTTGTGGTGCCCTCCGCAGCTCCGTTCACCCCAAACGTGTTCGTCCTCTCGCCACCCCTCGGCGACGGGCTCTTGCTCGTGCGGTTCCCCCCACGCACGAAGTCCTCGGGCAGCGACGACGGCGAGGGCGGCAGGTCGTCGTCGGTCGTGCGCAGCCGGCTACCCTGCTGCAGGACACGCGCGAGCTGCGAGACGACGTAGTCGGGTACAGTGGACTCCCCGAGGTACGGGACCACATCGATCTCGAGCGATGCGACGAGCGAGAGGTCGAAGTTCTCCTCTGCCTCCTGCGCGTCGAGCGAGAACCCCTCGATGGCAGAACTATAACGCGACACGCGTCAGCATCGCGCCCCGGTCGGGCACGCGGCCGGTGCGAAACGGAGCTTACCAGTCAGCGAGGATGCCACCGCGGTAAGCGTCCACGACCTGGCGCCAGATGCCTTCGACCCTGTCCGCGGGGATGTCTGTGCGGTGCAGATGTCAGAGAAGCTCTTAGGGCCGCCGGCGAGGCGGATGCAGACGCACCGCTCCGCAGCGCGCGCATCTGCGCGCCGCATTCCTTCACGATGCGGAGGAAGCTCGTCGTCGCCGTCTTCCACAGCGGCTCGTCCTTGCCGAACTTGGACGGCGCGGGGCACTCGTACTTCATCTTGATTGGAATGGAATACGCCTGTCGTCGCTGGTGTTAGCCTGTGGGCGCAGAGGGGAGGCAATCAGGCACGCACCGAGAAGATGGCCTCGACCGTCCCATCCGCAAAAATCGCTGCATGATCCTTGACCTTCAGGAAGAGCTCGACGAGCATCGGCATCGTTTTCTTCGACAGCGCGATGTACGTGACTCGGTGCGGGCCAGTCCGCGACGGCTTCGTGGCCGAGGGCAGGCCGCTCGGGAGCGGCGTCTGCACGTCAAACGCGGCGAGGAAGGGAAGCGTGGCGTATTCGGAAAGGTCGCGGAGCACGAGCGAGACGACGCCCGGTGCGGTGAGCTCGATGCCGTTCACTGCTTCCATCACGACCGCCTGTTACCGCACCGATGGGCGTCAGCAGAACACGCAGCACGAGCGTGGGTGTGTAACGCACCTGCACAGGGTTGAGCTGGTCGATGTCCGGTCGGAAGTCGGGCGAGCTTGAGTACGTCAGGACACCTAGGAACAGCTCAACATTAGACAGGCTACTCTCGAACGCAAATACCACAGCACACCTTTTAGGATTGTCATGAGGCGAGTGAGGCGTTCAAGCGGCCACTCGCGGTCCTCGAGTTGTCGGCCGACGCTTCTCGTGCACCGGATAACGTCCACGTACGCCATTAAGCTCTCTTGGGTCAAGGGTTGGCTCATCAGCGCAGCCAGCGACCCGGACGACGCATCTTTGGCGTGGGGAGTCGTTTCATCGGCCTCGGCGACGGCGCTGCCCATGGCGTCGCACGCGCGCCAGGCGATCTCGAGCGCCTCCTGCGTCCGGTCCTTGAGGTCGTCCGCCGCAGAGCACGCCTTGATCGCCTTCTCAAGGCAGCGCAGCGCCGGGGCGGTGATCGTCCTGCTGTCGCGCACCCAAGAGTCCTGGATGTGGCCTACGAATACCCCCCACGCCTTGACGAACGAATCGAGACGCATGATCTTGCTCGTGAGGAAATCGTGGAAGATCGAGCCGATCGACTGCAGCGCAAGCACCTTGGACTCGTCCCACTGTTCGTCTACGCGCGGCGCAGGCGAAGCGGGCTCATTGTGCGCAGACTGGTGACGCCGGATGGACGCGGTGATGGAGTCGAGGAGCGGGAAGGTGACTTTCCAGATGCATTCGTCCCAGGTCTCGAGGCTGAGCGTGGCGCCGTACAGCTGCAGGGTGCGGAACAGCGTCTGAATCGCCCCGACACGGACTTCGGGTCGGCCGTCGGTACAGAGGCCGAGGACCTCAAGCAGGAGGAACATCCACAGGGTGCTGTACTCGGGCTCCTTGGTTTCGTCCCGCCGTTTCGCCTGGATGGAGTCCGATACACCCCAGAGAAGACTCTCGGCAGCGTTGAGGGCGATATTCGTGTCCGACTGGCGTCCGAAGAGTCCCAGGGTACTGATGCATAGGCGGAGGTGCTCTGGGGACAGCTGCGACAGCTCATCGCAGACGAGGGTAAGCGACTGGAACGCAATCTTCACGAGCGACGTGTGCCCCTTCTCCGACAAATACAGGAGCGGCGGCGGGCGGCCCTTCCCAAGCTCCGTCATGGACGGTGACGGGGTGGGTGGCATCGAGGGTGCGAGCGCGGCCTTGCATACGCTCCCGAGCATCTCGAAGATTGTCTCCCAGCCGACGACGAGGGTGTGTCCCGAGGACTGAAGAATTTGGTGCAGCGTCTCGAGTCCCATACGGCGGAGCTCAATCGTCGTGCTGTTCCCAGCGGCGCTGGGCTCTGGGATGACCTGCAGGGCAAGGACGTCGAGGACACGGCGCTGGACGACAGGCTGAAGCTCAGTCGACGACGTGATGTTGCGCGGGACGACGACCAGGATGTCGTCGAGCACCTTCGCAGCCTGGACGCGGATCGTTGGGGGTGCGTGTGGGTGTCGGATGACGGAAAGCAGGTGTTGGGTGATGGTATCCCACGCGATCTCTGGTGATCGGTAGATGAGGCGATGGATGTTGAGCATCGAGACCCCGCCAAGCTTCGCAATACCAAAGTCCCCAGATCGCTGTACAACGAGTTCGTCAGTCGATAGACCATCCCATGCGTATTGGAACGTACCAAAGTGCGAGGCAAGTGAATCCCGCTGACCCTCCTTCGATGCGCAGTCGCATCTCCCGTCAGGGGCGGCGACAGCAACGCACTCGCCCCCGATCCATCCAGCTCGTCCGTCGACTCGTTCTCCGGTATCACTGAGTCACTCTGCATCCCCACCATCGCCGCGCTCAGCTTACACAGCGCGCGCACAAAGTCGGAGAACGCCGGGTCCTCGAGGTTCTTCGAAGCGTCGAACAGCCGCTGCATCGCGTGCTGCAGACTATCGGGGTCCAGGTCCGCCAACAAGGGATGACGGCTTGCCGCGGTGCTCCCGCTCGTGGAAGGAGAGATGTTCGATCCGGGGCCGATCGTGTTGCGCTTGCTCGGGGCGGGACGCGCACCCTTGAGGGTGAGGACGTAATCGGCGTTCTGGAGGGCCTCGAGTATGTCGAACCAACTTTCCCCAAGGCTGCCGGCGAGAAATAGGGCACTTGCGACGAGGACCTTGAGACAGGCCATGTTTCGCTCCGACAGTCCGGGAGACTGCGTGCCCGAATTTCCAGGAAGCCCTGGGATCGAGACGCCCAAGGAGTCGGAAATCGCGTGCGCGGTCGAGCGCGGGGTGCTGGGCTCGAGGGATGCGTAGGAGTCGATGCTCGAGACGACGCGGGAGGGGATGGCGAGGCGGGAGAGGGAGGTGAAGAAGGCATCCCGTGGGGTCGTGAGACCGAGCATGCCCGACACAGTCGTGAGGGCCTGGTAGGATGCGAGGACGTCGACAAAAAGCTCGTCGGAAAGGTTGGTAGAGATGAGGAAGGAGAGCGCGGCGAGCAGTGCGGGCCATCCGGACTCGACCATGCTGTGCACGGTGCGCAGAGCGTGTGTGTTTGGCTGGTCTTGGGGCAGGGTCGAGAGATCGAGAGCGGGAGGAGCGCGCATGACGGGGTCACCGGCGGTGCGCGGTTTCTGGACCATGATGGAGTTGTATAGCGGGGCCGTGAAGTTGGCAAATCCTTCGCAGAGCGAGACGAGGCATTGCACTCCAAGAAGGTAGAGGTAGGCCTCGGGGATGGGTGGTGAGTCGGCTTTGTCGAGTTGATCGATGCTGGTGCAGTCGTTAGTAATCGCTCGTAACGAGAAGGAGGCTACTCACCACTGCAGCTTCATCGCGGAAGTCTGCACGCTCAACCCTGCTTCGCTCGTCATCATGTTCGCGACTCCAGTGACTGTTGCAGTTGCCGCGCTCGCGACCATACCCGCTACACCGCCAACGTCCAGTCCGTATGCGCCATCGGTCGATACGCCTACTCCGAACATTTGTTGGCCAACGCCTAGAACTGCCGGGCGCTCTGTCACAAGGCGCTTGAGGGCGGTGATGAGCTGGGTGAACACTTTCGATCCGCCTTCCTCGGAGTCGTATCTTTCCCACACATCGCGCATGAGCTCTGCGTCGCTGCACAATCTGCAAGGAGGTGAGAAAATGGTGGCGAAAGCTGTGTAGAAGACGTACCCACGCATAATCTCCATAGCGAGAACCCGCATCCACAAGGGGCGGACGGTATGCCCCGGCGAGGAGTCTGCAGGGTCTGAGTCACCGCTCTCCGAGCTGATAATGCGGATGAGAAGCATCAGGAAAACCTCCGCCTCGGTCAGGAGCTCGACGGAGAACTGCTTGAGCAATATAAAGACCACGCGTGTCGATCGTAATGTGAGGGGAAAGTTGGGGCGGTCCGATAATGATTTATGCACCAAAGGACATAGATGGTGCTGGAGCAGAAGAAGCAGCTCCGAGTGCTGTTAAAAGCGTCAACATACAAGTAACCGCCTCATGTAGACGTTGACGAACGCACCTTGCGGAATAAGTCATGGTAGTTGGTCAGCACGCTCTCGATAAGCTCCAGCGCAAACGTCTTCCGGAGCGACTCAAGATTCAGGAAACGGGGCTCCTCCGAGTTGGCGAGTAGACACAGGTCTTCAAAAACTGCGTAAGCGTCCCAAGCAGATGGACCGAGTTTCGTGGTGGCGCCACTGGGTAGTACGGTCTCGATCTTGTCGCTTTCTGAGAGTTCGTCCCGGCGATCCTCGTCGACAACCTTGTCTACCACGAACATAACAAGCTGGCGCAGAGTCGCTGCCGCGGTAGATGATACGACCGCTATTCGTGACTCTTGAAGCCGGAAGCAGAGTAGAAGGGCCTAGACCGAACCGCATCGTCAGCATACATGACCCAGCGCGGAGCGCGTGGAAGCCGAGGGCACTCACATCTCCGAGCAGCTGCCCATGCACCGAAGGGAAGTTGGTGGTGAGAGACAGGAGAGTCTGTAGGATGCGGAGTTGGATGTCGACGCCTTGGTTAATGCAGTCGCTCATTGTGGAGACGATGAGGGGAACGGCGGATTGTGGCACGGCTTTGAGCGCGATGAGGCGTTGAAGGGAGCCGAGCGAGATGGCAACGACCTTTGCGTTCTTAGTCGCGCAGCCCATGAATACGGGTCTGAGGAGGTCATCGGACTGAGGTCCATCTGGGGAGCATTCCGTGAGCTTTTCGAGGGGGACAGAGGGGTCTTGGGCCCATAATGCGCATGCGTAAGGAAGTTCTGAGACTCACCTGAAGCCAAGTTCGCCGTCGCCTGCTCTGGCGAAGATCGAAGGATGGCAAGCGACTTCTCCGCGGCCTCGCGCACATCCGGGTGTTTACGCCGTGTCTCGCTAGCGAGAGACTGTGGTAAACCCACAATTAGATGGCAGGCGCATACAGTCTGGTTGAGTGCGCACCTGGAGTTCCGTGACCAAGAACGCCAGAGAACTCATCGTGAATGTGGCGCGAGACGCGAGTGCTTCAAATCGGTAGATTTATATGCGCGCGGTGTATGCGCGGCCAGAGTGCAGCAGGTCGCAGCCCGGAAGAGTACAAGTAGGAGAGTACAGGCCACGGAGCAGACAACGAAGGACGCGAGGGAGACAGAGATGGTTGGAGACGCAGGTAGTGGTCGAGGACCAGGTCGGAGGATCGCAAAGCCGTGGCCGCAGGCCGCTGAATGACGCGCTGCGCGCGGCGAGCGCAAGTGTGGCACTACTCACTGCGGCCCGGCGCACGCCGTACTTCTCTCCCTCCATGAGTCCATCTCGACTGCACCATATCCACTCGTTCTTCGCGTCGCCTGTGAGACTTCATAATAGCACTCAATACCAGGTGCGATGAGGTGTTCTCGGCTGTTTGTACGCTGAGCTCATACCAACAGCCTGCCCAGGACGCGTGAAAGACGCGTCGCGACTCAATTACTCGCGCCTTCTGAAGAACAACTCTACAGGAAGGTCCGAGCGAACTTAGAACACAGAAAAATTTGGGGCCGAAAAACGTGCGAAATGTGGGGTGCGCATTGGTGTGCACGACTTCTACATCTTGGGCCTATGTCTTACAGCCTCTTTTCCTAGCACGCGGGAAACGGCCTACAATTGGTTTCGATGGTCCCACCAAGCATCTCCAAGGAGGAATAAGCTCGTGCACATTCTGGGTCGGCGGGAATACGAACTTAAACCCGAACTTCTTTGTCGATCTGGGCGGAGCAATGAAGTGCAAAGGAGCCACCCTGTCCAATGTGTATGTGGGGGGCCCCGGTGTGGACGAAGAAGGGGTTGTGGTCGGTCAACTACTGGTTGAGGGGAAGAGGGTGAGTGCTATCTCTATTCATAAGTTTACACGGGAGACAAAGGGTGTAGACGATGCTCCCTCGTACACTGTTTGGATAGGATGCAAGGGATGATCGCCCGTGTACCAAATTGATGCGACACAGAGCATCCCACGAATCCCGTCTCCGTGAAGGATCCCCGGGGTACGAGCGTTGTTTCGAGCCTCAACAGGGCCTCTTCTGCAGCCATTTTACCTCGCCTTTTCCGCATTGAGCACACATTTCTATAATCTCGGGGGTGTTCCAGCGGTATATCGCAATCGTAGCTCTAACTCCTGCCTCTCTTATCAGGTCCCCCTATTATTTGCAGAGTCTCTATGTAGGCGATGCACGCAAGCACTGCATTCCTCTAACAGGCGTGTTGCCGGATAATGAGCTAGTGAGTGGTTCCCTGGTGTCCCGTGTATCATGATTCGACACCAGCTTTTCCTAACTGACGAGCACCAATACTTATTGCTACGCTCTTCTCACAAGTTATCTTCGAGCCGACACGTTGACGCGGTCGCGGACCAGAAGTAAGCACATGGTCCCAAGCATCAGGCAGATCCCTCGCGCATGATCTTGTGTCCTCGTGGCCTTCGGTAGACATCACCCGAGGCGTACATGGACAACACGAGGGAAGCCATGTTGAGGAAGAAGTCGTAGGCACAGTTCCAAGCCTGTGCCGGCGATCTTCTGTGGTCAGATGCAAGATTTAGAAGCTCCTTTGTCATCCAGGGCGCAACGCTTCTATGATCTCGGCCCATTGGCATATAAAGCACGGCTCCATAGGAAGTATTCGTCCGGGCCATCATGAGATTCCGAATCATCGCATCAATACTCTCGTATGCGGCTTTCGTATTTGCTGTTCCCAACCCGTTGCCCGGAAGCTGTGCGTGTCCACTTCCTCGACATACTCCACTTCGCTAACGTACATATCGTTGTTCTAGCCGAAGTCGTAGTCCGCGACCCCGCCATCTTCTACAACTCAGATAGCAAGGTTAGTCGTGCATGTCATACATCCCGCACGTTGTTTATTCATATCTAGTCCGACAGAAATACTTCGTGTTTTCGACCGATGAGAACATCAAGATTTTCACCTCGACGTCGTTGACAGGGTGAGTGCGGACCTTTCCAGGGCAAAGACACGTTTTGACTTGGGATGCCTTAGTCCTTGGACTCGAAATGGCTCTGTACTGCCGGATTGCTCAGTCATTCAACTTGCTGGTAACTGTAGCCTTTGGGCGCCTGACATCAACTTCGTCAACGGCCAATATGTCCTATATTACTCCGTGTCGTCTCTCGGAAGCCAGAATTCCGCAATCGGTCTTGCGACGAGCCCTTCTATGGAACTTGGGACCTGGACGGACCATGGGGCTGTGATCACATCCCAGACGGGGGACGTTTACAACGCTAGTGTGTGGTCATCCTATCCCTTTGCATGCTTTTGGCGCTGACGCGTGAATGTCCTCAGTTGACCCGAACCTCCTTGTCGCATCCGACGGTACCTTTCATCTCAGCTTTGGTTCTTACTGGCAGTGTGTCTTCCAAGTTCCCTTGTCTAACGTCTCTACACCGGCTTCGGTAGGTTTGATCTTGTGACGTTATATGGTCGCTTTCTCACTTCCCGATCACGCGTTACTCGTCAGTCGACTCCTGGCACGCATCTCGTGGGCTACGATGGGCGGCAAGCTGAAGGCGGTTTCACCTACAAACCCGCCGGCTCACCGTACTACTTCGAAACCTTCTCCGACGGCATCACGATCCTTCCAGGCGTGCGCCCTCATCCCCCTCCCTCTCGAGCGCTCGCTGACACCTCCTTCCCCAGGCAACGACCCGCCCCGCCCCCGGCGACGAGTACAAGGTCCGCGTCGGGCGCGGGACGAACCCCTCCGGCCCGTTCGTCGACCAGCTCGGGAACGACATCACGCTCGACGTCGCGCCGCCCACGGGCCCGACCGGGACGCTCGTCCTCGGCTCGCACGATAACGTGTACGCGCCGGGCGGGCAGAGCTTCTTCTTCGACCCGGTCAGCGGCCGGGACGTGATCGCATACCACTACGTGCCCGACGACGCGTTCGGCGGCCCGTCGTACCTCGGCCTCAACTTCGTCGACTTCTCGTCGGGGTGGCCGGTGCTTGTCGACTGAGGCGCGAGAAGAATGGGAGACTTCTGATGATCTGGGACTTGCTTGTATGTACGCACTCGGACTTCGTGGAAATGTGATGACCAGGGTTACGGACCCTTTCGCTCGCGGGAGAACCCCCATTTTGAAGCACACGGAAGAGGAGGACGTCTGAACCCGAAGTCAGTCACAGCCCTGCACTGTGCGATGCAGCCGCGCGCTCCGATCGACCAGGAATTATGCGGCGGAAGAAAAGATCGTGTGCTAGGAGCGGGAGAGGTAGAGTACATAGAATACATGGTTGCATAACATAGGCATACAGACATAGGCATCGAACCATAACTCATGGAGCGCTAAGCTAACATGGCGTGTCACGAAGAAAGCCCACTCAGCTAGTGAAAGACCCACTCGCTGGAGCGGGGGAGTACGCCCCCCAGGGGTAGTACTGGCTCTGCTGCAATGCTCCTGCGGCCTGCGCGTGCTCCTGCACTTGCGCCTGCACCCGCAGCGCATGGTTCCACCCGTGCGTCCACTCCTCGGGTGTCTGCTGTAGGTACGCATGCGCGTGACCCTGTTGCTGTTGCGCTCGCTGTTGCGCTTGCGTCTCCGGCGACGGGAGATGCGCCTGCTGCTGCACGTTGTGCACGTACTGCGCCTGAGGTTGCACGTACAGCTGCTGCTGCTGCTGCTGCTGCTGCTGCTGCAAGTACGGCTGCTGCCGCGAGTGTACCACCGGCCGCGAGACCACCAACGCCTGCGAGTGTACCAGCCGCTGCGAGACCACCAACGCCCGCTCGGGCACCAGCGTCTGCGAGGACACCAACGCCTGCGAGGGCACCAGCCGCTGCCCGTACACCAGCTGCGCGCCCGCCGCGCGCGCCTCCTCCACCCTCCGCATCGTGGCCCTCAAGCGGTCCTTCTGCCGCCCCATCTCCGTCTCCGCGTCGCCCCACCCGATCGCCCAGCACGCGCGCTCGAGCTCGCGCTCGACGTCCGCAGCGGTCCGCCCCTCGGGCGCGAGCTTGCGGAGGAGGACGACGGCGTCGGCGGGGTCGTCCTTCCGGAAGCGCTCGATCTTGAGCGCCAGCGCCCACGCGCGCGGGACGGCGATGAGGAGGAGGTGCGCGGTCGAGAAGAGGGAGTTGAAGGCGCGGTTCCCCGGCGAGGTGGTGGCGGTGTAGATGTGGTCGACGAGGAGTCGATCGCCATAGGGGCTGGATGGACCGCGGAGCGCGTCAGCACGCTGCAGGATGCGGGGAGAAGAGGGAGAGGGAAGAGGGGAGGGAAGGTAACGCACTCGCGCCGGCCGCGGAGGGCCGCATCGTCCGCGTTCATCCAGTCCGCGCCGACGGCGCCGATCCCGTACTGGGATGCGAGCTGCGCGACGCGCGTGATGCAGGCCTTGAGGAGGTCGAACGCTTCGACGTAGGAGAAGTGCGGGCCGTACACGACGATATTGACGTCGCGCGTCCACTGGCGGGCGTCACGGAGGCCCTCGAGCACGAGGGGAGCCCCGCCGTGCGTGACGAGGAGGACGGGACCGCAGAAAGCTTTGGTGCGCCGAATCTCGTCCGAAAGCATGGTGAGGAGGCTGAGTAGGAGGGGTCTGTTGAGGAAGATCTCGTTATAAGCCGGGGGCATGTGAGGCGCCAGTGCGACGGGGAGAGACGCCGGTGTGGCGGGGAGAGACCGGTCCTGGAGGTACGAGTGGTTCTGCATGGAAGTGGTATTGTGAAATGCCCGGTCAACGGGAGGAAGAATGGGAGAATGGGAGGAAGGTGCTTTGGGCGTCGCAGCTGGTATGCGAGTTTGGCTCTCAGAGGCTGACGTTGTGAAACCGCCCGCTGCACACGCTGACGGCGCGAGGATGTGACAATGAATGAAGTGCTGCTTTAAGACCTGTCACAAAGTGGCGTTGCTGCGCTCCGGTAATTATCCAAGGGCCACTCTACCTCGTAGTTCGGGTATCCAGAAACAAAGAATACCTGGCGCCGTTCATAAATCCCATGCGGATAGCGTGTGGAGATAGCAATTGAAGGGGCAAAAGATAAGACGCTAATGGATGCATTAATAGCGACCCTGGCGAGTCGAACAGCATCGATAATAACCCACCTCTAAGTGCGCGAGCCTCTACACAGCGCGGATCGGTGCGTCCGGTACGCAGATAATCATGACGTCATGGGTTCTCCGACGCTTCGTCTACTCGCCTTGCGCCCCGCCCGCTGAAGCGTCCCCTGCTACCTCATCAGGATGGCGCTTGCGCCACCGCCCGAGGCCGCTCTCGAATGCGCGGTCGTTGACGCCGCTCGTGATCAACGAGAATGTGACACCTACGCCCGTTAGAGTCAGTCTAGAGACGCTACGAAATCCGGGGGAAAACGCGCACCAAGAGACTCGACTTCCCTGTTCCGCGACTCGTCGTCGAAGAACAGCTGCGGGTGCGGATTTAGTCAGCGGGGAGGATACTCAAAGGAAGGGAGGAAGGGGAGGAAGAATGAGAGGGCAGACCATCTCGGAATAGGGAATTCCCGTCTTCTTGTGCACCTCTTTGAAGTGTTTGAGCTTCGACCCTACGCCGGATATTCCGAGATCCGATTAGCCGTTAGCCACTGTGCTTACAACTGGATGGATGGACGGATGGGCACCGGGATAGATCTCGAGCTGATCGAAAAACTCGATTGCAGGTGTTGGAGCCTCGTGCTTGTGCCCTGCTGCAGGCGGGACGAGCAAGAGTCTCAGCGCTCTCCGCGCGCTGGTAGGGGTCAGCGGTGCTGGAGGCGCAGTGAAAAACAGTGTACGAACAGGTCAGGCGTGTGCGTACGAGAGCAGGCGGCGATGACGACCCCGGCCTCCTTCAAGCGGTGGAGGATCTCGGGCACGTCGCGGTAAAACGATATCTTCTTGTCATATCTGGAGAGTGTCCGTTGTCAGCGGAGCCAAAGAGCGTCGGTGGAGATGCACATGTACTTGTCTCGGAGTTCATTAACGGTATCCCCGACGCGGGTTATGGGTGCTGACCGCCGGGTTAGTCTTGATCTTCGCGGGCGATCGTCGACACGCAGATCAGTTGTAACATACGATTTACGTGTGTGTCGATCCAGAGATCCCAGAGGGTGTAGCTGTAGTAGGATGCGACGCGTCAGCAGATCTGGAAAGGGATCCGTACTAAGTGGATAGATGCCCACATACTCAAGGTCAAAGGCAACTAGTTGAGGGAGTCTGCTGGTCATATTATATCGCGATGACACAAGGTGACGTTAGTCAGTACGACTTGGAGGATGGTGGTGGTGCGGAGGCAAGGTCCGGAAGCGGAGCGGTGTTCGGGGGTCGTTGCATGGACTGAGAGTTGGCGTCTACGGGCGTCTGTTGTCATCCATGGCCACATGGTCGACCACACACAGCGCTCTTTCTTCGACGACACAGACGAATCCCACGTTCACAAACAGCGGCCTTCGTGTGCTCTCGGCGCGCACAGTAGGGTACTCATCACCGCTCTCTGAGATCAACTATTATCGTCGGAGGCTGGAACCCCATGGGACTAATCCGACATGCCAATCTACGAAGCTGTAATGGTTCACGTTAAATTATAAACCTTACAACCCGGTGGGGACGAGCCTGAGCGGCATTCTGTGGTTTTTGGTCTCTGTGATGACTGGGAAAGCGGATTGAGGGAACATGAGTAACCCAAAGACTTGATTTGAGTGTGTGATCTGGAACTACTTGTGTTTCGGAACGGTTAAGTTGGTCGCGCGTACACGCAACTCACATGAATGGCGAGATGGGATCGTGAGCGGAGTGCGCTGGGGTTATGACGATGGTCCGCGTTGTGTGGTGTCACCATTCGATCTCCCGCAACTCGCGTCCATCTCCGAGTCGTGTGTATGACGTAGGTGAGGTGGGTGGGATGTGATATGAAGCCGGATGTTCAACGTCAACCACGGATCAGCTCACCGCCCACCATCTCCAAAACGCTGCATAACATGGCCGACAATTTGGAAGAGGAACAGAGTGTCTCGTGAGTGGACCGTTCACGAATACACCAGTGTACCAATCTGCCGATCTAGCTGGCGTTGGGGAGGAGGAAACGCCGAGGGAACCGTCGATGAGATCGTCGAAGAGGGAAAGGCACAGGTTACTAGCAACAAGGTTAGTAGGTGCTGGTATCTCTTTGGGACAGGTTATTCACAGAGCATTGCGTTTGTACAATCAGGGGAACACGGTGACTCGCAATGCCAAGGAAGGTGATCCTGCCGTGAAGATTAGGCGCAAGGGAGTGAGTACAGCCATGTGTTTCCACTAGTTAAAAAGCTGATCCTTTATGCCAGAATGACGTGGTTAAGCTGGCCCACGAGCTGAACGAAGTGAAAGAAGCGGATTGAAGTCAGATTGAGCTCACACGAGACGGCTCGAATGTAGACTTTCTTCATCGCTGGGCTACGTGGGCTTCGAGGATTTTATGTGTAAAAAGCCACCAAATTTCTGCATTTTTTTTCCTTCTGCACCAGTCATTGAGCGAACATAATGACGGTGGAGGAAGAGCATAAGTAATTGCCTGGCAGTGGCTTGGCGGCTAAAATCGGAAGCAAGGACCAATCACGTGAGTGTTGGATCAGACGAGGCTCGACAACCGGAGTGCGATTGCTCATTCATTCATCGTCTTGACTCTAGGCCCAGTCCTTAAACGCTCTCTGGCCTCATGGCACATACATCTCGCATCAGACAGTCCACCACTTCGTGCAGGGTTCTCTTGCAACGGGCATGTATGCGCCACGTATTGGCACAGGTATATTATCCTGTTTCTGCGCTAACTTCAAACGATACTCAAGGCTTCCCAGAACACCTCGCCCACTCGCGTGACCGCGCAACCAAGCTCAGGATCATTCTCAGCGACTTTGTGATGATATCGCTCAAGACTATCTACGCTGGCGAGGCCTCGTCAAACGCACCAAGCTCCCTCGGAGGCATTGGTGTCAAGTTGCTCAACTTCGCTCCTGGTGCTCGGCCGAGAAACAGCGAAGTCACTTCCGGAATTCGTGCGAGTGCCTACCGGTATAGGACAGGCTTGGCAGGGTAGAGGTCTGTGTCCCCGAGCGCAGCGGAAATAGGCATCTGGATGTGTTCCTTTGATCGACGATGGTGAGTGCTCCTATGGCTGTTTGAACTGCATGTTGGGAGTGGCGCAAGAGCCTGGAAGCTTGAGTACGATCGTGGGCTGGTTGGGCACAGGCTGGAAGGACTTCCTGTCGACTGGTCGTGCTGGAGCCTTGCGCTGTAGGCGAAGGTGAGCCGCGTCTGTCGTAGACGATGGGATACCTGTGCATTTCCTTTATAGCCCTCGGATGGTATACATATGCATGGTCACTAAGCGGGTTGTACAGTAGCGTCAAGGAACGTGCAAGAACGCGCACACCACGGTCAGGCCTGGGCCTGCCGGGCGGGGTACATCAACGAGTCGATCCATCTGTACAACCCCTCCCACTGGTGCTCCCGGAACACCGCCCCGACATATCGCTCAAACAGGATCCGCTTCTCCTGAGCATCCCAAACAGCCACCCATGTGAGTGCGAGTGCCTCTGATCACGCACGCAAGAAGTGCTCACGTGTGGGTTGTTCAGGTCGACGCCGTTCGCGCCGCGGACGTAGTTCAGCCAGCCGTACGCGTCGACCCACCTCACGACGGAGGGCTGGATGTTCAGCTGGACGTGTTGCTGGAACGATGGATTCAGGTGCGGCGCCGTACGTCCCAGGCGGCGCAAGGGACTCACGTTTATCTGGTCCCCAGTCATCTGCGGGTAGTGCGCGTGGACTATCGCCGAATAGACCGCGACGAGCATCGACGCGCCGAGCACGTTCAGGCGCGGGCCGCCCCCGTGCTGGCCAACGAGGGGCACGTTTGCCGGCGCGGCGGAGCGGTGGATGAAGACGTCGAGGTTGCCGTCGGTGGACAGCTGCGGTGCTACGGGAAGCCGCGCTCCGTTCATGATTCGTGAAGAAGGGGATAAGAGCGGGGGAGGGAGGGGGAAGTCAAGGTGCCAAGGGATGAGAAGGCGATAGGCGAGTTCCGACTTTCGTCGCGGAGTTGGTTCTGCTGTCCGTGCCGACGGGATCGCTCTTATATACTGTTCACTCATGCTACACGGTCGGCCTCGTGTGTTCCTTCACACCCACGGACCTCAGGCCTCTGCTACGGTAGGCGGGGCGTCAAATGCATCTGAAGAGGGCGCCTAGGTTCTGCGGCAGCTGCGGATCGTGCACGCTTGTGGGCCCATGTGGTTGACGCAGAGCCTACCAAGAAGGCAATCGGGCACACACCAGAGACATCCTAGGTACGCAGTCAGGTCCGATCCGAGATTGGCGCTTGAACTGACCACGATGCAGGCTTCATCGTCACGGAACCCGGGTAGGAATCCAGGACTCGAACCTGACGGAAGTTTAGCTATGTTGGATCGTGGATATCACGTTGTGGCGGTTGGGAAGTGCGAGTGCGAGCCACACGCCGGATGCTCGTAGGTGCGGTTCAACACGGACGCGATACAGATGAACAGATTATTTGATTACAGCGATAGCGTCACGACAGCGGGGGCTCATATACGAAAAGCAAGTACAGCAACTCAAGAATCAAGGACGTCGAGGGTCCGCGGCGGGTACGTTCACCCGAGGTGGACGAGCCTCGCGATCCAGTCGGTGATCTCGCCGTAGCGCTTCTGAGAGGCGACGACGCCCACGTACGTCTCGAAGATGATCATCCCCTCCTGCGGGCGGGCCGATGTCGACGTCAGCGCTCGCCGGAAGCAGGACGACGCACACACTGACCTCCATGCTGGTCAACACTTCAATGCTCGGGGCGCCCCGCATCCTAGCGCGCCAGTTGTAGCGGCCGACCCAGGTCTCCACAAAGGCCCTGTAGTTCTGCTCGATGTATGCCTAGGTTCTCGTAAGCCTCTCTCCTACTACGTGCCCTGAAAGTTTCAACTCACGTCGAGCTCAGCGCCCATCATGAAGGGCGGCCCCTGCCGGGCAATAGCAGCCGTGTATGCGACGAGGAGGTGCCGCTTGCCGAGGGCCCTGACTCGGTCGCTGAACTCCCGGGTCGCCGTCGGTGCGGGCTGGGAGTGGTGCACGAAGACGGTGAGCTGGTGCTCGGGCTCGAGGGCGGGGGCGGGGGGCAGGTTGTTGTTGTTCGTCGTCATCTCGAACTTTCCGATGAAGTCGACGGAGGGTGTGGTTGGAAGTGAGGCTGAGTCGTCTGGGACTGGTCTGGGGGGTCTGTTTGTGGATGGGGGACTGTGTCGAGGCCGGGGGGCATGTTTTATACCCTTCGACCTCGCGCAGATACCCGGGACGCAGACACGCAGACACGCAGAGTCTGCGGCGTCACGTGTGTCGCCGTCTACAGCAGGAGGGGGACCCACACTGGAACCTTCCGCATTTCAGCGGCCGCGACTGCATCGATAGTTGCCGGGCTGTCGGTGCAGATGGCAGTCACTGCTGTATTTGGGCGCAGAGCGCTACTATGTGCCACTTCTCATGCAGCCGCTGGCTCGGCGTCTGGTTGATGCGGTTCAAGCGGCTCGCGCGGAACAAGGACGTGATGCAGGCCTGCAACCGCACTCTGCATACCTGTGATCATAATAGACCGGACTCGACATGACTCGTCGAGTTGCAGTCTTGCAGCCACGGAGCTATCCGTATCCATCGGATTGTCGCTTACTGCTGACCACCACCGTTATTTCTCGCAGCCTTCCGAAACCGCGGAAACTCTGTGCTCGAGACAACTGCCCGCGCTCGTTCGTTGTTTTCGCCGATGTTTGTTCGTCAATATCGGTATAGGAATTGCACTAAGTACCCGTCCAAGCCGTAATAGAAGTCTCTTTACGAGTCCGATGGAAAGCAGTAGTACAAGCTCCTACCCAGCCGGCCTATGTTCTCGTTCCCAATCGAGCGTGACATGGGCTCTGTATGTGCAATGGGAGGTCAGACGATTACAGGAGGACACACGAGAGTGTGGAGGACCGAAAACGGGAAGTGGACTAAAAGGGAACGTCTGAGAAATAGGAACTTACCTTTTATATCACAAACAGTGGGAAGAGAACACTACAGGATGCACGAGGCAAAGATTGTGTTTCGAGTATTCTTTCTCTTCACTCTGTTCGTGATATAAAAGGTAACTTCCTATGTTCTCTGACGTTTCACTTCCCGTTTTCGGTCCTCCGCACTCTCACGCGTCCTCTCGTAACCCCCCCGCTTCTCATTGCAGTAGTACCACTCGGCCTTGACTCGGCCTCTCACGCAAATGCGTCTACCGGGCCGACTATCGCCGGTGTCCCTGCCCCTATAAGAGGAGGTACCGATCGCAACCTCCAGGCGTCGTGGCGCTTGCCTCTTTCGCCTCCATCTGATCCTCCCGCCCAAGATGGACGCCACCAAGTACAAGGACGCCACCGTCCGGCGCGGGCACACGTACCACTACTACTACTCCCCCGCCGCCGCGGGCAAGCCGACCCTGCTCTTCGTCCACGGCTTCCCGTCGACCTCCTACGACTGGGCGCGGCAGGTCGCCCACTTCGCCCCCCTCGGCTACGGCGTCCTCGTCCCCGACTGTCTCGGCTACGGCGGGACGTCCAAGCCGGCGGACTGGGCCGAGTTCCGCCACAAGCTCATCGCGGACGACCTCGTCGACCTCGTCGACGCCGAGGGCCTCGCCGACGTCGTCGCGATCGGCCACGACTGGTGCGTCCGTCCCATCGCCAGTGACGAGGGGAGGCGGGGGTGACGCTGAGCTCGCTCGTCGACCGTTGACCGTTGATCGTCAATCGATATGCGTTATGCAGGGGATCCGCGCTCGTGTCGGCGCTGGTGCACCACCACCAGGACCGCTTCCGGGCGTTCGCGTGGCTCGCGGTCGGCTACCTCCCGCCGAGCCCGCAGGCGTTCGACCTCGACGCGCTGTGCGCGACGCTCAAGGCGGCGACGGGCAGCGAGATCTTTGGGTACTGGAGGCTCATGAACGCGCCGCACGGGCCGGCGCTCATCGAGGAGAAGGTGCGTCGTCCGCTCGTGCGACCGCAGCACCAGTGGTGCTGAGCGCTGAGCGCTGATTGGGGGGCCACTGGGCCAGATGGACAGCTTCTTGCAGCTGATATACCCGGTGGACCCCGAGTCGTGGATCGAGCACATCTGCCCCTCCGGCGCGGTCGACAAGTGGCTCGTCGACGACCGCCAGCCAGGGCGCCCGGGGTGGCTGTCTGAGGAGGTGAGTTCGGTCTCAGGACGGAGGCTCGAGATGGCTGCGGAGCTGATCGACTGTGTGCCACGCAGGACTACAACCACTGCCGCCAAGCTCTCCTGGAAGGCGGCATGGCGTCTCCCGTCAACTACTACAAAGCCGCGACCAACAGCGGGAACCTGGCCGACCAAAAGGGTGGGTGCCACGAGCGCATACCATTCACGCGTCCCCGATGCAGACCGACTCACGACGCCCCCGCCTTATCCATCCAGAGATCCCCGAAGAGAGGTGGCACATCACGAAGCCCGTCCTCTTCTTCGCGACGAACCGCGACTACGTCTGTCGCCCCGCGTCGTTCAAGCAGGGTTTCGCCACGTACGCGCCCCACGCCGAGACCATCGAGCTCGACGTCGGGCACTGGGCGCAGCTGGAGGCGACCAAGGAGGTGAACGAGGGGCTCGAGAAGTGGTTGCTCAAGCTGCCGCGCGCAGCCGTCCCGAGGCTCTGATGCAAATGCCGTGTGGCCGTGTATGATGTTATACTATACTTGCTCGCTCTCGTTTAGCATCGATGTATGTAGGATTGGACTGCAGTCTCCGTCGGTCGACCGTTCCCATGAATCATCCTACACAAAGCCTCACGAGGACAAGGCGACACAATGTTGACATTGAACAAGGATCTACCCAGTGCTAAGCACGCGCATCCGCGCGTCGCGCAGGAGGCTCGCCCGTCGTCGTGTTCCACCCGTGCCCCGGGGCCACCTCCCACTCGCCCAGGCACGCCCACGCCCAGTCCGTGCGCGCGACCGTCTCGCGCTGCGCGGCGACGAACGCCGGGAGCGCGCACATGCCCGTCGCGCCGTCGTCCGCGCAGCCGCGCACGCTCGAGAGCGGCGCGACGCCGTCGTTGATGACCACGCGGATCTGGGGGTCCGGCTTCGAGGCGCACGAGAGCACTGCGGAGGCAGACGTATGAGCGCTAGAACGGGGACTTTCGTCGGGGGAGACGTACGTTGGAACTGCAGGTTGCTGGCGAAGGGCGCGAGGTGCGACGTCTTGAACGCGCGGTGGGGCGGGATGTGGTCCGTGGGAAGGGGCCCGTTGGCGGCGAAGTTGGAGAGGTTGAGGGCGGTGATGACTGTCGGGTAGCACCATCAGCCTTGAGCGCGACGACTGGAGTCAACACGGGCTCTTACCGTTCAGAATGACGGTGTCGTGAGTGGCGTCTACGTAGAGACTTTGGCCGAGCGGGAAGGTAGCCGGGTTATCCGTGATCGTAGCGTTCGTGGTCGAGTTGTGGAAGGGTATCGGGGTATGTGTGAGGCGAGCGAGAAGCTCTTGGATATATCCGATGCCTTGTGCGCGGGCCACTGGGGAACCGAAGCCGGAGATGTGCCAGAAGTAGAGGTCGACGCTGGGGGCAAGTCAGAAAGCGATTAAGAGAGGCGGAAAACAGGCGTACGAGTAGTCGAAACCCCTCCACTCGTCCTCGGTGAAAACTTCGCAGAACTTGGAGTAGCCGATCGAGATGGTCTGTGTACGCCAAAATGAGTGACATCAAGGGAAGGTTGCAATTGCACTGACCTCGTACGCGCAGAGCTGCTGCATGGTGTAGACGTCTTCGATCGTCAATGGGAATCCCTTCAGCATGGGGGACAAGCGCAGGAACGCGCCCTGCAGGTACGTCTCAGCCCACTCCCGGACGAATGGCACAGCGCGATCGCCGCGAGTGGGATTGCGGGCGTTAGGGCAAGTCTTGGAGGGTGCGAGGGTATTGTTGAAGCCAGCAGCCTCGATGGTGATAAGCTGCTGGTATTGGCCATCGAGCTTGGGGCCGAAAAAGCCGAGGGCAAAGTTGAGAGCAGAGGAGAGCATGCGATCTTGAGACTCGGTGCGGAAGACGGGAAGGGTGTCGGTGTCGGTGAAGTTCTTGAGTAGGAATCCATACTTCATTCGCATCGACACGCCCAGGTCGACTGGGCGAGGGACGCGTTGAATGCGGGGAGAGGGAAGGATGGGAAGAGAACTCACAAAGCTGTTGGCGACCGAAGGGGGTCAAGATCTCCGCTCCGAGCTTGTAGGACCTGAGACAAGGTGTCAGCGAGGGTGAACACCGGTGCTAGCGGTAGCTACGATTATATCAAGCTGCCCCAGCATCTCTCGGCATTGGGCCCCTCGCGCGAAAGTCCAAAGCCGTCCCGCGAGCGAGTATCCGAGGCGCGGACCCAACGTTGTGCCACACGCCCCGCTTCCCAGCATCCGACACGCGCGAGAGAAGCCAACTCCAGAAGAGAGTGAAAACATTACGCACCAGTCATTGAGGAACTTCAACGGACCAGATGCACGCCAGTCGAAGGGGGAGTCGTGCAGACGAGCGGCGAACGCGGCGGGTCCCCCGTACGCAGTGGACGAGGCCGTCGGATAACGCGCGCCATGGCGATGGAGGAGGTGGAGGCCGGTGATGCGGCAGCCTTGAGGGGGCTCGGGGCCGGCGTCGACGCCAAAAGTGCCGGGCTTGACGGTGAACCAAGGAGAGAGGTTGCCGAGGTGGGTGAAGAGGTCGAAGCCCGAGGCGTTCTTGAGGGCGAGCGGGGGGAGGAGATGGGGCGCACCGGTGTGGATGGGGTTCGCCGGCGCGGTGGCAATGACGGCAGGCTCTGCGCCGGTGGGGGTGGGACCCGCATATCCGACATCGGTGGGGAAGAGGGATGGGAAGGCGTTGGTGGGAGATGGGGGCGGGTATTCGTGCGCCTGAGTCTCTCCGGGACGATGCTCTTGGGGCTGCGTAGATAGAGGATATTCTAAAAGATGTGTGCGCAGAGAGAGGGACGGAGAGAGGAGCAAGACGGAGAGGATGCCGGCGACGTAGGCCAGGAGGAGATGTCGAGCTGCAAAACTCGTGGTTCTGGCATTGGCTGAGGTCGCCATGGTGGGCTGTAGTTCGACTTGATTGAGGGCATCGGAGGACTGGATGCGTCCCATGGCGACTCAAGAGAGAGCGAGAGTGGGCGTCGCGCCGTGGGTGGGTGGACGAGCGCAGGACGCAAGTCGGGCAGCACCCTCGAGGACCGCCCGCGGGCCGCAACATCGCGACTCGCGCAGTGCGCACACTACTGGCGCCTACCTCGCAGCGACGCGTGACGTCACCCATCAATCGAGCGCCGGCTAGTACAAGTCTGCATACTTAACATGACCGACCGAGCTCCGGCTGGGAAAACAGGCGCGCATGCTCGTTTCCTTAACCTTTCCCCTCATAAACCACGGGTTCTATACAGAGTGACTCGCCCGCGCTCTGTCGCGGCCCTTCAAAGCCCCAAAGGCGACCATATCCGTCTGGCCAGGCCGACGCCTCTTCATGATCTTCGTCTCGATCTCGCACGCGTTCTCGACCCCGCCCGCACGCGATGCCGACGTTCCGAACCCGGCCCACGCTCTCAACAGGTGGGCTCTTCAACGCGAGAGATCTCGAACGTCGCCAGCGAACGAACGTACGCTTGCCAACGGGCCACGGCGCGCCAACGTCGCCAAATTCCGATTCGCGTCACCGAGGTACTGTACTAGTAACTGAGTACACCGGGTGTCGAACGACGAATCATGTCACTGTGTACGGCCCATACTCGAACGTGACTTCCCCCGCCACCAGCTCCCGCATCTGCGCGAGAAACGCCCCGGCAAACGACCCGACGCCGTCCTCGCGTCTCTCTGAAAGCATGTTCATGCTGATGGAGACCTCGAGCGCATTGAGGGGGCGCATCCCACGTGCCGCCCGTGCGCGGAGGCAGCGGACCGTCGCCTCCAAGGTTGCCTTCACGTCCTCCTCGCTCGCTGGTGTCGCATCGTAATCCAAGCTCTCCAGGGCCGGGCACGGCGCGGTAGAGCGATCGGAGGAAGGGGTGAGCGCGCGGAGGAAGGCGATGGGAGTGCCCTCTCCACAGAGGTAGAGGTATTCGAGCGCAGGGAACGCGCCGAAGATCTCGTCCCACCGGCCGTCGGCGGGATGCACCGAGTGCAAGGTGATCAAGTCGAGCTGGGTGAGGGGGATGTGCCGGAAGAGCGTGAGTATGTCGTCGATGGCGTTGGACAGACCGTACATGTCGGGGTCATCAGGGGTTGGAAAGGCTTCCCAAGTGAACAGCCTGGTCCCCCCGAGCGTTCCACTGTCACGGTCGTTCGCGGAGAACCCCGTGAACTCGGGGACTAAGACGTATAGCTTTCGTACCGAAGGGGGGATCGGCATCGGCATTGCATCCGGCGCGCGGGTCGGGAAGAAGGCGTCGAGGATGCTCAAACTGCGGCCGGATTCGTTGGGTGCAACTTGACGCCAGTCTCCGTTCGATAAGTAGAGGAAATCCAAAGTAGTGGGCCTGATGAGAGGAATGGCACGAAGGAGCATCATCATGTCGTCGTTTTTGTTGGAGTGCAGGGACAGGGAGCGCAAATGGGGTAGCTCCAAGGGAAGACGAACTGGGGACGTGGGTGGTGGATTGTGAGGTGGTCGCAACATCTCGGCAGGTCTTTCCGGGTCAAGGGTCAAGGTTTCGAGATAACGGGCTGAAGAGAGACAGACGAGGAGATCCTCGAGGGGTGGCCACTGCATCATAGGACCGCTGAGGCGAAGCGACCTGAAGAGAGGAAACATTGTCGGCTCGATGGGCAGGACCATGCCTTCGAGCTCGAGATGTTGGAGTCTCGGGAAGCGCGTATGGGTGAGACAGAGGATGCTGGAGACCGGGCCAGGGGTCTTGATCCCGTCGAAATCGACAAACAGCTCTTCAAGAGTGGGCCACGCTCCTTTGTTGTAATGCAGGGACAGGGAGTGCAAATGGGGTAGCTCCAAGGGAAGACGAACCGGGGACGTGGGTGGTGGATAGTGGGGTTCTCGCAACACCTCCTGGGCCCATCCACCTCTCTCCAGGGAAAGGCACAGATCTTCAAGATAACGAGCCGAAGAAAGACAGATGAGGACGTCCTCGAGAGGTGGCCACTGTGTCACAGGACCGCTGAGGTGGAGCGACCGGAGGCGAGGAAACAGTTTCGGCTCGATGGGCAGGACCATGCCTTCGAGTTGGAGATGTTGGAGTCTGGGGAAGCGCGCGCGGGTGAGGCGGAGAATGCTAGAGACCGGACCAGGGGACTTGATCGCGTCGAAATCGACATAGAGCTCTTCAAGAACGGGCCAGGCTCTGTCGTGGAAAAGCATTTTGAGAAATGGCAGGGAGTAGCAGCGGTCGTCCTCTTCATCAGAAAGAACAAGAGTGCTCGTCCTGTACGACTCGGCAGCGATAGCCATCCCCGCGGCTTCCGACCAGAACGCGGAGTCTCCATCTTCGATAATCCATGGCCCTGGCTCCGAGGAAAGGTTGCCAGCTGAGTATTCGTCACCCTCACCCTCGCCCTCGCTCTCGCCTGAGTTTTCGTCATCTTCCGAGTCTTCTGTGTCATTGAGCCGTTGGATGTCATCTTGGGGAAGAGAGAGGGGTGCGAGGTCGGGGGAAAGAGAGATGTCCACGGATGCCGGAGACCCCGGTTGACGCTCGAATGAGATATCCAAGTTCGCCTCTCCCGCACGTGAAAGAACAAGTGTGTAGAGCCGTGGGGGCATGTAAGGGGTGATGAACGACCAGAGCGTGCGCGTGGCCTCGATGAGATCGCGCCACTTGCGGCAGACGAGGAGGAGCACCTTGCGCCGCCGGTGCGTCCACTTGGGCAGTTCGTCGGACACGGGGCGCGCGGGCTGGAAGCAGGCGGCGAAGAGGCGGAGGAGGATCTCGGCGGGAAGGCGGTTGATGGAGAGCGTACTGTTCCAGTCCATGTAGAGCCTCCGCCTTTCCTCCTCCAGGGCGGTTGTCAGCCTACTTGCACCCGGCTTCTCGACGGCCCCGGCCTCGATCTCGCCGATGCGTCGACGGATATGGTCGCGTGTAGGACAGAGCGGCAGGGCATCTGCGGCAGGGAGGGGCATATCGTTTTGCTGAGTTGCAGGGCGAAAGGATGCGGTGTGATGCACTGGGTGCTGGTGGAAGGAGATGAGCAAAGCACACCGGCGCACGTGAGACGCCCCGCCCCGCAATTTCGAGCAGCCTCTAGCACCTCCTGCCCTGGCGGGCACAATACAGGCAAGAGATGGCTAGTCTCCCCCATGCAGAGGTAGGAGTTCGTCGTGTGAAGGAACGGGTGCTAATTCCCGCTCAGATGACTGGCCAGAAGCCACCAGCGTTCACGTTGAGACATGGTTGAAGCTTTGAAGACCGCCCCATTCACTAAGCTTCTCCGCAACCGCGTGGCGAGCAGGTCAGCGCAGGCTAAATTTCGGCTTGTAGTACGCACGTCAAAAGTGCCAGCCCAGACAGGCTTGGAAATCCTCAAAGATATATAGTCTGGAGAGTCCCCCTGGTATACATACTATCCACTCAACCTCCACTCTCTGTCGCTAATCGGCACACATAAGTAGCCAGCCGTAGTTCTTGATTTCTTATCGGCTGTTACACCTCCCCCATTATATCCACTCAACTTCCGCTTCTCTGTTATCATCAACAATCTTCAAGAAGCCTCAGTTCAGCCTCCCCACACTCGCGGCATGGCTGCCCTCGACCCCCATTCCATCGCTACAGGCTGGCTTGTGGCGTGCTCTTCCGCGCTGACAACTGGCGACGTGCTCGGCCTCACCCAGCTTTTCATTCCCGATGGCTGGCTCCGCGATCTGCTCTTGTTCACGTGGGACATGCGCTCTCTCCACGGTCGAGACAAGATTTCCGCCTACCTCGACCATCGTCTCTCCAAGGCCCAGATCAAAGATGTCCGCCTCGACGAGACTCAGGACTACTGCCCCCGCACCTTCCCTATCCCGCAAGACACGTCGGCTGTTGGTGTTGAACTCGTGTTCACCTTCGAGTGCGAGCGTGGGCACGGCCGTGGTCTTGCCCGCCTCGTCCAAGACATGGACGGGACCTACCGCGCGCTCACGCTGCTCACGCAGCTGGACGACCTCGTCGGGCACGAAGAGCGCAGCACGCTACCATGGAGGGACGACGTCACGCACGAACCTGACCGCGACATGCAAAAGGAGTTCGCTGACTACGTTAGCGGCATCGAGGCGAACCCACATGTCTTGATTGGTGCGTCCCAGTTCACCTTCTTCAGCAGGCTTCCTGTCCCTCAAGGGCCAGTACAGTTGGGGGCGCGCAGACTGGGCTCCAGCTCGCTGCGCGCTTCAAGCAAATGGGCATCCCTGCGCTTGTCATTGAGCGCAACGCGCGGATCGGCGACAACTGGCGCGCGCGCTACCCAAACCTCACGCTGCACACCACCCGGCAGCAGCACACTCGTAAGACCCGGCCCCCTTTTCCCGCATCCACGCTCGGACCCTGACGCCGGCAGCCTGCAGTGCTCTACCAGCCATACCCAGCGAACTGGCCCGAATTCACCCCGCGCGACAAGATGGCGCAGTGGCTCGAGCTCTACGCGCTCAGCCAGGACATCGTCGTCTGGACGAGCACCCCGCTCTCCACGCGGCCCGTCTACGACCCCTCCACGCGCCGCTGGACCGTCACCCTCCTCCGCGGCGGCACCGCCCCCGTCACCCTCCGCCCCGCGCACATCGTCCTCGCCACCGGCACCCTCGGCGCGCCCTTCGTCCCCACGCTCCCCGGCGCGTCGTCCTTCCGCGGCCAATGCATGCACTCGAGCCTGTACCCCGGCGGGCGCGCACTCGCGGGCCAGCGCGTCGTCGTCGTCGGGGCCGGCCAGAGCGGGTCCGACATCGCGCAGGACCTCGCGCTGAACCGCGCGGGCGCGGTCACGCTCGTGCAGCGCTCGACGACGTGCGTAATGCTCCGGGACTGGGTCGGGCGGCAGGTCAAGGGCGCGTTCCCCGAGGGCGTGCCGATGGCCGCGTCGGACCTGCGGTTCGCGGCGCTCCCGCTGGGGCTGATGCGGGCGACGGCGATCGCGGCGCAGGACGCGGCGCGGCGGGACCACGAGGAGCTCCACGCGAAGCTGCGCAAGGGCGGGGTGAGCGTCGATCTGGGGCCGGAGGGGCAGGGCGTGTACCCGCTCGTGTTCGAGCGGTACTCTGGTGCGTGTCCTCTCACTCGATTCGGTCGTCGCGGAGCGTCTGCTGATGGTTATTCTTGCAGGTTTCTGCGAGTCTCGAGGAGCGCTGCGGCTCATCTGACACCGCGCTGACCGAAGTGCTGAGGGATGGACAAGGGCTGCGCGGACCACATCGCCTCCGGCGCCATCCAAGTCAAAGCCCTCGTCTCCGTCGAGCGCCTCACGGAGACCGGCGTCGTCTACAGCGACGGCACCGAGACCGCCGCGGACTGCGTCATACTCGCGTGCGTCCCCTCTCCCCGTGTCCCTTCGTCCATCGAGGCAACGCTGACGCTATGCGACCCAGGACCGGATACACGCACATGCGCGACGCGAACGCCGCGCTCTTCGGGGCGGACCTCCTCGCGCGCACGGAGCCGGACTGGGGCCTCGACGACGAGGGCGAGATCCACGGCGCGTACCGCGCGTGCGGGGTCCCCGGTGTGAGTCCGCGCTTGCGCGGCTGATGCGTCTTTTTTGCCCCCCCACGCTGACCGATCGCCTTGCTTCTGCGCGTGCGCTCGTCTTGCATAGCTGTGGTACGCCTCGGGCGACTTTTCGACGGCGCGGATATACTCCAAGCAGCTGGTGCGTACACGTCAAAGAGTACACCTGCAGTGCTGATTTCTTCCCACTCTCAGGCTCTTCAGATCAAGGCCATCGAGTTGGGGATGATGCCCGGCGACGGCGTACGCGAGGGCTGGAAGGAGAAACAGCGGGGTGGATAGATCGCGCGCAGCGCGCGAACGTTCCGCCCCCGACGAGGCACAAAAACCACACCCGTCCGCACTCTCCTGTACACAGGGACCGTCCATCTACGCGCGCACGGCGCGCATTGCCCTCTGCCGTGTGAGCACTGCGTGGGGATGGGGGTCCCGGTCAGGGCGCATAGCGCACAGATAAGCGGCAGGCAGAAAGGACAGCACCGTGAATGGAGATCATGGGAGAGAGACGCACGCACGCTCTCGAGGACAGGACAGACAGGTAGAGAAGACCCAGACGACACGACGACAAAGCACGGCACAATTGCAAGCTTGCGACGACCCCGCCGCCGACCCCGCCCCGCAAGCTCCCTGTGCTCGGCTTCTTGAGCATCATCCCCGTGCCCGGCCGCGCGCCCGCGGCCGTGCTCCCGCTCCTGCCCACCGCACCCGCGCCCGCGGGGGACTGCGACTGCGGGTGGGACGACGCCGACGCTTGCCATTCGGAAAGGGATAGGGAGGCACGGAGTGAAAATTGCACATTATACCCGAGGTGTGATTTCCTAGACTACGCATTATACTACACGAGGAAGGCGCTTGCGAGATTACACACTGTGGACGACGGCAGACTGCGAGTACACTTCATGCACGAAAGGAGCACGATATCTTACAAAGTCACATGGACGACGATCTTCACAGCTTTCAAGCAGCGGCGGACGGAAGCTTGAGCAACCAGTTCTCCAGCCCTTCGTTCACCTCTTGGGTCGCCTCCAACTGCGGCCAGTGCCCGACGTTGAGGTCGATGATCTCGGCGTCGGGCGCATACTTGGCTAGACTCTGCTTGCCCATCACGGCGAGACCCACGTAGTCGCGGTTCGCTGCAAAGAAGAGAACCGGCTTCTTGACGTACCACTTCTCTTCAGGGACCTCTGGAAAAACGAAGGATCGTCAACGGTCTGCCATAGAGAGACGAAGAGCAGCGCATACACGCACCCATCTGATCGGCCAAGTTACAGTTGTGGATGATGACTTTGTAGTAGTTGACGGAGGATGCCATGCCGCCCTTCAAGAGAGCGTGGCGGGAATGGTTGTAATCCTGAACGGTCCACGCGGTCTGTCAGATTCTCGACCATCTCGGGCGGTGGAGACCGACTTACCTCCTGAGACCACCAATCCGGGCGTCCCGGCTGGCGGTCATCCTCGAGCCACTGGCGAAATGTACCGCTGGGGCAGAGGTTGTCGAGCCACCACTCGGGTACCATTGGGAAGGTCAGCTGCAGAAAGCTGTCCATCTATGCGCCCACGACAGCACGATCCATCACCATCGGTGCGCTTCGGTGGAAGTCAGAGAGCGACGCACCTTCTCCTCGAGGAGCATTGGCCCATCCGGCGCGTCCATGACCTTCCAGTAGCCGATGACCTCGCTCCCGATCGCCTCCTTGTACGCCTTGAGGGCCGTGTCGAGGTCGAAGCCGCCAGGGCTCGGCGCGAGGTACGAGACCGCCAGCCACGCGAAGGCCAGGAAGCGGTTCTGGTAGTAGTGCACCAGCGCCGACACAAGTCCGGATCCCCTGATGCACATGGCGAGTTTAGCGTCTCGCAGCAGAGGGTGCAGTATATATGGCGCGGACGCACCAGTCATGGCCGATCGCGACGACATCGGTGAGCCTCTCGGCGTCGACGAGATCCATGAGGTCGTCGGCAATGAGCTTGTGGCGAAACTCGGCCGTGTCGGTCGGCTTGGAGGTCCCGCCGAAGCCGAGGCAGTCGGGGATGAGGATGCCGTAGCCGAGGGGGGTGAAGTGGGCGACCTGGCGGGCCCAGTCGTACGAGGTGGAGGGGAAGCCGTGGACGAAGAGCAGGGTGGGCTTGTCGGCGGCGGCGGGGGAGTAGTAGTAGTGGTAGGAGTGGCCGCGGCGGACGGTGGTGTCCTTGTACTTGGTGGTGTCCATGACCTTGTTGGGCGGGGTGGTAGGTTCGGATGGGCGAAGGAGGCTAGTGCGGAGGTTAGGATGGACGCCGGTGCCCGCTCTTTAGCGAGGCGTGGCCTGGCCGGTTTATTCGCCGAATGGCACCACTTTGCGTATTGCTGGATGCCCCACAACCACACTCGTTGTCCGGCTGTCATCGAACTCGGGTCCCAGGACGAAGCTTGCTGCCTGTCTCCCTGCATGACGTCATCACCCCCACCGTCGGTGAGCACTCTCGTCCTGGTATACGTACGCGTCCAGCTGAAGGCACAACGCCTTTGTGAGCGGTTCAGTCTCTTCAGCCCAGTCGTCATGTGCTCGATGGACCCGTTCGCTGCAAGAAACGAGCCAGGTAACGCGCGCGGAGGCCCGTCCACCCCATTCGCGTTCACCGTAACCCACGGTGGCGTCGGAGGCGAGGGTGACCAGGTGATATCTCGTAGTAGTTCGGCAATACGATGCCCTCCATGTGAAGACCGGAGCTCGATATAGAAGCATTACGCCTCTATTGAGCCTTTCAACGGTTGGTGGTCAGTCGCCTTCAAGCAGGGGCGTAAGATTGACCCTACGTCGTACAACCCGGGTCCGAAGCCCAGAGTTCGCGTAATAACCACGCGCCAAAATCGCCTCAGGATGCCGTGTTGGACCGGCGGGGAGGGCTCGAAGTTGTTCACCTAAGTCGCCGGCATTGAAGGCTTCCCTTGTAGCGCCGAATCCCGATCAGCACTTTTCACCCCGGTTCGACCTTGCGATGACTCACTCATGAGCACGTCGCCTCCCCTTCAAATAGATGATTTCCACAACGACCATCCTCAATCGTCGCCGCACTGTCGGGGGCGTTTAGGAGTTGAACGCACGGCTAACTTCTAAGGAGAGGGCGAGGGTGTATCCAGGTTGGAGGGCTGAACAGGCGTGATGGGCATGCTTGAAGAGTTGGGATCGAGGCAGGTGCTGCATCGGCCATAACCACTACGAGCGGAATTGTCGCACAAGAAGCTTAGCGGGTCGTACGCATGAAACCCAGATGTGAACGCACCTCGACAGACCCCTCCTCATCAGCGCCGGAGCTCGCACCCGAAACCTTTTCCCCCACAAATTCAAGTTCACGAAAATCACTCTCAAGATAGAGGTTCACTCTGTCATATTTGCTGGTGGCCTTGTGGACAAAGTTTCGGTGAACCTGCCTGTGTATGATGGACGACGTCAATAAGGGTGGTAACGCAGGGGCAGAGGCTAGCACTGACTCTGCTTTAGACGGAAGGAAATTTGAAGCTAGGAAATGCATCATTGACCTGGCATTGCAGTCGGGAGAAAGAAGGACAAGCGGGTGGTGGTATACGGACATGACTCCAGAGAGACTGCCATGACGTGCACGTGCGCACTCGACGCGTCTGTCACGTCCTCACGATTGTGACGCTACCGTGACCGTCGGCCCAAACCAGTGCCATATGTGGAAACGGGCCGTCACCACCCCTCCCGCCAGCAAGTTGCATTTACTTTCTCCGAGGCGCTCAGAATGGCTCCCTAGACTTCATAGTTTTACGCTGATCTGCCACGAGCCGCGTCAATTACGTTGAAGCGGTACGGCCCCGGGTTCACGACGCAGTGGTCAAGGATTAAAAACACCAAACCATTGCCAGCATCCATAATTCAGAGGCGAGCATACCACGATGACCTCCAGTATTAACCATACTCAAGCAACCTGGTAGTCCTTGCGGAATGGAAAACGTCTCATATTCGGTTCACTGAGTCTGGGAATCGCGTAGGGACCACATCATTAACGCTTACTCTCGATCGCCGTCTATCATCTCCGGAGCCATTAGGCTGACACTCCCCGTTCAATACTACCCGTTCAACAGGTTCGTCAACAGAACCTTCCCCCTATTTTGCACGTAGTATTCTCAGTAGCACGGGTGTAACTTCAGGTTCTGCTATGTAGTGTCACCGAACCCTTTCGCCCACCTGCCCTGTATCGACATTTTAATCCAGCTGACAATATTCCGCCCTATTCCAGGATCCCTGAAACATCGCGGAGTTGAATTTCGGACGCGAGGGACAAGTCTTCGGTGAACGTACTCCACCCGGTATCAGACAGCTCCGGTGCCTCTCGTTCTTCACCTGGGAGTCCTGAGTCCTGGTGGTCATGTGGTTACCTGAGCCTGTTTTCGGAGGCTCCCTTCACTTGATCGGACTAATCCATCACCAACCACGGCGCAGTCTACGTCCACTCCCCTTCGTCCAGGACCCCATCCTTCCGTGAATTCCCGCTATCCAGATCTCGAACACACACACACGGCATCCATACCGCGCCGGCGTTCCGAGCGTAGGGATGCAGGGACACAGCGCATCGACACGGAGCGCCGAAACGAAAACCTCATCCCGCAGCCATCCGGCGTTTGGGCGGGGGGACCGGCCTTGCGGTACGTCACTTGATGCCCTGAGCCTTGCTGCCGTGCTCGCGTACTGATAAGCGTTTTAACACAGAAGGGTCTGTGACTTGGGGCCTCGCGCCTTCGTTGCCTGCAGTGGAGCTGTTGCCTAGTTTCCCTTGTGCCGACCTTCTGATCAGGGCCCCGCCGGTGGTCAGCCCCGAATCGAACTCGTCGACAACCCTCAGGCATCGGCCAGCCTCCTAGCAAGCCGCAGGTGCGCGCAAGAGTCATGATCTGTACCTATCGGCTTGCCTGTCCTTGGCGCCGTCGGCACTATGGTTATATCGAATTGCCGAATCGTCTCGACGGCTGCGCTACTCCCGACCCCTGCTTGTTTTGTCTGTCACAGACGCAGGTCGGAGCCCATCTTCAGGCATCTATACAGCCTGCGCTCGTCGGTGGGTACCCGACGGTAAGCCGTGCCAGAGGGCATGCCGTGACTGTCATCGCACGCCTGTCCCAGATGACGATATCTTCGCGCCGGTTATTTCCATCGCCCCTTCCTTCCCCCCAGCGAGCCGATCAAACCTCCGCGCAGTGGCGGCCGGCCCACAGGCCCACAGCACTCCACGCCCAAGCAGGGACTCCAGCGCAAGCCCTGAAGGCCTGACAGCGCGTCCGCCGTCAGGCTGGTGCGTGTCCTCGGGGTTGCGTCGCGATTGGTCTCGGATCCTCGAGGCTCTCGCCTCCCGGTCGCGCATCGCACCCGGCACGGCCACTCGGGCTCGCGAAGGGCTCTTGCGCGCCCAGGCTCGTCCGCGGCCGACGTGCGGCCGCTCGCGGAGCCCGTCGAGCTGCAAGCTAGAAGCCGGCCGATCTGTATGAGAAGAGCGGCCCCCACGCGTCCGATCGGGTTGGGTCGCCGCGGCGCACGGTGCGTGCGACGAGCCTGCCAATTTCCAAAGCGCACGCTCCGTCAGAGCGTCCGACACCGTGGTCAGTGGACCGTCATGATCCGCGCACGTACGTCTCGACTTTCCCCGCCTCGGGGCCCAGTCCATAAGCCCGTGATCTCCCGTCGACGAGCGAGAGCAGCGCACGCACGCACTGCGCGCCGCGGAGCGAGCTCAGCTCAGCCCGTTAGAATTGCCCCGCAGCCAGTCAGTCCAGTGGCAGGCGTCGGCTCGCCCGCCCCATCGCGGCGATCACAGCCCCCCACGCTCGCTGCATACCGGTGGCCGGATTCGCGTTTGGCCGTCGGGGAACCCAGGCGAATATTGCGCATCGGGTGAGCCGGCGCCCGGAGCCTGGGTTGGGGCACTGGCCATGGAGTCGGGGACGGAGGCCGGCCAGGACATGCACAAACCACTCCCCCGGGTGGCCCAAACCCTGGGGCGGGAACGGTGGACAGGCGTCCGTGTTGAGCTCGAGCTGATTTGAATCTGCTTTACTCCCGCCTCCCCGGTTTCTCTCTTGTCTTGCGGCGTCCTCGAGGCTGTCGCTCTTATTGGGTCCTCATCGTATGCTCTCTTTACTACCCAACATGTTCCTGGAAATTTTTCCTTTTTCTAGTCCCAATGAGGGGTACACTTCCTGGTCCGACGATGTCGCGTGAGTCCAAAGGCTTGCGTTTCCCTACGCTGTCATCTTCGAAAACCGCAACAAGCACCAACGAACTACAACGGTATCGAACTATCAATTCTCAACGACCATCTGCGCCTTTAACGGCACCCGCCGGATAGTAGATCAACGGCGGAGAATCGAGGGGCAGACGATGGAGTGGTGAACTTGGGCCGGGGCACGAAGGGCGGCGGGTCGTCGGTCATCGGTCATTGGTCATTGGTCGTAAAGGTACCCACTCTCCGTCCTAACATATTCTCTCGCTCTACACATCGTCAAGACGGGAGTAGGTGTCTTGAGATTACCACATACCTCGAGCACCCAAGTATCCAACGACCACCTCCCCGTGCTCCCTTTGCCCTCCCTCTCCCATCGATGGGCCGCGTCGTCGTTGAGCTTCCCAAGCAGACACACATGTCAGGCAAGACACGGATTGATGGATCGGGTGCGGTATACATGTACAAGTGCCGGGTAACCTAGGTGCGAGCGCGAGCAGCGGATATACGTAGTAGTAGTAAGACCATGACCGATTATTCCAACCATACACACCCCGATGAGAAAACCCCCGACGCCGAAGCCGCGCGACACTACGTGACGTAGAGGAGGGAGGACGACGAGGGGGGGCAAGACCGTGGACAATAGTAGACGACGACCGTGACCGTTGCGACAGACCCGGGACCAAGAGACCGATGCGAGGAGGTATTGTGGTATGAGGTATGCGTGGGCAGGACCATACGATAGATAACGAGGCGAGAAGCGGAAGGTGAGTGGGAGAAGGACGAGAAAAGCGTTCCGGGCAGGGACGTTGTGTGCACAGCAAAGACGAGGCGCGATATGACAACAAGACGATGTACAGTGAGCAGTGAGCAGTGAGCAGTGGGCAGCGCGAGCAGACAGGACAGCATAGGAACCGACGACACGAACCGACGAGCCTCCCCTCCCCATCTCCCCCCGCGCGAGCAGGCCACCCCGGGCGCGCGCCCCGCACGGCGGCGCACCCCGGGTCCCGCTGACGACGAGCGACGGAGGGCGGGCGGGCGCTCACAGAGGATACCACTGCCCGTACCCCTCCGCCGGGGGGTAGTCCTCCCCGGCGTCGTACGACCACCCCCCACCTCCGTGGGAGTGTGCGTGCGGATCGAGCGGCTGCAGCGGGTACCCGTCCGCGTCGACGGGAACGGCCTGGGTGTGCGGGTCGTGCGCATATCCGTACGCGTACTCGTCTGATTCTGCGTGCGGGTGGAGGGGCGCGCCGTAGTACATCTGCTGCTGCTGCTGTTGTTGGTGTTGGTGTTGTTGATGATGGTGTTGTTGATGGTGTTGGTGTTGTTGGTGTTGCTGCTGCTGCTGCTGCTGCTGCTGCTGCTGTTGGTGTTGTTGCTGCTGCTGCTGCTGCTCTGCGTGCGAATGCGGATGCGAGTACTGGTGCTCAGAGTACGGGTCGGGCGCGGACATCGGCGCCTGCGCCTCGGGACCCATGCCCGCGTGCGTGTGCGTGCGCGCGTGGGCGTACGGCGGGCTCGCACCCGCCGCGACGCCGAGCGCGGCGGAGCCCGCGGCGTGGATCGCGGGCGTCATGCTCGCCTGCATCTCACCCGAGCGCACGGACTCCATGAAGCGCGCCTGCACGTCCGCGACGTACTCGGGCGAGACGAGGAACGGCTGGTCCTCCGCCTCGGCCGCCGCCGCCGCAGCAGCAGCAGCCACCGCGGCGGCGGCGCTCGCGCTCCCGACGCTGCTCACGCTGCCGAGCGACGAGAGCGCGGAGGGGGGCGTGGTGGACGAGCACGAGCTGCTGCGCGGGGACGACGCGCTGAGCCCGGACGCGGTGGGCGACGGCTGGAAGCGCGCGTGCGTCGGGCTCGCGGCGGACATGGGCTGCGCCTGCGCCTGAACCTGCGCCTGCACGTTCCCGTTGCGCATCCACGCGGGGGACGTCACGCCGGGGTACGCCTGCACCGGGCCGACGGTGACGGGCGTGCCGACCGGGAACCCTGCCGCGAGGGGCGGACCCGCGCCTGCGCCGTGTAGCGGCTGGTGCGGCGCGAGCGGGCGGTCCATGCCCATGCTCATGCCCATGCTCATACCCATACCCATCCCGGAGCCCTGCGCGGTGACGAAGTCGGGCAGGCGCGGGGTCATCGTCGCGAGGCTCTGGAGCGCCGCCATCGTGCCCGGGTTGCTGCCCGTCGCGGTCGTCGGGGAGGACGGCGTCGAGGACGGGGCGCCGATCGGCAGCCACGGGCTGTAGGGCCCCCCGCGCCCCGCGAGGCGCACGCGCCGGTCGTCGGGGCCCGAGCGCACGACGAGAGTGGAGCCCGAGCGCGCGGCGGCGGGCGGGATCTGCTCGAGCGAGTGGCGGCGCGGGGTGGCGGCGTGCGCCTGGTTCGGGTCCGCGCGGCCGGCGAACGAGGAGAGCGTGGGGAGCTGCGAGTCGGACGCGGCGTGCGCTGGGAGCGGGGGCTGCGGGGGCGGGTCGAAGGAGGGGTAGGTGTAGATGTCCGACTGCGACTGGGGCACGTCCAGGCGGGGGAGGATGGGGCGGCCTGCGGCGGAGACGGGCGCGTCCGCGTACGTCTTCTTGGGGGCCTTGATCCCGTAGCTCTTTTTCTTCGTCAGGCCGTGCATCTGCTGCAGGTACGAGACGAGCATGGGCCCGCTCTCCTGCGCGCCGGGAGAGGAGTGGGACGAGTCCGCGCGTGGGCGTGTGCGCGACGTGGTGGGGGACGTTGACGATCGTCGGCTCGTGGCCGTGACTGCCGGCGACGCGGTGTGTGGCGGGGAGCTCGGAGAGGGTGCGGTGGAGGGCGGAGAAACGGGGGCGGGTGAGGATGTCGGGGGGCTCGTGTTCCTGTATGGATCGTCCTGGATCACGGGCGCGACGAGCATGACGGGTTGCGCGGCTGCCGAACAAAGCAATGTGTGAGTGGTGTCACTGGAGGACTCGCAGAAAAGGCGCACATGCACTCCGGACGTATTGCGGTCTGCCTGATAATCGGATGGAGAATCGTTGGGGGTCGACGCCAAACCAGGTAGGCACCTCGGAGTTGTTCTGCAGTTGAAGCTATCTCGAAACGGTCAGCGTAGATTCGAAATGATATGGACGGGCGTCTAGCGCACCGATCGCTTGAAAAGCTCGTGGTATGTCCGCATTTCAGCGCCGATGCTGAGGATAACGTGGAGGCGGATATATTGCTGTGCGAGGATGGAGAGATCAGCACAGAAAGCAGGGTGGCAGGCAGAGCGACAGCCGATCACCTGTTTGAGAACGTTAGCGATGTCATCCCAGGGATCAAACCCAGAGGGCGTCATCTCATTGGGAGAGCCATGGGTGAGCGGTCCTGAGGCTGCTACGAGAACGAGGTGTTTGGTGACGCGCTGGGGCCCGTTGACCTGAGACAATAGCTGTCCACAAACGGGTTAGTGGCGGATTCGAACGAAGGACCGGAGGGGACGGCTACGGTTATGGCACGAGACAGCGAGGCGGGTGAATGTTTGGTTGAGCCGGTTTTGCCAAGAGGCAGGTTCGGGACCTCATGGGATTCGTCAGTGTCGCGAATGTTGCGATGGGATGGTGGCGAGGATGGAGAGGTGGTGAGCCAGCGGGCTTCCATCTGAAACGTGAAAAAGAAGGTGAGACACGGTGAGGACGGGGAGGCGAGAGACCAACGTTGACTGAAGGGTCGGCGGCGCGGAGTCTGTCGAGAAGAACGGGGAGGTATGCGTTGCGGACGTCGGGCCACTTGGCGGCCATTGCCTGAGAGTCCTCGGCGAGGACGAGGACGGATACGTTGTCTCCAGACATGGCGGGCTCTGCGAAGGCGTACCAGGTCATGCTAGCGCGGCGGAGACTGAGATGGTGCCGGGCAGGACCAGGAGAGAAGAGAGGCGCTCGAATCAGGATGGAACGGCCCAGAGGGGCGAGCGACAGGCCGCGGCATGGACGCGCGGCGGTGAGAACGCTCCCTGTGCGCTGCCCCCGCGCATGATAAGCGTCCCGTGGACCTATAACCGTCCCGGCGTCGGACTTTGATTTATTATTCCCCATATCGTCCTCCATATCCCCCCGCAACCTAAAACCTTCATGGTCAAGCCCGGCCGGCCCTCCGCTCCTCGGCCTGCTATCGATCAACAGGCGCGCCCCCCGGCGCACGCTGATGGGCGGCACGGTGCACCTTGCCCTCCGCGTCCCGCGCTGCCGTCCCACCACCATCGCGCGTTGGCGGACGGCGGAGCGGATCACCGCCGTGCTAGATTTCGCCGAGGAAGCAGGAGCGGGTGGCGGGAGCAGTCGCGCGAACCCGACGGAACCCGCTCCGGGCAGCTATCCGGCCCATCGCGGACGCGCTCGGGGATACGGCGGCCCCGCCCGGCGCACAGACGGCCCGCGCGCCCAGCAGCGGCCTCGCCGCCGCGTTCTGGCAGCTTGGCCGTCACAGGGCCCATCGCTCAGAGGGCGTGCTCGCGGCGAGTGGTCGGCCGGGCGGAACACGACGCGCCGGGCGGTGGGCGTATGTGTCCTGCTTCGACAGCGCGCTCGAGCGAGAAGCCGTCCACCGCCAACGTTGAGCCTATGCAAACTCAAATCCAATCTCCCATCCCCTTTGCGCGCCGCCCCAAACCCTCCACCCCCGTGGGAGTCTTGCGGCGCCTCTCACGTAAGCGGACGCTGGCGACCGCCGCGCGTGGCCCGCGAGTGCGGTTCGTTCTAGACCGTCACGCCTGTCGTCCACGCCTGCCCTCCAGCCCGTGCCACGCTCCGACTCTCTCGCCGCCACCTACCATGGCTGCCGTCAACCTTTCCAACTCGCCCATTACCCAGGTTTCCCAAACCCAGACCCCCGTCCAGAACAACCTCCAGCCCCAGCTCCTCACCCGCCTCCTTCTCGATCTCCGCGGCAAGCGGTTCACCGTCGAACGCGAGAACATCCTCTCTCTCCCCGAGTCGGTTCTTCTTTGCCTTTTCCCGAACGGCCTCGTTCTTAGCCGCCAGAGTGCCGCCCTCTCCGATGGCGGAAACGACGACGATTATGAGGAGCTTTACGGCGTAGACGTGCGTGTCCTCCATCCGTAGTCAATAATTCGTAACCCTGACATCGTGTTTCCCGCTCCGTCCCTCCTTCTCCCCGACTGTCGGCCTCTCGTGGCCACTAGTTCGACCCGGAGTGCTTCGACTACGTCCTCAACTTCTTCCAGCACGCCCGCGAGGACTTCTACGGCACCACCGCCAACCCGGGCGGCCTCCTTGCCGCCCAGCAGTCCCTCCTCGAGGGCTCCTCCCCCACCTCCGACTTCGGTCCGTCCCCGTCTTCGCAGAACCCACTGCTCTCCAAGCAGGCGATCATCGTCCTCCGCGAGGAGCTCGAGTACTTCTCCATCCCCCCGCGCAACGGCGAAGAGGCCACCGACGCACGCGGCATCGCCAACGACGCGCTCCTCGACCTCAAGAAGGCCTCCGGCCGCTACCTCCTCCACAAGCGCAACATCTTCACCGCGCTTCAGCGGAACGTGAACAAGGAAAACAACCTCGCCGAGCAGCACCTGATCGACATGCTCTGCATGAGGTATGTCCCCGTCTCGTCTCGCGCCGCGTGTGCGTCTTGCGTTCCGTTACGGCAGAGGCTGATGCCGGCGTGCTGGAACCGGTAGCGGATTCGACCGGGAGGACGAGTGGGGCTACCGCGCAATGGAGCCGTCGCGTTGCTGCATCTCTTCGATCGCGCTCGTGCTCCTCAAAACGGGCATCGTGCACTCGTCGAACGCTGCGGGCGAGCGCCAGGTCACGGTCGACTACAACCAGATGGCCACTGCGCAGAAGCTGCTTCTGTTCTGGAGGAAACCCGCGGTGCGTATCTGCTCATTCGTACGCGTGATGAACGTCTGACTGACTGTATGCGCTTCGTTCCCGCGTGCAGCGCAAGTGCTGGTGGGATGGTATCGAGGTTGACGTTGCCGAGCCTGGGGAACAGGCGAGGATCATCAAGCTTTGGGCGCGGCGGGTGTGGACACTGGAGCTCAGCCTGGTGCGTCTTCACGGCTTGTCCTCCCGTTACGGAAGCCTCACGCGACCTCACGCTTCTTCATTCGCAGGTATGACGCACGGACAGGCCCGGGACGGACACTCTCACTCTGCATGTGCTTTTTATATGATTTGCGTTGGATACCCTGATCCATTAAGGATGTATGATACCTCCTCCCACACACTCGGAACGTTCCTACCAACCCGTGCCTGCCGTCGGGCGCACGGTGCTTCCTCAACCGCGTGCCAGAGCCATCGTTTGAGTTAATGCATGCATTCGCGGCCATGAGCCCGCGGCGTGGCCCGCCGGTGCTCCGACGAGTCGGGCGACGGGCGACAGGATTGCGGTTGAATCTGGTTGAATTGACGCGGAGATTGAAGTTAGTGAGAAATCACGATCGCGATCGGCCCGCACGCGCCCACACAGCTTGGACTCTGACCACCAGCTGCTGCCACTAGCCCCGGCAAGGTTCGAAACATTCCATCGCGGTGCGTTGTGCTGCGCTCCGCGTCGACACAGGAGCTGAACGTTGCGCCAGGGCGACGACCGAGTCACCGATCAACGCCGCGGACGATACACACAGACGCACACGCACGCAACCAACCGAACAATGGACTTCGATCTCGAGGAGCTCGTGAACGTCGAGCAGACGTGCGTGTCGTCTGGTGATCTCTTTTTCCCTCCCTATCGCTCCTCGGCTGGCGAAAATGGCTCGCACGCTCGTCCTCTGCGATCGCCCCCTCTTCCTCGTATCTCTATTGCCCTGCGCCCGCGATCAGAGCTGACGCGCCCGATCTGCCCCCAGGTTCTACGACGAGGGCTACAGAGACGGGCACGCGCACGGGCGCGTGCACGGCCTCATCGAGGGCCGCGCCCTCGGACGCGAAAAGGGCTTCGAGATGTGGGAGGAGCTCGGGTTCTACGAGGGCTTCGCACGCCTCTGGGGGGCGGTGCTCGCCGCTCGAGGTGCGCAGGACGAGTGAGTGTCTATTGTCGTCCTCTCGGTCTTGGTTCGTTCGGACGGGTCTCGGTCGTGATTACGGACGCGCCCGCGGCGGAGGGCTCACGCAGGGCTCGTGCGGTTGTCATCGTCTTGGTTTCGAGGGGACACCCGCGAACCTTGGAAGTGCAGCCGCGACAGCACGGGCGTGGTGCTGCAGCGGCTGCTCTCCAATGAACGCGAAGCCAGGCCACTCCGGCATTACCACTGGACGTGTGGGCCTGCCGCATGAGAGCTAAGACGGGTCGGCCAATCAGTGTGTCGCACATTGGCTGGTCGCCCTTCACAATCGCCGCCTCTCGTCCTTGACGTTTGAGTTGGGGGAATATACTTGCCGAATCGGGACGCTCATACATGCGCATGAGGCCCTCTGGACCGCTCCAAATCACATATGTCGGAAAGCGCAGTCGAGCACGACCCCCGAGCCAGCGGTTGCGGCGGAGACCGACTGCCAGATACACTACCGGCCTTCATCTGGGCCCGCCCTCGTTGCATCGTGGTCCCCATATCGCCTCCGCCTCCCTCCCACCGTCTTCTCGACGCGCTCCACCCGCCTCCTGTCCTCGACCCTCGTCCCAACTCGCTTCATCCAGTCTGCCTCTTGGTCCCGGTGCACGCTCCGTGACAGTGAGCTGATCGTGCCCATCATCTCCGCCACCCCTGCACCCCGTAGACGAGCGCAGAACCACGTCCGACTCCTCCTCGCGCTCATCGCACAGTTCCCGCGCGTGAACCCCTCAACTGCCATCGCATCCGCCGCAGCCGACGCGGACGCAAGCACGGACGCAGGCCCGGACGTCGACATCCCCCGGCTCTTCCGCCAGATCCGCTCGCGCTACAAGCTCCTCTGCGCCACGCTCGGCGTGCGGCCCACGCTGCGCGCCGCCGACGGCTCCTCCGCGTCGCCAGAACGCGGTGACGACGGCGAGCCCCCGCACGCACAATCGGAGCCGACGACCGCAACGAGCCCGACGACTCGGCCGAAGGCGAGGAAGAACGTCTGGGCCGTGCACGACGCACGCGCAGGCCCGTCCGCGGCGGACGCACGCGCGGACGCGCTGAGCTTCTGAATTCGACGGACGGGCGCTCAGGGACGCCTGCGCGTGCCCAGGGCCGGTAGCAGCCAGGCCCGCGGTCGTGCAGGGGGGGGGGGGCCGGCGTGCTGCACCGGCAGGGTCCTCTGGGCCCCCTCCCCCCGTCTCCGCCGGTCTGTGCGACTCGCTTCGCCTCGCGGTCCTGCTGCGCCGTTCAGCTGGTCTGCCCTCCGCTCCCCGACGTCACGCACGCACGCACGCACCCGGGCCTGCCAGGCCGCCTCGACTCCTCCGATCCCCTCTACGCGCGTCCACGGCCGAACAGGCGTCCGAGTGGCCCCCATCCCGGGAGGGCCGAATCGCTCGTTGACGGCGTCCCGTCGGCGGGTTCGCAAACACGGTGCGTCCGTGACCGCGCACCGCTCGCCCCACGGATGCTAAATGGGCGCCGATGTGGACAGGTCGGCGTGGCTCGGGCGTGCCCATCTGCTCCGTGCACCGTGCAGCCCGAGTCGGAGTACCACTGACCTGACGCGCGGGGGAGTCCTCCGCGGCCCTGCCAGCCGTAGCCAAAAATGTCTGTGGTCGCGTACAATTGAAAAGAAAACAAGGGAAGGCTAATCAGTCGGGTCGGCTCCGTTCCGTGCACGCCTCCGCCTCCTCCTCCGCCTCGTTTCTCCGTTCCCATCTCGGAAATGTTGAATGCGACCCATTCAGATCCCGTTGCGCTCGGCAACTCGAAGCGCTGTCGGAGACGGACGACCACCGGATCCAGGACGGAGAGGAGGGATCTGCGCTCCGGTGGCCCCCCAGCGCCAGCGGCCGCAGCCGCGTCCGCCTGGCGGGCGACTGGAAGCAGGGCAGAAACTGCGCTCCCGTCGCTGGCCCGAGTCTCTGGTCTCCTCTCCGTGCGCTTTCACGTCCCCCGGACCAAGAATGGCCCCCGCGCATCCCGCTCGTCCTCCGCCTGATTCCTGAAGCTCGGAACCGCTGATCACACACCCCGATGGCGACACCGCGACCCATACCTATGACGCACTTCTGCGTTCTCGAAACCCCCAGGCTTTCGTACTTCGCCGAACGTACGCAGGTGTAGCGGAGCGGGGGTGGGGTGGGGGTGGCCGCCATGCCATATCGGGCACAATTGTGGCCCCCGGCCCGCGCGGCGCGGTGGCTTCTCGCCACGCCGAGGCCCCCCACGCGCGCACGAGCGCACGAACACTCGCCGGCACTACCCACTTGAGTATGTGCACTCATCGATGGCGGGCGTGAACTTTGTGCGCATCGATGCGCTCTCCGCGCCTCGCGGGTTGACGTTGATCATGGGGACGCGGGCGTGTGATGGGAGACGGACGGGTTGCGGTTGCTGTCGCGCGTCAGGGTTCCGTGAGCATCGCGTCGGAATGGCGATATACAATGGCAGATGCGTATGCGAGTGGCGAATGGGATTCCAGATCATGTAAGCCCGGAGTCAGCGCGGGACGGGCTCCTCCCGGAGCGGGCCACAATAGCGGAGGAGAGCTCGAGCCCGGACTCGTTCACACCGCCGTCCGCCGTGGTTCGACCGGAAGGAAGGCAGGAAGAAAGGAAGGTCCACGTGAGGCACGTACGGAGCCGTTCCTCGGAGGAACCTCGAAGAGCGGACGGCGCGCGTTTCCAGCCTCTGTCGCTCGCGGCTATGTACTATACGAGACGTGTGGCACTGACTCGACGCGTATATGTACATACTTGGACCGCCGCGCTCACGCTGGACGCACGGTGGAAGCGCAGAACAGGCTCGCCGCGCTGGCGCTGGTTCTCGCGCGTGCTTCGCCATTCAGCCAGGTTCGACACGCGCACGTCCGCGAGTGTGCGTCCGTGCGTCCGCCTCCGAAGCAGCCCTGCAGCTCCGAGCTCCGTCCCGCCAGCCTTCTCCCGCTGTCCGGGCACTCGCTGGCCAGCGAGTCGCCCGTCGGTCGGTGCGCGACCCTGCTCTGCCGCGCTGTCCTCCGTCCGGCCCTCCGCAAGCACGCAGCTATGGGTCCTACGGGCATTGGGAGGAGCCCAGGAGTGGGGGCTCGCCGTGTCCGCATCCCGCGCTGCACGCGGGGCGGTGCACTGCACGGGTGGCGGCACGCACCGTGGTGGCAGCGCGGAACCGCCGCACGAGGACCGTGCGCGTCGCCCAGGCGAACGGTACCTCTGAGGCCGGCGCTGGGGGATGGCGAGGCTCGTGACGGTGCACGGCGCGTTGGAGGTGACGCACAGCTGTCCGAGCTGGAGACGTGGCCTGCTCCGGTGGAAACTCGAAAGGCGTTGGGAACTTTGCTGGATGGGTTCGCGTGATGTTCGCTCGTGTACGGTGTGAACGTGCACTGGTTGTCCATGCTTGCAGCGTGGAGAGAGCCGTCGTTCGTGGGCCCCGAGCTGGATGGGTCACGAAGATCGGGCGTCGTCCGTGGATCCGCGCGGGACCGGCAGCCCGCCGTGGATCGCAATCAAGCGCCGCTGGTTCCCCGAGGGGGCGACGCAGGACGAGGTTCCCAGCGGGTATTCCGGGTATAGTAGCCTGGCCACACTTGCCACCATCCGGGCCGGTAGGGCGCTTAATTCAATTGGTATTTGCGCGGACCGTGTATGTGCATACCGGCCTGTTGTCGTGACCTCAGGCCTCAGGGTTCAAACGTTCATACACGCGGGAAGAGCATGTATGGAATTTTGCTTGTTCTGAGGTGCTAAACGCTAACTGACGGGGCTTCTCGTGAACCTACTGCTAGTCCGAGCTCTGCCATTTCAAACACACCGACAGCGGTTGGCGCTTGTCACGTGTCCCCCGTCGGAGGTCGCCGAGGGACCGTTGGCATGAAGCGCCAGCGCCTAAGGGTCGCTTGCTGAGCGCAGATTCCTGAAGGCGAACAACGGCCTGAGGTGCAACTGAGGTGAGATTGAATCATGGTCTCTGGGCTTGGCTTCAGAAGGCGTCGAAATGTCTAGAGTACTGCTTGTCAGCTTTCAAAACGCTAATTTGTGTTGCGAGACAGTGTCGGCTGAGTCCTGGACAGCTAACTGTCGAAACTATGGCGGATTCGGTACCCTCCGTGCTCCCAGACTCGGGCGACCGACGTCTACGTGCTCCACCTACCCTGTGAAGACAACCCCAAGGGCAGACGACGAAGCGACGCGGAACCCTGTCCCCCGCCACACACTAGCTTAGGCCGTGGCCCCGTTACATTACACGTAGTCCGCCGAATGCGGGATACCCGTCGTCTCTGAGAAAGCTCGTACTCAGCGCTACGCAGATACTTACAGTTCTGGCATGAATTCATCATCACCGTCATCATCAGCGGAACCCTGTCCATCCCGACCCAAGTGAGTATGGCACGAACTCTCCAGCTTCCCCGCTCACACGTTCTAGTCATCCCAGCACCAGGTCCGACTGCGGACGACCGTCACTGCCCCCACTCCCGCCCCCGCTGCGGTGCGTGTACGCGGGCATCGACGTCGCGGTGGTCCTGCGGGGCGTGCGTGTGTGCATGTATGTGCGGGCCGCCGCGCCACCACGCTATGTTGGCACGCGGCCCCGCGCCCTCCCGCGCCCCACGCCTCTTCCGCTCCCATTTTGCCTCTCCGTTAGGCTCAGAGTTCTGTCGGGCCCCTGCGCGCCCTGACCCCGCGCCGCCCCGTCCGGGGAACGCCGGGGTGTCTAGAGGCCCGAGCGCCCATCTACGCCCGCGGCGCCTGCAGGTCGCTGTCGCGCGTCTCGCTGACGGTGGATTCGTAACGTACCGAACGCCCGCCGATTTCCGCGCGACCAGCAGGTTCGTCTGCGACCCTTGGGCCGACCCCGCTGTGAGGCGTGACATGAACTCTAGGTCGAAATGATCCATGATACTTACTTACTTACAGCACACGACAGCGAGGCCGGCCTGTCATCTGTCACCGCGACGCGCCGTTCGCGCGCGCGGGTTCAGGCCCAGGACAAGGGAGGATCGATCGAAGCGAGCGGGCGTCCTCGTCTCCCGTCGATAAGCGCACGAGCGGGCCCAGGCCCCAGGGCGAGCTCGCACGCGTCGTTGGCCCTTCCGACTCGCACATACCCGTGGACGGCTGCGAGAGCGCCGGCACGTTGGATGTGCGGTCGATGGCGGCGGTCTTCGGGCGCTCGTCCGGCCCGCGCCGCGCGAGCCCCACGAGTTCCGTATATGGGAGCGGGGAAGGCCTGGGAGCTCCAACGGGCGGGTTCGGCTCCCGGGACGGACTGTGACGGTTCCTCGTGGGTGGCCTCTTCGAACGGGCAGGAGGCGGAGGCGGACGTCCGCGCGGGTACGGGACGTCGCGCTGCGTGGAACGAGGCCTGCCGCCTGGCTGATGGGTGAGCACGAGTGGTTAACTCCCGCTGATCGCGTAACAGTGAGTGTGGCATGCCGCATGCGTGCGCGGGGGGTCGGTGGCCGCCGCACCTCTGCGCGCGCACGTTCGTGAGTGTATAGGAGAGCCGGCGTCCTGCGCTCACGGTGGGCGTGGACGGTTGTGGGCGCGTGCCTGCGGGGGCGCCCCCTATTGACGTATGTATATAACTGCAGACAGGAGCGCACGGTGAGCGCCGCGATCACGATCGCACGAGAATATCTGAAGAACGTGCCGATCCCTCCGAGCATACGATCGGCCAACCACCGACGTTGGAATGACGGGGGGCCCTGCTTGCAGCCACGCTGGTGCTTCTGGGAGCGTCGTTGGCTGGTTGCTAGCAGGTCGGTCAGCGTGAGCAGAATGGTGTTCCGTTCGATTAGAACCACGCGAGGTTATTCGACACGGCGTCCGTGCGGTGGTCGGAGGGGCTGCGGGCAACGAACACGGGGATCGGATGCTTGGTATTGGATGGGCGTCCATGGCACGCCCCACCAACTTAAACACTTGAACGGGGGAGCTCGGTCACCTGCGGCAGGAGCATTCGCAATCGCCCTACGCCACCTCGGGCCCCGGCTCTCGTCTTCACTTTTGGCGGCCTCCACGGCGTGGACGCTATGGCGACGTTCCGTCATTCCTGCGCGTGCCCTCGCTGGATCGTCCGGGCAGCCCGGGGGTGGAATGGAGGACACAAGCATCTCTCCAGGGATGACCGTGAACCCAAATTTGACGGCGTACTTGCGCGTGCTTGACGACGGGGGCTCGGAGAGTGCGCAGCGGGCGACGCTCGAGACCGGAGAGCCCGGAAAGAAGGGCATCGTCGAAACGGCTGTTGGTCGGGGTCGAGGACGTACGTCGACAGTCGACGCAGGTCGCGCGTGGCTGCCAGTCGTCGGACGTTGAACTCGATGTCGGCATGAGGTACCTGGGAGACGCCCGCCGGATGGACTGCCGACCCCTGGATGATGGATGATCAGCGCTCGGCTCCGGACCAGAAGACGGAAAACAGAAAACGGCATGTCAGAAACCCGATGGCGGAGGGTTTTGAGACTTGCGATGCGGGGTAAGCAAGGGAGATCGAGCGTCGAGGCCCGAAAGAGGGAGGAAGGATCAAACTGTGCCCGGCGTAGTGCGAGCCACGTTGCGGTGGCGTCTGATGTCGACCAAGATTCGCTCCCGCCGTGAACGGAATCTGCTCGCGGCGGGAAAGCGATCTGTTCTTGTGCAGCCCGCGAGGAAATTTGAGCAAGGATCAGACCGTCGGGGCTTCTGGCGGAGTAGCGCGCGTGCTAGGCCATGTTAGTGCGCCGCCGCACGTGGCCGCGATAGCGCCAAGTGGCGGGCGTGCTTGTTCGGGCAAGGGCGCGCCCCGCCCCGCTGCGCCGCCGACGCACGAGGGATGAACGGTGGCCGCTGTGGCACGACGGTGCGCGCGTGTTCGCAGCGCGGTGGCCCCGACGGCGGAGCGGCGGCGGAGACGATGTGGCTTCAATTATGGGATGCCGGCACGCCCTGTGCTCCCGTCTCGATTCTCGACGCTGATGACCGGAGTGAGGGTATGTTCCCGCCCGGTGCCAGCGGAGGGCGCGGGAGCACACCGACGCTGTCACCGCGCGCGCACACGACGCGGCTGCGTGGGACGTTTATTGTTTTCCTTGATGGCGGGCGTCCGCGGGCGGCAAGAGTCTCGTAGCGGCGTGGCGAGGCGGAGGTCGTCGAGGTTGCCCGCCCCGCGGCGAGGACGGGGACGGGGAGCACGAGGGATATGGGCAGGAAGCGGTTGGGTAGCCTTGGTGACTGCTGGGAATGTGATGCGAGGAGGCCGTCCTGGGAGATCCAGCTGGGAGGCGAGAACCGAGGCGCCGGCTCCCCGGCTGCAGCGCAGGCTTAGACTTGACTCTGCGCCCGCCAACGCTGCCCACGCCATCTCTCTTTCCCCTTCCACTCTTCTTGCCCGCCCCGCCGCTCCCGACGCCCCCGACGCAGAGCGACGCCCCCCGCGGCCGCCATCTTCGCCCCGGAGCGCGCAGCCTCGCATGGGCGGCAAGCACACAATCGCCTACCCTCTTCAGGAATCCCTCGCTTCGGCGAAATTTACGATACCCCCTCGTCCCTTGTCTTTCGCCTTGTCCTCCCTCCCGCCCCCGCCCTCGCCCCCCTCCCCCGCACACCCAGCACACGCATACAGCCGTGGTCGCCGGCGCCACGCTTTCCATTTTGGCACCACCCGCCACACACATAACGTGAGTCCGCCACCGAGCCTCCGTCGTCCCCCCTTTGTGCCCGGCCGAGCCTCCTCGACAGATTCTGTCCGAGCCCAGCATGCCCCTCCCTCGCGCCCCCGACGCCTCCATGCTCCCGTCACTCACGCTTTGGCCACAGGTCCCCAGCCATGGCCGCCGCACATACAACTCAGCCCCGCACGCGCGAGAGGCGCCCTGCTGTCCCTATGCTCCTCGAGTCCTTTCCCGCCCCGCCCTCCTTCATCCCGCCCTCGCCCCTCCTCAGCGGTCCCTCGTCCCCCTTCCCTCGCTCCGCCTCCCCACTCCCGTCCCCTGCGACGTCTCCCCAGTCGCGCTTCCCGCCCTCTGGCCCGCCCTCGTCCCCTCCCTCAGGGCCCCTCCCTCCAGTCCCAGGCCCCTCGCCGATAAGCGAGCATGACACTCTCATGTTCATCTCCGCCGCCCGCTCGCGACGCGCGTCCAAAATGTCGCTCGCCTCCTCCGTCTCGTCCCAGCGCGACTCCATCATCAGCCTGAGCAACTTCTCCCTCCCCTCCCTCTCCCCCTCCGCAAGCACCGGCTGCTACGACTCCTCTGCTTCCCGCTCCATCCGCTCCTACTCCTCCAGCAGCTCTCTCTCCGTCCCGGGCTCCCATCAAAGACATCCGGAGCGCTCTCCGGTGATACAGCCCCGTATCACCGAAGAGGACGCCGCGGACTTGACGCGCATGTACCTGGACGACGTCCAAGGCCTCCCCGAGCACCTGAGCGACGACGAGAAAGTGCTCCAGATCGGACTGCGTCCCAACCGGCGCCGCATGCGCTACGACCACGCCCGCGACTCGATCTCCTCCGTCGACATGAGCGAGATCCCCCCGATCCGGGACTACGACGACGACGACTCGCCCGTGCTCCCCATCTCCCCCCCTCCCCCGCCCCAGGGCGCGAACATCCCGGCCCCGTCCAAGCTGCGCCGGTGCGTGTCCAGCACGGAGCACACCGAGCACACCCTCCGCAGCCCCGTCGACGCGGACCTGCCCCCTCCGCCCCCACTCCCGTCCGCGTTCTCGTCCGCGGAGACGTCCGCCCGCGCGTCCACGTCCTCCTCCGCCACCGCCGCGCCGCCGCCGACGCGCCTCGGGCGCACCGGCTCGGGCTCCTCCACGAGCTCGTCACGGCTCCCCGCGCGCTCCAAGTCGCAGCCGCAGCACGCGCGGCGCTCGTCGAGCCCCGAGATCGACGACCTCCTCGCACGCACGCCGCGCCCGCGGCGCCAGTCGTCGCGCGGCGACGGTCTGCGCTCGGCTTCGCACTCGCGCTCGCGCTCGGCCTCGCGGGTGCGCGGGCCATCGCGGCCTAGGTCCGGCGACTCGACGTCCGCCCCGGGATCTCGTCGGACGAGCGCGGGGCGGAGAGACGACGGCGAGCGCGGGAGGCGGATGGGGAAGACACCGAGGAGGTCGGGGAGCTCGACGGACGCGGCGGCGTACGAGCAGACGGCGATGGTGGGCGCGGGCGAGCCGTGGGACGAGGACTCGTTCGTCTCGGACTACGGTACGCCCTTGGACGGCACCGGCACGCCGTTCGACATGCTGGACGCGGAGGCGGAGGCGCGGCTGGACAGGGAGCTGGAGGCGAGCGACTCGGATTCGGATCTGGATTTGCACACGCCGTTGCCGTGAGTCTCTCTTTCCCGTTCTCTGCGCGGCGGGGGCTGACGGGGTGGATAGGCAACTTATGGTGCGTGACGGCCTGCTGTCGCCCAACTCGAAGCTCGTCGCGAGTTCGCGCGCGACGACGCCCGCTTTGGGCGAGCGCCCGGGAAGTGTGGTCAGCATCGCTTCCACGAGTGCGTATCCCTGCCTCGCTCGCTTCTATGCATGTGCTGACCTCCTCGCCCTTTTGCGAAGCCGGGTCGATGATGACCAAGAAAGGACTCTTCAAGGACGAGCGCGACACGACGCGCCGCCGCGTCCGCCATCGCGACGGCAAGCTCCTTCGGGGCGGTATCGGTCTCACGACCGGGCTCGGCTGGAGCGACTCCGAAGACGAAGACGCTCCCGCGCCCCTCGTCCGCCGACTGTCGATGCGGAGCCTCCGGTCGCGGCCGTCGCTCCGGAGCATCCGCTACAGCGAGGAGATGACCGAGAACGGCCTCGAAGAGTTCGGGATGCTCCCCAAGCCCCCGCCGTCCTCCGCGCCCCCCACGTCGTGGTCCTCGCGCAACGCCGCGATGGGCGGCATGGCGCGCCGCCCGAGCACGAGCTCGTCGTGGTCGAGCGCGAGCGGCTCCTCCAAGGCGCAGTCGCGCGCCTCCGTCGCGTCCTCGCTCCGCTCCGCCTCGAGCCACCGCGGGCTGGAGACGAGCGCGCTCACGACCAAGTCCCTCGGCCACATCCGCGAGCGCGACGAGCTCCTGCACTCCCCTAGCACGTCGTCCTCCAGCGCGAGCGCCCCCACGCCCACCACCCCCGCGGACGCCCGCCCGCCCTCTCGCGGCGCCTCCGCGATCCCGCGCAAGGCGAGCTTCGCGCGCCTCGACCGGCTCGCCACCGCCGACCTCGTCGCCGGCTCGACCCACAACCCGCACGTCACGACGTCGCCCGCGACCCCGGCGACGCCGCGCAGCGCGACCGTCCCGCGCCCGCTGCGCCTCCCGCAAGCCGCCGGGCTCCGGATCTCCGCCGTCGGCGGCGCCGGCTCGCACTTTGACGGCGCGCGGAGCACCCCGGCGGGCGTGGGCTCGGGCTCGGCATCGGGCTCGCGGAGCGCGCCGAGCAGCGCGACGCTGCCGGCGCCGCCGTCGCGCGTGCCGAGCCTGCAGCGGCGATCGCGCACGCCGGCGACGCCCACGGCGGCGCACGACCGGACGATGAGCGCGTCAGCTTCTCAGTCTCAGTCTCAGGCGCAGTCGCAGTCGCAGTCCCCCGCGGGCGCAGGTGTGAGCCGGAGCACGTCCGCGGGCGCGAGCGCGCGGCCGCGGACGGGGACGGGGATGGTGTACCGCACGAGCGGGGGGAGGGGCGCGAGCACGGCGCCGACGACGCCGACGACGCCAGGCGGGCGCGCGGCGCCGTCCGCGTTCGCGTTCAAGGAGCGGCCCACGATGCTCCGGAAGCCGAGCACGGGGAGCTTGCGGGCGGCGGCAGCAGCAGCGCGGTCGTCGTAGGCTCGTCTTGTTGTGCCGCGCTTCGTCCTTTTTGTCGTCGTGTCGTCCGTCCTGTCCTCGCGAGCGTGCCTGCGTCTCTCTCCCGTGATCTCCGTTGTCCCTGTTGTCTTTTCTGCCTGCCGCTTATCTGTGCGCTATGCGTCCTGACCTCCCTCCCCTCGCACCTCGTCCCTGTCTTTTCCCTGCTGATCCTCGTCCCACCTACAGTCGCCTCGCTACCACCCGTTTCTCCCCCGACCACCGCTAGCTGTAGACCACCGGATCCACACGCCTATCGCCGTCTCCTCGCTTCCCCTCTGCCGTCTGTCCTTTCCGCCCGGCATCCCTCTACGCCCACCACCCACCACGCCGTATATGCCCCCCAACACTCTTTGCTTCCCCCTCCCCCTCCCCGCCCGGCCCGGGCCCTTCGTACTTACAGGCTTTACATATTACACTTACACTTACCCCTACCCTCCACCACCACCGCCGCCGCCGCCGCCTGGTTGTAAACGCGCTCTCCGCCGGGCCCCACGCTCTAGCAGCGGGGCGGCGGCGCGAGCGCACACTGTTATTTTAGGATACTCCCCCGAGACTGGATTCGTTTGGTCCTGCCGGCTTTTATTCCCGCCCCCGCGAGAGGGGGCGGTGGAATGCGATATTTGCTCTAGAGTATACGGGGAGGCGTGTGAGTCTGGGGTGGTGTGTGCTTTGGGTGTGCAAGTGCGGGTGCGAGGGGTTTCGGTGCGTGGGCTTGAAGGGTGTGTGTGGGGGGGGGGAGGAATTCGATCGTGGCGGGCGATTTGCGTGCAGGTGCGACGCGGACCGTGGAAGTTGCGCACGGGACGAGTGCGAGCGTCGAGCGTGCACCACGGGGAGGCGGGCCCGGCTAAGAGAGCGCAGAGGGAGGTCGGGGCGAATCGGTGTGGACGCGGAGACGCTGCGTATATGAGTGCGGCGAAGTGGAGATAAGGAAAGAGGCTGGATGTAGACATGTGACGACGCACTGGTTGGCGGTAGACGGACAGACGGCAGAGAATGGGCAGCACGCGCACGGATGGGGACGTGAAGACTGTAGATGGTCGCAGGGAACTGCTAGAATAAACACATGGCCGCGATGAGTGCGGGTCGTAGCAACGAGGTCCGCGCGGGCAAAGGGCGGGCATGCCGGTGAGGAAAGGAGCGGGAAAGGAAAGAAAAAGAGGAGGAAAGCGCGTGAGGTAGACCGTGTGGTCACGAGATGCAGTGGCGAGGCAGGCGGAGGCGGTTGGTAGCACTGAGAACGTACGGAAGAGACTGGAATGTGGTGCGACTGAAACCCAAGCTGCGGGAACGGGGCTTAGGGGGGAGGCGCGGGGAGACGAAAAGTCCAGAAACGTCTACAAAATACAACGGGATGCGGAGCGATGAGGGAGGAGGGGTGGTATGTTCAAGGCGGAGAGGTGGGCTTGGCAGTCGGCGAGGATATTTGCAGGTCGAGCCGCGCGCAGGAGCAGCAGCGCAGTAACGGCGACCGAGGCCTGACGTAGAGTGCGCGCGTTGCGTGGGCGCCAGCTGTCAGCGACATAGTGGTGCGATTGTGTCGGTAACGGCGGGGTGCAGTGCGGGTGTGTCGTATCGGAGGTGGTTTGGCACGAGGCGCGCAGCGCTTGGCCATGCGGCATGCGCATCAACGAACACGCTCTAAAGTTGTGCACTGTGCTCGCGTGGTTGGACCGTACTTACGTGTGTACAGGAGAGTGCAGATGAGTACGGTTTTATGCCGTTCGCGCGCATCGTGCGATCTAGCCACGCCGCTGCTTCTCCTTCCAGCCCTCGCGCACGCCATCGCTGGGCATCATCCCCAGCTCGATCGCCTTGATCTGAAGAGCCTGAGAGTGGGGTAAAAACCAAAATCAGCACCGCAAGTGCACGCTCCGACGCGTACGCACCAGCTGCTTCGAGTATATCCGCGCCGTCGAAAAGTCGCCCGAGGCGTACCACAGCTGTGACGAGCGCACGGGAAGAAGGGAGGTGGTCGGTCGGGACGGAGGTAAAAACACACATGTGGCGACTCACCCCGGGGACCCCGCACGCGCGGTACGCGCCGTGGATCTCGCCCTCGTCGTCAAGGCCCCAGTCCGGTTCGGTGCGCGCGAGGAGGTCCGCCCCGAAGAGCGCGGCGTTCGCGTCGCGCATGTGCGTGTACCCGGTCCTGGGTCGCACAGCGTCAGCGTTGCCTCGACGGACGAAGGGACGCGGGGAGAGGGGCGGGGGCGGGGACGCACGCGAGTATGACGCAGTCCGCGGCGGTCTCGGTGCCGTCGCTGTAGACGACGCCCGTCTCTGTGAGGCGCTCGACGGAGACGAGGGCCTTGACTTGGATGGCGCCGGAGGCGATGTGGTCCGCGCAGCCCTTGTCCATCCCTCAGAACGTGGATCAGCGCGGTTTCAGGCGAGCGACAGAGCTCTTCGAGACTCACAGAAACCTGCAAGAGCCAAAGACAACGTCAGTCGACGCTTCGCGATGGCCCACTCGAACGCATGGGACGCACCAGAGTACCGTTCGAACACGAGCGGGTACACGCCCTGCCCCTCCGGCCCCAGGTCGACGCTCACCCCGCCCTTGCGCAGCTTCGCGTGGAGCTCCTCGTGGTCCCGCATCGCCGCGTCCTGCGTCGCGATCGCCGTCGCCCGCATCAGCCCCAGCGGGAGCGCCGCGAACCGCAGGTCCGACGCGGCCATCGGCACGCCCTCGGGGAACGCGCCCTTGACCTGCCGCCCAACCCAGTCCCGGAGCATGACGCACGTCGTCGAGCGCTGCACGAGCGTGACCGCGCCCGCGCGGTTCAGCGCGAGGTCCTGCGCGATGTCGGACCCGCTCTGGCCGGCCCCGACGACGACGACGCGCTGGCCCGCGAGCGCACGCCCGCCGGGGTACAGGCTCGAGTGCATGCATGCGCCGCGGAAGGTCGACGCGCCGGGGAGCGTGGGGACGAAGGGCGCGCCGAGGGTGCCGGTGGCGAGCACGATGTGCGCGGGGCGGAGGGTGACGGGGGTGGTGCCGCCGCGGAGGAGGGTGACGGTCCAGCGGCGTGTGGAGGGGTCGTAGACGGGCCGCGTGGAGAGCGGGGTGCTCGTCCAGACGACGATGTCCTGGCTGAGCGCGTAGAGCTCGAGCCACTGCGCCATCTTGTCGCGCGGGGTGAATTCGGGCCAGTTCGCTGGGTATGGCTGGTAGAGCACTGCCAGTCGGCGTCAGGGACCGAGCGCGGATGCGAGAAGAGGGGGCAAGGCTTACGAGTGTGCTGCTGCCGGGCGGTCTGCAGCGTGAGGTTTTGGTAGCGCGCGCGCCAGGTGTCGCCGACGCGCGCGTTGCGCTCAATGACAAGCGCAGGGATGCCCATTTGCTTGAAGCGCGCGGCGAGCTGGAGCCCAGTCTGCGCGCCCCCAACTGTACTGGCCCTTGAGGGACAGGAAGCCTGCTGAAGAAGGTGAACTGGGACGCACCAATCAAGACATGTGGGTCCGCCTCGATGCCGCTAACGTAGTCAGCGAACTCCTTTTGCATGTCGCGGTCAGGTTCGTGCGTGACGTCGTCCCTCCACGGTAGCGTGCTGCGCTCTTCGTGCCCAACGAGATCGTCCAGCTGTGTGAGGACTGTGAGCGCGCGGTAGGTCCCGTCCATGTCTTGGACGAGGCGAGCAACACCGCGGCCGTGCCCACGCTCGCACTCGAAGGTGAACACGAGTTCGACACCAACGGCCGACGAGTCTTGCGGGATAGGGAAGGTGCGGGGGCAGTAGTCCTGAGTCTCGTCGAGGCGGACATCTTTGATCTGGGCCTTGGAGAGACGATGGTCGAGGTAGGCGGAAATGTTGTCTCGACCGTGGAGAGAACGCATGTCCCACGTGAACAAGAGGAGGTCGCGGAGCCAGCCATCAGGAATGAAAAGCTGGGTGAGGCCGAGCACGTCGCCAGTTGTCAGCGTGGAAGAGCACGCCGCAAGCCAGCCTGTAGCGATGGAATGGGGGTCGAGGGCAGCCATGCCGCGGGTGTGGGGAGGCTGAACCGAGGCTTCCTGAAGATTATCGATGATAACAGAGAGTGTGGAGGTTGAGTGGATATAACGGGGGAGGTTCCCTCTATTTTTGGGAGTGTCGGAGCCTGGCTACGCTGGCACTTTTAGTGTGCACACTGCAAGCCGATCGGAGCCACGCTCTGCTCGCCACGCAGAGGGGACTGACTGGCGCTGTAGGCGGCCGTCCATGTCTCAACGTGGACGCCGGCGCGCGACTTCTGGCCAGTCATCTGAGCGGGAATTAGCACTGCCCGTTTCTTCGCACAACGAACTCCTACCTTATAAATCGTAAGATCGCAGCTGAAACCCCCCGAGTCATTGAATCATGTGGTTTGCCAGTGCAGCTCGGCACTGCATGCGCTTGGCGGAGATTGTCCGATCGGACGGCGTTTTGTAGCGCTGGCTGCTGGCGTACACCCTGGCGCCAAAACAGCGCACTCCAGCACCCCGTCGTTCGAAGGCTCAGGGTAGGGACCTGACCTGATCAGGTGGAACTCCGAGTGCACAAACTGTGGGGGCAAAGCCGACACATCGCCGGTTGGAACTTGGGACTAGGGAAAGTGGCCGAGGAGCGCGCACGACGAAAGGGAGATAGCAATGTCGAAGCTCCCGTCTATTTGATCCTCTGGCGGATCGGAGCGCATGAGAAGGTTGCGCAGGAATCGTCGGTGGCTCCTTGGAAGATGCTCTGGTCGAGGTTCTCGAGAAAGCTGAGCGTGTGGACTCTGAGCGTAGTAATCTTGCGGGCGAAAGCATTCCCCTAAGCAGGAAGCAGATCTGAAGCGCTGATATGCAAACGGGGGTGTTGTGCCACTGTTAACACACCAACGTGAAGAAACTTTCCGCCACATTGTGAAGAGGACTTTTAGCTGAGGACTTTGCGCCGACCAGGACACATCTAGAGCTTGACGAAGGAGAGAGAAGCCCGGCTTGCGGAGAAAACCTGGGGGTTTTAGGAAACCCTTCTGTCCTGATATGAATTTTCGTAGTCCTGTGAATAAACGCCACGACTTTACAGGATGAACCACTTACGGCGAGTCCAATGTGAGTCAATAGATGGGCTGGGACATTATGGTTACGCATACGTACTTTGCGGAGCCAATATGGTCGTTCAATCCACGGCAAGGACGCTTAAAACAGCGCCCTGCACCATTATCAAGGTAAGTGAAACGGTTATTTGGGTTGAGGATGGTTCAGACGGCGTACCCAGTTGTCACGAATCACACCAGCCACCAGCCGGCACCCAGAACTACTCGTGCAAGTTGTCGTTTATATGTTATTCCCGCATATTTTCATCGGCAGGGTTCAGCCAATTGATCCAGCGCGGGTGTGGAGGAGGAGGGAAAGTAGCGCCGCTTGGGATAAGCGTGACATATACGTGGAGACCAGGATGTGACAGACACATAGGGCGTGACACGTCGTGCGCCAGAGTCTGACGTGACACCATTGAAATTCGTTGACACTCTTCCGAACGATCACCATGATCCTGTGCTCAAACTCCTCAACCATGTTTTCGGGTGGTTGGTGCCTGAATCAAGACCAGTTTGCGAGCCGCTAAGTAAGTACATTGCCGCTCGGGCCCACGGTTACTTATTGTGGCAGCGCCAGCTGGCTGACAGAAGGGGATCAATTAGCGTTCATATCCGCCCCCTGCATGCGCTCTCGGCTAAGCTCGCTCTGACTCCCGTAGTCGCCGTGCTGTAAGTCACTTGAATCTATTCTCGGTAGGCGCATCGAGCTTGGCACATGGTTATCTCGCTAACTCCGGCCTTGATTCCAATGTAGGCTACGCCCTTGCTGTAGCTGCCGATTCAACTCAAAAGCCTGACGGCCGACGGAACCCCGTACGGAGCTCCGATATGGGCCCATCTTTTGATCGGGCGTCGAAGATGGAGCAGCTATTAAGCTCTCGGGTGAGTCATAAGCACGATCGAGCGAGTATGAAAAGTGGTGATCTGGCTTGCATCTTGTAGGTATCCCGCACCGCATTCATAGTCACCCCACCATGTCAACCACCTACGTCAACAACTTCAGTTCCTCTCCACCTCCCACTCTGTCCCATGACGAGCTCTACCCCTCGCCCTACGATGTCAACTTTGCCTACCCGATCCTCGAAGACGTTCTTCAGACCCCGCGCCTGAAGCTCGTCCCCTTCCTCCCCGCGGTCCACGGCGAGGCATACTGGGAGCAAGTCAAAGACCGCCTCGACCTCTTCAAGTACTACGGCAGCGTCAACCACTCCCTCGAGAGCTTCCTCACCTGGCTCGAGCTCACCCAGCGCCGGCACCCGTACCACTGCTCCTTCGCCGTCGTCGACCGCACGCGCCCCGACCCCGCGCGCCCCGCGCTCGGCGGGAGCCTCGCGGGCCACCTCGCGCTCACGAACGCGATCCCGGGCGACCTCGTCACCGAGATCGCGTACGTCGTCGTCTTCCCCGCGTTCCAGCACACGCACGTCGCGAAGGAGATGGTCGGCCTCCTCCTCCGGTACGCGCTCCAGCTCCCGGGCGCGGCGCCGCCGGGGTGCGGGCTCCGGCGCGTGGAGTGGCGCGCGCACCCGGACAACGGCCCGTCGATCGGGACGGCGAAGCGGATGGGGTTCAGGTGGGAAGGGGAGTTCAAGTACGCGAGGGTGCTGCCGGAGGAGCTCGCGTATGTGGGGGACAGGGGACGGCCGGGGGATCCTGCGGATGGGAGGCCGGCGCGGCGGACGACGATTCTGTCCGTTTGCTGGGACGACTGGGAGGAGGGCGGCGTGAAGGAGCTGGTCGACGCGGTCTTGAACAAGTAATATGCGGTTCGTATCAGTGCGTTTGCCGGTCACGACGAGTCGGCCACACTCTGACCGATGTATAATATTCAGGCTCGCCCGTTTCTTTGTCCCCTGTAATGATGTACAGAACCGAATGCTTTCGGATTTCGCTACCCAATGATTTCACGTCGAAACCTACTTACGAGCCAAACCAAAGATGTCAACATAGAAATCATCTATGTACGCCGACCGGGTATACGCGGTGCTTAGTACAGCTTATGGATGCTCGACCTGCCTATCGCTCGGATTTGCTAAATATATTGAATGAACAGGATCCTCTCGCTACTCTAAACTCGATCAGTCGAGGAAATACTCGTAGACCGCGACTTGGAACTCAAGCTTGTCGACGTACGTCGGCTCGATCTGGCCTCTATACGCCCGGACGCTCGCACGCGCATCCTCCCCTTCCACCTCGCCCTCCGCGCACAGGTTCATCCGAAGGCGCCCCAGCCTCCTCGCCCCGCCCTCCGTCCGCGCGCGCAGCACCGCCGTCAGCGCCTCCATCGTGCCCAGCCCCCAGTCGAGGGCGTCGAAGTCGAGCTCGCCCAGGTGCGGCACCGCGAACCGCCGCGCCGGCCCCAGGGCCGTGGGCGCCACAAGCGGATCCGACGCGCTGCCGGTGGAGTCGGGAGCCCCGAGCGGGAGCCCGAGCGCGCAGATCGCGGGGAGCGCGGTGCCGAGGCTCGCGCACCGGAGGGAGCGCACGTGCGGGAAGTCGAGGAGGAGCGCGCGCAGGGGGACGGCGGCGACGGACCTGAAGTCGCCCGAGAGGACGAGGCGGCGGAGCGGGGCGCCGGCGAAGACGCTGCGGAAGGCGGGGAGGAGCGCGCCGAGCGTGCACAGGTGGGAGGCGACGTCTGCGCGGGGGAGCGCGAGCGTGAGCGCGCCGAGGCGGGCGTCGTCGTCGTCGGGCTTGGACGGGTCGGACGGGCCCCGGGCGGTGAGGGTGAGGGTGGCGTCGGCGTCGGCTGAGCCGAAGTCGGCGGCGGCGAGCATGGGGAAGCGACTGCGATCGGCGGGGAGGGGCGCGTTGAACGCGGCTACCAGATCTGCGAGGTTGTCGATGGGCTCGGTTGGCGTGCCGAGGTGGATGGCGATGTCGGGTCGAAAAGAGAACCACGAAAGGAACAAAGATATCTTGTCTGGTGCATCGAAAAGGTCGAGTTTTCGGAGGGCAGTGAGGTCCTTGAGAGGGGCCGATGGGAGGTCCATTTTCAGTTGCGACAAGACGTGGTGAAGACAGAGGACTTGAAGGTTTGGCGACGCATCCAGAAGCTTCAGGAGATCGCTCCCTGATGCCAGTTCGTTGTCGAAGGTGCATAAACGAAGGTCGAGAACATGGAGATTCCTCAAAGCTGTGACTGATGTGAAGTTGATGCGCAGGATTCGGAGGCTGCGAAGGCGAGGATACCGTGCATCTGAGAAGTCCACAGAGACAGGGGGCGGGGAGGGAGGCGGTCGAATGGGCAGTTTAGATCGGACGTCGAGCTCTTCAAGTAGGGGCATCGGGAGGTTCAGCACATCAAGCCTAGGTTCAAGGTCGTGAAGGTTGTTGACCAGGAATGGTTTGGGCACCTGGAGACTGCGGATTCGGGATGGATCTTTGAAAAGATCCTGGAGAGATGCCTTTGACAGGAGTTCGAGGCTGTGGAAAGACAGCTGAAGGGCGCTACCGCAAGTGCGAGGGAGGATAACCTGGAGACGTTGGATAAAAGCGCCGGTCGAAGGATATCCGCGCAGCCGTGGATAGCTCGGGTGAGGCACATCGATGTCGCACCATAAGGCGGCAGTCTGGTGAGCAACGTCGCGCCACTCCCGACAGACCTGGACGACGTGCGTCCACCCAAAGGAGTAGAGATTCTGGAATTCGTCGGCGAGGATGCCGTCGCCTTCAGCGGCGTCTGCGGCCATCACGTGTTTGAGCATGGTGAAGATGTGTGCGAGGAGCTCTTGTGGAAGGGAAGCGACGATGGAGTGGCGAGGAGATGCCATCGTGTGTCTGAACTATCCACGAAGCTGGTAAAAACCACACGTTTCGGTAGATAGGCGAGAAGCTCACGAAGGCGAGGTGGGAAGAGCGAGAGGTGAGGAAACAGTACTTTACGGAGAGTGGCCTTATAACCACGATCCTGGCACGGTGTCATGCCACTGAAGCGAACGCCATCCACTGAGCCACAGCTGGACCAGGACCAAGCGCGGATGGGTTGAAGCGTGATGTGTCGCGATGGCGTTGCAATGCCAGCGAGCGCCGGGGCGCTAGTATACGCCTGCTCCCTATTATGTAGTATTACGCTCGCCATGGGGTTAGGAGGGTGACTGGGGTCCTACATACATACTAGGCCCTCGCTCCTGTGCCGCACTGTGCACCGGGAACCGTTACGTGCGTTGCCCTTCTTCTTCAACCAGTACCTGCGTCGTATCGCATTCTTTCGCCGTGCAACTCAGAAAAACGATATGCCCCTCCCTGCCGCAGATGCCCTGCTGTTCTGCCCTACACGCGAAGAAATCCGTCGACGCATTGGCGAGATCGAGGCCGGGGTCGTCGAGAAGCGGGGTGCGAGTGGGCTGACAACCGCTCTGGAGGAGGGAATGCGGAGACTCTACACGGACTGGAACAGTACGCTCTCCATCAACCGCCTTCCGACCGAGATCCTCCTCCGCCTGTTTGCCGCCTGCTTCCAGCCCGCGCGCCCCGTGTCCGACGAACTGCCCAAACGGACGCACAGACGGCGCAAGCTGCTCCTCCTCGTCTGCCGCAAGTGGCGCGATCTCATCGAGGCCACACCCACGCTCTGGTCGTTCATCACCCCTCACATGCCCCCGCACCTCTACACACTCGTCTTGTCGCTTGCCAGAGAGGTTAACGTGGATATCTCATTCCAGCGCGAACCTAGGTCTCTATGGATAGGATCCATTTCCCCCGACCTCGCACCCCTCCCCCTCCCCCAGGAAGACATGCAACAGCTCAATGACACTGCAGACTCGGAAGATGATGGAGTCTCGGGCAAGGGCGAGGACGAGGGCGACTTCACTCACAACCTTTCCTCGGAGCTACCATGGATTGTCGAAGATGACGATTCATATTCAGCCTTGTGGTCGGAAGCCGCTGGGATGGCCATCGCTGCGGAGTCGTGCAGGACGAGCGCTCTTGTTCTTTCGGATGACGACGTTCGCCGCTGCTATTCCCTGCCATTTCTCGAAACAATTTTCCGTGACAGAGCATGGCCCACTCTCGAAGAGCTCTGTATCGACTTCATCATGATTGAGACCCTTGACTCGGTCTCCAGCATTCTCTGTCTCACCCGGGCGTGCTTCCCGAGACTCCGACATCTCGAGCTCGAAGGCATGATCCTGCCCATCGAGCCGACGCTCTTCCCTCTCCTCAGGTCGCTTCGCCTCAGTGGTCCTACAATGCAGTGGCCACCTCTCGAGGATCTCCTCATCTGTCTTTCTTCGGCTCGTTATCTTGAGGATCTGTCCCTTTCCCCGGACAGAGGTGGATGGACCGAGGAGGCGTTGCGAGTACCCCACTATCCACCACCCACATCCCCAGTCCGTCTTCCGTTGGAGCTGCCCCATCTGCGCTTCCTGTGCCTACAATCCAACAATAACGACGACCTGATACCGCTTCTTCGTGCCCTTCCTCTCGTCAGGCCAATCACTCTTGATTTCCTCTGCATCTCGAACGAAGACTGGCGTCAAGTTACCCGGCCAAACCCCGAATCCGGCCGCAGTCTGAGCATCCTCGACGCCTTCTTCCCGACCCGCGCGCCGGACGAAATGCCGTTACCGATCCCCCCTTCGGTACGAAAGTTAGAATCTTGTGTCTCCAAATTCACGGGGTCCTCCGTGAACGACCGCGACGGCGGAACGCTCGGAAGAACCAGGCTGTTCTCTTGGAGTGCCGCTCCATACGGTGAGGATGATAGTGATGATGGCAACAACATCAACATCGAGAACAGCTACGGTTTATCCAACGCCATCGACGATGTCCTCACGCTCTTCCGGCACATCCCCCTCACCCAGCTTAACTTGGTCATCTTCGAGTCGGTGCACCTCGCGGACGGCCGGTGGGACGAGATCTTCGGCACATTCCCTGCGCTCGAATACCTTCACCTCTCTGGAGGGGGCACTCCCATCGCCCTCCTCCGCGCGCTCACCCCCTCCTCCGATGGCTCCACCGCGCCGTGTCCGGCCCTGGAGAGCCTGAAGTACGATGTGACGGTAATAGACGAGGTGGACGCGCAGGAAAGCTTGCAGGCGATGATCCACTGCCTCCACGCACGGGCGGCCTGCGGGATGCGCCCCCTAGGTGCGCTCGACATCTGCACCAACGTGAGGGTGTTGGGGGAGCGCAGTGGTGAGGTGGATGCCAGGTCGTTTCTCGCACAGATGCGCGAGATGGTGGCGGGGGAAGTCAAGTTCGAGTATGAGGCCGTCCCAGTGACATGATCATACGTGCACCGGGCATACTACATAGTACAATAACTCAGCAATATGACTCGGAATTTGGCGAACTCTTATTGTCCGGTGTACGCTCGTTGACCTCGTCGAGTCGTCGCGCCCAGCTGGACTCTCATCTCCGAGCTGCAACATGCAAGCAACGTGGAGATACTATCCGCCCCTTCTCAAGATAGCCTCTCCCTGCGTATTTTCGCGTCAATTTCGAGCGTGCTGTCGAAGGCACATAGCTGAAAAATACCATAGATTTCTAGTTCCCCGACAAAACGCGTGGTCAGCGCGCGGGAGGGCGGAGACCCCTGTCGCGCGGCGGCACACCTCTCTTGCCTTCCCCCACGACGTTCCAACCCATTCCGCTCTACCTTCCTCATGTCCATCCTACTCTATCGTACAACGGACCCTCGACTCTCTGTCAGCGAACCAAGCAGACCTCAAGCTCAAGTCCGCCCGTGCCAGTGTGAAGCCGCACGAGTCTCTCTCCCACAGGATCCAGCCCTTCCCTCATCTCCAATACGCGATTCACTGGTGCGACGCATCGCAGACATAGGCGACAGGGAGCGCGCTCTTCAAACCGAGCGACTTCAGGTGTACACGTCCTGGAACTCCACCCTCACCATCAACCGACTCCCGCATGAGATCCTCTCCACCATCTTCGCTGCGATTCCACGCTCGCCCGAAATGCTGGAAAAATACGTGGAACCGCGGGGGTGGCGCGAGAGGTTGATGCTGGTGTGTCGTGAGTGGCGCGATACAGCTGCGTGCAGAAAGCTTGTCCAGGCGCTGAAAAACGCGACGCGCGTCGAAAATTAAATCGAAATTGGTCGGAAAATCGCCAGCGGTGATGAGCACGTTTCTTCTCCCTCTCTCCCTCGCTGGCTCGCCCCGATGGCCCTGAAAACTTGAAAATCGCGTCGCGCACGCACTCAGGTACGAGCGGACGCTTTTCCGCGTTCTCAACGACTGAGTTGACGCATCGCGCGGCAGGTTGGGGTGGGGCGGTCATGGTCGACGATCTCGCCTCTGTTAATCACCTCGAAGTGCGTCAAGCCCTGCCGGGATGTGTGTAGGGCGTGGAAGAGGCCTTTACAGGTGAGAATCAACTGGTTTCAACCCCTTCTGCATTGCTCTGGAGACGTCATTTACCCCCGGCGACTGTCACTTTCTTCCGAATCCCCGATGAGTCCGAGCGCGAGCGCACTGTGAATGTATTACTATATCTACCATTCCTTGGGTCCCAGACCTTGGATATGCATGTGCTGTGTGAGCCTTTTGATTCAAAAGTCGCACCCTTGCTCGTAGGGCTGGAGAAGTGTTCGATTGATGGGGTGAAAGGAAGGTATGCATACGTCTACAAGTTACAACTATCATACAGTTCCTTGTGCCTATACGTAGTTCTAATGCGAACGATGCAACTCGCATAAGAGATAGACGAGCAGCTCACCGAGACCGGCATCCTCTCATTGCGTGAACTGAGTACTCGCCCGCTGCTGCACCTCCACGGCACCAGCAGTGTTCATCCTCCAAGGTTTTGACAGATGCAGAGACTGGATGGATCACAGAGAGGTGAATCCGTGTCTTGCTCATGTAGCGTGGCCATTTGAAGCACGTCGAGGTGATTAACGGAGGCGAGATCGTCGACCATGACCGCCCCACCCCAACCTGCCGCGCAATGCGTCAACTCAGTCGTTGAGAACGCGGAAAAGCGTCCGCTCGTACCTGAGTGCGCGCGCGACGCGATTTTCAAGTTTTCAGGGCCATCGGGGGGAGCCAGCGAGGGAGAGAGGAAGAAGAAACGTGCTCATCACCGCTGGCGATTTTCCGACCAATTTCGATTTAATTTTCGACGTGCGTCGCGTTTTTCAGCGCCTGGACAAGCTTTCTGCACGCAGCTGTACGATGATGGGCACCCCGACGTTGTGGTCTTTACTGTGCATCTCCCCCACCATGTCTATCGACTGCCTCTCCCTTCGCCTCGCTCGCTCCGCAAACGTGGGTCTCAAGCTGTACATTCTCGCGGGGTCCCATAATGCGTGGATGAACAAAGGGCCGAGGGTATTGCGGCTCGTCGTTGCACAATCCGAGAGAGTGTGCTCGATGGTGCTTCCCTGTCTCTCCCCATCGCTCGACACTCTCGAATTCCTCCTGGGAGACAGCACCTGGCCGCTTCTCACCCACATGCGCATCTTTATTCCCCCGCGGGACGTTCTCAGTCCTGACATTGAGCACCTCTTTGACTTACGACCCCAACGGTTCCCCGCACTCGACCATCTCTCCCTGGCAGGGACACTTCTTCCACTCCATCCACAGCTCATCCGTACCATGAAATGGCTCAAGCTGTCCCCTGCACACACACCGGATCCGACGTTGTCACTCGGCGACTTCTTCGCGGAGTACTCCGGCACCTTGCCTCTCCAGCTGAAAGAGCTAATTATCTCACAACCCTACTCAGGCTGTTCGCAACACCGGAACTCGTTCGCGCACAATCTTAGATTCCCGCATCTGCGCTCACTCACCATAGCCAGCCGTCATCCGCACGAAACGGCACCGCTCTTACGCGCCGCCCTATCCTCTGTTCCCGTCGATGTGTACATCGATGTCAAGTGGTGGGACCAATTCTTGCCTTTTTCAACGACTCCGGACCGACGAAGCATCGTGGAAGCGCTCTTCCCGACGCACAAGCACTTTGAAGACCTCCAGCTCCCTCACGTTTCCTCCCTCGTCGTCGGAGTAGCGTTCCACAGGAACCTGCTCCGAATCACCGCCAGCCACCACCCACGGCAAACGCCAGGATCGCCCGCGCGCGAGACGAAGCTGTTCACGCTCTCGGTCGCCGTGGAAGACTCGCTCCTCGCCCCCCTCGTCGCCTTCTACTCGCTCTCGGACCTGCTCTCGGACCTCCCGCTCCTCTTCCGCGGCGCGCCCCTCACGACGCTCTACCTCCTCGCCTCGCACGCCGACGCGTCCTCCGCGCCCGTCGAGAGCTGGCGCACCCTCCTGCGCGGCTTCCCCGGCCTGGAGGCGCTGTCGGTCCTGGGCGCCGCCGACCCCGTCGCGCTCTTCGACGCGCTCCGAGTCCCGCCGGAGGACGCGGCGCACGGGCCGCTGAGCGCGGGCCTGCGCGAGCTCGAGATCGGGGACTTCGAGTACGAGGTACCCGAGGATGGGGACGCGGTCGTCGCGGTGCAGCCGCGGGGCTCGCCGGAGCTGGTGGCGGCGATGGTGGAGTGCTTTGGGGCGCGGAGGGGGGCGGGGGTGGATCCTCTCCCGCTGCTGAAGCTGCACCTAGGGTGGAAAGTGAAAGAGGTCGTTGGCGTGGAGTATGAAGAGGAGCGTTGGCCAAAGCCGGTGGATCCAGAGCCGGACTTGATGGAGGAGGCGGAGACGGCGGAGCGGACGGTGGAGGATGTGGAGGATGGGGGAGATGTAGCTGTGGTTATGAGTCGATGCGAGGCTCAATTGAAGGAGCTGGTGGGCAAGTTAGAGTACAAATACTTTTGTCATGGTTGATATGGACATGTTGTCATTCATCTTTCGATCGCCGGATGTGTGCTACTGCTACTGAGACATCGAACGCTCGACACACTCACAGCGCCGCGATCCGCTCGACGTTCAACCGCGGCCCCTTGCCGTCCTCCACGCTCTCCATGAACCCAAAGTCCAGGTTCCCGGCGTAGCCCATCTCCCGCATCCAGCTCTCCAGGGTGTGCCCGCCCGGGTACGCGTCCCTCAGCCACGTCCAGTCCCGCGTGATCACCTCGTCCCGGTACTGCGCCCACCAGTACGCAAAGTTCTCGCGCCATGTCAGCGGACGCGCGAACCCCTCTTCCTCCCGCGGCGCGACTCAGTCGTCCACCAGTGTCTTTTTGGCGAAGAGTTCACGAGCTTTTGCGGTAAATGTATTATTGGCTGAGTGCCGCTACAAACCCTTATTGAATGCCTGACTGTGGCGTGTAGACAATGGAAAGCACGAGCCCGTGGTCGCCATGGTCCAGGAAGGTTCATGGAGTACGAAAGACAACAAGTGGGTACTCATGATACATCGTCAGCTCACTGTAAGTAATATCGTACAAATACATTCATCTAGCACCTGTTCCGCCGGGTTCAGAGCCGAGGGGCATCTTCAGTTGGCGCAGCACGCGGCCTCCGTGCCGTCCGGGAACGCCAGTCTACTGTTCTTGTCGTCCGCGCCGGGCACGTCCATCGACGGATTCATCTCGAAGAAGTTCGTCGGCCGGAAGAGCACGCGCACATGCTCCACCGGCATCACCGGCCAGTCCTCCGGGCGCGGGATGTGCGTGACACCTACACGGATCCCAACGTCAGCCTCCATCCACCCGCTCGCAGCAGAGGGAAAACACAAAAGCAGACGCACCCATCGTGAGGTACACCAAGATGTCCTCCTCCGTCAGCTTTGCGTCGCCCTTCGCCCAGTGCGCCATCGAGTCCGCCGGCGACTCCCGCGTCTGCGGCACGTACTTGCCCGACGGCCACATCCGCCCGCCCTTCGCGCCCTCCTCGTCGCGGACGACCCAGACCGGCTTCGCGGCCCACGGCGCGCGGCGCGCGATGATGCTGTCCGGGCGCGCCATCAGCGGCACCCCCGCGCCCTTGCTCATGATCGAGTAGCCCGCGACGCGGTTCGAGTGCGGGTGCACGCGCGCCGGGTTCACGATGGCCCAACGCCGGTCCGTCGTGTAGTCGTACTCGCGTCCACCGGCGGAGGCGGGCGTTACGGGGGTGTTGACGGTGGTGAACGCGTTGCCGGCGTAGTTGGCGGCGGAGCCGGTGGGTGCGTTCGGTAGGGGGACGACATCGGTCTCGACGACGGAGTTGCTGAGGCCGTCGACCATGGGGTCGACACGGAAAGAGAAGATGTGTTGGTGGTAATGCGCGTTGATACCCGGCGCGAGAGTCGTGCCGAAAGGGTTAGGGTTTGGCTCCTCCTCTGCTTTCGCGTAGACCTGCAGAATGCCAGACAGGCGGATCTCAAGCTCGATATTCCCATCCTGGTAGAAGACGTAGTTGAAGATGTACTCTGTGGAAAAGTTCAGAACTGCAACTACAAACATTCTCGGTGATTCAGCATACCGTAATTCGCCAGTGTGCACGTCTGTTGGATGACGAGCCGTCGACTCCGAACCGCCTGCGAGCGTCCACCGACACGGAAGTCGGTGTGCTTCCACAGCAAACCAGCGTCTTCTTCATGAATGCAAATAGCGTTCTTGACGACGACGGCCGATCCATCGTGAGCAACGTAAGCCCCAGGCTGTGGAGGAACGCGTGAGCTACACTGACGTGTATGTAGTAGGGATAGTACGAACCAGATAGTGAATCTGACCCAAACAGTCGCATCCCAGAGTGAGCTCGTTTGCCATCGTACCCATACCGTACTCCCCACTGAGAAACGAGTCAGCTTAGAGCGTCCTGTCGAAGTGAGCAACTTACACGTCGAAAGCATGCTTCCTGGGGTGAGGATGTTCAGGCGCGCCGTAAGGAACGACCATCTCCGAGAGCGAGAGGCGATAGAAAATCGGCCGGACGTTGCCATCGTCGTTGTAAGTGATCGTAGAAAGCGCGATGCCCTCGCGATGGTGGAATGCTGAGAAAAAGTTCTAATGGGTATATGCGTTGAGAATAACTGCAGGAGGGCTTACCGATGTGCATCTTCCACTTTTGCCACTCGACGACGTTCCCATCGACCTTGAAACTGACACCTTCCGGCTGGATAACGTGAAGTGGCTTGACGTCATCGCGGAACTTCATGCCCTCCTTCGCAAGCAGGTCGGGCAAGAAGTCATACGACCTCTGTGGCGGAGGAACCCGTGAGCGCTGTGCGCTATCAAAGGTGTCCTCCTTCAAAGGCAGGGGTACTGTGGTAGGGACAGTAAGGTCGACTGCCACGCCGGTCCCGTCAAAGACGGATTTGGATGGCGACTTCTTATAGCATGAGGGGAAGTCGATGTGAATGACCTTGCGGGCGACCGAGTCGACAACGGGTACGAAATCCTGAACATTTCGATGAGCCCGAAGAGACGTGACCTCGAAGTAGACATGGACGAACCAGCGGATGCGCGTACAGATTCTCGTGTCTGCCCCAGCGAGCAAACAAGATAGCCTGTTGTACGCGTACATTCGCCGGAAACCGATCGTCGAAGCCGATGGCCCAGCCGTCAGCATGAAGCTGTTCTGCCTTGACGCCTGGGAGACGAGGTTCAATGGCCGTTTATGAAAGAAGGAGGGCGACGCACCGATGTCTGCAGCAAGTTTGATCACGCGTTCGTCCGCTCGAATGATCTCTTCACAAAGTAGCAGCTCCTCCACTGAAATCTGAGGCTGGACGCCTTCGGGAAGCTTGTCAAGCGTCTCCACCTCCCACTCCTTGTCTTTAAGCGCGACAATGGTGTTGTATGCGGTCCTGTGACGAGGTCAGATGCATGCGGCGCAGAATTGCCGCATGAAAGGCGCTCACCCGGTGACGGCATCCACGAACTGAGCAGACGCCAAGGTCCGGAGGTGAGCGTCCGTGCTGCGCACACAGTGATAAGAATCGGGACTCACGTCAACTTCTGCCTTCCTGACGATGTGCGCAACGGGCTCGGGCTTCTCTCCGGTCAAGAGCGGGATACCAAGGAAGGCGAGAACGGCTTTCTTGGGCGGTGGGAGGAGGTAGCTGGTAATAAACCGAACGGCCTTGATGCCGGCCTTCTCTGCGGCATGACGGCGGACAGAGTGCGAAACCGCGACGATCTGGGGAAATCGCGGATCGAGATAAGCCCGGGAACGGCACTTGGGACCGAGGGGGCACGCAGGAAGAAGAGAGCTCTCACCTCATCTGGAAGAAGGGGATCGAGGGGGTGCTTAAACGGTTCGGTCTTGGTGGGAACCGCGGCGGTCTGCACGGTGGTTGCGGTACTGGGTGCGGTGAGAGGGACAGACATGGCGGCAAGATGAGCAGACGATGGGTGAGAATGATCAATAGGAGCACCTTTAAATAACCCAGAGCCTGACCGTGGGGAGTCTCCAGCTACCCATGCCGCCACCGCTATCTCGGGAAATCTAGTCGTCGTGCCGTCCGGGCGCCCGCGCCCCTCCGCGCCCTTGGTCGAGAACCTTGAGTGTGCCCGGGTATAGGATCTTTCCTATCTGTTTCAAAAAAGCGTCACTATCCATGTGGAGCAAATTTTCCACCAGAACAAACGTACTGGTGTATTCAGATTGGAGCGTAACGTCAAGCCAGACACTGGCTCTTTCTCCGCGCTGCAGAACGGACATGAGGATACTGACATGACCATGTTACACGGGCAGGCCTGGGACTTGGGATCTGCGTCGTGCGAAGACTGAAAAATGGGAGAGGAGGGAACATGGAGGCAGTCATGGTCGTGGAAGAGGAGCAGGGAGTTCCATCGCGTTGCCGCCCGTTCCGGCCCGCGCTTCTCCATGCCACTGAACCACAATCACGCTGGTTACCGGTCTTCGATGCGTTCAACCACTCGCCGCAAGGTCAACCTAGATCGACTCTTGTGGATTCTTACCGGTCCCACCCCTCTTGGTCAACATACTGTACAGGCGTCATGTGTGCTGTCCGAGAATTCAAAACCACCACACCTGCCTCACAGCAACGCAGTTGATGCTGCGGAGCCCAACCACTCGGGCACTGACTGACCACAATGTTGATCTGGCGCTGGCTTTGTCCCTATCTTTCCCGTCTTGCGGCAATTTGGTTTGTGGTTTTCGTCGTTGACAGGCTCCAGCATGGCGAGTGTTCGGGATGTGTGTAACACTTGTCGCGACTGGCGTTACCACGCTCTTGGTCAAATTCTTTGTCTACCCTCCCGACATCCAAGACGTCCGGTCTTGGGGAACCCATGAATAAAAGCCTCACTGCCGCGAAGTGGCAGTATCCCGCTCCCTGCACATCCACTCTCAATCTCAATCCGCAATTCCAACCTCTCCTGTGAGTGGCTCTCAATTTGGGTTCGTATCCTCCGAGCTTACGGTGAGCAGTATCACTGCCTCATGTCGAATATTATTCCTGCACCGGGTTGGAGTTCTCTCCCCGAAGACATCCTTTTCATGATCTTCGACTTTGCCAAACACGACATCCAACTGAAGACCGCAACCGAAAGTTATCCCCACACAGAGTCCTTCCTCCTCCAGTACTTCACCGTCTGGGCTCCCCTTTTGTTTGTTTGCCGACACTGGAACGAGGTCGCGAGCAAGATGGCCCTGCTGTGGAACAAGATCGGCGTGGCGGATTCAGCGGTTGATCAACACGGTCAGCTTATCGTCCGGCCGGAGCAGTATTTCCAGTACTTCCTTGTCTCGGTCTTGCGCTCTTCTACGGCCCCCCTCCAACTCTACTTCGCTGGCTCCACGCTTCTTCGCCGTGCCCTCCCTGTCATTGAACAACATGCATTCCGTATCAAGGTTTTGGTCATGGCGGCGAGCGACGAGGCGGATCGCCAAGAGGTAATCCACAAGCTGTTCGAGCTCTCGTTCCCTGCTATCCAGCGTGTCGAGCTCTACCGCTCGCCGCAGGCAGAGCTGCAGAACCTGCACCCCGACCTGCCGCCGATGGAGCTCAGCTGCGAACGCTACCCAAGTCTGCGCACGCTCCACATCGCGCACACCAACCTCACCTCCACCACGGCCTTCCGCACCCTCCGCGTCTTGAACCTCCGGTGGTGCGCTTTCGCCGACGGCCCAGCCCTCTCTGCGGCCGCGTTTCTGCACTGCATCGCCGCCGCCCCGGAACTCGAGATCCTGGATTTGACACGCACGCTCCACCGGCTGCAGGACGACGTCCGCAAGGACATCCCGCTCGCGTCCCTCCCGCGCCTCCACAGCCTCCGGGAGGTGTCGCTCACCGACGCCCCGGAAGTGATCGCGGCCTTCCTCTCCTGCTTCGTCTTCCGAGAAGACTTGTCGCTCAAGATCGACCTGGACATGCACACCCGCGACGAACTCGAGACCCGCGAAGAACTCGTCGACGCGTTCAAGTCGGCCTTCCCGGAGAACCGCGACGCCCACCTCCCCGTCTTCCGCACGCTCGCGCGCGGCGAGCTCGAGGAGTTCGACGGCCACATCACCCTCGTCGCGCACGGCCCCGTCGACCCCACCCGCGCCGCGCCGCTCGGCTCCGTCCGGATGACGCTCAACACCGACGCGGACCTCGCGGAGGACTACTGCGCCGAGCTCTACGCGGACGACTTCCTCGAGACGTTCGCGGCCGCCTTCGCGCGCGCGCCGCTCCGCCACCTCGTCCTCAACGGCGAGTTCTACTGGGACGGCGACGAGGAGTTGGCGAGGACGGCGCCGCTGCTGGATGTCTTGCGGGGGTTCCCGGACGTCGTCGCGCTCGAGGTCCGCGGCGTGGGATCTCCGTTGCCGCTGCTGTTGATGTTGCGCGAGCTGGATCCGCAGGAAGACGGTTCGTACGCGCCGATGGTGTGCCCGAAGCTCGCCGTGCTTTGCGTCGAGATGTCCTGCGACAGGGAGTCGGACGCGGTGCATGGGCTGTGCCATGTGCTGTACAACCGTGTCGTTCATGCGCGGCGGCCGAAGATGGCGAGTGTTGTGTTCAAGCTCAAGAGGGACGAGGGCGACGATGCTGTTGTGCAGGAATGTGAGGTGATTGGGAACAAGAGGCAGTTGGAGGTGATGCATGCGGAGTTCGTGGAGCATTTGGAGTGGGAGGTAGTCTAGACAATGCGTAAATGAGGTTAATCAAGCATCCGCCGTATTCAAACACTATGTCACAATTTGTACTCTGAGAATCCCTTTAATGCAGAACGACGTCGCCTTATCTTCGAGCGAGAATGTCCGCGAGTGAGTCTGTGGGACGGCCATAGCCGGTTGGTATCTCCCCGACTTCCAGACGCTCGAGTCCGGTGAGCTCAAGGAGCTCGAGAGTAGCTTACATTTTTCGCGCATAGCCACCCCGCGCGCACGCCCATCCGCACCATCCAGATGATACTCAACACCATCGCGCTCCCCGACCACCCTTAATCATATCGATACAATTGTGAGATAGAAGATATATATTGCTGCCCCTATGTATTTACGACTTATTCGTGTACACACATTCATAGAGACATCCCTCGCGCCTTGTGGTACCGTGCGCTGCTGACCCGTTCAAATACGCACCTGGTCGCGGAAGCCACACGCGGGCGCCTTCCGTGAAGGCCGAGAGCGGAAGACGCCGAACCGACGTCAGTGGCGGTACGGCTTGTGACTCCCACCGCCCGGTCTTGAACGTCCAAGTTGCGGCCAGAACGATCCAAACTCGACTTGCTTCCCACCACCTTGCACAGCGACAAATTCGAAGCCGAGGACTGGCGAGATGTCAATCTTGAAGGAGACAGACTTCTTGAAACCAGGAGAGACCATCGCGGAGGGGGACACCCAGATCTTCTACGACTTCTTGCCAGCCGAAGTCGCGGACGTCGCCTTCGAGAACCTGAGGAAGGAGGTGAAGTGGAGTACGATGATGCACCGAGGTACGCGACCAATGTGCGGAACTTGCAAGCGCATATGCTGAGTCTCGGATAGGAGGGGAGGTTCCAAGGCTGGTGGCCGTGGAAGGGCAGATCCTTGAAGACGGAAGGTACGTTCGGGGTTGGCCACTGAACTCGCGCGATTGGTAGAGGAACGTACTCACCTCGGCCGATCCAGCATCCCAGTATACCGCCATCCGGCTGACGAGTCCCCGCCTCTGCTGCCATTCTCCCCCACGGTCGCGCGCATCCGGGACGAAGTGGAGGCGATCATCCACGAGCCCGTCAACCACGTCCTGATCCAGCACTACCGCACCGGCGCCGACTACATCTCCGAGCACTCCGATAAGACGATCGACGTCGTCCGCGGGTCGAAGATCGTGAACGTGAGCCTGGGTGCACAGCGCTTCATGACGCTCCGGACGAAGAAAGACGCGCTCGTGCATCCGCACGAGGATCTTGGTGCATCACCGCCGGCGGAGGGGGAAGCGGGGGGCGAGAAGAAGCGGAGCGCACAGCGCATTGCTCTCCCGCACAACTCCATGTTCGTGATGGGTCTTCAGACGAATGCGAAGTGGCTCCACAGCATCCGGACGGACAAGCGGCCGTTGAAGACGAAGAACGAGGCGGAGCGGGCTTGCGGAGGGGAGCGCATCAGCTTGACGTTCCGCACCATTGGGACCTTCCTGACGGGAGACGGGGAGCAGATCTTCGGACAGGGCGCGAAGGGAAAGACGCGAGAGGAGGCTGGGAAGATCATACGTGGGGGAGAAGGGGCGGAGAAGTTGCTGATTGCGTTCGGGAACGAGAACCACCAGAGCGACTTCGACTGGGAAAAGGAGTACGGGGAAGGCTTTGATGTGCTCCACTTTACGACCAAAGACGAGTAGTTGCAAGGGGCTAATGTTGGAGATCATGACCAAGGTTTGCTTCAAGGGCTGCATTATGAGGAATCTCAGCAAGAACCATAACTACTAGAGGACGACTTAGCATGCGGCTCCTGAGCACTCGATGCTACCCCGGCTGAGACGGTTGAACCTCGGGTGTACGAAATACGGGAGGCGGGGGTCGGCATCTTGAGTAGGATTATGACGGTGTACTTGCTAACTTTATGAAGCTGATACACGCGACTATGCGCGCGGCGAGAGGGCGTTTAAGAGATGTTTCAGGGATACAGTATCTCTCGTACTCACCATGGAATGACCTCCTGCTGCGACACTGTCACTTGCACCCTACAACCGCGAAGAACGGCTGTGAAAAGGAAAGATAAACAGGACGAGAAACTGCGAGATGGGGATGCTCACTTCGACAGCACTGAGACAAGTCACTCAAGATGCGCCGCAGCCTGAGTTGACACACTCCGTACGCGCGTGTGGAGTACTGGCTGAACAGTTTGCAAGAGTATCAGTCCACCGCGCGCAAGGCGAGAATGAGGGACCTCACTCGCCTGTTACTGCGACACGAGTGCAACATGGTCCTAGCTAGACGAGGAGATGACGGTCTCAGGGGATGTTGCACGAACCCGGGGGCCCCGCGGAGAGAGAGAGAGTGGACGGATAGGGGTTATCGTCACTTATCCAGCCCTGATCGGGGCATAGCGCCACGGAAAAGAAAGAGGCGCCAGGGCATGAGGCAGCGGGGGCGGCAAACAGGCTTGAACTTTGATGGTGATGTTTCGCAGAAGCTGAGAACACGGCTCTCTTTCTCGACGACCACGACACGACCGCGACGACCCCCACTCCTTCTTCTCCACTTCGCTCCCCGCGCGCCGCCCACACTCTCTCCTCGGTCCCGCCATGCCGCCCAAGGCTCTCTCTACTCTCTTTCTCGGTCTCGAGCTCGCGACAGACCAGCTCAGGGCTTCAATCGTGGACGAGAACCTCGAGCTGGTCGGGGTGGAAGCTGTTGACTTTGACACAGAGGTCTCGGAGTATCAGTGAGTCTCTTTCTGTCCTCTGTTCTCCCCATCTGCTTTCCACCCACACCATCTCGCTCGTGCCCCGTGAACACGACGATCCGCGCATATCGCTGTATGCGCATCCTACACACCGCGAACGACGATAAAACGCGTCTGGCACGCGTACATCTGCATGTCATACATGTGGCGGCGATGTCCGCGTTGCCCGAGCGTTGCAGCGGCGCCGATCTGGTCCCCGGTCATGGGCGTGCACCTACCCCCACCATGCGTCCCTACACGTCCTGTTTACCTCTGAAAACGTGTTCAGCGTGTCCGGTGCAGCGCGCTCTTCCATCCGCCATGCGCTTCTCTTCTTTCCATGCACTGTCGGGTTTTCGGTGCGCGGTGCAACGTTTTACGTCTTTCTAGACATTCACCACCGCAGATTTGATCAGACGCGCATGGATTGCCGTCAATCCGCTGAGAGCCTCAGTCGTGGTGCTCTGTAGCGTGTCTTCCCATCCGGGCCACGCGACGTTCACGCGCCACTCCCTCGTGCACATGCAGGAACAGAGTTCGTAGTGTCCTGGCATTATCAGCGCTTCTTCTTCGTGGTTCACGAGCCGCGGCGAAGATTTGATAAACATGGCTGGAGAAGTGCTGTGTTCCCTCTGCTCGTGGACCATGGTACTCATGTTTCCGAGCGCGTAAAACGCTGCGGTGGGGAGGGCACAGTTACATGCTCACTACCCTGCGATTGCTTCCGTGCTCCTTGATGAAAAGGACCGAAGCCGTTACATTGACCTGGATCTTACTTGGTGGCCTCGCGGGAGTCTTCGAAATTTGAGTATGTCGGGGTTGTCAGGTGCTTTTAATCACCGGCTGTTTCAGACGGCTTTTTAGCCGAATCGTGATTCTGATGCCGCTCTTCCTGCGTGTCACTGACGTTCTCTTTGTGCAGGACTCAGGGCGGTATCTTCACGACTCCGGGGGATGCGTATACCACCCCCGTTGAGATGTGGTTGAAGGCCTTCGGTAGGCTGATTACCTTCGCGGAAGCATTTCTTGACGCCCTTGCTGATCGACGTCGTGATCATACCCCACGTGACCGGACGATCTAGATCTTCTGCTTGAGAAAGTGAGCAAGAACTACGAGATCGCCCGAATCAAGGCCATCGGCGGCGCTGCACAGGTGCGCAGGGTCGCTGCAACGCTGCCGTCACCGTCGCTTACGTCCCCCAGCAAGCACTAGTGTGGTGGAAAGCCCCGATACCCCCGCTGCAAGCCCTAGATCCCCGGCGACCGATTCATTCCCAGATCACCTCTCAGTCTTTCTCGCTCCAGAACAGCCCCATCGCCCAAGACACCTCCGCCCACACTCACGCCCTTGCCCTCGAGGCCGCTCTCGGTGGTCCAGAACTTATGGCACAACGCGTCGGCACATGCGCTCACCCTTCGCTCATCGCTGCACAACTACTCCGTGTACGGGAGGCTTGGCCGGACGTCTGGACACGCACAGGGCGGGTACAGATGGCGAGCTCGTTCATTGCCAGTCTCCTCACAGGCCAGCTTGTCGGCATGGGTGAAGCAGAGGCTTCCGCCACTGGCCTCTGGGTTCACACTGGCGCTCAACAAGGCGCGCAGAGTCACTGGGACGAAGGCGTGATGGAAATTGTCGGCGGCAACCGGGACGAAGGCCGCAGGATCTGGACATGGCTGGGCGAAGTCGACATCTCGGGTGGCCGCAGGCGCATTGGCAGTGTTTCAAGGTACATAGTAGAACGTTACGGTTTCGATCCAGGTGGGGTGTCCGCGTTCGCCATGGCTGAGCCACGCTGACTGAATCTGTTGTAGAATGTATCATTACCCCCTTCACCTCGGACTACCTCTCTTCCTACATCTCATTATGTCCTTCGCCCGCCGACACCGTCCTGACGTTCGGCCCCATGGACATGATGATGGCGCCCACCCCCAACTACGTTCCATCCCGACTGTACAACCTGTTCCCCCACCCAGCACAGGACGCCAGCGAAAAGAAGCGCTACGTCGTCATGCTCACCAGCAGGAATGCGGACGTTCCCCGTGCCCTAGTACGTGACATGTACACCAAGAGCTGGAGCGCCTTTGATCGCCTTGTCGCCATCGTGCCGCCCGGCGGCTCAATCGGGTATGTCACACGAAGCAATCACCTTTCCGAATGCTCACGTTGCACTGGTAGCCTCGACGATAAGCTGTTCAGCTTCTGGCTCTTGCAAGGGGACACCTTCCCTTACTCCCACGTCAAGGGTATCTATCGCTTTGAGACTGGCATCAAAGTTAACGAGTTCCGCGATCTCCGTGCGAACCCCCGCTGCTTGCTCGAGAGCCAGATTATTTCCTTCCGAGTTCGCTGGTCGAGGGCGCTCGCGACGGGCGTCTTCGGCCCCGCGGCCGGCCGCGCGCGCACTGCGAACGCATCGCCAAGTCCGTCCAACGCTCAGCCCAGGCGCGCCACCGGCGTCAACAACAGCAACAACATGGGTCTTCCCTTCGACCCGTACGACTACGCCACGCTGCCGGGACGCATCCTCACCACTGGTGCCGCCGGCAACTTCCCCGCCATCGCGAACCTTGCTGGGGACGTCTTCAACGCGCCCGTGCTCATGCCTACCACTCAGATCGACTCCGCGCAGGTGATACCTCATCGCAACGCACCCGCCACTGGATACCCCGCGCGCGCCGCCCTCGGTGGCGCCTATATCGCACGCTGGGTGTGGGGCAAGGAGAAGGGCACCCCCGCAGGCACCGGACGAGGTGGTTTCGAGGAGGAGATCCGTCGGCTCCTGGGCAAGCGGTGGGCAACCACGAACGGTGCTCCGCTACGCACGAGCATCAACGGCCCCGGCTCCAGCAAAGCCCCCAGCGCAGCGAACAGTGGCACGAGCACCCCCTACGGGCACGGCACCCGCTCGGCGCTCGGGTCTTCGGTCATCGTCGAAGCGGAGGAGGAAGAGGCGGAGGAGATGGAGCAACGCGTTGCTGCGGCGGAGCGCGGCGCGTTCGGACTCGGTTTCAGTGAGTCCGACATGCAGCGCCTGCGCACCGCGACTGCGTCCACCGTCGGCACCGCGATGAGCGGGAGCACGTTGGGCGACACGGCTTCGACCGCATTCACGACCCCCGACCTCGGCGGCCTGGGGAGTCCTCCGCAGAGTCAGGACGGTGCAGGCGCGGCCGTCGCTCCGTCGACACTTCAACCGGTCACCGCGATGCAGACGTCGGATGCGGAGATGCAGCTCGGCCTTGCGAAGGTCGCGGAGCCGGACGTCGACGCGTTCATGGCCTATGCCGCACTCGTCCCCGAGTTCTGCCGCCTCGAGGGTCTTCTTATCAAGGCCATCGTCTGAACCCCCTTGCCCGCATCGTCCTCGGTCTTGGTTCTCGCTATCGTTTGCTCCCAACTCTTTCTACGAACACTACACAACTGCTTACCAACTTCACCCTTCCCGTCGCCTTGGTTTCACGTGCCGTGTGCGTCCAGTCGGGGGCGCACGACCCCAGTTTCTCCCTCTCCCCAGCTTGTACGTTGCTGCTCATGCTCTGCTTTTGACATGTTGTACGAAGACCCAGGGGGCGGGCCGCGGGGCCGTAGCGTACACGTCCCGTCACTCTTAGATCTCCCCTTCCTTCCCTTTCTCTGCCCCCATCGCCCACCCGTCCCCGCCCCTGCCCCGTCCCCGCCCTCTCCCCGCCCCCGCTTCCCGCTCCCTCTCTCCGTGCTCACGCCTCTGGATTCCCGTGCCCCGCGTCCTTCCGCTGGGGCGCCCTACCCAAAATGTTGCATAGCAAGTACTATATCCGCGCCCCGCCACATAAACCGATACCGCTGCCTACGATATGATCCCCGAGGAATGTTGCCGCACGCTGTAGACAAAACGAAATCGAACCACGTTTCTTTCCCTCTCCCGCTCGCGTCTGCGCGGTAATCACAGCGGTCCCCCCAGAGGCTTCTTCGTCTTCTCTTCTTAACGGTGACGGCCCCTCGTGTGCTGTGGGCACGATGGACCGGGGGTCAATGCCATACATAATAGAAGCCGTGGTCCTGGATTCCTCCGACCGCACTCGGACACAGTACTACAGGTGAGCATCGGTCTGTGTGAATCATCCCCGAAGGGTTAATAAGACATACTTTATTCTCAGAATTGGATCAACGGTGCATAGTATCGCGCGGAACCCCCGACTTCGGATGCTGTCGTGCGGCGAGGGAGTGTATGCAGACTCTCGGGGACGCTGAGCGAGAGGCCGGGGTATGGCTCTGAGATCTGAGAGAAGCGTATAAAAGCATGTTGAGTCTACCCTCTCCACCTGCAAGCTCCAGATCTTCAGTCTTATTCCTCTCGATCCCATGTCCACACTGTCGAGCAAGAAGCTCATCCTCGTCATCGGCGGGACAGGCGCGCAGGGCCTCGCGGTCGTCGACGCGCTGCTCAAGCCCGCCGCGGACGGCGTGCCGTCCCCGTATGCGGTGCGCGTCATGACGCGCGATCCCGCCAACCACCGCGCTCGCGACCTGGTCGCAAAAGGCGTCGAGGTCGTTCAAGGTACGTGGTTCTCGTTCCGCCGCCCACAGGCACACAATGCTGAGGCGCGAGGCTAGGCACCACCGACGACTTCACGAGCGTGATGCGCGCGATGGAGGGCGCGTACGGCGCGTTCGTGAACACGGACAGCTTCACGATCGGGGAGGAGAAGGAGGTCTACACGGGCATGCGGCTCTTCGAGGCCGCGAAGCAGCTCGGGACGCTCCGCCACTACGTCTGGAGCGGGCTCGACTATTCGTTCAAGGTGCGCATGCGCGCCCCTCGACGCGGTCTTGTGCCTTGTGCATGTTCGCTCACCGCGCCAGCAGAAAGGAGGATACGACCCGAAGTACCGTGTTGTGCACCACGACGCCAAGGCGCGCGTGGGTGACTGGATGCGCGCGCAACTGTCCGTCGTGGGCGACACCGACATGTCCTGGACCATCCTCTCGACGATGGTGTACATGGAGATGCTCAACGGGGTGCGCCGCGCTTCCCTCGTGCCCTCGTGCCCTCTGCTCACCCCCACCTCGCGCCCCGCAGCCGATGATGGGCCCGCTCAACAAGCGCGCCGACGGCACCTACGTCTTCGCCTCCCCCATCGGCGCCGGCGCGGTCCCGATGGTCTCCCTCGCGGACGTCGGCTTCTTCGCGCGACACATCTTCGACCACCGCGCGGCGACCTCCGCGCGCGAGCTCGAGATCGCGAGCGCGCGCGTCGACTGGCCCACGCTCGTCGAGACGTTCGCGCGCGTGACGGGCAAGCCCGCCGTCTACCTGCCGCTCGGCGCGGAGGAGTGGTTCGCGCTGTGGGAGGCGGAGAGTATCGCGCGCCCGCTGGCGAGCGAGCGCGCGGGGCCGGACGGGTCGACGACGTGGCGCGAGAACTTTGAGTGCTGGTGGGCACAGTACCGGGACGAGGTGATCACGCGGGACTGGGCGTGGCTGAGGGAGGTGCATCCGGGCGGGCACACCCTGGAAAGCTGGATGCGGGAGACGGGGTACACTGGGGACTTGGACTTTGGGTTCATGAAGAGCGTGGAGGACGGGAAGGGACCGCGGTTGAACATAGAGCGGATCGCCGCACTGTGAGTGTGTCCAGGCAGGGTTCGTTGTCTCAGTAGCAGTAGCACACATCCAGCGATCGAAAGATGAATGACAACATGTGCATATCAACCATAACAAAAGTATTTGTACTCTAACTTGCCCACCAGCTCCTTCAATTGAGCCTCGCATCGACTCATAACCACAGCTACATCTGCCCCATCCTCCACATCCTCCACATCCTCAACCGTCCGCTCCGCCGTCTCCACCTCCTCCATCAAGTCCGGCTCTGGATCCACCGGCTTTGGCCAACGCTCCTCTTCATACTCCACGCCAACGACCTCTTTCACTTTCCACCCAAGGTGCAGCTTCAGAAGCGGGAGAGGATCCACTCCCGCCCTCCTCCTCGCCCCAAAGCACTCCACCATCGCCGCCACCAGCTCCGGCGAGCCCCGCGGCTGCACCGCGACGACCGCGTCCCCATCCTCGGGCACCTCGTACTCGAAGTCCCCGATCTCGAGCTCGCGCAGGCTCGCGCCCAGTGGCCCGTGCGCCGCGATCTTCGGTGGGATTCGGAGGGCGTCGAAGAGCGCGATGGAGTCGACGGCGCCCAGGACCGACAGCGTCTCCAAACTGGGGAAGCCGCGCAGGAGGGTGCACCAGCTCTCGACGGGCGCGGCCCAGGATGCGTCGGCGTGCGAGGCGAGGAGGTAGAGCGTCGTGAGGGGCGCGCCGCGGAAGAGGAGGGGGAGGTCCTCGAGGACGTCTGAGAGCGAGTAGAAGGCGACGAGGGGTTCGGTGGGGAAGTCTTCCGTGGTGATCGAGAGCGTGAACAGCTTCGTTTCGCGCGCTGGCAGTACTGGCGTTTCGCGCGTGCGCTGGCTGGCGGTGATTCGCAGCAGGTTCCTGTGAAACGCCACTCCGACGACGATGGTGGAAACGTGAGGCAGCTGGAGGTCTTCGAAGTGCTTGTGCGTCGGGAAGAGCGCTTCCACGATGCTTCGTCGGTCCGGAGTCGTCGACAAAGACAAGAACTCGTCCCACCGCTTGACGTCGATGTACACATCGACGGGCCCGGAGGATAGGGCGGTACGTATGAGCGGTGCCGTTTCGTGTGGATGGTGACTTGCTATGGTGAGTGAGCGCAAATGGGAGAATGTAAGATTGTGCTTGAACAAGCCCCGGTCGAGTCGCGAATGGCCTGCGTGGGGTGGGGCCGATTGGGAGATAATCAACTCTTTCAGCTGGAGAGATGAGGTGCCGGAGTATTTCGCAAAGAATTCGTCGGGTGACCACGTCCGATCCGAGGACAGCTTGAGCCACTTGATGACACGGAAGAGGTGCGGGTCAAGTGATAGACGCGACCCGGCGAGGGAGAGGTGGTCGAGTTCGGGGAACCGAAGATGTTTCAAGTGAAGGTCAGAATCGCGCCGTGGAGGATTGGATATGTGCATGTGAGTAAGAAGCGGCCAGGTGTTGTCTTCCAAGAGAGTGCAGAGCGATGGGGAGAGACATGGAAGGACCATCGAGCGTACCCTCTTGGAGTGCGCAACGACGAGCCGCAAGACCCCCAGTCCTTCGTCTGTCCATATATGGTGGTACCCGGTGAGAAAGTACAGCCTGAGATCCGCGTTTGCAGAGCGAGCGAGGCGAAGGGAGAGGCAGTCGATAGACATGGTGGAGGAGACGCACAGCAAAGACCACAACGTCGGGGTGCCCACTATCGTATCTCGCCATTCACGACACACCAGCATCAACCTCTCGCGCCACCCCCGCGGTTCTACGTATTTTTCCAGAAATTCCGGCGGGCGTGGAATCGCAGCGAAAATGTCGGAGAGGATCTCGTGCGGGAGTCGGTTGATGGACAGGGTGGAGTTCCAGGACGCGTACACCTGAAGTCGCTCGGTTTGAAGAGCGCGCTCCCTGTCGCCTATGTCTGCGATGCGTCGCACCAGTGAATCGCGTATTGGAGATGAGGGAAGGGCTGGATCCTGTGGGAGAGAGACTCGTGCGGCTTCACACTGGCACGGGCGGACTTGAGCTTGAGGTCTGCTTGGTTCGCTGACAGAGAGTCGAGGGTCCGTTGTACGATAGAGTAGGATGGACATGAGGAAGGTAGAGCGGAGTGGGTTGGAACGTCGTGGGGGAAGGCAAGAGAGGTGTGCCGGGCGCGCCGCCGCGCGACAGGGGTCTCCGCCCTCCCGCGCGCTGACCACGCGCTTTGTACTCGAACTCGATGCGAAAATACGCAGGGAGAGGCTACCCTGAGAAGGAGCGGATAGTATCTCCACATTGCTTGCATGTTGCAGCTCGGAGATGAGAGTCCAGCTGGGCGCGACGGCTCGACGAGGTCAACGGGCGTACACCGGACAATAGGGGTTCGCCAAATTCCGAGTCATGCTGCTGAGTTATTATACTATGTAGTATACTAGGTGTATGATCATGTCACTGGGACGGACTCATACTCGAACTTGACTTCCCCCGCCACCATCTCGTGCATCTGTGCGAGAAACGACCTGGCATCCACCTCACGACTGCGCTCCCCCAACACCCTCACGTTGGTGCAGATGTCGAGCGAACCTAGGGGGCGCATCCCGCAGGCCGCCCGTGCGCGGAGGCAGTGGATCGTCGCCTCCAAGGTTGCCTTCGCGTCCTCCGTGCTCCCTGATGTCATATCGTACTGCAAGCTCTCCAGGGCCGGGCACGGCGCGGTGGAGCCATCGGAGGAAGGGGTGAGCGCGTGCAGGAGGGCGATGGGAGTACCCTCTCCACAGAGGTAAAGGTATTCGAGCGTAGGGAATGTGCTAAGAACCTCGTCCCACCGGCCGTCCGCGGCATGCACCGACCTCAAGGTGATGAAGTTGAGTTGGGTGAGGGGGGTGTGCCGGAAAAGCGTGAGGACGTCGTCGATGGCGTTGGATGGACCGTACATGTCGTCATCGTCAGGTTGCAATGGGAAGGCGTTCCAAGTAAACAGCCTGGTCCCCCCGAGCGTTCCACTGTCACGGTCGTTTGCGGAAAAACCCGTGAACTCGGCGACCAAGATGTGTAGCTTTCGTAGGGAAGGGGGGATCGGTATCGGCATTTCGTCCGGCGCGCGGGTCGGGAAGAAGGCGTCAAGGATGCTCAGACTGCGGCCAGATGTGGGATCGGGGGCAACTTGACGCCAGTCTTCGTTCGAGATGTAGAGGAAGTCAAGAGGGCTGGGCCTGATGAGAGGAAAGGCACGAAGGAGCAACATAATGTCGTCGTTCTTGTGGGATTGTAGGGACAGGGAGCGCAAACAGGGTAGCTCCAAGGGAAAATGGACTGGGGACGTGGGTGGTGGATAGTGGGGTACTTGCGACACCTCCCGGGCCCACCCATGTTTTTCTAAGGACAATGTTTCGAGATAACGAGCCGAAGAAAGACAGATGAGGAGGTCCTCGAGAGGTGGCCACTGCATCGTAGGACCGCTGAGGTGGAGCGACCTGAAGAGAGGAAAGAGTGTCGGCTCGATGGGCAGGACCATGCCTTTTAGCTTGAGATATTGGAGTCTTGGGAAGCGTGCCCGGGTGAGACAGAGAATTCTGGCGACCGGGCCAGGGGACTCAACTACGTCGAAATCGACAAACAGATCTTCGAGAGTGAGCCATGCTCTGTCGTGGAAAAGTATTTTGAGAAATGATAGGGAGTAGGAGCGGTCGTTCTCGTCATCTGGCAGAAGAAGAGTGCACGTCCTGTACGACTCAGCGGCGATAGCCATTCCCGCGGCTTCCGACCAGAAGGTGAAGTCTCCATCCTCGACAATCCACGGTGGCTCCGAGGAAAGGTTGCCAGGTGAGTCTTCATCGCCCTCGCCCTCGCCCTCGCCCTCGCCCTCGCCCTCGCCCTCGTTTTCGTCATCTTCCGAGTCTTCGGTGTCATTGAGTTGTTGGATATCATCTTGGGGAAGAGAGAGGGGTACGAGGTCGGGGGAAAGAGAGATGTCCATGTATGCCGGAGACTTCGGTTCACGGTCGAATGAGATATCCACGTTCGCCTCTCCCGCACGCGAGAGTACGAGCGTGTAGAGCCGTGGGGGCATGTGAGGGGTGATGAACGACCAGAGCGTGGGCGTGGCCTCGATGAGGTCGCGCCACCTCCGGCAGACAAGGAGGAGCACCTTGCGCCGTCTGTGCGTCCGTTTGGGCAGTTCGGACACGGGGCGCGCGGGCTGGAAGCAGGCGACGAACAAGCGGAGGAGGATCTCGGTCGGGAGGCGGTTGATGGAGAGCGTACTGTTCCAGTCCATGTAGAGTCTCCGCCTTTCCTCCTCCAGAGCGGTTGTCAGCCCACTCGCACCCAGCTTCTCGACGACCCCGGCCTCGATCTCGCCAATGCGTCGACGGATTTCTTCGCGTGTAGGACAGAAAAGCGGGGCATCTGTGGTAGGGAGGGGCATATCGTTTTGCTGAGTTGCAGGGCGAAAGGATGCGACACGACGCAGGTAGTACTGGTTAAACGAGAATGACAACACGCGTAACGTTCCGGTTGACAGTGCACACTGCACACGAGCGCGGGCCTGGTAGGACCCCAGTCACCCTCGGCCCTGCACCTCCTGACCTGGCGATCGCACCAAGTTTACTACTACCAACGCACTCACGCTTCAACCCATCCGCGCTTGGTTCAGCTGTGTCTCAGTGAGCTGCGTTTTCTTCGGTGGCGGGACACCGTGCGGGGATAGTTATAAGGTCACTCTTCGTAAAGTACTGTTCCCTCACAACGACCTCTCGCTCTTCCCACCTCGCCTTCGTGGGCTTCTCGCCTATCTACCGAAACGTGTGGTTTTTACCAGCTTTGTGGATAGTTCAGACACACGATGGCATCTCCTCGCCACTCCATCGTCGCTTCCCTTCCACAGGAGCTCCTCGCACACATCTCCATCATGCTCAAGCCCGTGATGGCTGCAGACGCCGCTGAAGACGACGGCATCCTCGCCGACGAATTTCAAAATCTCTACTACTCCTTTGGGTGGACACACGCAACCTAGGTCTGTCGAGAGTGGCACGACGTTGCCCACCAGACTGCCGCCTTACGGTGCGACATCGATGTGCCTCACCCGAGCTATCCACGGCTGCGCGGGCATCTCTCGACCGACGCTTTTCTCCAACGTCTCCGGGCTATCCTCCCTCGCACTTGCGGGCGGCCGGGGTCTCCGCTTTCCCGTGACTCCCACTTGAATTCTGCGCACCATGTTTTCAATTCTGTACACAGCGCTACAACCACATGACGGCAAAGGGTCCAGCCTTGCTTCATGTCCATTGACGTCCTCCACATCCTCGTAACGCCGCGTATACTACACGAAACCGAAAGCGTACCACGGAGCGTATAAATACACACACACTAAGTTCAAAAGCCCTTCACATCAACACCGCGACAATCGCGACTCCAACCAAGCCTCCCACCGCCGCGCGCACCCCACCGGCAGCACGCCCAGAGCCGGACGCGGCCGTGTCGCCAAGCGACAGGACACCGCCGGACGAAGGCGAAGACGAGGAAGAGGAAGGGCCAGCGGTCGGGGCCGGGAGGTCGTCCGAGCCCCTGTGCGACTCCGACGTCGCGGGGCCAGTGGGAGCGAGCGTGGCGGACGAGCCGAGGGAAACCGCCGCGCCGCTCTTTGCGCAATTCTCGGAGAAGTCTGGGCGTGCCGAGTTGCGGGTGAGAAACAAGGGTACCGTCGGGAAGTGGGTGCATACGCGTACCGTGGAGGGTGTCTTGGGACTCGGTCGCGTTGCGAGGGCCGGCGGTGGTCTCGCACTCGACGCAGGTCTGGAGCTGGGAGAAGATGGTGTCGGTGCAGAGGCAAGCGGAGTTCGTTGCTCCACAAGACTAGAGAACGCGAAATCAGCGGGTGGGAGATTGATGTGATCCGTTGTCCGTGGCACTCACGGTCATTGAAGTCATGATATCCGAGCATGAGGTTTGGCACTGTACATGTGGCGCCAACTGTCAGCGCGGGGAGTTGGGCATTTCAAGAGCGGTGCGTACTTGGGTAGTTACGTTGGAGATGGACTCCGTGACATTGTCGTCAGCGCCGTGCATTGCAGAGCCGTTATCGTCGGTGCCGTCGTTGACGATGCTACCGTTCTCATCGAGGCCGTCGTGCGAGCCCCCGCGGTCGCCCTGCCTCCGTGCGATGAGCACCGGGGAGAGGGACCGAGCACTGACTGCTATTACTGCGTACTTATCAACATTACAGCGATGTCGACATCGAGGGAAGACGCACCTTGGACGGCGATGAGAAGAGCGATTAAGAAAGAAAGAGTTGGACGCATTTTGCAGGTATTGTAGTGTCGTGCCGAGAGAAGAAGCGAAGATGTCATATGTGCGCGTCCTGTGATGGACTTTATACCGTCCCTCTGGCGCCAAACATATTGTGTCGCCCTTGGCTAGTCGAGGAGCCCCAGCAGACGGTGACATGTCGTGGAAGAGAGCCCGGAGCCGAATGGACAGAGTTTGAGTCCGCAGCACTCTCCGGAGAGGCTCTGCGACGGTCATGACTGCCCAGAAAGGGCACCGAAGTCGTTCCGCTCCTTGGGCTGGGAGGCGGGTCCGCGTGATATGTGTCGGCTGAGAGACTTCTGAGAGTCCGAGAAAGCGTTTGTTCGCGGCGCTTTCCACGACCGCGGGGTCCCGAGAGCCCGAGAGAGCGGAGAGCTATCCTTGTGGATCCCAAGCTTTTGGGAGAGCCGTGCTTATCTTAGACACGAAGCGTTCTTGTTCCAAGATGCGGAAGATCGGAAGGGGCTCGGGAGTCTACACGCACCGCGCGTGAATACTCTATCATGACGGCGACCGGGACACGAACGCGGGCGGAGCAACAGCCTAGCGGTCCTCCTTGCAGGCAAACATTCTGGAGCCTCGACGGTGCGTGGGTTCCAGGGAAGAGCAGCCTGTGGATGTATGCAGATGGAAGACAAGGCGTGCTGTGGCACTGGGCGCCGAATCCGAGTGTGGGAGTGGCAGGGGTCTTGGCCGGGGCCGTGCGCAGACTAGACCTCGCGCATTCTCGCTATCTCGAGGCATGAACAACCTTCGCCACCATCATGGCACTACCAAGTACTTCCTCGGATCTGTCCTATAGTTGCCTCAGTCTGTGTTCAGCACGTACGCCTCTTCGACATACCACCCTGTTCAATGCGCGATGGCATTCGTCAACGCATCTGCCAGACGTCGGAGGTCGTCTCTCCCCTCGCCGCTCAGCTCCGAGTCTTGACCAATGGCCGCGTTTCTGTGGCAAGGTCATCGAATTTGAAAGTTCTGCATTCTGCATAGGATATGACGCCAATGTAGCTACGTCTTGAATTACAAACTCGCAGCGAAGCCACTGCCAGGCATCAATTACTGTGCACATCCAAGAACTCGAACCCCCCCGACACCATCTCGCGCAGCTGCGCCAAGTACGGCTCGACATCGACCAGGGTTTTCCACTTCTTACCACGCCTCTTCGGCAGCTCCACATGTATATGCAGCTCCCGCAGAGGATGCATCCCTCGTATCGCGCGAGCCCGGAGGCAATCGATCGTAGCTTCAAAGGTTGCCTTCGTATCCTCCACGTTCGACGGGTTGACCATATACGTCAAGCTTTCCAGGGCCGTACAGGGTGAAGGTGAGTCGCCATCGACGGATGAAGGAATGAGCGCGCGGAGGAAAGCAATGGGAGTCCCGTCCCCGACGACGTAGAGGTACTCAAGCGCGGGGAACGCGCGGAAGAGCTCGTCCCACCGGTTATCGGCAGGGTGCAACGGGCCATGGGCGATGAACGTGAGCTGGGTGAGGGGGATGTGCCGGAACAAAATGAGGACGTCGTCGATGGCGTTAGATAGACCGTAGAGGTTCTGCGGTCCCTCCTCGTCGACGTGGTCGTCGAATGGCTCGGCCCTCCACGTGAACAGTCTGACTTTCTCAGGTTTTCCACTGTACCGATCGGTGGTGGAAAACCCCGTGATCTCCATGGGAAGATAGATGTACAGATTGCGCACGGAAGGGGGGATGGGAATGGGCGTCGTATCAGGTGCGCGAGTCGGGAAGAAGGCATCCACGATGCTGGGACCGCGGCCTGAGTTGGTGTTTGGGGGAGGTTGGCGCCAGTCATCGTTGGAAATGTACAGAAAGTCGAGAGCAGTGGGGGACCTGATGAGAGGGAAGGCGTGAAGGAGCAACACCATCTCGTCGTTACTGTTGGAACCGATTCCCAGAGAGGACAGATGCGGTAGCTCTAAGGGAAGACGAAGTTGGGGTGGATGAGCCACCTCGCGTGAGTTGCTGATTATAGGACCGTCCACGTTCAGCGACAGTTTTTCAAGGTAATGGGCCGAGGAGAGACAGATGAGAAGGTCTTCAAGGGGTAGCCGCCGAGTCCTTGCACCGCTGAGGTCAAGCGACCTGAAGCGAGGAAACATCGTCGGCTCAGTGGGGAACATCACGCCTTCAAGCTGGAGGTGCTGAAGGTTCGGGAAGAAGTTCGAGGTGACGCAGAGAATATCCTTCACCGCTCCGGCATCGAAGATGCACAACGCTTGGAGAGCGGGCCAGGTTCTATCGCAGAAGAGGGCTTGGAGAAACGACATCGAGTACGTGCGGGAGTAAAGAGCGCCATCTTCCGACAACGATAGAGTGCGAATCCTGTGCGAGTGAGCGACGATGGCTCTCCCAGCAGCTTCCGACCAGGACGATTCACCCTCATCATCGGGGACAATCCACTCGTCAACCAACTCGCCATCACCCGTCTGGCTCCCCTCGTCTTCATCATCACCGTTTTTGGAACGTCTTCTTCGGGAAGGATGAGAGGTGCGAGGTCGGGGGAGAGAGGGACACCCCCAAATAACCATTCCGACTCCCGGTCGAAGGAGATATCCAGCGTGGCATGCTTGCAGCGGGACAGGACGAGCTCGTAGAGTCGTCGGGGCATGTGTGTGGTGATGAAAGTCCATAGATCAGGCGCAGACTCGATGAGATCGCGCCACGCCCGACAGACGAGGAGGAGCACCTTGCGCCGTCTGTGGGTCCGTTTGGGATCGTCATCGACGGGGCGAGCGGGCTGGAAGCAGGCGGCGAAGACACGGAGGAGGAGCTCGATGGGCAGACGGGTTTGAATGGGAAGCGTGCTGTTCCACTTGGTGTACAGGGCCCGCCGCTCGTCTTCCAGAGCGGATGTCAGCCCATCGACGGCTCCGGCCTCGATCTCGCTGATGCGTTGACGAATCTCGTCGCGTGCTGGACTGGGTGGCAGGTTGTCTGGAGGTGGAAGAGGCATACTTCCTAAGATGCGGATCGTCACGGGTCACAATAAGAACTGAATCAGGTGCAGGGCAAGACGTACTCGGATAGATGGACGGAATGATTCATGAGGAGGAGCGTGCAGCAGCCAGCTCGCGGGGTGGATTAGCCAGGACCCCAGTCACTCGCTCAGCGCTCGAGCCTCGGCCGCATCGACCGTCAGCTTCATCGACATCGACACCGGACGATGTCGCGAGGCTCGCGCGCGCGAGTACCACGGACAAGTACGCGATGAGTGCAGGTGCAAGGCGTATAAGCATCAGGATAGGATAGGAAACCCAGACTAGCGATGGATGCTCTGGCAGGTACCGTACGTGTCCTATACGTATAGCGTTCATTTATCCTACGCGCGGCTTCAACGACGAAACCAACCGCTATGTACCTCAAATACGCAGCGCCGTATCCAACTGCAAGCACTGCCGCGCGCTGCAGGAAAGAGCAGTCTGCAGATGAGAAACGTGAGAGACTGACAGGGTCTTGACTAGAGCGGGCCGGGCCACCCCGCAAGCGTTGTCGCGACAGTCAAGAAATTCTCTCCCTACTCTTTCCACCGCGACCTCCACCTCCACTGATCTGTGCTTGCCGGTTTTTGCCCATTTCAGCAAGTGCGCCTCTCCCCTGCGCAGACGACCCACTACCCTATCCGACGCGGGACGGCATTCGGCGACGCATTCGCAAGATGGTGGACGGAGTCAGGGAGGAGGGCACAACAGCATCCTCAACCGCTCTCGGGCACGAGCGGATACTCTTGGATTTGGATACGGACTGGAGCAGTACGCCGCCTATCAACCGTCTGCCTACGGAACTCCTCGTTTGCATTTTCGCCACCTGCTTCCAACCCACACGCCCCTCCGTGCAGCCGCCGAAACGAACCCACAGGCGGCGCAAGGTGCTCCTCCTCGTCTGTCGGGCGTGGCGCGATGTCATCGAGTCTGCGCCTGATCTATGGACTTTCATCACCCCACACATGCCCGCGCGACTATTCAAGCTCGTCCTGTCCCGCTCCAAGCATGCCACGTTGGATATCTCCTTCGACCGGGAAGCAGATTATCGCTACTCTGGACCTCCCCCTCTTTCCCCTGATCTCGCTCCTATTGACCTTCCCGAGGGAAATTCCGGTGCGGAGATCGATGATGACGATGATGAAGACTCAGAGCCGGAATGGCTTGTCGGCGACGAAGAGTTTTTCCCAGCGACCTGGTCAGAAACAGCTGGGACAACCATCGCCACCGAGGCACACAGGACACGCACTCTGTCCTTGTTTTATGACGATGAGCGGGGCCAATACTCTCCCCCTTTTCTCAACGCTCTTTTCCGCGGTATAACATGGCCCGTGCTCGACGACTTGCACGTCGATCTCACCAGAGCGGAGTCTCCTGACGCCTGTTCCGCGATTCTCCGCCTCACCGAAACACACTTCCCGAGACTTCAACACCTCCGCCTTTCAGCCATGGTGTTTCCCATCAAACCGAGGATGTTCCCTCGGTTCCGGTCACTCCACCTCACCGGCCCTGCGACACAGTGGCCTTCCCTTCGAGATATCCTCATATGCATCTCCTCAGCCCTTCAACTCGAGGAACTCACCCTGTGCCGTTCGAACGACAAGGATTTGTTCCACCCGTCCCAAGACCAACACCATGATCTCCCGCCCGACACCTCTCTCCATCTACCCCTCAAGCTACCTCACTTGAGATCCTTGAGCCTTAATGCCAACAATAGCGACGACTTGACGTTGCTCCTCAACGCATTTCCCCTCTCACCACTCCCGAATGCCCTCCATTCCTACGACCTCACTAACAATGACTGGCACCAACCTCCCACGAACGCGGCACCACTGAGTATCGTCGACGCGTTTTTCCCCCATCGCGCCCCAGCAACGATGCCCCTCCCCATCCCTCGCTCCGTCCAGGACGTCTACCTGTGCATGAACCAATGGGTCGTCGAGATCGCCGGGTGCTCCGCCAACGACCGGCACCGGGACGCGCAGGAACGCCTCTTCTTGTGGCGCGCTGCCACCCCGACGAAAGACGTCAGCAGCGTCTACACCCTCCCGCTCGCCATCGACGAAATCCTCACGCACTTCAGCGACCTCCCCATCACAGGGCTCACATTCTTCGTCCATTCGCTGCACCCCGCCGACGGCCGGTGGCCGGAGATCTTCCGCGCGTTCCCGCGCCTCGAATGCATCCGCGTCCGCAGCGAAGGCACCGTCGTCCCACTCCTGCACGCGCTCACCCCAGAACGAGCTCGGTGGCCCTGCCCTTCGCTCGAGTCGCTGACCTACGAGGTCTACCAGTCGTCCGCTCAGGACGCGCAGGAGATATTGCGGGCGACGTTGGACTGCTTCCGGGCGCGGGCGGAGTGCGGGTTGCCGCCGCTCCGGCACCTGGAGATGGGCGTGATATTCGACGAGTCGAAGCAGGTTACGTTGGCGTACGGGGGGGATACGAAACGAGATATCGCGCAGCTGCAGAAGCTGGTGGCGGGAGAGGTTGTTTTCAGGGGGATCAGGGGGACATCTCGATGGTGATCTAGTGTTATGAGTACTGTCGCTATGTATGTGCAAGGTTTTCGGGTTGACGAACATGCCACCGCTTCGGTTTCGTTCGAGCAGGTGACAAGCAACGGGGGTGTTGAGTACAAAACGATGCTATCATCATTAACTGCAACATGGAAGCGATGCCGGCCGTATGCGTTATGTGTGTTACCCACCCACCACCCACCAGCGACGTGCAAGTGCTGCGGTGGATGAGCACTGCGCCCACGGACCACGACCTGCCAGCCCCTCCAGACCTCACGAAACCGAGGTGACGCAGCTCCCAAGCAAAGAACCCGCCTTCCGCGTCCTGGTGTGGTTGCAAACAGAGGGGACGGTACGCGCGAACCGAGAGCGTTTCGAGCCCGGGGTGCCGCGGAAGAGGTGGGGAGCTGGTTCACGACTCCTCGATTCCTGCCACTGAGTCGAACCTCGATCTCGGCCATGTGCACTTGATGGATCTGCTCGCGGGCTGGACAGGGCAGAGGGGTCTATGCGCGTGGAATAGGCATGCGTTCTGGTTTGCGAGACGGAAAATTAAGGATGTGATGAAGCAAGGATGAAAAGGGGAGGCGGAAGAGTAGCTAGACGAGTCCGCACGCGAAGCTAGTCAGGCCCCCAAACACCCCTGCGCGATGAAAGCCGCGTGGTCCAGTGGAGTGCGTGCACGCGCGTTGGCGTCTGAGTCTAAGAGCAGCTACTACACCGGAAAACAAAGCAGCCGAACTCTGGCCGAACTCACCGTAAATCGTTGCTAACATCGAGAGGGTGCAGGGCGTGCGGATCAAGTGGTGGCACAACGCCTTCCTTTTCAGATCGTCGGAAAACAAAAGACGCGTCCCGCATGAGGCCGCAGACAACGTCGCAAGGCACTCGCACGCATCACCACCGAGCGCACGAGCGCCATGTACGACGACGCTGTGAGCGCAGAACACAAAGCACAGTGGGCGCGGGCAGGCGTATAAGAACCAGGGGAGAAGAGCGGTAGATTCTCGTGCACCGTACAGTTGCCGCTGTGCGGTAGCACCACCAAATACCCCCTTCAGCCCCGTGGCGTCCGCTCCTTTCTTTCTTCGACATCCTCTCCCATCCCGCTCCCGCACTCCGAGGCGCTCCACGACACATTCGACCGCCTCCTTCCCAAGACGTCTCCCATTCCCCCCGCTCAGCGCGTCCCAGGTCTCCGGCACCGTCGGTCGCGTCACCATCCATCCGTCGTCTGCGCGCGGCGAATCCAGGCCGAGGCATCCTCCGATCGGAAGTCGCGCGGGCGGCGGACCGGACGCTGACGACTTCCTCATGCGTCCATACGGCGACAACGACCCGCGTGTGCGCGGTCCTCGATCGCCGCTGGTCGTTGTCGAACGGTCCCAGTCGACTTCGCCACCGTTGCACATCAACGCCCAAGCCGTCGCCCACACTACCGTGCGCGGTCGCGCGCGTCCCGAGTCGCTCGGTGAGTCCCATCGGGTCCTTGCGGTGGAGTATCGTGCTGACCGTCGGCCTTGAACGGTGCCGCAGGACGCGCGCCCGCCGGCCGCCCGTATGTTGAGGTTGTGGACGACTATTCGCCATGGTTCGTCGTCGGGATGTTGACGTCGAGCGTGGCCTACTCAACCTTGAGTGCGGGGTCGGTTATCGAAGACAGTAGGGGAGCTCGGCAGCTTCCCAGGACAGCCTTCGACGAGCGCGCAGACGGCGGAAGCGGGGGCGAGGACGTGGCTTCCGCGAGGCTCATCGTGAGCGTGTTGCGCGTCGCACCATCCATGTTCTTCCACGTCGGCCGGAGTCTGGGATTGGTTTGGATGGCGGCTGGAGCCACCCGCTAGACTAGGAAACCACCAGGTAAGTATCGCGCCATGATCACAGCGCAGCGCCTTACTTACTCGATGATCCCTCCAGCTTCCTGATCCAGTGATTCGGGTGGCTTTGGCGCCTCGACGACGGGGTGTATGCCATTGACCACATCGGTGAAGACGCAGTGAACGAGGGTCTGCGTGGATCGATCCGGGGTCGGTTCGGGTTGGATGGTTGGAACAGGGACCGTGCTGTTTGAGCCACTACCGCTGGAACCCCGGATCCGACGGCGACTGCTCTGCCCAGTGGATACAACCGGGTGTGACCTCCGTTCCCGGCGTTCCTCTAGGGCTGCCCCAGGTTGGAGGGAAGGGCAGCGGGCGAGCGCGCTTTTAGTCTTTGAAGGGGGTAGAGGGCGGCGAAGGTGACGGAGGTGTGCAGTTTCGCTCGAGCTAGCGCAACAAGCACGGTGCCGTTCCCAGACAACTCCAGCGGCACAAGAAGAGGTTAGGCGATGAAGTTTGCGAGGGGAGGAAGGATGGCGGCAGGGATAATAGTGGCAGGGAGACTTGTCGCTCTCCCAGGCGATGTACAGGTTCTGAGATTTGGGTCATCTGAGGAACTCACCGTGCACTCGCGGGACTTATATACTTTTCTTGAACCAAGCTACAGCAACGTCGCTTGAGTGACATGGGCAGAGAGGCGTGCGCTTTGGCGGGGCGAGTGGCTCGATCACTCACTTCAAGTGTCTCTGTGGTCGATTTGATGTGGTACTCCGCGCACACTTTGTCCTGCGGCAGGCTCCCTCATGGTTGTAGTCAATCGGCGCATACGCGCATGCCTTATTCCGTGGAAGGAGCGAAATAGGAGGTATGTATTGCGACGACTCCGTTACTATATCTCAAACAGCAGTCGTCGGCCCGACCTGAGAGGGGAGAGACTTGAACGCGCATAGGTTACGAATGAACACTCACTTTCGTCGGCGCCAGTCCCCGGATGTGCGTGTGCACATCGTCAAACCAGCACACGCTCGTCGTTGCATTTCCTCTAAGTTCTGGGTTCACTACTAGTTGTCTGTGCTGAAGCATGCCCGACTCGGAGGGTGGTCGGTCGAGAGCTGACGTGGATTCCATCTTGCTCTCACATGGGATACGAGGTTGGGAAGAAGGCGCTTAGATAAAGCCTGAGCAGATAATCTAACTTCAGGGCAGGTATTTACGCGTTCTGATCGTAGCGCTTGCCTCGAGCGCGGGTCTCAGCGTCTTCAATTCTTCTCCACTCTCTCGGTCTTTGAACCTGGTCGTCATCCCGGTGGACTCTTTATATGTTTGGGCGCGGCAGGCTGTCGACGCACCTCGAGCCAGCAGATGAATGTGTGAGCACCTCGGACGGTTGCTGTTGTGACATGTATTCGCGAGTGATGCCTGGGTGACTTGTCTGTGGATCAGTGCGTATAAAAGCGTCATTATCTGCTGCCCATCACAACTCCGTTGCCGCACGGTGTGCTCATCTTCGGTCGTTGAATTTTGTCACTGAACCAGCGAGCGGGTGTCTCCGCGATCTTACATATCTTGCTTATTCTTGATCTAATGGTCTCCTGCCGCTTTTTGTTACTGACGAACTCAACTGGGTTACTCCCTAGCTCTAACATCTCCCCAAGGTACGCAGAGCCCAACTTTTCCGGACATGGTCCGCGTCACCTAGGACTCCGCGCATTCGGAGATCTGGGTTCACCAAAAGCAGCCCTGAGCCGAGTTTCCATCTCTCCCAACCCTGCACCGCCATCATCGTCCTACCCCCGCCCACGAGTACGGTCGCTCCGGCCCCGGATCCGTGCGCACGCCCGAGCGAGCGTCCGGGCCCCGCGTCCTGACAGTTTCGCGCGCAAGCGTACTGCGAGCACTGACGGAACGCGGTGCGTACGTGACGGCGTGTCCACGGCGCAGGAAGAAACGCCTGCCGGCGACACCGCAGGCATCGCGACAGTCGTTCGCCCGCCGGGCATGCCGAGTCACAGTACACGGATAAAAGAACAATCCAGCGAAGGAAGACAAGGCACCGAAGCCTCACCCGGTTCGTCGACTCTACCACCTCCAACCTCACAAACGATGCGCGTCGCCCGCAGCATCTCTGCGTTCCTCGTCTCCGCGACCTACATCGCGCTGGGTGAGCACGGCTCAAGTTCTGATCACGAAGTCGACTGTCGTCGCTGACTTTCGGACCCAGCCCGCGCGAGCCCCGCGCCGCTCGAGCTCGAGGCCCGTGCTGAAGTCACGCCGACCCCGACGACCACGCTGAGCTTCCACAGACTGCCCCCGACGGTACGCACGCTCGCCGCGCGCAGGCCGAGGACACGCTGACGCGCGCCCGCCAGTTCCTCACCTCCGTGTGCTGCCTCGTCCCTCCTTGCCACTGCTAGTCGCGATTTGAGTCCGTGTCCGGGATGACTTCGGCACGGCACCACACGCGGGAGAACTAGTGTACAGATTGCAATGGGAGACGTGAGTGATTGTACCGGTACAGTGGGGTGAGGGGAGCGTGATGGGTGTTTGCGCGGCGAACGCGCGTGCAATGCCGGCTCGGTACGAGAGTAGTGGGCGGGGTCCACGGCAGGTAAACGAGGCCTTGAGGGGCTGGGACGGCAAAGACGGGCACGGGGATGAGAGCCCGGTGCCCGTCGAGCTCGCAGTCCATGAGCAGAGGCATGAGACGTTGGTCGGCTGGGGTCTTCACGGCCAAACTGGCCGCAACCTTGTTCGTGGCGGTCGCGTGCACCTTCGCCGTTCCCCGCCTAAAGCCGCCGCAGCTCGCAGGCGGGGAATGCCGTGGGCCGTTCATAGGAAGTCGCAAGCGTGGAAGACGACGACGAGCGCGATGACCCCGACGGCAAGCACGGAGACCTGCGCGGACGCTGCAGGCTCCTCCATCCGGAAGTCTTCAGGGTGCGATTCGTGGTGTGATGGTGGAGGTGGTAGGCGCGGCTGGACGGTGCGGCGCTGGGGCTGAAGGGACTCGGCGCGATTGGGTGGGCGCGATGGACGGGACGATGATGTAAGAGCACTCACTGCGGCCGCTCGAGGGTACACGGGCGTGACCTCGTCTGGCTGGGCAAGCACTGCGGCTTCGCGCGCGGTCTGAGACCATACGGGGACAGCGACTGAGGGAAGGGTTCTGCGGGGGATGAGGATAGGAGGTTCTCACCAGAGGAAGCTTGGGCACGCCGACCCGCAGGATGGGGACGCTCGCGGACGCAGCCCAGTGTGCTGCAGCCCCCGCAGGACGCAGAAGGAGGAGAGTGTGAACGGAGGGTTATGGGGCAGACGACAGGGGGACGCACCTTGGAGGAGCACCATGAAGGCAAGGACAAGCGCAGCGAAAACACGCATGCCGACGGTCTTGATCTCCTGGGCGACGTTTCGAGGGCGGGGGGCGAGTGCAGGTGCGACTCGAGCGAGCGGGGACGGCGTTGACGAGCTTGGTGGGGACCAGACCCCGCGGCGCAAGACCGGGCCGCAGGTGTCTCAGTTTGCCCGGAAGGAGGATCTCGCTCATGCACGCGAGAAACGGCGTGTCGTGCAACCACACGTGTGTCGTAGCGGAGGTGCCATTGGTGCCAACGACGAACGTGCCCGCCGTGGGGGAGAGCATGGCGGGAACGTTGACATGCTCGTGGGCTGGTGGGACTTGCAATTGCCTTGAGCTTCCGGAGGCTTGTTGAACGGAGAGTTTGCGAACCAGACGAGCGGCGTTTGTGAGGGGAGAGGCCGCACCAGAACCAGCCACGGAGAACACGGAAGCAAGCAAGAAAATGAACGTGGGTGCGATGGGAGCATCGAGGATATTGAGCGGCGCCCGGAGGACGAAGGAGGACTGGGCCATCGGCAGTCCGGGCCGCGCCCGGCCGGCTGCTCTCTCGACCGCTCGGCGGGGAACTCGACGCTGAATTACTTATGCAATACATTTGCACAAAAAGACACGGATAGTCTACAGTGTTCACCACCAACGACACAAGCTACAAAGAAGGGCTGTCTACGTAGGGTATATCCCCGAGCGGCAAAGAGCGTGTTATATGTATGTTTTCGAACTCATACCGAAGCCTTGTCCGAACCCTACACGAGCCTCCACTCAGAGGGAAAGCACCAGCAGCGCGACAACCGCCGCCGCCGTCGCGGCCACCATCCCGGGCCCGCGCGATGCGGCCCCGTTGAAGAACGTCCCACTGGGCAGCGTCGGCCCGTCGGCCTGCGCACTTGGGCTCGAGCCTGAATTCCCGACGGTCGACGACCGCGCGCTCGTTGACGCCGCAGATGCGCCCGAGGAGGCGGAGGCGGAGGCGGACGAGGAGGGGTGAGAGCTTGCGGGCACGGTGAGCGTCGTCCTGGACGCCGCGCTCGAAACGGTGGTCTGTGTGGGTAGCGAGGGGTTCAGCGTGCGCACGATGCAGAGATAGTGGGAGGTGCACGTACGGAGCTGGCGGCGGAATCCGGGTGGGCAACCGCCCCGCCTGCGGTCGCGAGATCTGCGGAGGGCACCGCGCTCGACGCAGGAGGAGCGGGGTGATGCGTCGAAGACGTGGGGAGCGCGCGCGCGGTGGACGACGTCGGCTTGGCCGCGGACGGCGTCGTCGGGTGCGCGGAGTGCGTCGACGCGGGAGAGGTGTGCACAGCGCTCGGGGAAGAGGTGTGCACAGCACTCGCGGAGGAGCTCGTCGAGCGCACGTGGGAGGTAGAGGTGGAGAAGCCGACGGTGGAGGTGACCGTGACCGTGACCGTCGCTGCACCGGAGTGCGAGACGGCGGCGGCGAGGCTCTGACGAGGTGCAGTGAGTAGGCATGTGGGGACACTCAGAGAGGGGGCCGCTTACCGACTCCACAGATTGCGCGCCGCTTGGAACCGGCAACGCGCCCAGCGTGCTCACTGCAGAGACCAAGATCGGTCAGTGAAAGCGAAGGTACAGTGCAGAGCACGGCACCCACCTTGCGCGAGCATCACAGCCCCCATGAAGACGACGCTCGACAGACGCATGATGTATCCAACCCTGGTGGTGACCTACTCAGATCCAAGGGGTGAGCGGGAGGGCAGGAAGAGCGGGGGTCGAGGGTCGAGGGCCATCGCGCCTCCCCCTCCCGCCTTTTTCAAGGCCAGCGGGACATTCCCGCATTGAATGCCATGCATATGGATCTTTGCAAGTCCCGGTTAGCGACAGAAGGAGAACACGAGAAGACAGGCGCAGGGAAGCGCACCTTTTGATTACGCGTGGCATCTGGGCCTCGGGCCTGAACGAAGGCAAGAGGATGTCGCCGCTCTCGAGAGGTTTGAATGACGGCCGACACGGATAGGGAAAGTGCATGGGGAGTGGGGCAGATGAACGCTCTGGGGTGCTGAACACGCAGGCACAATGTCCTCCTTCTCGCCACGGCGGCGACATGGGTGCACTTGACAGCGAACTGGAAGCGGGATCGCCGACGTCGGGCCCGGGCGATGGGGTACGAAGGACAAGCCGGGCGAGGGAGAGCATCCATCCTTCCTCGGACGAGACGGAGTCTGGGTATGCCAATGACTGCGCATTAAATTTGATAACAACGATATTGAGTAGGGTACGTACCATCCATAGTCGGGTATGTAGCCGAACACTACATGCCCGCATCGCCGCGTCCCCGTCGAAGCCGTGGCGGACCCTCTTCCGTTGTGGCGCCAGGGACGGCCGAGACGAGCGCGGCGGTGTCTGTACCCGCGCAAACAAGGAACCATCCGGGCATGAGCGACATGAAGCAGGAAACTTGACCGAGAAGTATACAGGACGAGGACATACCATTGCGTGAATGGCGGATTGGCGCTGTGCGGCGGCCGTGATTGATGCGATAAGCCAGGACGGAGCAGCTTAAGTCCGCAGGAAGCAGGGACGTTGGGAAAGAGCACCGGGGTTTCGACCGGTGTTGATGCCAGTCTTGTCCACGTCTCTGTTTCCCTGCGGTTCCAGGCGCACGGTGGGCTCGGCGCCGGATGAATGCAGAGGGCAAGCATGGGTCGTCCATGGGAAGAAGCGTACTGTTCCAATTTGTATCCGTTCGTCCTCGAGGGCAGCTGCCGACTTCGGCCTTCACCTCCCAGATGAAGCTCGTTGAGCGTTGTCGTGGGCGACCTGCGTATGCGAGAGGCGGGTTTGCTGGACTGGTATACCAGAGCACGCAGATAGAGGCAAGCACCAGTTATAAGTGAGAAGAAGTGTCTGGCCAAGCTCAAGCAGATTTGCGAGTCGTCTCTGCAGTCGCCACGTGTCCGGCCCGGCGAAGACCCCGGCCACTCTCTCACGACGCCAGCACCGAGGACTTCAACCTCTGCGCTGCCGGCGATACTCAGTTTGTGCAGTCGTTCCTACATGCTACCGCGCTGACTCTGCATCCCTCCACTTGGCTTTTGAAGTCAGCTCGAGCAGTGAGTGACATGCCTTGAATATGCTGTGACAGACATGAACGCACTCCCGTTTTTGTTCAGGAATCCTTCTTATGAGTGGAGTCGCTGCAGGAACTCAATGTTGTCCTCGCAGCGCTGCCACCTATGATACCGGGGGGCACTCTGGCTGGATTACAGGACATGGCGGGTCGGGTACTCCGCAGAGCATGATTTAGCACGCTTCGGCAGAGCCACGCCATCTCGGCCGCTGAGTACCCGTGTTCCTTGAGCAGCGCTCGTGGTGTGTTTAGGTGAGTCGAATACTTTCAGTCTCAGGAAGTATCTCCCCGTACACGTCCTGTGATAGCGATGCTCCTTCGTACATTCGGACTTCATTTGGACCGCAAGCAGATGTGCCGCGTTCGTTCGCTGCCATGGGCAGATCCGACGCCGCTTTCACATCCGTTCCATTCGGTGCCCGTGGTGCACGACGACTTCATCGTTTCCTCCCCAATATTCTGGCACGCCACCACATCGGACACGAGCTAGCCCTGTTTGCCAGGAGCGGCTGACTCATTTTCGGCGCCCACATAGATGGTCTCACATATCTGTTTCTTCCAACACCCAACCCCTTTCCGCCATCGCCTTCTCGAACCGCGGCCTCAGCTGACCCTCAGGCTCATCTTCAGATACACGAGCGCTAAAAGCGCCACTGGACTCGCTGGCGCGCCAGGACGCGCTTCCGCATGTAACGGGGGCATACTGTTCCCACTCAACGCCCGTGCGTCCGTACCTCGACTCCCACGACAACGGAGTTTCGACGCGGACGCGTACTAATAGTACTGCCTGGACAGAGACCAAATGGATCCATCGGAACTCGGTTTCGCTTGCACTTCAAACGTACTCATCGACGCTGGCTCGCGTCGCTGCCGAGTCGTCTGCACTCTCGACGCATGGGAGCCTCGTCGTCGTATGGTCTTGCTCGCGCGGGCCACCGGTCTGAGATGCGACCCGACGGCCGCACAGGCAGCTGGTGTCGACAAGGTGCGGATGCACTCATGGACCATGTTTGAGCTGAATTTGAATGTGCAGTGTCCCTGGCAGGGGGAGCATTCTCCATCACTCCGAAGACCTCCCCCTCAAGCTGCGGCACTGCGCCTCGGCCGTCGCGGACTTAAGCCGGCGGGCACGTACCGCCTTTTCCTCCCGGCACGGGCTCGTCGAGATATCGTGGTCAGTCGATGTTATCTATACCGGAGAGCGTGTTGAACCTCCCACACGTGCCCCATTCCGCCGCAGGGACATTCAATGGGTACACAGACCGGATGGGCGTTGCGCAGTGCGGGTGTGATGAGCGCAGTACAACCCTCGCCTGTGCTGTCGCCGTAATTTCCTGACGTGGGTTGCCATCGTTCGGCCAAAGGTGACCGTAGTGCTCGTGGGAGCGCGGGCGACTCGAGACAGACACACAAGTGTAAGTCAGGCGATGTGTGCCATACCGAGGTCTCCATTCCGCAAAGCCGTCTCTTCCTCTGGTTGTATTTCCGAGCTGGGTTGGAACTAAGGGCCGGCGCGGAGGTGATGGAGTGAGTTAAGCGTTCTTTCGAAAACAAAAGGCGTCTTCGTGGCACATGCAAAAGGCCAGTGAAAGTTGTAGTCCTGAAAGTGGTGACTGACAAGGTCTTTTTTGGTCATCCTCGTGTAGCCGACACGGCGCCCCTCGAGAGCAGACCTCTATGGTAGGCGTAATCCACAAGCGTAATTACCATTCGGACTCAGGTCACAGAGCGGAAGCAAAGGGGCGTCGTCGGAAAAGATGCCCCGAAGCACTGACAAAGCCTCAATGGTCCTCAGGGTCGTTGATGGGTCTTCTCTACGCTGGGGAATGCCGCGACCGACACGTGACCGATTTACTGGTATCGGAAGCTTTCCCTTGGGCCCGGCTGCCCGAGCTGCAAGTTCCATCTTCCCACCGCCTCCATAAACGTCGACACGCATATGTATGTACGGCAACAGAGCTGTGCTTTTCCGTCACAGGATGGGGATGCATCCCCGCGAAAGGCTACCAGGGACTTGGGCGCAAGAAGCAGCCTCAGCGTACATATAAACCCTGTGAGCGACGCTGGGGCTTGCCAGTTCTCTAACCACTCCGCGGTCCACTCCTCAGGCCACTCCCTAGACCCGCTACCTTCTCTTCTTTAATCAGCGCCCACAGCCATGAAGTCTTTCGGTACCTTGTTTGCTGTCATCCTTGCGGCGTCTCAAGGTGAGTTGATGACTCGTACTATCAGTCGCTCCGAATATTGACGGATACATTCGTTTTCTGTGTAGCATTCGTTCTCGCTAAGTCGGAATCGTCGATCAACCTCGTCAATGCGACGTCGACAAACCCTGCCAACGCGACGTCGACCAACCCCGTCAATGCTACGTCGACCAATCCGGTCAATGCGACATCGACAAACCCCGTCAATGCGACGTCAACCAATCCAGTCAATGCGACATCGACAAACCCCGTCAACGCGACGTCGACCAACCCAGTCAACGCGACGTCGACCAACCCAGCCAACACGACGTCAACCAACCCAGCCAACGCGACGTCGACCAACCCTGTTAACGCGACATCGACCAACCCCGTCAACGCAACGTCTACCTCTACCGCCGCCACGAACAAGCTCAATGGGGAGGGAAGCAACAGCGCGTTTACCGGTGCGTCCATCGACGTCCAGACCCGGGTCGCGGCGATCCTCGCGGTCGGGGCTGCCGTCGCATTCGGCTTCTAGGGCGCCGTTGTCGCGGAGGGGTGGTAGGAGCGGGTGTCGGGTGTCACGACGGCGGAGGGAGATGCCAATGTGCAACGCGGACTGGTCATGACCTTTTCATACGCTCCTTGTTTTTCGTGGACATTGATGGCACACGGTTTGTCGACTCTTCGTCGCGCGTTGGTTCCCATGCTTTCCTGATTTCGAGTGTTTCCACTCGCTCTCGATCGACTCCCTGAAATCTGCCTTGACCCCGACACGCACGCGGAGGCATGCTCTATCCGCGCGGAGCCTTGGCGCGAATGGCGACGGCATTCTCCGGGACCTTGTTTCTCCCCTCGTCCTCCTCCGTATACACGCTCGCTGTCGTCTTAGGTAGCGATTTCCCCCTCCGCTTGACGTGAAAACATGCCAAAAGATCTTCTCAGTGCTCACGCCCTCAGGCATAGCGTTTGGTGAGCACAGGGCTTTTCGTGTCGTTGTCCTCCCTCTCCGACTTGCGTGCTGTCCTGGCCGCTGGTGAAGCTCTTAGTGATCACCGATTGAATAGCGGGTGCAAACGATTGTATAGATCCCCCTTTGTTCCGACCGGACGGCTCATGAATGCATCCTGTTTTTGGAATTGCTTGACGAGCTGCGACAACGCTCAGGCAGGCTGTAATAGCTCCCGAAGACAGAAGATTACCGCATCCGACGGGAATCAACGGCACCGCAGGCGGCGCGACAGTACAAACCACCCATACGTCCTGGCAGTCCATATTATAATGGTGAGAATCGTCAGACCGGAAATTGTCGCCCTGCGCGAGATGGGTAGGTGGCGGATGCAATACGCAGGGGTCTGGGAAAAGGGCGCGGGGAGACGCGCCCGAGCCTCACGTCGGGGGTGTCAAGGAAGCTGCGCGGCGCAATCATTAGAGTGTCGTAATCCCACATTCACAGGTCTCGCAAGCGAATAGGGAGCTCACAGTCTCCGCGCAATCTGCACGCCCACGTCCAACGCTTGCGCTCAAGGATGCCTTCGACCTAACGCTGTACCAGGAAGAGGCGGACGAGGTGGTGGCCGAGTCGGCGGAAAACCTGAAGGCACCCAGAGACAAAAATGAACGCTTCGCAGCGGAATGCGCATGCGCAATCGATGGTAAGGATATTGAGACGCGGGGCTCGTGTGTACACAACGTTCGTGGAAAAAGCGGTCCGCACCGCCAGTCGACGCTACAGACACTCACTCGTCAACTAAAAATACTTGATACGGCCACTTATTCACCGGGGCTCGGAGTCCGGAACCTTCGCGGAGTATGCGGTACTCGCTCGCTGGAAGGTTGAATACAATTGGGTGATGATGTTGGAATCTGCCCGCATACTTAGCAAGCTCGGTCGTACGGTACCAGCGCTTAGTCATCCCGTAGATAGCCGCCGCCCCTCGTCCCGCACTCGCCTCACGCGTTTGCCCTTCCCCACCGCCTCGTTCTCCCCCGCGTCCGTCTGTACTCGCCTCCCGGTGCCCATAGGGACCAACCGCGTGGTATCGATTGCCTTTACCCCCTCGTCCGACCCCGACCGAGCCGCCGACTTCTAACACAAACGCGTACCCTTGCCCGGAGGTCATTCCGCGCCCGCGCCCGGCCTACTCGTTGTCCGCGCCATCCGATCTCGACGATCCGAAGCCCCCTCCGACCCGCGATCACCTTTCGACCCCCGACCCGTTTGCGATCCTCCGATCCCGCTTTCTCCCCGCCGATCTTCGACCCCCACACCTCCTATCGCAAGAATCGCCCCTCCATCTCCACCGCCCTCGCATCCGCCGCCCGCGCCGCGACCGCCGCCGCCGCTGCTCCCGCTCCCACTAGTGTTCCTCGTGGTCGAGTCCCGCATTCAGGAAGCGCGCCGCCTCAGCCATGGCACCCGGCCCACCGCCTGCGCCGTTCCGGAGTTGTTTGGAGAGTCCCATTGTGGCTGTCTCTTACTAGGTTCACGGGACATTTGTACGTTTTGATTTACGATCCCCTCGCGCATTTTCTCGTTTCCCCTTCTCGCCTCCGTGCTCCCCTGTCGGCATGTTGTGGTTACTTTAGCCGGCCGTCATTGGCGTGCTCGACATCGTGATTCGCTTGCTCTCCTGAGGTTGTAGCTGGTCGCCCGCATCATCGTCTTGATCCCCTGTCCCCGATCCTCGTCACGTTGATTTTGTTTATTCGATTCTATGCCCCTGTCTCTCCTCGATCCAGCGTAAACCCCGATCCATCGTATCCGATCCAGCGTAACCGACCCATCGTACTCGAACCAGCGTAAACCGATCCATCGTCCTCGAACCAGCGTAACCGATTCAGCGTCTTCCTCGATCCTTCGTACTCGACCCATCGTCCTCGATCCCTCGTCCTCGACCCTTCGCATTTTGTACCACCGTCTTCCCCTCGATTTGTGCTCGTTATACGCCCTCGCTTGTGGGGGCCTGTTGGAATCTGCCCGCATACTTAGCAAGCTCGGTCGTACGGTACCAGCGCTTAGTCATCCCGTAGATAGCCGCCGCCCCTCGTCCCGCACTCGCCTCACGCGTTTGCCCTTCCCCACCGCCTCGTTCTCCCCCGCGTCCGTCTGTACTCGCCTCCCGGTGCCCATAGGGACCAACCGCGTGGTATCGATTGCCTTTACCCCCTCGTCCGACCCCGACCGAGCCGCCGACTTCTAACAGATGACTCGGCACTCACCTCGTTGTGCTCTGAGGGCAAGCTCAGGACATAAGTAAGTCTTTAGGAGACGCTCGAGTGGGTGGCCGCGCGATGACATCGCTTTCGGCAGGCGCCGTAATTGCCACGTGTGGGTTTTGATATCGAGCGATCTGGCGAATCATGACCCGCCTCCTCCTCCTCCTCCTCCCCCTTCTCCCTTCCCCCGACTCGTGGCAGCTCGTGGCGTTCTGCAGCGCAGATTTCCAGGATCCGCTCGATTTCCGTTCCTCCCTGTGTGAACAAGTCCCATAAAGTGGCTTATTTCATGACGATGTGGGGTTCCAACCCCGGTGTTTTTTCGTCTTCACCAGTGGAACGCCGCATTTCCTCCGTGGAAGGTGGTGTGTGCACACTGCTTTAGTATTCTACGCGAAAGTCTTACGCCTCCCTAGGAGATGACTCCTCGAACTCGACGGGAAACGCGGACATCGTCGCCGTAAGCAAGTACGTCTGCGCGTGTACTGTCAGTGTATGAACACTCGAACACTTACGGGCGTGAACTTTCGTATCCCCTTGCCCTCCTTGCATTGCCCCTGCCCCACGCTGTCAATTCGCAACCTGAACTGCCCCACCCAGACGCTGTACTGCCGGCCAGCTCTCCCCGCATCTTCGGGTGCAGATCACTGCACGGCAACAGACAGACCGCGGTGACGATGTTATCAAAGTCGTCTCCGTTCCAGCTGGAACCTCGTTTGGCTTTGCTTTGTCTCTGCATGCGGTTCAGGGAAGCTTCCCGATGTGTTAGGTAAGTATATATGGTACTTTGATCAGCGGCTATTGATCACCGGTTGCCCTGTGCCCAAACCTGCTACAGTGTTGCCACCGAGACGGGGATTATTCCCCGTGGTGGACAAACTCAGCAGTGCGTGACGGATCCGAGATGTGCGGCGGGGTAAAGAAGCCTTCCATGTTCTCCTTGTTCTCCTTGTGCCACAGGTTCTGTGAGTGTGCAGGGCTCATTCTGCGGCCATGGGGTAGGCTTTTGCTCGGAGCTCGTCATCGCAGAGGGTCGTCGAAGATGTGCAGCACCTAGGCAACACATGCTCGGGCAGGCAGAGTAGAAGTTGACGTGTGGGCAGCGGCGCCGCTCTGCTTGATCCTACAGGCGGTCCCGCGATCCCGTGGACCGCGCCGATTGAAACCACTCAGTTTGTGGGAAGGCACAGCTCGCCGTTTCCCTCATATACCGAGCCCGTCGTTGCAGCCTGCCCATCTCTTACCCGCCATCCTCCCCACCCGGCTCGCGATACGAACGCATACCTCGCCGTCCTTCGTGACACTACTGTTTTACCCCCTTTTGACTTCACCTCAAACATGCGTTCGTTCAGCATCGTCCTTGCTGTGGCTGTCCTTGCGGCTCAGGGTACGTGATGCCAGTCCACCTCGCCCTGTCCCCGGATTCGGACCTTCATGCGCGTTGCCCAGTCACTGCGGTCGTTGTGGATGACCTCCAGGTCCGCTCTGAATCAACGTCGATCGGCCCCAGCTCGACCACTTCGTGAGCGCTCATGGTTCTAATGCATTGACCGTTCGCACTAACGCCATGTCAGCCTTCCGCCCACTACCGGAACGACCATCATCGACAGCTCTCCCGGCAGTACTAACCCCACTACCACCGCCGCCAGTGTCACCAGCTCCACTTCTATTACTGGCTCCGCCGGAAACCACGGCACCAGCACCGCGTCCAGCTCTACTGGTTCTCACAACACCTCGGTGACGTCCTCCTCCTCGACCACCCAGTCTGTGACTTCCTCCACATCCCAGACCGTCCTGAGCGCCCCTCCCACCTCGAACGGCACCAGCTCCGCCCCTTCCACCGGCACCACCTCAAAGAACCCCGCGAGCACCTCAGGCTCGTCCACTCAGCCGAGTACGACCCCCGGGGGGACGGGGGGCGCGCTGGGCACGTTCGTCGACGGGCGCGTCGGCGCCGCTGCGGTGTTCGTCGTGGGCGCTGCGGTTGTATTCGGCTTCTGAGGAAGAAGAGACGCGAGCAGCGGGGCTCCGCGCTTCGATTCGGGCGGGCGAGGCGTTGTACCATCGCCTTTGGAGACTCGTTTTCGCCGTCCGAGACTCGCGGCCCCTCCCTCCCTACCCTTCCTCTTGTTTTATTTAGGTGTGCTGTCGCGGCCTACACACCTGGACTTTTGTGGGATTTGCCAACTATGCTTTGTGTATTACAGCGCGGTCGCGTTTAGGACATTGTGATGTATACCAGCTTCTGTAGAGTGCTCTCAGAATCACAATGTTCACAAACGCATCGCTTGTTGCTATTAACGTGAGCCGGAATCGAACTGCGGGACTCGCGGAAATGGTGTTGAGGCGTCTAATCGATGCTCCCGGGCGGTGCGCTGGCGCCTAGCTGCATTCGGCCCTTCTCCCATGACTCCGACTGTCGCGCACATGCGATTCCGCTATGTGAACCTCCGAGAGCCATGCTGCAAAGACGGTCAACGCGGCCCGGACACTCAGGTTGATTGTAACCCGGAGCAAAGTCCCACAATTGACGGACACTTGCACGGCATCCAGCATGGCACGGACTCGACTACTAGTCCTCACCAAGCACTCTCAAGACAAAACTACTTCCAACACCGAGCTCGATGACCGCACAACAATGCGCCTCACTAGCGCCCTCTCAGTCCTCCTCGATTCCGTGCTGTGTGCCGCAACCGAGTGTGCAGCTACTCTCCCCGAACCGAGGTCTTTTGCGACCGGGATATCGTACGACGGATTCCACAACGTGCGTCTGCCTCTTCCTACCGCCTCCATCGTGTCTGATCACCTCCGCAACTCGCAGTGCTCTCCGCGACTGCCGCCCCCGCCGCAAAAGCTGCAAATGCTGCCATGTCCGCCGCTGTCGCCTCCGCTGCTGTCGCCTTCGCCACGGCGGTGCACCCCAACCAGGACTTTGCGCTGTCGGCCGCGACTTCCGCCGCGCGCCCGTCTGCTGCCACGGCGGCGGTGTGTCCCTCCGCTGCTGTTGCCGCATTCGCTGTCGTCGCCGCGCGGTCCGCCGCGGCCGTCGGTCCCATGCACAGCGCCGCCGCGTCTGGTGCCGTCGTAGAGCATGCCAGCGCTGCCGTGGTGAGTCCCAACGGCGAAGTGGACGCATGAATGGCGATATACTGACGCGTTTGTGTGCACAGGAGGCGGACGTCTTACCGTCGAGGTCCGCGAATTCGCGACAGCGGATGGACCGTATCGTACAGAACGCACAGTTTCTCTTTGGTACCGTTAGTTCTGGCTTCGTCGTCCCTCCTTCAGCGCCATTAACTCTTGTCTGATATCCAACGCTCTACTTGCACTCCTCGCCCCGCCGACGACGATCCCAAACGGACCCACAGACGGCGTAAGGTGCTCCTCCTCGGCTGTCGGGCGTGGCGCGATCTCATCGGGTCTGCGCCAGATCTATGGACTTTCCTCGCCCCAAACATGCCCCAACGACTCTACGAGCTCGTCCTGTCCCGCTCCAAGCATGCCAGGCTGGATATCCCCTTCGACTGGGAGTCGGAATGGTTATTTGGACATGTCCCTCTCTCCCCCGATCTCACACCTCTCATCCTTCCCGAAGAAGACGTTCCGAAAACCGGTGACGATGATGGCGAGTTAGTTGACGAGTGGATCGTCCCGATAACATTCCTGGTCGGAAGCTGCTAGGACAGCCATCGTCGCTCACTCGCACAGGACGTGCGCTCTCTCGTTATCAGACGATGGCGCTCGCCACCCCCGCAAGTACTCGATGCCGTTTCTCGAAGCCCTCTTCTGCGATCGAGCCTGGCCCGTTCTCGAAGCGTTGTGTGCAAACCGTGTACCATCAGTGTCCACGGAAAGTAAGGAGCGTATGAAAAAGATCGTGACTGGTCCGTTCTGCCCATTTCCATCTCCCTCCGCCGCCGTGACACCCGACACCCACTCCCGCTACTCCTCCGCAACAACGGCGCCCTAGAAGCCGAATGCGACGGCAGCCCCGACCACGAGGATCGCCGCGAGCCCGGTCCGGACGTCGACGGACGCACCGGCAAACGCGCCGTTGCCTGCGTCCGGCTTGGACTGGTTCGAGTTGCTCGGGTCCCGTTCAACATGGCAGTGGTCTGGCTCGCGGCGGCGCCGGAGGAGGTCACGTTCGCGTGGGAGCCGCTCGCGAGGGAGGAGGCGTTGGAGACGTGGGTGGACGTTGCGTTGGCGGGGGTGGTCACCGTCGCGCTGGCGGAGTCGGCCAACGTCGCGTTCGCGGTCTCCGCGGCAGAACTGTCGATTGGGTCTGCGGGGTACGTGGAGGACGGGTCGTCCGAGTGTACGTGGCGGATGGGCCGTCGGTGTACGTGGTGGATGGGCCGACGGTCGAAGAGAGTGCCGTGACGGACGGCGATACCGACTTAGCGAGAACAAGTGCTACACAGAAAATGAACGTATCCGTCAACGGTCGTAATGACGGATACTACGAGTCGTCAACTCACCTTGAGACGCCGCAAGGATGACGGCAAGACGGTACCAAAAGACTTCATGGCTGTGGGTGCTGATTAAGGGAGAGAAGATAGCGGGTCTAGGCAGTGGACTGAAGAGTGGACTGCGGGAGCGGTTAGAGAACTGGTAAGCCCCAGCGTCGCTCACAGGGTTTATCGATAGAGCTTAATTATATTGTAACCGGGCGCGCGTCAGTTCACGATTACCAGTAGTAACTACTAGTAAAGCACTGTGGTAGGACCAAACGCGTCGCATTTGTCTCGTTTAGTGCATGGCGGGCAATGCGAGCACTTACCACGGTCTACTGGTCTACTACTAAGCTACTACTGTTCAATATTGCGACTCGCAAAACCGTACGATTATCGTAGAGTTACTGGTACAAATGGTACGCATAGTCGGCCGCTACCTACGTTCGTGGTAAAGCAATACTACATTGTTCTGCAACACCCAGACTACCGAGCACTGCTCCTCGTCGCGGGTCCAGAGCCGGACGTCGCCGCCTTCGCCCTCGGCCTAGGGGCGCTGTACACGCGTCAGCATGTCTACCGTGCGCTCCCAAACGAAGTGACTTACGGCTTGCTCGATTGCGCTGTCTTCTGTCGCTTCGCCCCTCCGTTCGCCGACGCGCTGTCGTTGCCCTCAACCGCCTCGGCTTTGCGCCTGAGCGTGCGCGTGTTGATGCTCGCAGGAGGGGAACGGGGGGGCTGACCACCACGAGCGCTGCGCCTCGGCTCGGCCGTAGCAGTCTCAGCAGCTGCTCGTGCCACTGCCCTCGTCGTTCGCCTCTCGGGCTGGTCGAGCTGCAGCGTCCCGTGTTCGCGCGCATTCTCGTCGCAGCGCCGCGTGCCTTCCTGTTGCCCTGCCTGCTCCGGAGCGAGGCGTGAGGCGTCCCTGTCGGCGTGTTCTTGAACCAGGTGCTGGATGTGAGCTCGGGCCTCTCGAGTGAGTTCTTCTTGCAATTCGCGCTCTTGCCTCTGAATGTCTTGCTCGCGCTCGATGCGAGTGCGCTCTTCGGCCTCGATGCGGGTGCGCTCTTCGGCCTCGCGCTCGACGCGGGCATGCTCTTCAGCCTCACGCTCGATGCGAGCGCGCACCTCGGCCTCGATGCGGGCGCGCTCTTCCGCCTTGATGCGAGCGCGCACTTCGGCCTCGATGCGAGCGCGCACTTCGGCCTCGATGCGAGCGCGCTCTTCGGCCTCGATGCGAGCGCGCTCTTCGGCCTCGACGCGGGCGCGCTCTTCGGCCTCGCGCTCGACGCGGGAACGCTCTTCAGCCTCACGCTCGACGCGGGCATGCTCTTCAGCGTGGAGACGGGTGCGCTCGAGGCTTTCGCGTTCTTCGGTCTCGCGGTGAGCGCGCTCGTCCTCGACGCGTGGTTCGCCCACTCGATCGCGCTCGTCGACTTCATGCTCAAGCGACTCGGGCTCTATGAGCGTGTTCTCAGGGCCTGATGGTGTAGCGACGCTAGAAGCGGGAGCGTGGAGGTCGGGAGTTAGGTCGAGTGGCGGTAAGGGGGGCGAGCCTAGATCCCACACGCGGGCGTGTTTCTCGATGCGCTTTGCCGGTGATCGGTAGATCGTTTGCGTGTTGTAGACACCGGCGGTGGCGGGCTGGGGTGGAGCAAGGTCGCTCGGGAGGAAACGGAAGGCGTCGGGGGTGCCTTGGGCGTCGTAGAGCCGCTGGTATAGAGTGATGAATTCGGGCAAGGGCATGGTCTCGAAGCCCTCGATGCCGGCGTCCTGCCAGACATCCGCGATGGTATGCTTCTGTCCAATATCGGCGACTCTCAGCGCGACCGCGGGGTCTTGAGGATGCGCCATACCTGCGGGTGTATGAACGAGAGCTCACGACTTTCGAGAGAAGACTTACGATATGCGGCCTGCAAGTAGTCGTGGACGTTCTTGAGAGCCAGCATTTGGGTAGTCGTTCTCGGGTCCCATGCAGGCAACTCGTTCTTTTCATCGTCAGCGGGAAAGTCGGGGTTCGGCGCTGAGGTACAGTTAGTCACGCGATTTGGTCGGGAGGAGGAGATGCACTCACGAATATGGGATTCCGCAAACCTGTGAATGCGGTCTCTCTCTGCAGCGGTCGGCCCTCCCTCGAACGCCCAAAAGTCTTCTTCCGTCTTGACGCCGCCGGACAGGCTGCCAACGAGTAAGCAAAGTAAAGCTCGCTTGAGAGATGGGTACTTACTACTCGAAATGCAACTCATTGTTAGACTTGCGTGTGATCCAGATCGTGGAGAAGGACGATTGCCCGGTGCCTGCGATATGGAACTGATCAAAGCTCTGTTCGAGCAGGGAGCCCATGGTCTCTTGGTTCCTGCTCGCAGGTCAGCGCGCTCTCATCAAATGCGAGGTATGAGACTTACTCAAAGACCACCTTCGGATCCGCGCGATGAGACTCCTCATGAGCGAGCTTTTTGTAGTAGTCCTGCACCTCGGTAGGTTCCTTCTCGAACGCCTGCGACCTGAGTGACGCACGCATCCCGGGGTTAGGACCGTCATACTCGGGGAGCTTCACCTTGTTCTTCGGATCTCGGGCCCACAGAACGAAGGCTGCGCTCGCTCGCTGAACCATCCGCTTGACTAGAGGCGTCGGTTCGTGTTTTTGAGCGGCGACGCTGCGGATCTGCGGACGGTGCTCGTCGCCGATGATCTTCTCGATCCGTTCTTGCCAGGTTTTGTGCTTCTGGACGTTGTTGAACCAGTGGCGGGATCTCTATACGGGGGTCAGGATGCGTCGACCGCGTTATGCGCCACGCACTCACCTCAATAAACCAGCTTGGTGTTGCCTTCGAGTCCGGTTCTAGACCCCACTGCTGTATGGCCTCGTTTGCGCGGTCAGTGATGAACTTGGTCTTCTCCTTGCGAGGTCGCTGCCTCCACTCTTCGTACCGGGTGGCGTAGTATTGGCGGTGAGTGGCGTAATGACCGTCCCAGTCTATACGAGCTCCGCGATCCTTCCCCTCAGCCGTCGCCTCGACCAGTAGGGGAATAGGGTCGGCACGCCCTTTGCCTCGGCGCTTCTTCACTTTCTTGGGCTTTGGTTCATCGTCGTCGGATGTTTCGACCGCGTCTTGGGTTGTCGAGGCCTTGACTTTCTTGTTCTTGCGACCCTTCTTCGAATTGCCAGCAGGTGGCGGAACACTCGCACCACCATCTTCAGTAGCATTGGGGTCTGGAGCAGGGGATGGGTTGCGCGAGGGCTTGTACGAGCCTGTCTCGTGCGCGCTTGACTCCGTGCGGGTGGGGGATGGAGAGCGTGATACGTCGTCGGACATGATGGTGGATGAAGGGCGAGGAGACGGACGAGGGAGAGAGGGGAGTGTAAGCAAGACACGAGGAAAGGTGCAGGGAGTGGTCTGGGACGCGACGCGACGCGTTGTCCGAGCACGTGTGGCAAGCACCGAGTGGAGCCAGAATGAGTAAGGGAAAGAACAATTGGAGGCGGGTCACGTACCGCAGCATGCACTGACCACGTTGGTTCTTGTGGCCACGCTTGTTCTTGTGGCCGCACTGGTCCTTGTGGCCGGAGCGCAGCGAGGACCTGAGTGGCGCGCGGGCAGAGTGACCGCGAAATAAAGTGAGCGGAAAACGGGGATTAACATTGTTTGCATATAGATACATTAGAGTGATGGTAGCTAAAGGACTATTGGATCGTCTCGGGAGCCCGTCTGATCAAAGACCTGGAAGGCATGGTCCGCATCCTCGCCCGGGCCCTCACCAATGACGATGGGGTTCAGGAAAGACGTGCCGGGAATCCCGGAGGCTGGGCGCGCGGGCTCGTTCACGAGGGTGCGCTCGGAGTCGTCGGACGCTGCAAGACTCGGGGAGCGAGAACGCGCTCCAGCCGTGGCCGACGCAGGAGCTTGGGTAGCCGCGGCGGCAGAGGAAGCCATGGTCGGGGCGGAGCGGGTCTGGCTACTGGTGGCGGGCACGCAGGAAACTTGGGTGCTAGTGGAGGCAACGGTGGGGCGCACGGTAGGAATGTTCGTGCGAGTCCGGGGAAGGGGGGCGAGCACGTGGGGCGCGCGTCGGGGTGGCTGGGTCGCGGACTTGAGTACCGGTTGGGTGCGTGGAGGCGGCCACGGTGGGCGGAGCAACGTTGTTTGCGCGCACAACAGGCATGGACGCGCGCGACGAGGTAAAGGACGCGCTAGCAGGAGCAGGAGTGGCTGATACGCTGCTCGAGGGGGCTGTATCTGTGTCCTCGGCGTCGGACATGGCGTACATGTCAGTGAAGGACTCTGTAAAGTCGGAGAAGAAGTCTTGTTCATAGTCGACGTCGTTGTCCCCATCGGAGTGCTGCTCGGCCGCTAGAGCATCCCAGAACCCATCCGTCATGGGAGCATGCATCTCGTCCGCTACATCAAACAGAGTGGACGTGGGGACCATTCTGCGTATCCGCAGACGCGATGGAGCGGGGGTGGGGGACGGGGCAGACGCAAGTGCACGTCGTTTGCGGCGGGGAGTCTTGGCGGCGCGCGGGGTCTCGAGAGAGCTTGGAACTACCATCCGGCTGAGCGGATGAGTGGCCGACAGAGGCGTTCGGAGTGTGCGGGATAGAGGAGAGGTTCGGCGGGAGCAGGGAGGGTACGTTCGGTGGTAACACCTCGCGCAGTTGCTGCGCGAATTCGAAAGGCATCTGAACGGATTTGTGCCTGACAAGAAGGCCCTCATGGAGTTGGAGGACGATGCGGGTTTCAGACTTGGGTTTCCAGGAGTTTGATGGACATCGAAGTACTCGAACGCAGAGTTACGGCCGATGATGCCTTTGATGACCGCATCGGAAATGGCCGCACGCAACTCTTGCATTTCGCCCCAACGGAGAGCTACGTATTGTTCTTGTAGCGTTTCCCTTGCTCTTTGATGGACGTGGGCGGCGTCCAATTCTAATTGTTGGTTAGCACGAGAGATATGCCTGACGCGAGCTGAGACCCATACCTCCAAGAAGAGCCTTACAGTGACGTCCTCGGTGGAAGAGCCGGCCTTCCGAGGCGAGACGGGGTGGGGTTGTCGCGGTATTGCTGAGGGTCGCAAGAAGCGCGGCCTCGATGAACGGTTCCCCGGTGCGAGAGCACAGGTGGTGTATCTCCCTGATGAGATCGGCCCGCCATGACGCTGGGTGGTGGGACGTCGCCGCAAGAACTTTCACGGAGGCACTCCAGACGCAAAGAATGGGGGAGTTGGACCTTGCATACCACGAAAGGACATGGGGAGTCCTTGCGACACTGTAAAGTGGATCGTTAGCGTGCAAATATGAGCATAAGGTGCTTACCACTCACGATGTTGTACACCATGCCGGTGCGAGACGCACGATTCTTGCCCCACGACGCTCGAACGAGGTGGAGGGTCCGTCACGGCAGACCTCATGGGGTTAGACCAGCCCTCGAGATGGTCGTGCAAGTACTTGAGAACCGTATCGCGAGCCTGGGTCATGGCGAGGTGGTATCAGATGCGATGAACTCGACACCCGGTCAAAAGGGCGCACCTTTTATATATTCAACGGACCACATCACGCCACTAAGAACGAAACAAAGCGGGGCTTGTGGCGGCACTTCTTGGTCGAGTGGCCCACCGAGAGCTTGAATCCGGACCGTGCAACCCGATTTCTCGTGTCTTCAATCGTTCTGATAGGTTGAGGAGATCCCATGTTGATGATAGGGATTGTTAGGGGCGATGGGCGAGGAATTTGAGAAGGGCTTGCACTAGGTATTCCGGATGTGATCCAGTGGGAAACACGCCTCAGACGAGCTCGCGGACACAAAGTCGTGCGAGACTCGCCATAGTCCGATAGGACGGCGATGGGAGAGGATGGTGTGAGGGGGGTGGACTTGCGGAAGGAGGGGCGAGGGTGTTGGACTCGCAGAAGGGTGTTGGACCCGCCGAGGCGACGGGGTTGAATGCATGAGGGTAAAGTGACACGTACCGATCCATCTTACAACTCCTGTACTATGAGAATGTGAGCAAGCCGCAAGATCTGGCTCAGTGAATGCTTTACGCACCTTGGACGAACTCAGGGTGAGGCGGTGAGAGCGCCAGGAGAGAGGGAGATGGCGGATGGGAGGAAGAGGTCAGCGTCATGGGCGCCCCGCGTTCCCGAGCGTGCGCTCCGAGCGTGCGCTTGACGCTTCGCGCTCCTGCGACATTCCTCCTCTCTCTCCCGCCCTCCCTCCTCAACCTACTCGACGTCCTCCTTCCACCATCACTAGCTTGACATCACCGCACCCTCTTTCCACCACCGCCATCACCTCGTATCCTCCCACCCCTCTTCCCCAGCCGTCAGACTACGGAACGACTTTGCGTCCTTCCGTAGTGTTCGGCAGGTCTTTCCTATTGGTCAGACCTCTCTACCCCCCGCTGGACTGTCTCGCGCGCCGCAAACCAACGCAACAAGACACACCTGCTTTCTTTCAGCGTTCCCCTTTGTTTCTCTAGGTTCAATTCGTGTGGAACGTCACGCCATGACCCACGGCTCGAAGTCAGACCCCGACGCTTTCGCTGGTACGTCTATAGTGATACACCCTCATTACTTCAACCAACGCCCGTCTTAAAGATCTGGACATCAAAAAGGCCCGCGTGGCGGCGTTCACTGCGGACGGCAACTACATCGTAACGACACCAAACATGTCTTGGGTTCCCGAACCATTCGTTGGTCTCATCAAGGTCTCCCTGCGATCCGACTGCCGCTACGGGGAGCACGATCCCTTCCAATGGCCTCAGATCTTCGCCCCCGAGTTCGCCTTTTTGTCTGTAGTGCGACACCCCTACCCTGATGATCATCAGTACGCTCCGGTCTGGTGGACTCCAGACTTCAAGACACAGTTCCGACCAGTGGAGGGCTGCGTATTCAAATCGCTTGGTCTCTTCGTCTCCCCCGTCTTCCGAAAGCTCTGTTCTCTCGTCGACGAGATGCGAGAACGAGTTCAGGAGCATATCCACAGCCTTGGAAGCCCAATCCCTCGGCTCGCGCATATGGCCACTGCGATGGCTCAAGCTCGCGATCGTCTCCGCTTCTGCCCAGCGACGTTCCGCGACTCTCTCTTTCAACTCCGGGAGACCCAGCGTCGTTGGCTGGCATGTCGCGCGTGGATCGACTACTCTCGTCTTACGGCGTCCGCGACCGGAGCCTCAACCGTCCAACTTGGCTACATGGGCGCATTCTGCACCGATCCGGGGGACGCCCAGACACTCTATCGTGCCGGTGTGCCTGTATGGTTCGTCAGACCCCGCGTTGGAGATAATCTCGACGACGTCCAACGGATCGCGACCCCTCTGCGCCAGCCGTCAAAGCTGGCTCTCTCGCCCTTTGCCTCGGACGGGGTCCCCATATTCTCCGGACTCTCGGGCCTGCGTCACCTCCAAGCTGTATGCTCTGTCAAGCACATGTACGTCGACGTATCTCAAGCACCTCTTTTGACGCGATTCGACTATCGTGTGCGACCGTCCTCGGAGCCCTCAGCAAGCGGTCCAGTTCGCTCGCTGCCCTCGTCAAGCTCCCACAGGGTCTCCCAGGCGAAGAAAGGTTCGCGTTAGTTTGTATATCATGATATATCTTGCTCATACGTTTGCAGTACATCCTAGTCACCTCCGTGGGCGAGACAAGTTCGTCGACAAGGATCACGCGTGGATGCCGCGTACGCTCCCAGCGTGGGACTTGGCAATGCAATCCGTTGATCGCTCCCAACCCAGCAGGCCTTCGGAGGAACTTTGGGGCTACTGGGTTCCAGAGCCTTCACTGCTTGTTGGGCCCACTACAGAACAACGCGTCGCGCGCTACCTCATGAACTGGCTTGGGGTCCGTGACCCATGGCTGTACCTCCTCGCTCTTCCAGACTCTCCTGCGACGCGCGTGGGGCCACAGTGGTGGCGAGACTTCCTGAACGGCGATACGAACGCGGCGGCCACCACTGTGACCAATCGTCGCACCCAGCGTTTGGAGAAGGTCAAAGAGGTCTTCTGTCGCGCGTTCCTGATGGAGGATTTCCAAGAGCGAGACTCCGGCGCGATCGAGTGGTTCCACCGTCCCATCACCGCGGTTGATGCAACCACTGGACCACTGATTCTCTGGGAGTTGTTTGAGCTCGGCTTCCGCCACGAACTCCTCGCCCTCGACCGACTCTTGGTGCCCATGCACGGGGTTCCCGACGCGGATTTCATCCGCGAGCAAGTTCTCGTGGGTGTGTTCCATCATCGCGACCTCTACCGCCTTCACCAGCTTCCGGTCTTCGGCGTAGGCCTCTCCCATCGCATGCCGAGCTCGCGCGTCCGGTGCGTCGAAGCCCTCCGCCGTGTCGTCATGAGATGGCCACAGTGTCCTTCGCAGATTGTGGTGGACCCGTCGATTAACGCACAGACCGTCGAGGAGATGGAGCGGGCCGTGGCTTCCTTCTATTGTACCACTTTTTTACTTACTCCGGCCGCGCTCCCCTTGTCCCTCATGTGTTTCCTGAATGAACAATGCTCTTTACGATACTAATTGCTTGTCGCGTCGCATGTCTTGTACCACATCTACCACTCGCATAACGTTTTTGGGCGCCACGCCTCTCGGACCACACTCCTCCCGGACCACATTCAAGCAACCTACGATGGTAGGTATGTCTTTTGAATTGAATGGACTGCTTTCGATGTCCGTTTCCCCCTCTGTCTCGTCCCCTCTATGCCATGGGCCTCCGCCAGAAAAAGACGAAGAAGACGCCTCGGACAGCCCTCCCTCAGTTACGGGCCGGGTCCTCCACTGTGTACGGCCGGGACCATCGCGGCATACCCATCGTCACCCAGAGGCAAGTCCACTATCATACGGTGAAGTTACGGCAAGATACGCCCTCGAAACGTGCTCGGCTTGACATCACCACACCATCCGTCCTCGCAGATGCCCTCCCAACTGGGTACGACGTCTCCCAAGAGCCCAATTCTCTTCAGAACAGCTGGGAGGATGCACCGTCCGTCGGTGAGAAGGAGTCCGCCGATCCTGAGAAGGTGGAACAGCCGAAACCAAAGACGGTGTGTAGAGTGTGTGTTTGCTTATGTCCTCCACTCATTTCACTGCAGAAAACGATGATGGACCACTACAACGAGTGGCTCCCGCGCGAAACGGAGGTCATCGAGGCGATGTTCTCCTGGGAGGACTCGCGCAAGCCTCTCAGCAAGTGCACTCGGTGCCTCGATAAGGACGCCTGGTTACGCTGCACCGAGTGCTGGGATAGTAGTCCGCATTGCACGCAGTGCCACCTCACCGCGCATCGCCACCACTGGTTCCATTGGGTGGAGGCCCGCCGGAGTGATGATGAGTTCTGGAAGAAGTACGACCTCTCCAGTCTCGACTTCACCATTCGCCTAGGCCACGGTGGTGAGGCATGCCCGTCCCGAGGGGGGTGGTTATCGCCATCCAAAATCACCATTTGCCACACGAACGGCATCCATCGCTGTCAAGTCGAGTTTTGTCACTGTCTCCATGCCCCTTCCGTCCCCTGTCAACTTATCCAGGAGCGCATCTGGCCCGCCACCCTGGATCAGCCTCAAACTGCGTTCACAACTCCACTACTCACACTGTACGACCACCTTTGGAACGTCAGCAACGTCAACGCCTACGACTTTATTGACATCTTGCAACGTCTGACCGACAGCGCGTTTCCTGACAAGGTGCCGGTACGTGAGGCTGGACCTTCCTCGTCCTACCCCATTCTTACGAGCTTCATAGGACCCCTACGACGCCTTCCGTCGTGTACATCGCATGTTCGAGCACCTGACGATGAAGAAGCGTGCCGGTCATTACCACGGCGTCAAGATCCCCAACCGGAGCTCGGACGACCTCACGGTTGCATGTCTTACTTGCCCACTCCCCAGCGTCAATCTTCCCCTCGATTGGGCTCAGGAAACGCGTGCCCCGTGCGTCCGACCGTTTCCCTCATGAGATTACACACTTACGCTTCGTCTATCAGATATATTTACCGCCACAACCTCGGGGTCGACGCCTGCCATGGTATGCCGAAGAGGACCAAGAACGACGACAAGAACGACAAAGCCCTTAGCGAGGGGCAAGGGTTCATGGTCAAGTTGGCCGACATGAAGAACATGGTCGAAGAGAGTTTCAAGAATGACGACGACCGCGTGGTAAGTTGTACTTCCATCTATCAGATGATACCGCTAACTGTCGCGAAGACCCATACCTGCAGCAGCTTCAAGGTTGCTCGCGCGCAGCGTTTGGGCAAGTTCCGGACAGTCGATATCAGTGGCGTCGCCGCCATAACCTGTCGTCATACCTTCTTTTTCCATCAAGGTGTAATCGACCTCATCTCGGGAGAGCGGTGAGTTGATTCCGCGTCCGCTGTACTTTAATGGCTAATAGTGTTATAGGTATGCCTTCATCGACCTACTCGTCGCCAGGCACCTACTGCGATATGCGGCCGAACTGATCGAGGTCGGTATGACATACGACATTATGTGCATCTATATTCGCAGCCTCCTGAAACGTATGGAGAAGAACTTCCCCGCTGTTGTCCCCATAATCAAGAAGATGTACTGCTGCCTGCCCGCCTTCCACGCGCACGGCCACCGCGACATGTGCAAGACGGTCTATTCGCTCGCACTCTCCTACGGCTTCGGGTTCCAGCATGGCGAGCAAGTCGAGAGGCCATGGATCAAGATGAACTTCGCCGGGCCCGCCACAAGCGAGATGACGGCTGGAAACCGACACGACAAGCTCAACATGACGTTCAACTTCTGGAACCTTTGCCAACGGCAGAAACAGCGTGAGCAATATCTTCGTATCGGCGCGTGCCTAGGTTGATACTGTTCCCCTAGCCGACTTCTTGGCTAGGCAGGTCGAGAAGACATACGTCGACCAGGAAGAGGCCACAGACGAGTTGGCCTCGATGATTGCCGGCGCTGGCCCCACCAAGGTTCTTCGTTGGATTGCGCAAGGCATTCGACCCTCAGCGCCGACGCCGCTCAACTTCAAGGAGCGAGAAGAGTCGTCCAAACAAAGCCCATTTGTGCTCGACACCACTCATCGTAGGTCCCCGCACTTCTGTACTGGCTCACACTGACGAAGAAAACGCAGTTCCTAATCGCGAGAAGGCGTTCGATGACCTCGTGAAATCCCACGAGAACGCGAAGCACTCTTCCCCTGCAGACGTGGACCTCAAGAAGCGTGCAGCGCTCTTCGTCCGCAGTGGGATCGACGTGCAAAGAGCGCTGTGAGTTCCGTACCCCTACCGAACAATTTGTTTCTGACATCTTTCCTAGTTTCAAGCTCCAGCAGCGCAAGAAGCTGGGCAATAAGGGTTTCGGTCAATCGGACGAGGCCACGGTCCCCTTTGCCACCGCCCGTCGCGGATATATCCGAGACCTTACTCAGTGGCTCAAGGAGAAACAGCGGTATATGCCGCTCGCCGCTGCCGATGAGGACCCTGTCGCGCAAGGTCGACGCGAGTTCTCTCGAAATGTCCGCGACGATGATGACGAGAGAACGAGTAACGACATCGACGACCAGGAAATCATCGGCCTACCTTCAGATTACACGAAGGAAGAGGTCAAGATCCTCGAAATCGAGGTGTTCGCCCGCGGTGAGCTGGCCATGCGCACTGCTGATTGTTTCGATGATCTTGCCCATGTACGAAGCGCTGTCGAGTATCGTGCGTCTTTCTTGTGCGAGAAGAAGACCGCCGGGAAGCAAGGGCAGAAAGCAGGTACGCGTTTCCAGACCGAACTCCAGAGGAGCGGTCACTACGCTTATCGTCTGGCCGAACGCTACAACGACAACTTCCAACGCGTGTCGGCACTGCGCAAAATTCTCGACCACAAACCAGACCAAGACTCATCGGAAGGTCGTCTGCGCGCGATCGACTTGAAGACCGATCTGACCCTCTCCGACCTTACCTCGCGTCAACCAGGCGACACACGACGGTACTCCTCTTGGGTTTGGCGCATTCTAACCCCCAAGAAGGACAAGCGGCAGCAGCCATCAAGAGAAGCCAAGTCTACTGAACCACCCCCCGCTGAAGATACTGAGCCGCAGTGGCGCGACAATGGTATGTACATCTTCGAGCTATCGTTGATGCTTCCTAACCTCTGCTGCAGCACAGTCGACGATGTTCCACACTCGCCTACAGCGCAAGTATCAAGCGGACGCCCACGCAAACTACCTGTTCACGGACTTCCGTAATGGCGTCGCTGGCCATGACTTCTACTCCAAAGCTTGGCAAGTGACGACGAAGGAAAGTGACTTATCGCGGGGCAAGCGTGCATACGCTATGCAACAGAGTGCTGTGTACGGTCGTGGCCGCGACCGATTTCGCAGGTGTCACGTTGAATCACTGAAGCCGGGGGTGTCGATCGACGAGAAGTATCATGACCTCGTAAGTGTTCACATACCCTTGTTCTCAGTCTCCGACTTATGTATCTTTCTAGTCTCTTCGGGATGCCCTTGCAGAGTATGCCGACGATCTTGACGCTTACAAGGAGGTCTTGCGTGCGCTTGATCTCAACTTCTAGGTAGTAATCGGCGATGCGGGTGCGTCCTATGTGCGAGGTATATGGTGCAGAGAATGCGGTTGCACCAGTGCAACTCGAGCTGGGACCAACGAGATGTATTAATGTGGGCGCAACTATTATCATACATAATGTGCTACTTCAATGCAGTGTATACACGTCGCACGACAACCACTTTGACAGCGCGTACGCACTCCACACTCAAAGCAATCAGCTGAAAGCGGGTCGCAATCGAAAACGCTGAGGTACACTAGGCTAAGACGGAGCTAGAGTACGCTACAGACTGCTTCAGACCACATCACGCGGGTGCCTGCCACCTACGACAGCACACGAGGGTGCGCGGGGGCGATAGCAGACACGTGGACGCGCGAGTGGCAGAGAAAACGAGACAGAGCGAGTGTGTGTGAGAGAGCCATAGCGAAAGCGAAAGAGCGACAGTAAGAGCGAGACAAGAAGTGATCGGAGGAGGGCGGGCGGAGGGGCGAGCGGAGGAGCGACACGCGAAGGACAGAAAGCACCGCGCGCGTACAGGCGCGGGAACGCCGGGCCGGGCCAGCCCAGCAGCTGAATGAACGGAGTCCGAGAAACTCGGAGTCGAGGTCGGTTGCGCTGCCCAGTCTTGCGTGGCGCGTTCCCCTGTTCCCTGTTCACCGCATCACGTGCATTCCTCCTATGAGTTCGCGCGCGTGTCGCCCGGCTGCTGTTCGCCCCAATGTCCATGGCACGTGCGCGCGGCTGCAGGCTGCACCTTCCACCGGGCACGCAGCTCATGATGTAACATTCAAGATAACTTACTACCGCAAGGGTGGCATCATCGTATCGTTACTATTACTTACTACTATGAATATCACCCAAAGGCACGTGACAAAGGTCACAGAACAACATATCTGCATACTGTATGAACTACTAGTAGTTACTACTGGTAATCGTGAATAGACGCCCCTGGTAACAATTTAATTAAGCTCCCTTGGGGTGGGAGGGGGAATTGTACTGCGCGATAATAGAGTCGTCATGCGCCCAATTTGCGAAGACGGAGGGGGTGGGGGTGGTGCAGAAAGTCGGAGAGTGGAGGCTGCGCTGCGCAGGAGTCGAGGGACCGCGGAGTGGAGTGGACAGGGGATCTGGTGGCTGAGAGGGTCCTGGTGGCCGGTAGGGTCGAAATGGAGACGCCGTCTCGTCATTCCAGTGCAGAGGCATGGACGACATGGAGAGGGCAGTGGACGTACAAGAGAGAGACCAGCTCAATGCGCGCGTCGCGCACGCTGAGGCAAGATGTCCGGACCGCTCGCGTAAGCCCAGTACCATATCCAGTAATGGTCTCCTAATCCGGAAGTCGTTTCTAAATCCGGTCGAGGAGGGGGAGCGTGTAATTTCAAATGGGGGACCTGCGGTATCGGGGGCGCGTCTGCTAGCAGACCTTTGATAGAAGGGCTGCCTAGGGGAGACTAGAAGGAGAGGTCGTGGAGGGCAGGTGGCGCCTGCCATGAGTTGCTGACAGCACGCCGAGATCATGATGGCGCTTGTGCCTCTCCGCCATCCCCTTCATTCCCTTCATTCCTTTTCACGTACAGAAGTCTCAAACCCAGGCTGTTAGGCGCCGTAGCAAGGTCTCCAGGATCTCACAACGACCAAGCTCGGACGTACAAATCCCGAGACGAGCAGCCCGGCCTGCTGAGTCTTGTTCGACTTCGGCTCGCTCATCACGGTCCGTTCTCGTCCTCGTCCTCGTAGTTCCAGAGGTTCATCTAAAGTATCCCAAGATGAACCACCCTTCGGGCCTCCTCTCTCTCAACGATGACGTCCTTCTCGCGACTTTCTCCTTCCTGGACTCCAGGGCGGCTCTGGCCACAGCTGCCGCCTCCAAACGCGCCTACAGACTCACCATCTCTCGCGTCTTCGCCGATATCTTCTTTGATAGAAAATTCGATACGGATAAGGAGGACGGCTCTGAATCGCTAGCCCTGTTGCGCTACATCTGCGCACCCGAACCATTGTCCCAAGTACCCCGCATTCAACATCTCCGACATTTCACTCTCGGTCATGTACAGGAAGTTGATTTCCCTCCTCTTCATAGCCTCCTTTCCCAGGCATTTAACCTCCGCACCATTGACATCGAGAATTTCGAGACCTTCATCGACGACGACGGGCTTGTCATCAAAGCGATCGGTGCGATGCAACACCTCGAGCGGGCCGAATTCCAACAAAGTGGCCCTGAAACGGTCTCGCTCTTCCAAACTTGCTGTCAAGCCAGAAACTTACCTCTTTGACACTGGGTTTCGAGGAAACCTACTACGAGGATGACTTCTTTGACCTCCCCGCCCTCTTGTCGAGCATTTCCTCGGCCCCGAGCATACGCACTCTGAGCATCTCATTCAACTACATCCGCAGTGCGCCGTGATGCGTACCTCCCACGATTTCGCTCTTCCCTCAATTCGTGACCTTACCCTGTCCTCCCTTCGGGGCCCAGTCCCCGCACACATCATCACGCTCTGTCCCAACATCGACACACTGTCACTCATGCTCTTTGCCGGGAATAATCCTCCCGCTACGTTCTCCATGTCTGCGGAGGATCGATGGCCCGCACGACTGAAAAAGCTCGATCTTCCGTACCGCATCGCTATCGCGGAAGACACCGTCCAACGCATCAAGCCCGTCCACTGCTTATCTTTCGGCAAGGACAAACCGATCTCTAGCGGAGAAGTTTTCCTCCCGCTCCTCAAGACCTTCCGCCCCACCGCTCTCGAGCTCCATACGAAAAGCGATCTCGCAGAACCGGGCCAAATGTGGGACAATCTGCGCGGCGCGGCGCCGCAGCTCCGCTCTCTCTCGATCGTCGTGAAAGCTCAATGTGGCGAATACAACGCGCGCGGATACGTGGTACGTCCTGTCCCCATCCTCCGCCCAACTTGCTGATCCTCCCGCGAACACAGGATCCGCTCATCGCCGCCCTCCGATCGACCTCGCTCGTTCACCTTTCCCTCCGCTTCCCGCCCACCAGCCAGTACTTGAAATTTTCGAGCATGGCCGTAGTCGATAGCCTCTGCGCCGCGGAGATCCGCCGTGTCGAGACGCTCCGACAGCTGCCCGTGCGGCTCGCCGAGGCCGTCCCGTTGCTCCGCGTCCTCGCACTCTCGTGGTGCAAGCCCGGCAACTTCACGGACTTCGACTCGGCACCATTCTACACTGTGGTTGCGCCACAGCCGACCGCAGAGCTTGGGCGCGAGGAGGAGATCCTGCGGCGGTCGGAACCGGACGGCGAGTTCCTCAATACGCCGATGTGGAAAATAAGGCAGCTCCGGGAAGAGATCGCGCGCCACGAGCGGTGGTGGTGGATCGGGAGCGAGGGGGCGGCGCGCCGGACGCCGGTCGAGATTTGGCGGGAGGACGGGGAGCGGGCGCTGGAC